CTGCTAGAACATCTTGCTTACTCAGCCTAGTCAGGTGATCAGGTCATATGACCAAGGATGAGGTCATATGAGGTCATGCACAGCCATGCACAGCAGGTCACCTGACCATCCAATCCTTCCAGCAGGTTCCAGCACATGCCAAGGTATACCAGCTACTTCCATGTCATAAAGGCTTAGTCATGTCTCTTGACCAAGCAATGAGCTGGTGCCCTGACAAGGGCACACATACATCACTCAAAGGGTGAAACATCTTCTTGCTGGAATACTGGAGGGGCAACAGCAAATCACCTGTTCTCATGTCGCAGTGGGTTGCAACAATCATGATGATGTGGAATGCACTGCCATAACTGAATGCATGTGAGTTGGGTTTCAATGCATAATCTCATACATACTCCTTCTTCATCATCTCAACTCTAGCTTGCATGGCTTCCTTCAAGGCCCACCCATCATCATCCAATGAGATTGGACTGGTGGATCCACCCTGCCTAAAGGTAGGGCCAACATCTTTGTACAAGTTGAGGCAAAGGTAGCATAGATCCTAGAGAGGGGACTAGTGTCAGCAACATGAATCAGACACATCTGATGACTTACCACCACATTCACAGGCAGATGTTTAAATGCAAAGGTGATGGCAGCTGTGTGTACACTGTCATGCATGGAGGGATCCATGCCTTCTTCGCTGATGTGCACAATAAGGAACAAGCACAGGAGGTTCTGCACCAGCTTGCTGTGCCACTTGGCCAATGTTCCTGTGTAGGTGTACTGTGCTCATCAGTGCATGTCCAAAGGCAGGCAAGCAAGCATACCAGTGTGCATATAACCCCTGTTTTGCCCCAGTAGCACTGTATGCACTTGATTGGTGAATCAAATTTCTGAATGTCTTGACTGGTGATATGTGCACAGCCAAGACCAATAGGAAAATCGATGCAGAATGTTTAGGTGCATGCTGAACACTTGATGAGAGCTATGGGTGGGCACCTCATCCAGCAGATATTGCAAATCTGAGTATAGATCATAAACATGACAGGTGTCACCTGGGGTATTGTGCTCACCTCATGGTCCAAGTGCTTGATTCTGTCTGGGCAGCCCAGGGTGTCCTAAAAACAGTATAAGTGTGCAGGTACCCCCAAGTGGAGACTGCACAGACATAAACACTTTGCATAGATATATGGCCACTGAAAATATTGTGGGCATTCCTTGTGACCAACTGGGCTTCATTGCTTGCAAGCAGTTCTTAAATTTCTGGTTGCTGAAGCATGGGTTCCAAGGTAGGGACTCCCTTCCAATAGATGTACAGTGCTGCACATGCAGTGTCACTGTTACACCATTAAATCATGGACACAGGTGTAGATTTTGAGACTACTCACATGAGGGTGGAATGAGGCTTTCTCCACAGGAATTGGAATATGCTGGCAGCCTCCTCTCCTCCCTGATCCCTCCAGGGACAGGAATAGCCTTGGGCACCATCCAGCAAGTCAACCACCTCCTCCTCTAGTTCCTCATCTTTCCATTGCAGGGCATACATGATTTGCTAGGGATGCATAAGTCACTTTGAACAGAGTGCAGTCCCATAGTTTTACCTGCAACTCCTTGTCCCAGAGGTGTCCTCAGATGATGAGAACCTCAAAATTGTTGTCTTCATCATCATGTTGAAAATAGAAGTCCTCATGCTCATGGTTTTTGGTTGACCCATTTTGTTGCTCTTGTTTGTAGCACAAGCACCAAACAGATTGGAGTTTGGCTTCTGTCATGCCAGGTTCCCAAGGACTTTACAGAATGAGCATAATGTCAGAAGCTCATGCCACTCACTCACGCTCTTGCATATAGATGAGTTCAAATTGTCTTATTTGGTGTCATGTATTCAAAGACACAACAGTTAATACTCCAGAGCTGATGGAGCACAGGAGTGAATATGAAATAGCAAACAGTTGGCAAACATGGCTTACCTGAGACAGATCCTGCCCCATCTCAATGTCGTTTTTGGGAGGGGGGGCAGGAATACAATTGAGCACTATGATTCCATCTGGCCCCTCCCTGACAGTTTTGCACAGGTCCCAGTGATCTTTGTCCCAGTGCCACTCTGTGTCCTTGATCTCAAAGTCTGGCTGGGCATGCTGTGACATGTACCAATACTTGCAATTTCTGTCCAGGACAGTATTGGGTGGTGGGACAGTGTCTTCTCAGTCATCCCCAGATGTATTGCCTGACCATGTGGTGGCTTGACAAGCATGGGATTTATGTGCCCATTTGGCATGGGATTCACCAGCAGAGATGAATGAGTGCTTGTGGGCCATTGTGTGGAGGGCTGCCAAGTTAGGGAAGCAGTGGTTTAGAGAGTGAAGCAGTGGTTGAATAGGGAGTTTATATAGGGTCAGGTGTGGTTTTAGTGGTCATTGTTGCCTTAGTGATGTGGTCTGATACGAGGCATTGAACGTGCTGTGGGTGTAGATTAGCATCCATGAGGTTAAACCATGCAAAATCCACTCCTGGCTAGGGTTCACTCATGGGGGTGGAAGCAGAAAAAGTGGTTTAACTCCAACCTCCACCATCTGTGGTACAGGCACACATTTGGCAAGAGGGATGGCAAAAGCAATCTCACCCAGCTGACTGCACCACCCCATTCATTTCAAGTTGGAGCACATGTACACAATGGTTGACTCCCTCCCCCACCATATGCAGAAACTGGAAGGCAGTGGATAGCAGCAGTTGCTTGTGTAGGGCTCATCCCATTTGAATAACTGCCTATCCTGTGGGTGAGTAAACTGGGATGCAGGGCTAGTCCCACACCCCATTTTATTCATCTCACCTTCCAGCAGTGCTCTAAGTTGAATGCCCAAAGAATGTGGACCCCTCCCCCACCATGTGGACAAGCTGGAAGGTGGTGGATAGCAGCAGTTGCTTGTGTAGGGCTCATCCCATTCGAATAACTGCCTATCCTTTGGATGAAACAATTAGTGTGCAGGGCTAGACCCACACATCATTCCATGCATCCTGTGTTCCAGCCACCTAGAAAATGCAGAGGGAGATAAGTGTCAAATAGAGTAACCCCAGAGCCCAGGCCCATGCCATAGGTCATAGAATATTGACTCTAATTTCCCAATACAATTGGTATGGTGAGTGTCTCACATGGTCTCTTCCATCTCAGAAGTACTTGCTTGTACCTTAGGTAGAATCCATATGCTCAGCACACTCTTCTGAGACCTGTTTCATGCCTGCTGCCATGTCAAGAAACCGAATATAATTGGTCCTTAAGCAGGCTTCTGGAACATGTGCATGAAGCATGTTTCAGAAGCCTGCTTTACAAGGATGTGTGAACCCTGAACACATGGTTGCCTGCATCCTGCTTCAAATGACCACCTGCTCACTATGCCCAACCTGCTTGGTAGTAATGGGAAACTACCCAACCATATGGGCTGATGCTTCAGCCAAGAACATCTGTTGACCTGTATTACAGCACAACTGGAGGACATAGAACCACATGTTCAGAAGTACTGGGCCATGCACATGAATGACAATGAGATCCTGGACCATCTCCTAATGTATCACCTGGACACTGGGAAGTACAGCCTCAGGTGTGTCAAGGAAAGCAATACAGTGAAATATCAGGCTCATGGGAGTGCAGAATTAGGAAATTCCAGGAAATGCAAAAATCCCTCAGATTGGAGTGCTCTTGATCTGTGGACCATACTGTAGAGTCGATCTGTCCCTACATTCTGGGGATTTGGGTCAAATACCCCAACATCAGGGTGTTTGATATGATGATGCACCTGCATGCTGATGGCATGCAGGTGAAGTGGGCAGTGGTGCATCAATACATGAAGTTGTATGAACCTGACCTTGTGCAAGAGAGGAGGGCATGGTGGCTGAAGAGGAAAAGATTTTGGTGTGCAGGTGTGGGTGATCTGTGGTGCTTGGATCAACATGACACATGGCAGTGTTATGGCCTCTTCTTGCATACAGCAGTGGAACCATTCTTGGGGAGAATTATGTGGCTTTGTGTGTGGAGGACAAACAAGAAACTGGAACTGATCTGCCAATACTATCTAGACTGTGTGGAAGAGTTGGGAAGTGAGCAACCCATTAAGCTGATTAGAAGGGTTAACTGATCTGAGCCTTCATAGTAATGCCATTGGTCACTCAGAGCAACCCAGGATCAGAAAACTTTGGGGTGGCCAAAGCACAAACTGTGCTCTGACACTATCATGACCCTAACCTTGTTGGCACTGTGCAACACAGTTGGATGCACATGAAGAAAAATGTGAAACTGGAGATTGCCTGGTCTCAGTTGCAAAGATGCTTCATGCCTGGCTTTGAAGATCTATTGGAAGAAGGTGTGCTCAAGAAATGGTACAATCCAAATGAGACCCTTCACAGGTGAGCAGTGGGCACATCATTGCACTGCTGGAGATGACCAATCCACAGATATGTATTCCTGTGGATTTTTGTCCCTTATCTGCAGAGTGAATTGGACACTTGGCAAGAATGTTTTAACAACAATAAGAAGTGTTCAGACAGGACCAAAATTCTTCCCCATGGGGCCCCCAACTTCATCTTTGAACATCCGGAGTTGTACAGAGAGGGAGAACAATATCACATAAGGCCACTTTGTAGTTGTGTTGGAAAATGCTTATGCTTATGTGGATCAGGTTGTGGTGGAACCTGCCGGACTTGAGACAATTTGTGAGATTTATGCTGCACCAGAGGCATTAGTCTTCAACCTGGTGCCTCCAGATGTGGCTGGCATTATAACCTCAACATACCAAGACTTGGGCAGCCCATTGATTGAAATTGACACAATCTGGGAGGTCTTTCTTACAGTGTTAGAGGCTGTACAAGGCTGGTTAGTGGTGCCAGAGGGGTTACAGCATGCTGCTGCAGAACAGGAAACTTTGGAAGACCCTCTTTGGGCATCTCCACCTGAGGGCACTAACCTACATGATGGGTATCTATTGGATGGAAGCCCTGATGGGCTGTGATATCTGGGTGGCCTGTTTGGTGGCTGGGGTGAAAGCCTGGACAGCAATGGTGGAGCCAGCAGGGGGGGACAACAAGACAATGATTCATTGGAGTGCCCCACTTCAGGTAAACACAGAGCAAACATGTTTGGCCCACTGACTGAATTGTTGAAGGTTATTGGTCTGCTTCCAAGGTATTGATGTTATGCATTTTATTAAGCCACAGCCCCTCGCCCAATGTAGAATGATGGGGGAGAATGTAGCATGCATATCACAGTACCACCAATGGTAATGGACCCAAATGGGTTATCAATGTACTGTAGCACACATGGATGGATATTTGACACTTGAGGTGAACCATGCCTGTGCAGCACGCACATTGGCTGGAAATTCCATGTGGACTCCTCATGGAAGCCTGCTGTCTGTCTGGTTTTCTTAGTCAATCAATGGAGAGATGATCAAAAAAACGCAACATATGGCAGTGTGCAGGCATAGCAGAGCAGCCGGAAGGGTGCACTTTGTGATGCACACAATATAATCCCCGTGGCTCACCAGGTGCATTGGGGAAGGAAGGTTTATTGTGCAAGATGGTCAGGGCAATGTGATAGATGATCATGGGCTTCCAAGCTTCTTGGAGGAAGATCTGCATACATGAAGAAAGGATATCACTAGTGTTGTTATGACTTTGCTGGATGTATAAAGGGGCCAATAAAGCCCGCATTGAAGAACATACCATCCCCCAACTTCAAGCCACTGTCCTACATCTTCTGGATGTCTCAACTATGATTACCACTGAGTTTACCAAGGATGCCAACATGCATAGAGACTTCTGCTGTTATTGTTGCCCCAAGATACTGCCGAGCCACATGAAACGCTACCCAGTGGTGTCCACCTCAAATGGAAAAATTATCTTCCACTGCCAGGAGTGCTATGACTTCAAGAAACAGGATGCCAGGCTGCCATTGATAGGTACATTTTTATTTGAACAAATGGGTATAGGGTTTGATTGGGCCACAGTGAATGAAGATGGCCATGAATGAAGTGATCATGCTGCCTGTATAGCCCAAGTCAATGTTGGGGAAATTTGGGACAGAGTTAATCTGAGATATCAATCCAGTTAGTATACATTATCCTGAAGGAACAGTGCTGATGCTGTGCAGCTCAGGATGCATTTCCTCTGGTGCAAAGGAGCCAACAGGGACATTATCCAAGCTTGCTGCCGCCAGCATACATGGCAGTGCACTCTGGCCCAACAGCCATCCCATGCCAGCTGTCTTTGGGATGGATGAATGCTCCTAGTGCTGTGGGGTACAATCCAGGGCATGCACTGCATGGCACTAGAAGCATTTCTAATGCTTGCCAGGCATTTGCAGCAGAGGCACCTACCTTTGAGATCACTGTATTCTTACAGCTCAACATGTCCCCTGAGAAGAAGCATAAGGTAAGTTTTGTTGACTTGCATGCAGATGACTGGCTGACATAAGACAGATAGGTCAGGAAGGGGTAGCAGGGCTCCAGGCACATATCTTGTTGCCTGAACTGAAAGCTGTGGTGTACAAGAGGTTCAAAGCCTGGCTGGGTGTTAAACTTTGCACTCTTTGTATTTCCCTGGATATGTTTATGATGCAAACTGACAAATGGACCAATCTTGACAAGCATTGTGCTAATGGGCAACTGTGCTTCCTGGACAGGGTTCAGCAGGCAGCTGGTAAAGGCTTTAAGGTGCCCAAAGGCCCCTACTACTTTTGTATTCCAATGGACCTGATGGAGCAGAATGGGAACAATGAGCACCACAGGGTGTATGAGAGTGGGTCCCATCAAGCTCTGACAAGCATGAATGACCCACTCGCATGGAATGATGAGATAAAGCCCCTTATGATGGTGGACCTTACACTCAAGGAGGAAGACCTCCCTGACAATCCGCTTGATCCAAACTGGGGCAACAGACAGCTTACCCCAGTTTCCAACAGGGGGAGCAAACATGCTCGACCAGTGTGTTATTTATTATCCACATGGCCTGTGTGTAGTATTCTGATGTGAGATCTGCAGGCCTCCAGTCCAGATACACCAATCAGCACACAGAGACCTTACAAACATCCAGCAACGGCCTTGCCAGCTCACCAAGCCATCTTGGCATGGTTGAATGCTCAAACAGAGACCAAGTATAATGATGAAAGTGAATTACCCCCAGAGAAACCCTCAGGATGTCAACTGATGTGGGAACCTACAGGTACCATTCCTTCAGATGCAATAGTTTGGATGTGTCCAGTCAAGAAGTACACTTGGACAGAACTTTGTGCTGATCCAACCCAAGAGGTGTCCAAAATATTGGTCCAATGGGTGGTGTGCAAGGACTCACTAGGGAAAGAGGGGAGAGAAGGGAAAAGTTGGTAGAAATGTGGGAGTCAAGCCTGTAGCTGACCTACCAAAAGTTGGTCTGTAATAATTCAGAGGTCAGTCTCTGTCTAGTTGAGTATGTCCAGTTGAGTCAAATATGCTAAGTCAAGATGATGCTGCCTAGTATGGGAATAATCAGATCCATATAACTCTATTGGAAGAGGGGAAGAATAAGCTAGATACAGGAGTTTCTGGAAACTACTTATACTAGCTACTGAAAACCACACTCTATACTAATCTGGTCCCTAGATACCTCTCTAAGGCAAGTGTTGGCATGCCAAATATCCAGGTGGGTCAATCCCATTGCAGAGGAAACCCACTGTTGTCATGCCAAATATCTGAGTGGTCCTGTCACCTGGGGAATCATAGTAGTCACCATGCCAAATATCCGTGGTGGGCTGAGACTCATTGCTGGGGCACATTGTCCATGTAGTGAGGGTCCGTAGTGCTGCGCAATGGTCTCTAAGGCCTGAAAATAGCCATGGGAATATTGGCCTGACACACCCTACTGGAGGTGGGGTTGTTCAGCACAGATTTCATGAAACATGATTTCAATGAATGGGAAACCATTTGCTCCCTGACCAGTGATTGGAAGTCAATTGGAGAAGGCAATTTCAAGACTGTGCATCTTGTGCAGCTTGAGCAGGTGGCAGGGCTGACTGATTCCAACATGTCTCCTTCTTTGCCCAATGCCGAAGTCATCATCAAGAAACTCAACATAAGCATTAAGGGCAACTCCAAATGCATAAAATGGCCACTCCAAGATGAGTACAAAAAGGTGAGGCTGGATGCGGTTTGCTTGGTCTATGCAAGTGCTATGCTTGAACAAGCATACACATGGATTCTCAAAGAATCACATCATGCACAACTCCCCTTCCACCTTCCAAGGTTTGGGTCTGTTGATCAGGCTCTGGTTCTGCTTGAGGAGGGGTGCCATCCAGGGAATGTTTGCCTTGTGGAGGAGAGGATCCTGGGGGAATTCATGAAGTATATTTTCAACACCAACACTGAGCCCAACGGAGAGTTGTCGGGAGTCAACGCCAAGAACACTTGCTTTTTGACGGGGTCCTACTTTGCATGCTGTGCAAAAGACCCTTAGTTTGGCTCCGGCCGGCCGGCACGGATGCTAAAAAGAAAATTCCGCACTTAAGCGAACTAGGCCCTTCCGGCTTTCCATAGTATACAGTATCTGGCCCAATTGGAATTCAGGCCTAGAGTTGCGCAGTAGGCTCTATAACTGTATACTGTATACTGTATACGTATTTACGTATGAGGCTACGGACTGGTGTTTCACTTGCACTTGTCCATTCAGGCAGGCATTCACGTCCGATTCATCAGCTCACTCGGTGGCCGTTCTAGGCCGAGACAGAGACAGGCACAGGCACGGTGCCGCAGGTACCGGAGGGCGGTTGGGGTGTTGTGCGGTTGAGGTAGGCTGGAGGGAGAGTACGTAGGTATAGGATAAGTGAGTCGAGTCAGTTGGTGCCTGTCGGAGTGTTGTTAGTCCCCGTCCCCGTGCCTTTGGGTGGAGCAGGTATATGCCAATTGATGGAGCAGAAGATGAGGAAGATGAAGATGATCATGTGGGGTGGCTAATGCGTTTCGTTGTTGAATGTATTGTTGAATGTATTGAATAGGGGAGAAGAGCCGGCGGGAGAAGGAAGGCAGACCCACACCAAGCTTTAACCATTCGACCTCTCAATCCGTAAATGTCGGTGCTAGTGGAGTGCCCTCATTCTCTGTATAGCGGTCTGGACTCTTTCTTGCCAAGTGAAGTATATCAGACCCATGCCTTTCTAAGGTGAGACCCAAGTAAAAGGACCCTTAGCCGTAGACCACGGATCAACATTGTGTGTGGCTGTGCTGAGTAGTACAGGGAGGGTGCGCTATAGTACTCATTGACCCCCACTTAACCCTCGCTGTCCTTTTCATACCAACGATTCCTCTTCTGCCAGCGACAACTTGTCTTCCTCGACGGCGACGGCGACGGTGATGGTAATGGCAATGGATATACAACGACGACCATCCGCTCTACCTTTGGGTGCTCAACCTCCAGATCCACTACTACAGCAACAGGATATATACTCTCACCCACCACAGGCACGCGATCTGAGGGACATCCCTCTAAGGAAGAGCTTACAACCGCTCACACAACCACAACCACAACCAGCCCAACCACAACCACAACCGCATCTCATGCTCGTCCCTCTCTGTCCCCTCCCTCCCCCAGCACAACCACCACCACAAGAAGAAGTATGCCTAGAATGTCTAATGCGCGACAGGGAGATGGCAGACGTGGACGTCACTTCCCCCGGCGTATGGGCACGCGCTAGCGACGTATGGTACGACGAGCTCGTTCGGCGAGAGAGGGAGGAGATGGAGATGGAAGAAGCTGGAGCTGGGGCGGGGAGTTCTGGACCTACGTCACTAGAGGGAAGGAGCGAGGAGTTGGATATCACTAGCAGCGAGGGGAAGGTCCCTGGCCCTGTGCAGGTTCCTCCGGGGTCGACGAGTACTCACCCGTCAGACCGTTCCCGCGTTCGGGAACGGCGAGATCGGCCCCGCGCACATGGACAACCACTCACCGAGTCCTCCCTCAAGATATGGACGAAGCAGAACCCGAAAGAGCCTTCCTCTCGCTGGCACGCGCTGCAGGCCTATGTGCGCGCACAGCGGTTGTTGGTCCAGGCTGAGGAGGATGCGAGGAGGGAGACGGAAAGGGAGAGGGAGAGGGTGGAGAGGAGGGTTAGGAGCGAGTGGGAGGGCGCTGGGGGAGAGAGGGGGGCGCAGGTGTGGGGCATTAGGGTGAGGGTGCAGAAGGAGAAGGAGGGGATGGGGATTTGGGGTGTTAAGCGCAGGAAGAGGGAGGAGTTCCCTCCCCAGCAGCAGCAGCAGCCGATGATACCTACGAGCTCGGATTCCCCACCTGCCCCTGCTGTACTGGGACAAAAGGACCTCACTCTCCTCCCTAACGGTCTCTTGGTGGAGACAGTCGACCTCCGCCGAGCGCGGGAAGTCGAGTCCCGCTCTCTAGCAAAAGAGGAGCGTGCGCAGAAAGAACGCAAGCGGACGATATCGAACCGGATCTCCTTTCCCGGCTTGGGGGTGGGGGTTGGGAGACCTTCCCAGCAGCAGAAGAGGGAGGGGAGAGCGAGCTCCTATGCGGGGGAGATGACGCATGTTGGAGGTGCGGAGCTCGAGGGGTACGCGACGACTCCCTGGCGCGCGTCAGGTCTTGTAGGGGGGAACGCGAGTGCTTCCCAGCCTGCGCTTCTCCCTCTCTCCCCTCCCCAGCCCCAACCCTACAAGCTCCAATCCCAATCCCAATCTCACTATCCAGAACAAGATCACCCCCAAACCCTAGCATCCCCAACCTACTCAAACTCGAACTACGTCTTCCCCCCGCCCTCAAGACCCTACGCCCAAGCCCAAGCACACGCACATTCTTCCTCGGCGTCGGCGTCAGCGTCATTACGCAGGCTGTCGAGTCCCTTATCCTCCCCCGGGTCACAAGTTGTAGGGAGGTCGCCGAGGTCGTCGGCGGAAGTGGGGGTAGGACTGGGGTTTGCTGGGGTTCCTGGAGCACCCGGAGCGGGCGGAGTAGGAGTAGGAGTAGGGGTTGGGCAGGCTGCAGCTCCAGCTACAGGTACAGGCACAGCCCCAGGAACGGGGATAACTAGACGTTTCTGGGGGATGACAAACGGTTCCGAATGGTCTCTAGGCGTCGCGAGCGGGATAACAGGACCCGGGAGCTTGGGGGAGATGCAATCTACTCTGGATGCTGAACGTGAGCGGGACCGGGACCGGGAGAGGGAGAGGTTTGGTGGGAGGGGGAGGGGGAGCGAGCCTGGGAGTCCGGTTGGGTTTGGACTCGATTGGGCTGTTGAGGCTGCGCAAGTGCAAGTGCAAGTGCAGGGCCAGGGCCAGGGCCAAGCGCCGGGGCAGGGGCAGGGGCAGATGGGCCAGCCAATAGCCCCGGCGAGCCCGAGTCATCCTCTGGAGGAAACAGCCCTCGCCACGGAGGGAACGGCAAAGAAACGGAAAGGCCTTGGAGGGATCTGGAGACTGATCCGAGGTTCTAACGGGAAGAAACAGAAACAGCGAGATCCTGAGAAATCTAACGACCTCGACCTCCCAATCCCTGTGGACCTAGCTCTAGCTCAGGAAGAACTGGACCTGGAGCCCCTGCCCCCGCTCGCCCCGCCCCCTCCGCTCAGCTATCTCGTCAACCGTCGGTCGGTCGATCGATCTCTTTCAAGGCCAAGCAGCATCAGCGCTTCCCTCTCCCTTTCCCTCTCTTTACCATCTTGTTCCAGCCCTCGGAGTCTCTCTTTCTCCGCTCCGGCACCTCTCGTACCAGGGGAATACGCACCTAGTGCGAGCCTGAGCATGGACCCTCCCCACCCTCACCCCCAGCCGCGGGGCAGCCCAACGCAGAGCATGCGCAAACTTAGCTTGGAGATCAAGCCCCCCCTGCTTGCTGCAGCGCTCGTTGCGAGCCCGATAGCCGAGAGTCCTGAAGGGATGACGGCGAGGGATCTCCCGGGCTTGGGAAGCCCGAGTGAGAGTAATACGGTTTTGCATGCGCCTACTCCTGCTGCTGCTGCTGCTGCGGTGCTTAACGGTGAACGGGAACGCACACGCACGCTTTCGCTATACAAGAGTCTCCCGCCTTTGCCTGCTGTTGATCGGTCCTCTACCGGAGCGGGAGCAGGGGCGGCGGTGCACACGCCCGACCCTCTACAGGCGCTGGACTTCTCCCCCTCTCCCCCGAGAGCACCGTTCATGCAGCCTCCGCGCCGCTCAAGTTATAGCGGGAACGCGAATCCCAGCTGGGGCCCAAACTCCCCTCAGCAGCGGGGTTATGCCTACCCCGAGCACGCGACATCCCGTCGTTCCCTGGCGGTGTTCGCCACTCATTCTAACACTCCCCCGGTCGTGCCGGACAATGCGAGCGAGAAGACGCGTAGCGCTACTGCTAAGAGCCCGAGGGCCAAGTTCAGCTTTGGCGCGTTCCTGAGGAGGAAGTCTTTTGCCCGGGATCTGGAAACAGAGCAGGTGCAGGTGCAGAAGCATAAAGAGCACCCAGAGCCGGAGCCCGAAATGGTAATGGCAGACTACTCCAATCTAGAACCAAACGGTTATCCGTCTTTCGACCCCCCCCGACTTCCCTTCACCCCTGCAGCCGCAGCTGCAGCTGGGAACTATACATCGGATATGTCCCGCTCTCAGTCGAGCCTCTCCTCACACCGCCCGCCGAGCAGCATCATAGGCTTTGGCTCTGGGTCGATTAACAACCGCGCGAGCGTGCTCAGCGCTAAGATACCCCAGTTGGACGATTTTGTCGCCTACCGATATCCGAGTATGGAGCAGCCTGTGGAGCTCTTTCGCCGATGAAGGACGGAGGGCGAAGGACTGCGTAATCGGAATCGGAATCGGAATCGTGGTCGTGATCGTACTCGCCGGCTCTGGCACCCGAATATAATCAAATCGAAACGAATTAACCAAGTCGAACTCATACCTCCTCGCACGTATAACATATCTCCCTCAAGTGAACGAAGTTTCCCATCCCACTCTGCTTGCCGGCCAGTTGTCGCGCACTGCTTTGGACGGACTAGTTATTGGACTTTTTGCTTAGAAGCCGATGTATATCGCCTTCCTCCACCTCAGTTCGGAATTTTTCAAGTCTGCTTGTTCAGTGTTTATCCCTATATTCCCATTCCCGTTCTCTGCTTCCCGGTTCCCCCTTCTTTTTCGCATATGTCGCTGATACTTGGATCCTGCTTCTCTGTTCTCTTACTTGTCCCGTGCGGAGGTCGAGCGGGTTGTATGTAGCAATATCTACCAGATGGGCGTCTGATTGATCGACGTTGGCCTGGTCTGGCTTAAGGGATAACAAGGTGACAGGATGACAGATGTCGGATCGGGCACATGGACAACACCAACCCTGTCTTACAATGCCTCTGGAATGTCCGTGTCTGGCGCAAGAGCGTAACTGCCTCGGCGCATACCAGATTATCTTTGTCTCCCACGGCCATCCCTGGAATTTGGGTCTCTCCTTAATAATCTCATACCTACCATAGAGCGACCCTGGTCTTCTTGTGAGTCTTGATTGTGTGGTCAGGCTCAGACCGGTTTTGGAAAGTGAACGTCAAGTCGCAGACCCAGGCATCCAAGGCAACCTGCACGTCAGTTAACAGAGACAGTTGACAATTGATGCCTAACTAACACACTTCATTCCTATATCCTTTCTTCCCAATTGTGCTATCTATAAGATTCCTGTATGTTTCCAGGCCTGACTTCATCATTATGCGGTCGGCTCAGTCATGAAAGATATTGATACGCCGGGCCCGATCAACATTCCAGGGACCCGAGCGCCCTTTCCGCAAACAACGCGACCTTCGCACGGTCATTTCTCTACTGGTCCAAATGGTATCTTCATGAGCCTTTCGTCCTCTCTTTTCTATCTACTCTGCTAGACGTTTGGACAAAGTATCGTACAATGTCGACTACCGTTGTCTCTGCTCCTGGGAAGGTGCTTATCGCTGGAGGATACCTGGTGCTCGACCCTGCTTATACAGGCGTCGTGGTGTCGACCTCGTCGCGATTCTACACCGTTATCAGTGATGGGAACGGTTTCAACCCGGGGAGGGTGACTGTTAAGTCGCCTCAGTTTACCGATGGGCTGTGGGAATACGACGTGAATGTGAAGGGTGAGGAGGTGGAGGTCGTTCAGGTGCAGGAAGGGTGAGAGTGGTTAACCGTTTCGTGCCCCTTCTAAGGTGACAGGGAACACAGATCAATCCTGAAACCTAGGAACAAATTTGTTCAGCTTGCTATCCAACGCTCGCTTTTGCTTGCTCTTGAGCTGAAGGGCGCCGCCTCGCTAGAATCATCCCTCAGCAAGGGCCTCAATATCTACATCCTAGGAGCGAACGACTTCTACTCTCAACGGAGTGCGCTCGCCTCGCTCAATCTTCCCCGTACCCTTGAGGCGCTCCACAAGCTCACCCCTTTCCGCCCATGCAACGTCCCCATCTCCCAGGTGCACAAGACCGGCCTCGGCAGCAGCGCCGCCCTGATCACTTCCCTCGTATGCGCCCTCCTTCTCCACGCTGGAGTCGTCTCCACCTCCGAGCTGTCGAAGGCCGAGCTCACGCACGACCGTAAGCTTGTGCACAACGCCGCACAGTACGTACACTGTCTTGCCCAAGGCAAGGTCGGAAGTGGGTTCGACGTTGCGAGCGCAGTGTTCGGAAGCCAGCTGTATCGCAAGTTTGGCCCGGCTGTGCTGGAACCACTCATGGGAGACAGCGTGCATGCCAAACTGCTTGCTGAGACTCTCCGACCGGAAAACCCAAAGTGGGATCATGAGGTCAAGCCATTCAGGCTGCCTCCTGGGCTGCGGTTGATGCTCGCCGATGTGGACGCGGGCAGTGACACCCCTTCTCTAATTGGCAAGGTGTTGAGCTGGAGAAAGAATAATGTTGAGGAAGGTCTGCGGTTTTCTACACCTTGTTAGAGGTGATTCTAAAACTCACCGCTAGCATTGCACGTCTGGACTGCTATCTCTGAGGCTAACAGCTGTTTGGCGGTTTCTTTGAACGAACTGTCCGAGCTTAATGATGCAGACCCGGCCACCTACACTGCGGTGTTCACTAAAGCTGCTGCCTTGATCAAGGCGAAGTGGAGCACAGCATTTGAGGATCCAGCAAGTGATAAGATAGTAAATGTGCTTTCGGAAGTTGCTACGGCCACAGAAGTACAGAATTACGATTTGCCCCAAAAACTGCATTGACTGACACCTGGTACAGGACATCCGCTCTGGTATGCGGCAGATGGGTATTCTCGCGGATGTCCCGATCGAGCCCGATGAGCAGTGTCGCCTCCTCGATGCCTGCATTGCTGTCCCTGGCGTGATTGGCGGTGGTGTACCAGGTGCCGGAGGCTATGATGCCATATGGTTGCTGGTTATTGATGGTGGTGAAACCCAAGGGGCGTTGAGCACAGTCGAAGGTGTGTGGCAGTCATGGACAGAAATGAGCGTGTCTCCTCTGATGGCGTGGGAGAGCCATGAGGGGGGTGCCAGGGTCGAGAAGATTGAGAACGTGCCAGGACTGGTTGAGGCAATTGGAAACGAATAATAATGATATGCAGAGAGAAAGTGTCCAGATATATCCGAGATATAGATTACTCAATGCACATCCTGGCTGCACCTTCCGGTCTCCACGCTTTCGTCAGCGCGAGAATCAGGCTCATGACCATGACGATGAATCCAGAACTGGCGCACACAATAGCCGGGAGCTTATGCCGGCCATACCATGGCTGCTCTGGTGAAAGCAGTTTGTAATAGCAGGCAGCCGGAAAGATGAACGCTAGAGCAGTCGCCGAAACACCGCCGGTGATCTCAAGGGTTACCCCCAGATCACAGGTTATGAGAGCCACTGCGTAGAAATCAGCACATGTTCACCCCGAGGGGAAGCAGAGGCTCACAAAACATTGAAGCCATAAGAATAGACGTTGTGAACAGCGCGTGGCGTTGCCAACTGAAAGGCTCATGGGGAAAGTAGTAATCTTCAATTACCTCTCGGCACACAAAGAGCTCGAGGGGGAGTGTGGTGAACATATTCATGCCAAAACAAAGCCGTGCAATATTGATAAGCAGGTCGCTCTGCTTTTGATTAGGCCAGTCTCAAACGGAAAATATAAGCGACGCACTTGGCTGAAGTTATTCAGAATGTTTCCTTGCGTGCGATCGGTGAAGGTTAAGAAACCGCTCAGTCCCATCACAAGACATGCTACGATCGATACACCAGTTGCCACGTGTGTTACCCGATCGAAACGATCCATTGTGGGTGTGCTGAGGGAGCCGTATATGAGGAGCGAGTTGTGGTGGCAGACAAAGGCGAAGCTAATAACACCGATTGCTTCAGCAATGCGCGGCTGAATTATGGTCCATCGTGCTGCATCAGAGCCTCGGAGATCAGCCAGTTTGGAATCCTCCTCGACTTTGATGGATTCGACCACGACCGAGATCAGGATGAGCAGCATGCCGGCCAGCGCGAGAGCGGATGCTCGTGCCAATTTTGCAATGTCGCGATACAGTGAAAGGGGGTATGATATACATATCGTGCATAGTGCGATGACAAATCGCCGTTTCGTGAGGAGGTAGAGAACAGGTATCGTGCGTAGTGAAGGGAATAAGGAAGCGATAACGTGGGGAATTGTATCGCCGATGATGATACCGAAGGCACACATGCCTGAGCCTACGGTCAGTCCTTCTATAATACGTCAAGGCATGAAACACACCTCCGAAAGCGAAACTGAATTGAAAGAAAGAAACAGCAGCCCGACCACTCTTGCCGAAGCAGTGATCCATGATATCGATATACGAATTCCGCCCGCTGAGCTTTGCATTCCGAACAATCAAACGGATGGTCCAGTCGGTGACGATACCAAGTATAATCAGCAGGATTGTCCCAGTGACTAACCCGGCTTCTGAGATAGCATATGGCAAGCCTAGCCAAAAAAAAAACCGGATGTCAATGCAAAGCACGAGACGCAGGATGTATGTAGATACGCACCAATGATGCCAGCACCCAGGATGGAATTTGCCATGTTGAATATACTGTCCAACAGTCCTCCAGACCCACCCTTCTTCCTGTGCAGGTCCTCAAGATCTACACCTCTTTCGCCTCCATCGAGGTTGATGCCTTCTGGCAGTGATCGTGGGTCATGAGACGTATCAACGAGGCCAAGCAACAGAGGCATGCGCTGGGCCGTGTCTGGAACCTCATTGAGATGATCAATGCCATGGTCTGATGGGTCGAAATCATCCGTATCGAGCTCAAATTCTATGGATAATGCACTGAACATGTGCCGGAAACTGACGTGTACGAGGATGCTCACCTGTTTCGCGACTCTCCACCATTGACCGGAGGCTTACTCCGTACGCACGATCCTCAGTTCTGTGAACATCCTCCCTGCTTGTTCCTGCACTCGCTCTGGGCGCTTGTCCCTTTGGAGCGATTTGAGCGAGGGGCGTGTCGTCATCGTTCTCGCTGTCGTGGTCGTAAGAAAACAGGACGTTTCCATGTGGGTGTTGATCACTGTCTTCTGCTTGCGGCAACAGCGGATGCGACGTGTCGTCCACAGTGGACTCTGGGGCAAATCGCACACTCATAAAGGCATCGAGAGGTAAGTGATTAAACCCAGAAGAATATGTCGATGTATCAAAGTTAATGGAACGTATCTCAGCAGTGGCGTGTTTCGTGGTCGTGTCGTCCGACTGTCAGGCTCAACTTCGAACAACGCGCGTCCTGATTCACTAGACGAAGACTCGGTCCCAATTGCAAGTGCAACGCAAAATCGATTAGAATGAATGAAATATGTACATTTGTATCTTCACCAGTTATCATACAACAGGGAGTCGATTGTATCGTACAAGTCTCAGCATGCGTGAACGGAAGATCACCGCGACAAAGCGCTATCACTGCGTGGCAAACGGCGGACGTCGATCACAGCAGCTTCGAATTCACTGATGGAATCGCCCTGCTCAATTGAGACCTCTTGATCCTTCACCACTTTGATACCCATCTCAATGTCTTCAACAGGCGCTTCGATGACGGCACTTGTCCGCTTCATGCCTACTGAGCGGGAAACGACTGTCCGTCCGCTGTCCACTGATGTCTGAAGCTTGTGTGACAGAGCACGAGATCCATTCAAGTTCATAGCTGGTGAGTACCCAGGGGCAGCGCTGTGTTCATCGATCCATGAGATGCCAGTCGTCCAAACGGTCGCGAATGCGACGCCAAATATGGATATGTAAATGTCGAAGAAAAGAACGCATGTTGCCGGAACCCAAGAATGGGCGGCGTAGATGAGGATGATTTCGACAATTGCACAGATTGTTGGAAAGAGATAGGAGGTAAGGGCGATGTAGAACAGGCCTTGCAAGCGGGCCTGCACAGTCCAAGTGCCGAAACGCTGTTTGGGGTTGGCCTGTTTGCGAAGTTGCCATAGGAAGATCAGAGAAACGTATCTAAATCCGCATCAGAATGAAACGGTATGCGGCTTGAACGCAGGGCGACTTACGTGTTATCGATGAGCTGTAGGAACCAAGTCGTCTTCACGTATAGGACAGCAAAGCGAATGTCATTATCGGCGACTTCGGCGGATATGCTTGCCACTGAGCAGATGTTGTTGACGTAACACTGGGCGAACAGAGCGAGGAGAACCAGGCGCACAACTTTCGTCAAGACGGGAATTGCAAGCACAAGACACATTTTCCACCAGGGGTGTTTATTGGGAGGGAAGACAGCGATAAGACGGAGGAGCAGGATGCACTCGACTACAAACGGGGTGAAGGCCATCAACATGGTGAAGGCGATCCCGGTCTCTGGCTGAAGGGGATCAGTTGGAGACAATATGGTGTGAATCTATGGCAGGAGTGAGTACACAGAGGATTCTTCTGATGGTTTTTCTACTCACCATGACATAAGAGTGTAGAATACCGGCCAGAAGACCGAGACCGATAGCAAAGAGGTTCAAACCAAAGACGGCATGCCTGCGTGATGTCGAAGTCGACAAGGAGATAAGCGCTATGAGAAGTGGTAGCAGGAGCGTTGCAAAGATGACGCCGATCAGGAGGAATGTAAGCGCAGGTTGAACCACCGATAGGTCTTGCATTCCGGACGGCACGGTCGTATCTTGGGATCTTGAAAGAAGAGACATGCGGGGCATTGTCGATGCCTAATGACAACTCTTGTATATGAAGTCAACCTCAGTACGCACAGGCCAGCGAAGAGCCCAAACTTCGTCTTTTTGATTGGTGCTGTGCCCGGCGGGGGACGGCGTTGAGGTCGCCGAAGGCCAAAGAGTGGGAGCTGCTTGGACTTCTTCCTTGTCTTTCTTCAGGACCTTATACCGAGGATGACGCCGTGATACATCAGAGCCACGCAATTTGTATATGTGGTGAAACGTCTGAACATCGATGTAATCGAGCCCATCTTGGAACAATATTGTCATCCTCGCCGAGCAGAGGCCATACCAGCTGATGATCCTGCCATTTCAAATAGCCTAATAAGGCACCTCTACACGATGCACACTCGTGGTGCCCACAGCCATATTGATGGAAGCTGAGAAGTCTGCAGAACCAGACAGCGCTGGTACCAAAGTTGAAACTCCAGATGTTGAGCACCTCCAGACGAGCACAGCCTTTGGTGCAGCAAAGCCCAAGAGGCGCCGTCTCGGCTTCTCATGGCCATAGGATCAATTCCCAAAAGCACAGCGGCAACAAAACCAAGTATGGAGTTACGAGACTTCGAAGTCCATGCAGAAGCGTTGCCCCTGAGTGGCGTATTTCGGGCTGTTCGGTGCGGGGACGTTCTCCGATGTAGCACGTTCGCAAAAAATGATGGGACTCGAACGATGAGGACTCCCGGACGGCATCAGCTGCTACTCCGGTCTGAGTTCATATCCGACATTCGAGCAGTGCGGCGTTTGGAGGACGTAGAGGGAGAGGTACCGAAGGACGGGGCGGAACCAGTCCGAGGACGGAAGAAGATTCTGCCGTTTCAGCTCGTGCCCCGTCCATCCACAAGGTATACTTATGCGTACCTCCTAACCAAACGCAACATTGTTCTCCATCGAGCTTCCACCTAAAATACAGTTGATTATTCACAACACTCATTGGTCCTCGCGATCAAGGTTGATCTTAGTGAGCTTTTTGTTCGAAGACCGCCCGACTGTTGAACAATATGTGAGCATAATGTTCGCGAACTTAACACTTAACTGAGCCTTGTTATCTAATCGAAGTTCGCAAATGTTTTATACTGAATACGACGGCAAGGTTGCATGTTATCGTTCTGCATGCCGTACTGGTTCTCCTGCCCGAAGATAGCATATGACATTGCGAAGACTTGCGCGCTGAAGGTATTTCGCTCCTGGAAACGCCATGGGGAGCCGCACCCGTATTCTTCTACCTCACCTGTAAATGGCAAGGGACAGAGGATCAGCCGGGTGGGCATTGATGTGCCGCCTTCCGCCCCACAAGCCCCACATCGGCAAGCATCAAAATCGGCGGTGCCGTCACCTTCGATGAACCATTTCAACGGGGTCATTCGCATAGCTCGTATGATGATAACGACGCACGTTGGAATCTTTATTGAATCATCAACTTTCTCACGCTCATCAAGACTCTCATGAGGCACGCAGTATACCATTTTACGTGGCATACTTCAGGACAAACCGAGGTGACCGATAGAGCGGAAACTCTTCTTGCTAAGAAATCCCACGGATCTTGGAGTTGTTGTCGTGCATCCAAATCCCAGCGATTGACAACAAATTCAAGGGGCTACCTACAAAAGATTATCGAGGGCTCCACCGCCGCCGTAGGGAAGGCTTATTTCCATTCGGAAGTCGCAGTTGGGCGAGGGGCATCGCGAGGCACATCTGCTGCATTGCGGCAGATGTTATAGACCTACTCGAGCATTCGAGAGTTCGTTTGCACGTAAGACGCAGCTGGATCCCATTAAAACCGGTTCCGATTTCCTTTCGCCCCAAGTCTTCGAGATGTATACAGAAGACAAGCGTCATTGGAATGACTCCCATCTATATATCTCTTCTGGGGCGAAGAGGACATAGCCTGGTGGGTGGGTATGCAGCCTACTGTGGGATACGCATGGGTGTGGGGGGATCTGCTGATCTGAGCGATCTGTATCGATGTGAAGATTAACCGCTTCACACCGAAATCGCACGGCTCTCTTACTCTTGTGAAAAAGCGCTAGGTAGTTGGCAATGGTTAAGGCGGGCCATGGGTTGCTGTTATCGCCAATATTGGGATCGCCCTGAAAAGCCTCCATGACCGGCAGTATCGAGAAGACAAGCCCTGAACCTCTTAGGAATTATGCACTCAAGGAATGTGTCGTGTCAGGACACGTGGCAGCCATGACACTGACCGGCTTCGACGGAACTGTTCAAATTGGAAGTGGGTCCAGCCTGAAACCCACTTAGTGAGTCCTGCCGAATGAGCATCTGGCCACAAAATAAGCCTTGCCCATTCCAGTCACGGAGGTTTGCTCTGCCATATATCCGAAACATTCCTATATTTAGGAGCGCTCTATCAATGTCTAATCTTCCTATCTAGCTTACATTTGGCTTTCTTCTCCTGTAGCAGTGGAAAGTATGCTGATAATGAGCAAACTATCGAACAAATACGGGCGATTTTCCGATCAATCCGGACGAGAAGGCAGTAGTAGGTGTGATTACCAGATAACCGGCTCGGAAAACCATCATGAGCTCAACCTCTTGTCAGAGAGTCAGCTGCACTGTGGACACATCAGGAAACACAGTCTAATGCGGACCCGATAGAACATGCTAGTCTTGTAGGACTTAGAAAGAAGATTGCTTTCGAAAGGCGCTGGAACGAGTAACGCGCGTGGTGGATTTGAATTCTGCCCGGCGTGGCCGTTCCGAAGTAGCTTGCTGGCGGGTGCCGTACCAGTGATATTTACCCTGCCTCTTCTAACCCTGGGCTTCCTGTGAAGTCCAAGTATATCCGCATGGTTTACATCTTACGGAGCCTTCTTCCTAAATGGGGCTGTGAAGGTGACCAAAGAAAAGCTTTGTGATGTTGAGTTTACACCGCCCGAAGTCAGTTATCGGCCAGCACATCAATTTACCCCCAAATAAATGGCGCATGACTGGCTGCTGGCGAGTGATTTGAAGCTGCTGTCTTAGATCCGCGCGTTTTGTCCATCTAGTTTCAAGATATTGTGATCAAGCCGTGTTGAAACTGACCTCGTTTGGCTTGTCCAGTACTGCACATCCACGCGAACAGATGAAAGAGGGATTAAGGGCCTGGTTATTTGTTTCCGTCTGCCAACTGAAGAAAGTACTCCTGAGACCCGGACGGCATGTGGCTTCTTCTTCCGAGACTACTAGTACTGTGTATGGCTGACTATGGGCTTCTGTGGGCTAAATGCCGACGGCTTCTTCTAATCCTTGCTTGCCGTTACGGAATGCACTGGAGGGTTATTGCTTCGTGATGGTTGTTTGGCGCAGTGAAAGGATCTATCATTCTCTCTCTGCACCCGCAAGTCGACAAAGCGTAACCATTGGAATGAGTTCATCTGAGACAAATGCCCCCATACCTGCGACAGTCTTTCGGCTACCGTCAGCGACCGATGCCGTGCGACACCTCCCCCTGTCTGGCGCAGATTGAGCTGTGGGGGCTGTTCCACTCAGTGTCCTAATCTGCGCCTTGCGGCTGAGGATTCCGGCAGGGTCCCCAGCATCAAGTGCCCTTTCTTGTAGAGCAACCGGCTGCGTCTTGGCAATGCGTTATAATGCCACCAATTCATAGGTGTTTGAGCGGCCAGTGTCTAACAAGTTTTCGGCATACGATTTTCGGTCTCGGCCCGTGGTGGTGTGCTGCGAAATGTGGCAACGGCAATAATGATGATCATAGAGCTCTGTGGTTCGTCGGGAACTGTTCATCACGCGGAGTGACCAGTAACACCGCAAGCGGAATTTTTCCCGCGTGGGTGTGGTGGTGGCCATCAGAGACACTCTAATCTTCTCTAGTGTATTCCCCTTTACTGACATTCCTTTCACGTTCACCTTTCTCCCAACTGGTTCAGTGACTGTCCCCTAGGTCGGATCAGCCCGCAAGGTTGTGAGATGCCCTCATCTTCGCCCCGCCTCTTATCTGCGATGCCCCAAATATATGCCCCTGCCGAAAGCCCCTCTGACTGTGTCTTCCCACCTCGTCACACCACTCGCAAGTCATGGCGTACGTGCAGCCCACTATAAACGGCACTCGGACTGTAGCGGGCGGTCACCCTGGGCAAGGTAGCTCACCAGCCGACCTGGACGAGACAACCGGTACCAACGGAGTCGATGATGATGACGATGATGACGACGATGACGATGAGGAAGAGGAGGAAGAGGAGGAGTGAGTTGTGGTGTTGATATCGACGGGTCACCAAGCTGACATCTTCAAGGGAACCTAAGGAGATGGATGAAGAGCTGGCAGAACAGTGAGTTCTGTGTATGACGATATAACCATGGCTGATCTTTGTACAGTGCGGTGTCTCTTGCCACGCAGTGGGTGCTCGCAAGGTGAGTTCACTTCCCCCATGCTCTGTACATTAAGCAGCTCAGATCATATTTGCAGCAATGGTCAACGTATTCTCTCGAGAATATCCCTCGTGAATCTTGGTGATGAACTGGTCAGTTCTGTGGCTGTCTTACATGTCATAATATACCGCTAAGCTGAAAGCTCAGCTGGATCGTTTCGTTCGACCGCCATCGACGGTAGAAATCGTAGATTATCGCTTAGTGGAGTCCGGTCTAAATGACCGTGACTTGTATGGGCGTGCGTAGTCTGCAAGCTGGCTGCCCTCTTCCCAGTTGACTTAGCAGCAGCACGGGCGATCGATTTCGAAGCCGCTCAGAGTATCATCTGGGAGAGACTTCAGGGTCGAATCCTGGTCGGACACCGGCTGTGGGAATCGCTTTATGTACGTTCTACTTCTAACTGATGGGCACGCAGATATGCTGACAAGGCGCTTGTATCCCTAGCTCCTGAACATACGGCACCCTCTCGTTTACACTCGTGATGTGAGCATCTCCAAGTCAGCTCTCTGTCCTGAATGATTGACAACAACAACTCGTGCAGCTCGCACTGTATCTACCGTTCCAACCATTGCTGACTCCCAATACTCCCCCGCCCCTAAATTCACCCAATACACCCGATATTATTATTTGCCCCCTTCCCCAGCTAACGCGCAGGATGCTTGCCCCACATTGGTTACCAGTGGGGCCTCGGGTGGATCCGGTGCGTGAATGTGTTATCAACAAGTTCTTTTCATGTCCATGCTCATCCTGACTCTTCAGACCGAATACGCGGAAGCGCAGATGCTGCTGTATAGGAGGGAACGGCAGCGTTGGGAAGACTGTCTTACTCGGGGAATCCCGATTTCCGCACCTCCACCGACCCAGTTTAGGAACGAAGAACAGAACTTCTATCTCTGATCCACCCGTTTGTCCGCAAGCCGTCAAATAGAGTACTCGTAACATTGTTTTGTAACCCTTGTTGTAACAATGTGACCGGGCTTCTCTCCCGGGCTTCCCTGAGCGAGTTCGATTCTCAAACTTATAGTAATGGGAGGGTCAAATGATATCCGCTTGATTTAGGAAAACGCCGGCTGTCCCCATACATTAAGCGTGGCCATTAAGGCAAGATTTCGCGGATTGTGCGAGATTAGCTTTGTTTTCAGCCGGCGAAAAGGCCGTACAACATACCTAACCATATGAATTACATAGTTTATTGCATTTGTGAGTATAGAAGTGGGATCATAATAGGTGCCATGTCTATGCGATAGCTTCCTGAAATGATTGCCGCTTCTTCATCACCGGCGGTACCTTTTTCCCTATCAGCATTGCGCCTTTGAGGAGCTAATTGAGAAGCACGCACCAGAGTACGCCCTTCCTATTCTTTCGCATCTTGCGCTGCAACTGCAGCATGCCGTACAGCAGTGCTTCCGCACTGACGTAAATGTCAGATATACCGAGAACAGTGCAGGCCCGCACAGCACAACTTACGTAGGCGGACACCCTGGAACATAGATATCCACGGGCACAATACCTGCATATAAGTTAGGCACTCCGAATAGGTGATTCCAGGGCGAACGCACGATCGCAACCCCGGACCACAGAGTACGAATAATGGTAGTACCCGCCACCATTAGCACAGGATCCCATAGAGATAACCCACCCTATAAGGCTACATCAGCAGATATCCTCACTTCCAGTAAATGACACATACGAGGTTCAGGCATCTGATCGTACACTTTTCTCAGAGCAGGTGCCATTTTGTTCGTCAACGTGCCGGCGACAATCATAATATCACTTTGCCGGGGCGACGCACGGAAAACTATTCCGAGACGATCCTGATCGTAGCGAGCGGCAGCCATGTGCATCATCTCCACGGCGCAGCAGGCAAGACCTTACATACCGTAAGAAGCAGATTGATGCGCTGACGACGGCTACCTTACCGAATGTCATCGGCCACATGGAGCCCTGACGAGCCCAATTGGCAATTTTATCGAAAGTCGACAGCACATACTCTAAATGAGGTTTAGAATAGCTGCTACGATGCTAATGATAGACCACACTGCGCACCAGCAGCATTCCTAGGAGTTTCCAAGCTCAATTGATTGCTCCCTTGTTGAGCGATCTCAATTCCGCTGGATGCCTTTCCCGAGCCAGAAGGTATCGCGGCTTTCGGCTCACTCTGCTGAACCTGTGCGGTCGCAGATGCCGACGATGTTGTCTGGACACCACGAAGTCCTGTTTGGTATTTGAGATATGAACCATGGAACAGCCAAGTATATGCTCACCATGGATGCGGACTGTAGAGGTAATTCCACGAGCCGTAGGACGCACTTATTTGACAAATCAGAATACTCATGAATCCTTTATCACCCAGTATTCATACCTATATGGCCCAACAGAGCCGTGCGCATTGCAGACATGGTGGTGAGCAGCGAGTGCAACGAAGACGGCGCGGTGAGAAAGGCGACTTCGGTGATTGGCGGGGCCAGAAGCTCCCGTACGCCACCGATGTACCCTGGTTCCTACGACCACCATCATCTCCTGGTCCAAATGTTTTTGACCGCTTTATCTCAACGTTTCGCCCACTTTATCTCAACTTGCCGCCCAATCGATCGAGCACTGAAACCTCGCATCTAATACGATACTACGCGATCAGGGTGTCAAAGAGGATCGAACTTGAAATGCAATTCCGCGCTATATTTTTTTCGGTTTAGTACTTAGAAATGGACATGAGGATACCTGGGCGTGGGCAAAAATATGTTATACAGATGGTTCGAAAGCTGTTCTCGAATGATAATATGAAACTGAAAGCTGATCATCCTTGCTCTGTGTCACCGACGGTACCTGAGCGACCATAAGCAACCTGTTTCAGCATACAGCAACGTTTGTTGACGTACCACAATGTTGCTTTCCTGGATTTTCTCATCTTCCGGTGCAGCTGTGCCAGACCATACAACAATGCCTCAGCCCTGCACGAATGATGAGTGAATATCATCCTTGTCTCGCAGGAGAATTCACGTACGAAGGTGGGCACCCCGGCACGTAGATGTCAACTGGGACAATACCTGGAACATGATCAACACCGAGCATCACAGCACTTCCTGTTGGCTTACGATCACATCCTCTGACCACCGAGTACGAATAATGGTAATACCCTCCTCCATTTGCGCATGATCCCATGGAGATGACCCACTCTGTAGCAAATCAATGATCAATCTCCCGTTCTCTGCACGTTTCCGCTTTGACAAGACGCACTCGGCTCCGGCATCTGGTCATAAAGCTTCCTCAACGATGGCGCCATCTTGTTCGTCAATGTCCCAGAGATGATCATGACCTCGGTTTGCCGTGGACTCGCACGGAACATGAAGCCAAACCGATCCTGGTCATAGCGAGGTCCGGCAATATGCATCATCTCCACACCACAACATGCAAGTCCTCAAGTCACGCCGTTACTAGCTTGACTTTTGCATGCAACAAAAAACGCTTACCAAACGTCATCGGATATGTCGACCCAACACGGGCCCAGTTGGCGATCTTGTCCAGGGTAGACAAAACCCATTCTAAGAGCATTGTCTCAGAAGAGCACGAGATGCATCTAATACCACAACCAACCTGCACTGTTTCTTGGCTTTTCCAGACTGGACTGGTTGCTCCCCCGTTGAGCAATATCTATGCCAGTGGAGAAGGGAGGGCTAGACACAGTCTCTCCCAAAGGCATTGTTTGCAAGCCACGGACTGAACCAACGCGGGTCGCATTTACAAAGGCACGTTTGGAAACCATAGCCAGTACTGAGACTGGTCAATGTTTATCATGTTACGTGCTAGACGCTCAGCCAGGGCATACCTACAGAGCGTCCGATCATGTTGCGAGCTGCCATCTGGAGAGCAAGTCAAAGGGCAGCAGTGGTGGAAAAGAGAGGCGCGTTGTACGCGATTTCGCCCCGTTCTAAAGCACAAATACAACGAGAAAGCCAGCCATTCATCCAGCAGCGGCCATCATCCGCACCGATCCGGTATCCTACCGGCTCTTCCCGTATGCCCAAGCCCAACAAGCGCCGTATTGTTTGCTCAAAGAATGGTCTACTAGTGTGTCGAAATAGACTTTACAGACGGTCAGGCCACACAGGTGCACCTCATGACGCCGAGGAGGCACCGCTACTCGGGCCGAAATCCCTTGCCGTTCTTACGCTCAAACTGCTGTCGGCAAAGCCAGGGCTGGGCGGGCGACATCTCGGTGCATTACGATAGTCCGGGGGAGAAGGGCCCGATGCTCACAGCTCGGGCCCCGCATTAGGTAACATTTGGCGCCCTCGGATTAGGGGCACGACAAATAGCATGGGTCTGCTGGTACCAAGCTGGTGTGGGGTTGCGATCATGGTTCCATTAGGGCGGGGAAGGGGTGGAGAGTGCCGGAACACAGATCCTAATTCTCGCGCCCGAGTCGTTCCGAAACTCCAAAGCTTGTTTCTTTTGGTCTGCAACTTTCTGATTTTGGAATGTTTGGCGTAGTATGGCACCGAAGATAGCCCGCCAGAGTTGCCTAATCATTTCCGTATTTCCTCTTGCCTAAACAACAAAAAAAAACATGTTTCGGAGCATATATGCCTCCAACCATCCACCGTTGACAAACTCAAACCAATTCCTCACAATTGGGGAATCTGCACCGCGACTCCAACCTCCCCTTCCCCATACCTTACGATCTCGCAGTCCAGTCCTTCGCTCTTCGTCCCAATCTGCGTCTCGATGCACGCAAAGTCGATCGCACTGCCTAGGACACACATCGGGTGGTCTAGCTCCCACTCAGAAAACGTTTAAACACGGGAATGGAGGGACGTACGCCAGGTGTTCTGGTTATACATCACCCCCTGTGAAGTGGAGGCGACGAAAGCCTTGAGAGTGCTCAGATTGGGCTTATCGTCTATCCCAACTGCTCAGCTCCAGTAAGATCAAGTTAATTAACACTCACCCTCCCCAGTTTCCGCCACAGCAACAAGGTAGTACCCATTCGGGGAGAGCGCCTCCTCTCCCTCCGGATGCGCCGTTCTTCCCATAGGGATAAACGCCTGGTTCGTATGAGGATGTCTCTCCAGCACCTTGACGGGCCAAGTCGCTCCGAGCACGGCGCCCTCCGCTGGTGTACTCCTGTACACGCTTATGCCCGTGAAGGCGGCGCTTCCTTCAGGGTAGGAGGAGGTGATTGGAGCAAGTCGGTGGTACTTCACTGCGGTGCCGCCATTAGCTAGGGTATGGACGATGCCTTCCGGTGCGTTCGCCGGGTCCGCCCAGGCCTGGAGGACCTGCCCGAAGGGGGCAAAGGCTGCGCTCGTAAGGGGTTCGGCAGGGATAGTGCGTACTTCTGACGGCGCAGGAAGGGCAGGAAGTGCGGGGAGAGCTCTGGATAATGAAGGCGGCGGGTAACCGGGGACGTATCGCGTCCCTGTGAGACGAACGCGTTTCATCCCCCCGTCTGAGAGAAGTCAGCACGCGCTGGTAAAGGGCAAGGGAACGCATACCGGGGTGCATCACTACCTTTACGTGCGAATATACTTGCCCCTCCACGTTCTCTAGCTTGAAGAAATGTTGTTTGTTTGGGCCTGTTTTCGTGCGGGGGAGGATGGTTGTCCAGGTAGCGTCTTCTTCTGGTACCACCTGCACAACACGTCTGAGTTCCTGCCAGGCGTACTGGGCGAGGAAGGGCATACAGCATCACTGGACGTCGCAAGCAACTCCACGCTTTCCGGGAAGTTGCCGATAAAGAAAGCAGTGTCAACCTCCGCCTGGGTGAGGTACCCCGGCGCCCCAAGCCTAATCACCGCCCACTCCGTATGTCCCTTTTCTCTGCTCCGCCTCGTCTCCCACCCATCGCGCATATCATACCCTCTCCCAGGGAGGAGGATATTGCTCGCTCTTGAGAAATGGGCGTCGGAGACGCTGACAACCTGCCCACCTGAGAGGACGTGCGCGAGGTCCAAGGGGGTTTGGGGATTGGAGGGGAAGAGAGGGGAGACGCTACCGTACGCTCGGAAACGGGCGATCCCACCGTCGGGGTATTGCGAGAGCTTGAGGTGGGTATATGGTCCGGAGGCGGACGGCAGGAGGAACAGGTGGCGGGAAGAGGGGCCGAGCGACGCTTTGGGGAGGATCTCGACCCACTAAGATTTCCGCCCGAGAAACATCAGTACTTAATCAGAGGGCTGGAACAACGAGCTGTAGAGCTTACATCCTCGTCCTCCGGTCCGGGGATCTTCCCATCGTTGCTATAAAACCCATGTACGCTAGCAGCAGGCGCCTCGTTCCCATTAAAGTGCGCCGTATCGAGGTCGAACCCCAACACCGTCCCCGGTGCACCGAGGGCAATTACGACCCAGTCATGGGCGGGGTTATGCCTGCGTGTCTCCCAACCGTCGAACAAAGACCCTTTGGGTCCGAACTGACCTTTCAAGCTCGCCGAGGGCTGTGGCATGCATGGTCAGATGTGTTTCGGGTTGAAAGTGGATAGGGGCACACCTCGATTTTGAGCAGGTTGGACGCGTCGGCAAAGAACTCGTCTGAGAAGGAAAGGACCTTCCCGCCCAGAGCGACTGAAGAGAGCTCTGTTGTCCCTCCGAACACTTCCTGGAATTTGTCCAACGGAACGCGTTCATGAGCCATCCTTCTAGATATAAGAAGATGTGCTACGATTCAAGCACGAGTTGATTAACGTCAAGAGTGCAGACAGTGCTATGAGTCGTGCGTGCGGTAAGGTAGTGAAGTTTTGTAGAAAACACGGGTAACGCTGGTACCGGTGCCAGGGAGACTGCGGTGGATTGCAACGCCGAGCAGAGGAGGAGACCCTTGCGGCCGCGCCGAGGGGATCGGAGCTAACGTTCCGGCGGTGGAGAGAGCACACACCGCACCCAGCATGTTCCTATATTTGTGTCGCTGGTCAAAATGTGTGTAACAGACCCTCTGCCTGGAAAGTCACACCACCGGCCCGCATCGACCATGATGACCCGCGGGGAAGAGTGGGCCACGGGTGTGGAAATGGAAGTCTGTGATTGGCTAATGGAGATTTATCATACGCTGTGCCGACAATCACGCGCCGAAGAACAAAGAGAAATCACATGCTTGTGAGGGCGTGATTGATCGTTTTGGGCGCCTTCGATGAACGGCGGAAAGGGATTAGGCGGGTGTTCACATCTTGTCTCCCCTGTCTCTCCCCCTTGGATACATTAAATCACCACTCTCTCTCTCCTCTCTTCTTGTATCATTATCCTTCTTACAGTCTAAACATCGCATACTACAATGATTGACCATCTACTGGGACGTCCGAGTGACGCCTGGAAGCGCACTCAGGCACGCCATCTCATTTCGTGTACCCATCAACGCTGACACACAACGCAGGTGTTCATCGTCCTCAGCTTCTGGATATCAGTCCTCCTACAGGGGAATCGCGGCGGGCCGCGCTTTCTCTGGATACGTAGGTTCAACAGGCTCTTACAAAGTACGTCTCTTCAACCTTCCAGCCTTCCACACAAGTCTGATGATGACCCTGCCAGAGCTATTTACTCCATGGCAGATCATCGTCGGCGCGTTCACGGGACTATACGCTGTGAGGCACTTTGACGCTATCGTCGGTCTCGCCGCACCGGAGCCTCTAGCACGAATGGTGCGCCTCTCCTCTTCACAATGTTCATGAACTGACCAGCCTTTCTCGATCATAGTATTCGAGAGCCTACTACCGTGCTACGTGGATTGCTACATCCCTCGATGCTGGATTTGCCACTGCGATACCCATTCGGCCCAAGTGGGTGCGGGAGATCGCCCAGGTCGTCCTCGGGGTGTACTACATCTTCTACGCCAACGAGGCGGACGACAGGGTACGTCTGAGGTGGATTGACTTATGTGACCAGGTGCTGAATTGTTGTCAATGATGATAGTTGAGAAAGTTCAGAGCCGTGTGCACCGTCGAGATGCTTCGAGCGACGTGGGAGAAGACAGGGAACCCTTATGTGTGTCCCTCTCCATCACACATCAGCTCTGACTAACATGGCCATAGCTCCGTGCCTTCACCTTCTGGGACCGTCCTTCCCTGCCTCTTGTCCGCCATGTCGTCCTCCCCCGTCCTTCTACCTCGCCTCACAGGAAACCTATCCGCGCTACGTTGTTCTATAATGGGACGCCTGAGCAGCTCAGACAAGCACGCGACCTTATACTTGACTTCCCTGGTGGGGGATTCATCTGCCTCGGACCGGAACATCATGAAGAGCGACTGAGGAGGTGGGCACGGAGGACCGGGAAACCTATCCTTAGTGTGGACTACGGTAAAGCCCCGGAATGTGAGTGTGCTTACTCTGACGCAACGTACGAGGGACTAATTAATGTGTAGATCCGTACCCATGGGCACTCGAGGAGGGCTTTGACTGCTACCTCACGCTTGTCCAGACTAAGGGAGTTACCATCGGCATGGCGGGCGATGAGCTCAGCATGATCCTGACGGCCGATTCTGCGTGCGTCTCTTCCTCTTCTGCTCGCTCCATCTCTCACATCGGCTTCATGACAGCGGGGCGAACATCGTCAGCACCGTAATCTATCGAGCTATTGAAAGCTCCTTCCCTATACCTCTCCCCCTAGCGGTAGTGTTCAACTACGCCGCCCTCGACTTCGGCTTTGGCGCGTGGATGTCCCCGGCCCACCTGAGGGTGCTGAGGGAAGAGCAGTCCTCGACGCATATCCCCGGGTTGGAAGAACAGAAGAACCACCTGAATCATCGGTCGCCCCTCAGCGTGGTGAAGGACGACCGCAAGCATAGGCGCAAGAAGTCCTGGAGGGATACGCTGGTATTCCGCCCCCAAGGACAGAAGAGTGTCAGTCCCGAAGGGGATAAGCATATTCCCGCTGTTGTACTGCGCGCCATTGCAGATGGTCCTGATGGAGGAGAGGGGGTGCTGGCGGATACGGAAGAAGATACGGGGACGGGGAACGACACCCCTGAAGATGAGCGGCCGATCCAGGCGCGCATCAAGGTCCCCGCTAAGGATGCCCCTGGGGCGAAGGAGGAGAAAGGGAAGAAGAGGACGAAGAAGGCGCCTATTGGGACTCGGCTGACGATGACCAGCCGGACTGGATTTTTCCAGGATAGGATCATCTCGCCTAGTATGGTATGTCATCTCGGTCATCGTACTGGTGGAACCTGGCTGAGTCAGCGTAGATGCGAGCCATGGCCATCCTGTACATTGGTAGCAGGCACAACCCGGACTTCTCGACCGACTATTATATCTCCCCCATCCTCGCGCCTAACAACCTGCTGGAGAAGTTCCCGCCTTTGCTCATGACGTGTGGAGAGAAAGATCCCTTCGTCGACGATACGGTTATCTTTGCTGGCCGGATCCGGGAGGCCAAACGGGCGAGGCGGGTCGCATTGCGTACTGCTTCCCTTAACAGGGACGGATTCTTTGGTGAAGGGCTACGCATGACCTCCAAGTCTGAGCAGGCGAAGCTCCTTGAGGAGAAGGAAGAAGACTGGGTCCAGACGCATATCTACGAAGGCTGGAGCCATGGGTACATGATGATGACCGCGCTTATGCCTTTTGGAGCGACGGCCGCGATCTACCAGAACGCGGACTGGATGCGCATGATGTTCGACAAACATGAGCTGCGCCAGGTCGCGGCTGCCGAAGCGGCTGTTACTGCTACTCAGCCTCGTGCGGAGAGGACTACGCGCTCAGAAGAGGCGGATGGGGGATACCCCCTCGGCTCGGAGAGCTCGAGCGAAGAACTCCTCGAATTTGCGTCGAGCAAGAAACGCCGCTTGTCCTCTCTGTCCTCTGCTCGTACGGCCAAGCCCGCCCTCGCACGGCACTCAAGCAGCGCTAGCAGGCTCACAATCTCCGACGAGGGGAGCGTCACTGGTCCCAGTACACCCGCGACATCCGTAGGGTCATCATTCGGCGTCGACGGCGCGCTGAAAGGCGTCCGCTCAGCTTCGCTCTCTTCTGACCGCCCTGCAATGGGGAAACGCACCACGGAGCTGAGGTCCAGCCCCCCTCTGCGAGCAGAACTAATGCAAATGGTGGGCCGGGTCACTGCTCCCAACGTGGTGGTGAACGAGGCCGAGCTTATGCGGAGGCGGAGAGAAGAGGCTGTATTTGGCTTTGAGACTCATCACTTTTCTGATGTGGAGGATGAGACGCTTGAGGTGTTCTGAGCCTCAAGCATTGGGTGGGAAGATATACCCCTTGTATACTAACTTATTCATGGCGCTGTACCTCAATCTACCACCTACGAAGCAGACGGTATTACATATTGTTCAATGTAGTGTTTTATTCTCGGAGCGCTGTTATCTGCTTCGTCGAGTACTTTTGGGAGGATTAGATCGGGGAATATTTCGTTCAGTTCTTGTCCCTCGTCCTTCGCTCCAGTATATGGAATCGGTGTTTCTGCGGCACCCACACAGATGGCCATCTCCAGGTGGCCACAAAGGCCCGATCTTGAAATAAGAACTCCGGTGTCTGTGCAGTGGGTGTGCAGTGGATGTGCCTATCAGCACTGCAATGAGGGATGCGCACAGACGGTCGTGGTGCCCGTGAGGCAGTGAAGCGAGCCCGGGTGGGACCCCTGGTGGAGCACCCTTGCCACCCTTGCCGAGAAAATTGTTGCCGGCGCCGTCGGAGGACGCGTCGATGTAAACAAACGTGTTTGTCAGAGATTGGTTTATTTGAGAAAAGCTTTAGAGTTAGTTGGTAATTATGAAGTGTATTTTCCGCTTAGAGTTTCGGATTTTTCCGGTTGTGAAGGGAGGGAATTAGAGTGCTAGCTGATCGTACGTCATCAACCCTTGTCAGCAAGCGAATTTGGGGTCCTCGGTGGCGTGACAACAAGATCAACACCGGTAGCGCAAGGCTGTGTCAGCGGGACGAGCGGGAACAAAACAGAGTCGGGGTTTGCTTAGCCCCTTAGTGTGCATCTCTCTCATCAACTTTCCCCCCCAGCCTCTTGCACATCCACAGCCGCCTCTCTGCCCTTTTAACATCCCCCGCTCTCCGCTGCTGCACCGACACAGCCGCTGCTTGTCCCCGTCGACCATCTGCTCCTCGACTGTCTTCCATTCCACACCTTCTATTCCTTCAACAGTTCTCTCCAACCTTTCAATAACCAGAAGTCAAGGTTGGGCAAGTCTCTTCCGCCACTGGGAATCCCTGAACTGACAATGAGGTGCGCATACAATTAGGGCTCGTGCTGTGCTCATACTGATCATTCTTAGTACTCTCGTCGCGCCTCGTCCTCCAGTGTCTAGGAATAAGAAGAAAATGGCTTCTCCCCGCGAAGCCACTCCCGCCGCACCTGCCACTAACGCCGTTGAGCCGAGCGAGAACCCCGCTCCTCCAACCGCTGCGGCTCCAGCTGCGGCGCCTGATCATCCTGCTCCTCAGCAACCGGTTGCAGTCCCTGGCTCCTCCGAACGATCGACCGTAGATTCATCCGCTCCTGCAGCTGTCCTTCCCCCTGCTGCCATCCCCGGTCCTGTGCCCGGCGCCGTTCCTGGTGGTCCTCCTGGCCCACCGCCCCACCCGAACGCAGTTTGGGTTCCCGGTCCTCCACCTGTCTACCCTTATCCTCATCCTGCTTATCCCCCTTTTCATCACCCATCTGCCTATCCCCAGGGACCACCTATGGCCTATCCGCAGTATCCACATCCCTATCCGTCCTATGCTTATGGTCCTCCCCCTCCTCACCCCGGAGTTCCCGTGCATGAAGGGGAGCAGCCTGCACACGATCCGAATGCGGCTCCTGTGGCGGCCGCACCGAATGGTACTGCGCAGAGTCCAGGGCCTGGAGGCAAGAGCCCGGGCCCGGATGCGAATGGTTTCCGCGGGGGTTCGCCCCTCCCACGGCTGCCGCCAATCCTCCCTGTGGAGCGCAGGCACGTTACCACCTCCGCGACTCAGCTTGCAAGCCAGAGCAGGCGAAGAAGCGATGCCCCCTTTGTATGCAGCGTTCCTGGTTGTGGATCTACTTTCACGCGTCGCTTCAACCTGAGAGGTGGGTATTCCCGATATATGTTGATAAATCTGCTGACAACTATGACCCAGGTCACATGCGTTCTCATACGGAAGAGAGGCCTTTCCTCTGCGAGTACGGATGTGGCAAGAGCTTCGCACGTCAGCATGACTGCAGGCGGCATGAAGCGTTGCACCAGAAGACGCAAGCTTATGCCTGTGCACACTGTGGGAAGTCTTTCTCTCGGATGGACGCGCTGAATCGTCATCTGCGCTCTGACGGTGGTGCCGAGTGCCGAAAATACGTTCAACCTGGTGCTGCAGCTGTCATCACTGCTCCTGGTGCTGGCAGCCGCGCATCCCGAACCAAGCCTGTCCCGCCTGGTCAGAAAACGGTCAACCCTCCTCTCCCCTCCCATGCACACATAGATGTGGATGCGATCGTTGCCGCGGAAGTTGCCGCGATTGCATCAACGATAGAAGCCGCTGGCCAACAGGCGGTCCCACCTGACCGAGCTGCCCTCCCGCCACCCCTTGCACCAGCTCCTGTACCTGCCGCACCAGTGGACAACACTGATGCGCAGAGTGATGGGAGCGGCTACCGCGAGTGACCTGAACTATAGGAGTACCTAATCCGGATTTTCTGTTGTGTCTGGCCGATGATGGACACCACTGTGTGCATTCCTTTGAGGATATCCCTTCTTTGCGAGCCTGAGTCTCCTCCTAGCCCTTCCGGTTGTTCCAGTTCTCTGACTTGTCTTGTCCCTCTGTGCTCTCTGAGCGTGTTATATAACTAGTGAAGAATGTAGTTTATTATCAAAATGACTGGTGCCTGTGGCTAAGTTCATTATTCATTTGACTGGTGCAGTCTAAGGGACGTTAATGAAGCGGCTGTGAATACTTGACATCTGAAAGCTGTTGATCGTGTGGCTAAGAAACCCAAACTGAAAGAGGCCGAGTGGATGTGCAGTGGCTGAAAGAACAAAGGAGCATGGTGAAAATGAGAGGTAATTCCTCCGATGACCCCTTTCGGGCGCATTTTGCCTACCATGACCCCTGGGGTGCAAATCCCTGAAATGACCCTAAGGCCTGCCCTAAGCAACTACGGACCTTCTAATTAAGGAAAATGGTGGTAGCAGATCAAGATGCGCTAGGGTCCGGTCTCTTCATGTCGGTTTATAAAGCATATTCCGACAATTAATTCGCAAGCTTTGTCTTGTTTTTTCATTAGTTATGTTACAGTATATAAATTAATTCTGCATGGATGCCTCGTATAATAATTCACCGATTTTCACCATCGTAAACATAGGTGAGGAAACACCGCACTTTTACGGCAAGGTAATAAATTTTGCAGCAGTTCTTGAAAATAATAGATACCATACACAATGCCAACCAGCTTGTCTTTTGAAAAAGGTCTGTTCTGATAGCAAAACATCACAAAACGCATCGTTGGATTCACCGGAGACATGCGCTTCTATTGCCACAGCCACTGCTTTCCTTATTTGGTTACTTAGGGGCGGCATTTGGGGTCATTTCAGGGATTTGCGCCCGAGGCGTCATGGTAGGCAAAATGCGCCCGAAAGGGGTCATCGGAGGAATTACCTCGTGAAAATGAATGTTGAGAAGAACGACGAAATCACGCGCTACTCGGCTCCGGGTATCAGGGGCGAACCCCGATCGTGTGCGGCGTTTGCTGACAGCGTGGGTTGATGTAGAGTCCACCTCGACAAGTCCACCTTTCATCCACTTTTTGCAAGCTTATTTCACGTCCACTTTTGAGAGGGTGGTAATTGGGATCTACTTGCTCGGAATTAGGGAAGGAACAGGAAGGGGAACGGCGCATTGTCCTTTTGTGTCTGGACTATTCTCAAGACCTCCATCTACTCCATCGAGCGCGGACTAGAGATACCCGACCACCCTAACTCATACATAAAACGCCAGCACCCCACCTGCATTGCTCATTAACATACCACATGTCCTCCCTCTCCCAACTGGTCAACTCCGCGGAATGCGGTCCTTCGAATCCCCTGCAAGGCCTGACAAAGACCTTCGACCGGGATCGTTCTCTTACCCAGGTGCGTTGACCTCCCCATACCAGCTTTTTCGCTTTCCGGTACTGGTACTGATGCTTGTAATAGGATGTAAATACATCGAGAGCAGCTCCTTCGAGGGGGCCTTTCTGGAGTGTGGTGCAAAATCCGCAGATGGACGACAAAGCAGCCGCCTTCTTCGCCGCTCATGGTCCAGCATCGCTGGCAACCCCACCTCAGGCTCAGCAGCAGGCGTGGAATTTGGAATCTATGTGCCGTGCATTGCCTCAGCAGCTACCCCAAGTGAATGGTCCTGTTTCTGGGGGATGGGCGCAAGACTTTATGCGTTCCCCAGCTTCTCAGAGATCGGGCATCCATACTCCTGTGCTCTCACCCCCGCTGCAGACTCAGGAAATGTCTATCCGATCGCTGGGTAAACGTCCGGAGCTAGCTCCTGCGTGGGTGCAGGATTTTGGCAAGGCGTTTGAGCAGGCTGAGAAGGCTGCTCCTGCCCCTGCGCAGGTTGGGATGATGATGGGAGGACCGATGTCGATGCAGGGGCAGGGGCAGTTCGGGGGATGGTATGGACCTGAAACTCAGGGTACGTAGCGATTGGAATGAGAAGGAGGAAACTGACGCCGTACAGGGATACCCATTGGGCCAATGGTACAAAACCCTGTTTTTCCGATTGCCGCGTCTCCCCCTTCCACCTCAGCCCAAACATCCGTCCCCGCCCAAGCTGTATCCGAAGCGCAGCAGCGCGAGCGCGTCCTAGAAGCGGATGACCTCGCAAGCACCGCGTCTCTCCTGCTAGACTCTGTCCGGACGGAGACGAACCCTAAGTTCAAGAGTTCCGCATTCATGAATCTCATGCACCAGTTCAAGGACCGAACGGCCGTCGTGGAGGGTAACGAAATAGTTATGGTGGACAGGGAGGGTCAGAGTCAGCTGAAAGTGGGGCAAGACGCTACACAGAGGGAGGGGGAGGCGTCCTCCACCTCCACCCCTGGTTCACTCTCTTCTGCCTGGGCTCGGGGGGAAGACGTTCTGGGCCAAGCAAAGAACGCGTTATTCCACTCCTCCGCCGTTCCCACGGTCCAACCAGCGAACGTGTCAACGCAGGAAGAATCGTGGCGCTCAGAGCCGAAGGTCGCTGCCGCTCTGTCGGGGATTGACCCTACTTGGGCACAATGGGCGAATCTTATGCCCCAGAATTCAGAGAGTGTGGTGCAGATGTATCCCGAGATACTCCAGACGAGCGCCGAGGATTGGCATGAGTATCGTGCTCAGCTGGGACAGGAAATGCCTCAGAGGGAGGCAGAGAGTGCGTTTTCTCTAAAGGATATTTGCCCGGAGCTGATAGATGTGCATACAGGTTCGTTTAAGGCTCAGGAGCGCGAGTGGAATACTCTCCTCAGTCAGTGGGGTGAGTTTGAGGCGGGGAACGAGGAGGTACAGCACACAGGAGCATATCGTTTCCAGGAGGACAACCCCTATACCCGTGGGCAGCGTATGACACGACATCACGCACTGCACACTGGAGCCGATTGGGCGAACCTCACAGCAGAGGTAAGTGCACTCCCCATGCTTTCTGCTTCTAGCCAGTCTGCTGAGCTACGCAACCTCGCTCACCAGACTGTGCTGGAGAAAGAGGCTGCGGTTCAGCGCGATCCTACCAACGCTGCTGCGTGGTACGAGCTCGGTGTGAAGCAGCAAGAGAACGAGAGAGAGCAGAAGGCGATCCAAGCGCTTCAGAGAGCGGTCGAGCTCGATCCGGAATACATAGACGCTTGGCTCGCGCTTGCCGTGAGCTTGGTGAACGAAGCCGATAGGCGTCAAGCGTACGATGCGATCGAGGCTTGGATCGAGCGGAACGCGCGCTACCGCGGGACGCAGAAACCTACGAGCACGGTAGCGAGCAACACCCAGAAGATGGCAGAACGCCAGGACTTGCTCATGCGTCAGCTAATCGCGATGGCATGTGACGTCCCTGAGGGAGAGATCGATGCGGACGTACAGATTGCCCTGGGCGTGCTGTTTAATATCAACGAGGATTATGAGAAGGCAATCGACTGCTTCCATGCGGCCTTGGGCGTCCGCCGAGAGGTGGGTTCACTTCATACCTGATTTGAAAAAAAGCCTAACTCTGTGGGGCAGGACTGGCAGTTGTACAATAGGGTCGGGGCGAGCTACGCTAATTCTGGAAATCCGGAGAAGGCGCTTGAGTATTACTATCGTGCTTTAGAGCTTAATCCTGGCTACATACGGGCGAGGTACAACCTCGGAATCGCTCAGATCGGGCTAAAAGTGCGCTCTTCTATCCTCTGTAGACCATCAGCATCTGAGCAGGTCCTGCAGCACTACACCGAGGCGGCGCAACATATCCTCGACGCGCTTGTGCTGCAAGAAAGCGAGTCTGAATCCTCCCGCTCCGGGCCAGGAAGCACAAAAGGCGTAACAGGCTCCACGCTCTGGCTCGGCCTGCGCAACGCTAGCGCGAAGTTACGTCGACCGGACTTGGTGACGCTGTGTGATCAGCAGGATCTGGAAGGTGAGTGAATTTTCCCGCTCCGACCGATGCGAAGTCTGACGAAAGGCACAGCTTATAGAATTTACTTTGCCCCACTGGTCGGGCAGAACCAAGCGGTTATGTTTTGATTTTGTTGGGATCTTGACTAATGGAAGGAGAGCGCAATTGTATACTATGCAATTATCCATGTTACCTAATTTACTAACCGGTACCTCTTCTGGACTGATTGAGCCTTGTTGTTGATGCAATTTATTCCTTCCTCGGTACCCGCTGACATCAAGCCCCGGCGATGTACATCCATCTGCCCCCCAATGAACTATAAATCACATGCAGATATGTATGCGCAGTCAGATGGAAAGTGCCGAGGACCGACGTTGGTTTCGGTTCCTTCTCCCTTGAAGTTTCTTTCTCGCCCAGGGCGGCCGTGACGAAGACCCTACATACGTAGGCCGTGTGAGCCGCCTCCGCACCGGCATCACCTCCAACGCCTTACCATCTCCGTCGGGCTCCCCATCACTGCTTTATCCCCTGCGAACCAACTTCTATTCCTAACCCTCACCCCCTGCAGGAGCTATATCTTATTCCTTGCCGGAATACACTAGGACAATATGAACAAATCACGTATGGCAGTCGCGAGTCGGACCGTCTTCGAGGCACTCGATATCGAGGGCGACGAAGATGAGACGGGATATGGATCGGACGTGGAGGACTCCCCTGTCGAGGAGAAGTGTGTTGCATACGTCTTCCCCCTGTCTTCGCGCGTTACTCACCACTTCCAGACCGAGCACATTACATGTTCAACCCCCACATTCCGCCCACCCACCTCCAACCCCAATACTCTCAAAAAAGGCTGCAAAAAAGGCTGCACAGGCTGCCAAGGCCGCTGCTGCCGCTGCCGCATCCTCCTCTGCTCCAGCACCAAATTCCCTTCTCAATGAGCCTCCAGTCCACCTGCCGGTTTCGGGTGTGGCTGATCCTACTCCTTTACCGGCGACATCTCCGGTCGCCGCACCTGCTGTCCCTGCCCAGCCGACGACGAACGGTCTCCGACCAGCAGGCGGGGAGGAGATGCGTCTTCCCGAAGTGGACAAACTCCTCGCTCCTCCGCCTCCTGACAACAAGACTGTGATCTATGACATCCCCAGGACTCCCACACCTCCACCTCCTGCACCCCCTCCCGAGCTCTTCGAAGAAATCAATCACAAACCCAAACCTCTTGCGATGGAGAAGCTAAAAATCAACGTGATCCTTCCTTCCCAGTCACCAGCGAGTGCTGGTATGCTGCAAAGCGCCTTCCCGCTCTCACCGCGCAGGGCGCGCACAGACTCTCACAGCAGTGCTCATCCGCACCTGAACGGAAACGGCACGGCGCACAAGCGCGGGTCGTCCACTTGCCCCACATCCGCCACACGATCTCAAGCCCAGGGCTACGCATTGACACCTTCTACCCTCCGTATGAGTCAGAAGATGCGTGAAGCTTCCGCACCTCCCGGCGGCGAGCGGACGAAGAAGATCCGCAGCATCATCGTCCGCACAATGACGACGTTTATCATGCTCGCGTTGTTCTTCCTTATCATGGCGGGTGGGACGCCGTTTGTCGTCATGCTCGTGCTGGTGTGCCAGGCACTCGTCTACAGGGAGGTTACGGCGCTATTCGAGTTCACCGCGCATGCAGGGAGTAGACCGATCGAGGGCAAAGGCGCGGAGAAGAGTGAGGACAGGTGGAGCAAGACGCTCAATTGGTACTTCTTCGCGGTCACAAATTATTTCCTGTATGGGGAATCGCTTATCCATTATTTCAAGGTGTGCTGTTCTTTCATTAGTTTCTGGTTGATCAAGACACTTATCGAGTTAGCACGTGGTCTTCGCAGACGCTTGGCTCACACCGTTCGCGACCAATCACCGGTTCATCAGCTTCATGCTCTACATGATCGGCTTTATTGGCTTTGTCTCCAACCTGAAGCGGCAGTACCTGCGCCAGCAGTTTGGCCTGTTCTGCTGGGTTCATATGACTCTTTTCTTGATCGTCGTCTCAAGCCACTTTATTGTGAATAATATCCTCGAGGGGCTCATTTGGTTCTGGGTCCCGGCCTGTTTGGTCATTTGTAACGATATTTTCGCTTACGTCTGGGGTATGTCACTTCTTTTCCGTTTACCATATCTGTGATACTGATTTCGTCATTCAGGGATGTCATTTGGCCGTACCCCACTCATCCAGCTCAGCCCAAAGAAGACCGTCGAAGGCTTCGTTGGCGCCTTCTTCACCACTCTCGTGTTCGCGTATATCCTCGGCACTTTCTCGATGCAATTTGATTACATGATCTGCCCCGGGCATGACTTGGGAGTCACTGCCTGGGACAATGTGGTATGCGACAAGAACAAGGTCTTCATTTGGCGGGATTTGCCGATCGGCGAACCACTGGTGACGATCCTGAGCACTTGGGTACGTTTTTCCCATGCCTTTGTTCCGCAAGCAATGTGGTGCTCACGGATCTTGGTGTTTCCATTGTGCAGGCTCGCAGACCCGTGACATCGATTCCCGTCGCGCCCTTCCAATTCCACTCGGTCGTTCTTGCCTGCTTCGCCTCCCTCGTCGCCCCTTTCGGCGGGTTCTTCGCCAGTGGGTTCAAGCGTGCCTTCGACATCAAGGATTTTGGAGACTCGATTCCCGGTCATGGGGGTATGACGGACCGGATGGACTGCCAGTGCGTGTCGTTCCTGATCCTGACGGGGCCTGACTCGACCAGCACTGATGCGATCGGATCTTTAGATTCCTCATGGGCATGTTCACTTATGTGTATTATAGCACGCTCATACGCGTCAACCACGTCACCCCGGGCTCGATCCTGCAGGCGATCGTGTCCAGCCTGGGGCCGCAGGAGCAGCTGGAGCTATATAGAGAACTGACGAGTTATCTACATACCAAAGGTCTGCTCGGCATCTAGTCAGTTATCGAGCAATTAGGTAGCAGTAGCGGATATTCACGACGATTGCTATTGAGGGTAATGATCGTGCTGATCATCTATGAGATAATGATGAACATGCCACAGAATTCACTTTGCTAATTTGAAATCTGTATGGCCCAAGGCGTGCAAAGTTTTCAGGGCAGTCGCGTGCAAAGTCTGTAAAGCCCGGGATCAGATTGGTCCCCTCCCATCGTTATATAGTCCTCTCGCATTTGCGTTTCTCCTTCCAACCACCACTCACCCTTCCCCTCCCATCAGGGAACGCCTGCGTTCCTGTTCTCAACGCAACAACCCAAATATTACCTCAGCGCCCAGCCCGCCCGCAAGGCATCTGCGCGCAGTCTACAACCTTGCGGTCAACAACCCACCGTTCCATGCATCCGTCTGCCCACGGGGCTGCAAACTTCCTTTCCCGTCTTCCTCGTTCGCCCGCAGGAGTGGTGCGCGGCGCTGGACGATAGCATCGTTAAACCCCTGCTTAACGATACTCCCCGAATCCGAACCAAACATAAATTTTAGAAAACTACCAAAAAAAACGCAAGTTTCAGCTGAGCCAAGAGAACCGCGACTAGACGCACCATAACACCAAAAGGCTCGATTTCCGCTCGAGAATGACCGCCATCTCCGTTGCTACCACCAACGGACACCATGTTCACCAACACCACCACCAGCACGTCGATGTGATCGACGACTCCATCGTTGCCGAGATGCAAAGCTCGACGCCCTTCGAAGGGCCCGAAAAGCTTCTCGAGATCTGGTTCGCACCTTCTGCGGATCATCTGCCCGTCGTTGACGAGGCCAAATATGGAAGTGGATATGTGGATGGAGACGGAAACCCCAAGAGGCAGGGGCTGCGCCGTATCCACCGGGCTGTCTGGGAGGAGATGCTCGACATTGTCAAATGCAAAGTGCTGAGCGTTATCGTCGGCGAAGAGCTCGACGCGTATCTGCTCAGGTGGGCCTCTCAGGACACGCATCACATAGGCTGAACTCACGGTTTACTACCATTGGTGGTTTTTTGACGCAGCGAATCTTCCCTTTTTGTTTCGCCGCACAAGATCATCTTGAAGACATGCGGTACAACCCTGAATCTTCTGGGGCTGCCACGTATCCTCGACATCGCCAGTCGTTACTGTGGCTTCAGCAAGGTGTGGAGATGCTTCTACTCTCGCAAAAGCTTCATGTTCCCCGAGAGACAGCTTGGACCCCACAGGGAATGGGGCGAAGAGGTCAGATACCTGGATGCTTTCTTCAGAGATGGCTCTGCGTACACCGTGGGCAAGGTTAATGGGGACCACTGGCTGTTGTACTTGACCTCCCCAGTGGAGGATGATGATGATGCGCTGGAGCCCGTGACGTACGGGTCTCGCTTGCGCATGTACACTCCCAGCCCTACGCCTTCCCTCGAAGATACGCCGACGCTCTCCGACCTCCAGCAGGACTACACCATCGAGATTCTTATGTCTCATCTATCCACGTCGGCTCGTCTTCCCTTCTTCTATCACCAAAAGGAAGCCGCCGATGGCCGCGGGCATGCTTACGCAGCCAAACTATCCACCGAATTAGGCATCGACACCATTTTCCCCGTCGATCGCACGACATTGGACGCATTCGCCTTCGATCCGTGCGGATATAGTGCCAATGCGCTAATCGATTGGGGTGGAGGAGAAGGGTACTATACCATCCACGTTACCCCTGAGGCTGGGTGGAGCTACGCCAGCTTTGAGTGTAACGTGCCCCTGCCCACACGGGATTCGAGCGCACTTGGTGTGCGTGGGTTGGACCCGGACCTGCCGGATCTGCAGACTCTCGTTCGGAACGTTGTCAACATATTCGACCCTGGTCGACTGTCCGTCACTCTCTTCGTCTCAACCAGTGCCAAGTCCGATGTCGCGATCGAGACAGCGCAGAAAGTGTTCAAGCAGGCGCTCTCGCCTCGTGGGTACTACCGGAACGAGAAGATCAACTATGAGTTTGGTGGATATGACCTCGCGTTTGCAAGCTTCCGAAGACTCGGGACGAAGGGTCGTAACATGGCGGACAAGGATTGAATCGTTCACGAAATCCGCTGCAGCTGTTCTTTGCCAGCGACACGTGTTTTCTCTTGCTTTACCCGTTTCTCCCTACCAGCTTTTTGCGCGGCTTGATCGGCTTCTCCCTTTCCCGAAATTCTATCTCACGCCCTCCATCCCAAAGACAGGGAAGAGCCGAATAAAATCCATATTATTGTGACGATTGTACAGTTTACGTGTAGACAACTGTAGATGACTTTATTTTCAAAATTTTATCTTATTTGTTCTTACTCATCATCTGACGGTAGGATGCCAGTCTCCCTCTAATGCTTCACAGGTTTCCGGTCAGCTCAGCTCGTGGAAGTAGCGATACGGGCTGCAGTTTTTCATGTAACCTGGTTCTGCTCTTTTCTGGTAATTTGTGAGTTATTGCCAACTCAGGAACATAGCTTCAGCACCCGTTGTGCAAATAATGCAGCCGTTATCCGCGACTTGTCGATGCTTAGTAAGCGCACCCGACGTACACAGCAATCCGCTCCGCGCACCCCCTGGGCAATGTGATGTGGAGGCAGCATGGAAAAAGCGGAAATGCGGGACCAGACTGCTTTGTCTCTGGTCATTGTCTCTTTGTTCATGATGTGTTTCTTGATCTTCCGGCCACTGACTCCCCTTCCCAAGAAGATCTCAGACCCACATGGCACCTTCCCCTCTCCTTGCACAGGCTCCTCACCTCACATGCAATGCTGTTAGCATCATGGCATTTGGGGAGCCTCACATGTTTCAGCCCATCATGCAGATACTTGACTTTGTGGACCTTCTCAATGATCAAGGGAATACAAGGAATCTGCCGGTATTCATGTAAGTTTCATCAGCCTTGTGCAAGGGATCTTTTAATGATGTATGCAGGATCGTGATCAGTGATGGATGCCAGTGGATCATGACACTCCCACACATGTCTATGCATGATGTGGTCATCAACCAGACACTGCAGAGGAAGGTGGTAATAGACATCCAACAATATGCTGTCACGGTATCCCCTTTCCAGCATTGCACATAAGTGTCTGGTTTCCCTGTGCATGGCACTTGCTGATCAACCATAGGCTCATGTGCATTGACAAATGGAAACTGGTTGGATATACCCATTGAATAGGCACCCCTGCAAAGCTGCTGCTCAATTTGGAGCCAGCCCTTGGTGAAGGGAGCGTGCTTGGGACAGGCCACATGGCTTGTGCCTTTCCAGTTGCTGGTCCATCATGCCCTGTGCAGGGACAGTCTGTGCCTTTAGTATGGAGGTGCATGAAGGCATTCCCGGACATGCCAAACTTGCAAGAACCAACAGAGGAGTGTTTGCATCCCCATCTGGAACTCCCCCCTCCCAACATAAGGTCAACAATTATGGGTCACTGGCTCACTCTTGTAGCCCAAGTCCACCCACAGGTGGTCCCATATGTACATTTTGGTAAAGAAGGTGTTTAAATTGACCCCTGTGCAGGTTTTCATTGTATGTGTGAGTATACAAGGTGAATGCAGTGCATAGGGTCATGATACAGAGGCAGGAGCATACATTGAAGATGATGATTGTTCATGATCACACTGTTCATGTTCAGTATGCACTACTGATTGACAATACTGACCTTGTGCAGGGCGAAATCAAGGTAGCCGGATTTGACAGACACATTGCATTCTTCAACAACATCTTGTCATCAGCAGTTTATCAAATTGATAATGCCCAGCTGGAGGTAAATGACAAGCAGACCTGTAGAGTCCTGCATCCTTACCATTTGTTGGTGAATGGTGAGATGCACATAACATGTGTGCAAGATGACCACCAGTACCCAGTGGTTTACTTCCATTTTACAAAACTGGCATCTATTATTTGCTACAAAAACAATGAAACCATTGGTGCATATGTTTCCCCTGTGCAGGGGTGGAGTACTAAGTGTACTGCAGATGTGGTAGCAATTGTGGCACAGTTGGGATGGAAGATCTTGAGCAGGGTGCTGAAGGGAGCCAAGGGCACTAAGGTCAGATGATCCCCATTTCATTTGTCTGTTTGTGAACCTTGCGCAGGGACACTCCAGGGCACCCAGCAGCAATTGTGTCAAGTTGTGGCTTGTGGATGATTTGAAGGTTACTGTCCACCTTTGTGTCTTCAACAAGTTCATTGGGAGGATTGACAACTCTTTGGTGGGCAAAGCAGTGACATTCAAGACTTTGCTCATGAATGAGATGGATGGACCATGCCTGAAGACCCAATCTCAGAAGACATGTTTTTTCAACAGTAGGGAGAACTATGCACATCAATGACTGGAGGTGTGGTTTGTTTTCCCCCTGTCCCATACCTTGCACAGGGAGCTCATCAGCATTCAGGTGGGCTGCATCAGGCAGCCTTGCACATGGGAACTGCTGGAGGTCTATGACTGGCAGCTTCTCAGCTGCCAGGGCTCCAGATGAAGATGGGCAAGCAGTGCCAAGCCTTTGTGTGACCATTGCAGAGGTAAAGTGTCAAAAGCTGGGATTCAGCCAGCCTATTACATTTGTTATTGTAGGAAGGCTTCATCCCTGACACAACATTTGATTCACCTACCAAGGGTGCCCATATGAGATGTGTCACAAGAAATGGAACACATTGTTTTGGGACAAAGACAAAGAAACATACATTTGCCCTGCTTGTTGCAGGACATACATTTCTCTGGGCACAAAGTAACTTTTCCTGTGCCCAGACACCTGCACAGGGCTGACTTCAAAAATAGATATTGATTTCACATGGAGGTGGTTGATAATGGCAGCCAGTACTGGATCATGTCATTTGACACAGCAACTAACAGGCTTTTGGGTGAGACAGCCACTGACATGGACCATTGGTTCGACCTGTTACATGGCAGTGATGTGAGTACAGTTTCTATGTGCAGGACTGAACTCACTGTGAAACAGTGGGATGCAATGCAGTGGTATTACACCACTGTGGATGGAGTATTGGGGAATATGTACAAAATCACTATCAAGGCAAGCACAGATTTTATGGACAGGCAGAAGGGTGAAGTGACTTGGGTGGTGACATGATACATCTGTGTGTAGTTTCTTATTCATCACCATGCACAGGGGGGGAACCATGTTTACTGTTACTTTCAAATACATGTCATTTGGTTGAACTCTACATAACTACAATGTATCTTCCGGAGGTGAAGAAGAGCATGAGCACCTGGAATTTGTCAATGCAGATACTGCATGTTGAGATGGAATAGGAGTCTTGAACTGGTAATTGTATGCAGAGGGCCATGTACAAGAAGGAAGGTCTTGTTGCCAGAACTGGATGCCCTGCACAGGGGGATGCAATGATGTAGGTTGATGAGCATAGGAAGGACCGGCCATGTCATTAGTCTGTGTACAGGAAGGAAGCCTATCATTGCAAAAAGGGTGAACCACTTGACGAGGAGTGAGCCGTTTGCTGAGGTTGGCAAGAGTGGCCAATTGGCATGAAATAACCTGTCTTGCATCTGTTAGATCTGCTTCAAGAGTGTCCATGCACAGGAGGGAACTTTGGAGGTGACAGTCCAGGTTCTGAGCATTGCAAATCTCCTCATTTCTTTCTTCCTGAACTGACTCAAGTCACAAGGCGACATCTGTGTAATTACAGGACAGTGCCCTTGTAGTTGCCTCTGCATCTTCTAACAAGACTGCTTGGCCAGCAACTGTCTCCCAGAGGCTGAGTTCCTCCTGTGCACGGCAAGGAGGAGGGGGTTGACAAAGGGGAGGGCCATCATGCACAGGGGCATCCAGTTGATCAGTTTCATCTTTGCTGGATGAGGTGTACAAACCAACGTCTGTGACAAATCCATGTGCATGGGTGGCATGGCTAGGATGGCAGCCCCAGACAGGTACACGTGCTTTGAAGGGGGCTTGATGTTGCGGGAAGGGTCTAGAGACACTGTTTGGGCTCTGATCCTTCTGATTAGCCATGCACAAAGACAATGGGGTAAGTGCATTCTCACTGGATTATCAGTGATCCACCACCCATAACCAGCTGAACCCCAGTATGCAGTATTTTGTTGACAACAATATGCATTGCCTGGAGGAGGCATGATGGTACTGAGATGGGGAGAGATGGGGGCATGGAGGAAACAACCCCTGTGCAAGGCCAGGAGTCATGTGACTCAAATAAACCATGTGGGCAGTACATGGCTTTGTGGAAGATGACTTGGTACATGCAAAGAGGAAGAGGAATAACTAGCAAGGATTGCCAGAAGAGGAAAGACAGGTGAAAGGAAAATGCAAACCTCTCCTGCAACAACATATGTCCCACTGCTGGGGAAAGAAGTCATACAGCTGCCTCTTCCTCAGTCAGACAGAGACTGTTGATTGAGAACTTCAGAATCAACAATTGGTGGAAAACTTGTTGAGTGTGTGAGAGCTCAGTGAAGATGGCTGACATGGTGGAATCTGGAACAAAGCCCATGCACAGGGTGCTGTCCAACTGGCTGATGTCATCTGTTAGTTGTTGTAGCTGTCCTTGTAAAGTAGCGGAGATGGCACACCCCTGTGCAAGAATGGCAGACACTATGTCATGTTCAACAAGTCAGTCAGAGTGGCAGGGATGCCTTACCTGTGGGCAGCATGGTGAATCAACAGTTTAGTTTGAATGCCCTTGCACAGAGTGGTTCATATATGCAAAGGGGGGCTTGAACATGTGTGGTTGTGGCTGGCTGGCCAGCCATGTGGTGAGACAATATCTCATTCAGAAGTTGCAACATGCCATCATCCTCCTCCATTGGCTCCACAGGTTTGTGTAAGAAAAATAGTGTGTGCAATGTGAAAGTGATTGTGTGAGGGTGCTTCTCTTTTGGCAGCTCAAAGTCTTTGTTGTTGAAGTGCTTCTTGATCTGCATTTCACAGAGCACCACATTGCCCTTGTGCAGGAGGGAAGTCAGGTATTGCTTCAACTCTTTCCTAGCTGCCATTGTGGGCATCATAGATGGAAGTGAACCTCCTGCACCTGTCATTGTCATGAGCAACATGCAAAGCAAGAGACCAGATGCACAGGCTTGTCTGATTTGTATTGCTTCTGGAACCTGTTTGCGATGATATTGCCAAATGGATTCATTTCTGCCCCTGCACAAGGTGAAATGAGGACAGCAAACTTCTGATTAGAATTCCACTAACATTGCCTCAGCCTCAAATAAAAGTTTGTAATCTTTGTTGCTGCTCTAGTGTCCTCTGGGATAAGTGGCTTGACACAGACATATACAGAATCCGGCCAAGATCCATTGTTATTGACAAACTTGTGCATGGTGATATGGCTGAGTACCCAAATGGAAACTGGGATGTTGTCCATGGTGATATGGCTGAGTACCCAAATGGAAACTGGGATGTTGTCCATGCACACAAGGAAGTTGCTGTAATTGATGGATTGATCATAGCCAAACTTGAGGGACTGTGGCAACTCTGTGACATAAAAAATACCATGGGAGGGGTCTGTGTATGCTCAGATACTGGTGAACCACAACTGCATTGCAGCATCAAACCCAGCCTTGAGCAGGATCTCTTCACAGCTCTCCTTTGCACAGGCTAAGCTGTCTACTTCTTTCACATCATCTTCCTCATCAACATTGGGCTGATCAGGGAGCACTTCATTGGATATGTCCAAATGATTCCTGTGCAGGGTGAGAGCACTGAAGCAAATATGTATCAGCACATACCTCTTCCACTTCTGCACTGTATCAATATCAGCATTCAGAACATTTGATTGCCTTTTCGTAGCCATGGTGCTCATTCATTGATAGCAAACTGCCCAACTGTATTTTATACCTCCAAAGCAGCTGGGGAGGCAAGATGAGAAGGGTTGTGTGGTTGTCTGCCATGCACAGGGGGTGTCAGAGTAGGGGGGCATAGGTGAAACATACAAGCCACATGAGCATGTGGGATGCAAAACAACACACATGAAGGTTGCTGAACGAAAGAGGAACAACATTACATATTGGCATGTCCAATGTTAGCAATGCTGCTGCCATGGGGTTTGATAGCATGGTGGTGTCAGTTCAGCAGGGGAAGCAGTTGGCTGTGTGAGCAGCTAAGTCATCTAACCATTGGAACTCCTTGCACAGGTCCAAGGGAGGGCCCTGGAAGAAAGATGTTGAGGTGAAAGGGTGAAGTACAGCAACACTGTGCATAACTCCAGACATGCAACAGCATAACATATGCACTTTGTGGAGAAGTGCACCCACACAAATCCACAATGGCCCTGTGTAGGGAACAACCTTGACTCTTGTAATCCATATATGCATATGCAGGGAGCAAGGGCAGGAACTTTCTGGAGATTGAGTGAATTGCCTTTTTTGGACCATTTGTGCAATTATGTTTGGATTTGAACAAATATCCCCTTGTGCATGGCTGAACACAGATGGTATTAGGAGGTAGATACACCTGTGCATGGTCACAACCAGGCATATTGATCATGACTGCAGTTGGATAATGACAGCCATCAGAGTCGAACTCAAACCAAATGCTGGATATTGTTCTGATAGCTCCATTGACAAGGGATTCTGAAACAGCAAGGTTTTCTGTCAGCATGACCTGCATGCCCTCAAACATAGGCAAGAAACCTGGCACATCATTTGTGCGATTGATGGGCAGGCTCCACAGTACGTCTTGGACTGCTGGTTGTATGCAAATCTTATCAACAAAATCTGGAAACAAAAAGTACAAATGGCATGCCTTGCACAGGGACTGAGCGTGGTGCTGAGTGAGAAACAAATTCAGAGAGTTCCAAATATCTTTGGTCACAACAATGAATGGTGAATTTAGGAATTGCATGCCCTGTGCAGGGGAGGATGCAAAAATAGCAGAGATCAGGCATGATTGGAGAACATTTTTGTCAGAGATTCCATAGTGTATAATGTGCAGCTTGCGGTGGTGTTCCTTGGTCATGTTTCTCCATGGAGTTCCATTGCATATCTGCAGAAGCAGTTCAGCCCACTGGCAGTCATTCTCCTGATGAATGTTTTTGGTCAAGAGAATGGCTTTGTTCACCTGTCTCCAAAACACAATGCCAGTCATTTCCTCCTGCCCCTGTGCATGGCTTATTTGTGCACTGTTGATGTTCTGAATGAGCTTGTGACTGTACAAGGATTGCCAGCCCAGAGGCTTAAGTTGAGCAAAATCTCTGGTGAAGACAATGTTCATGCCACCAAATGGATAACCAACATCTACTTGCCAGCCTTGTGCAATGCAATTTGATATTTCATACAATAACTTGCTGGATACCATTGATATCTCATTGATGACAAGCCATTGTGCATGTTGCCACACTTGCTCCAAGCTATCCTGGTTGACCCTCAAACTGCACATAGCCAGTAGCTGTGTCAGAGAGTGTATTGTGTACCCTCCAATCAGGACTGCTGCTGCTCCTGTAGGAGCACTGAGGTGCAGCTTATCCTGGATGAACAATTTGTCAAACAGTGATTCCATGCTGCATATAACATGGCTTTTTCCCATCCCTGCACTGCCACCAATGTACATGAGCGGTTGTTCTCGAGGCCCTGCACATAGGTAGTGTGCAATGATCCTCATAGCTCTCAACTGCTCAACATTGGCAGCAAGACTCTGTTCCTGAACAACCTGCACAAGGGCCTTGCAAACATGTAACTCTGGGATGGCATGCAGGACTTTGCCACAATCTTCCAAAACACCTTGCACAAGGTGGAGTGAATCTATCATAATGGCAGGTGCAGAAGCAGGACCAGTGTGTTGTGGGTGCTGCCTGCCTCGAATCTTTCCTTCCACCCTCCATTTCAACATTTCTGCTGCCCATTGTGATAGAAGGTTCTCCTCTTCAATAGATAACATGCTGACATTGCCACCATCCAGGATGAACACTGCATCAGATACAAGAGCTGCATGTGCAGGGAGAGCAGACAAAAATGCTGACATTGCAGGTGCAGCCTTGCCCATGCACAGGGCTTCTTCCACACTCTGTAGGGAGAGAATCATTGAATCATCTTCAGCCAGAGAACCATCCTCATATACATTTGCATCCATATCATCCACATCCAAATCCATGGTAAGGTCTTCCATGTGTTCATCAACCAAAGAGTCAGTGATAAGGTTAGCATACCGGCTTTTGCAGTGCTTGCTTCTGAGATCATTATCTCTAGCCTCCTTGGATTGTTGCAAAACTGCCATGTTTGATATAATGAATCAATGTATTTCAGCAAAAGGGGTCTCTGAAAACACCTTGCACCAAGAGACCAAGGGGGGCTTGATGTCCTGCACAGTGTGCCATGGTTTGAACAACAGTAGCATGGCTCTGCAATACTCATCACTGTGCTGCCCATCAGGATCTTCTTTGGGCAAAGCTGGCCCAATAATGTCAGGAATGACAGCAGCTGTGTGCAGGGAAACCCTGTGTGTAGTATGCTGTGGGTGGTTGTCTTTAAACAAGCCCTGTTGCAGTCGTTTCCGACCAGGGGACAAACTGGAGGTGGATGAAGTCTGCAAAGGTGGAGGATCCGCATCGAGGATGTGTGAACTTTGCCATGTACAAATGCCTCCTTCTGGCAAAAAGAGACATAGTCATACAAAAAATAGCTGTTGAATGGCTCTTCAATAGGCCTCTTTGCATAGTCATCAAATGCAGTGGCAGACAAGACACAGCCATGATGGATGTTCAATTTTGCTGATGCATAGGAGGAATACTTGCTGTGTGCATGGGATTCATTGTCAACACTGTTGCTTTCAAGGATGATGTCTGATCAAATATTGTTTTTCATTTCCAGCACCTGCATAGGGGACTCTTGTTCATCCAATTGGCAAGAAATATACCCCCAATGAAGCAAAGAAAAATTGTGTGATGTATAACAATCCCCCCCTCTGACATAGAAACTCATCAGCTGCTGATGTGAAGTCTCTTGAGAGGCATCAATTTGGTTCACCAGTTTCACAAGCAAACTCTTTGATTGCACTGCACAGGGTGCTCCTTCATCCTCACAAAATTTGTCTCAATTCTTCTGGATTGCACAGAGCATCACAGTAACCCCAGCATGTGCCTTCAGGGAAGCCTTTGTCATGTAGTCCGTGATGTAATACAACGCAGCCCTAGATGCTTCTCCTGATGCAAGGTACTGAATGTCCATGTTACATTGGAAGAGGTACATCATCACATTGTTGTACTCATTGATCCTTGGATGTAGTTGACACAATAATATGGAGCCTGTTTCATCATCCACAGTGGATATCGCATGGGTCGAGCCATCCATTTGCATGTGACAATTTGCATCAATTTTCTCTTCACCCTTCCACAGGTGTATCCAACAGCTTGCTTGATGTTTGTGCCAATTGTTTCTCTCCACCAGGTCTTTTACCTGACGTGTAAACACAGGATCAATGTGCAGATCACCAGTGGACATGGGAAGAGAAGGAACAGAGTGAGGGTCAACTTTGTCTTTCGTCAGTTTGGGGGCAGGAAGTGCCCTGTTTGGTTCCATGACCACCTCTTTCTGCCCTGGAAGCTCTGTCTTGATCAGACACTCCAACCACAGGATCATGTCCAACCAAAAGCCTGGATCTTCCTCTATTCCATTGTGCAGGGCATTGGGCAATGGATTCCCTTGCAACCACACAAGAATGTGGCAGTGGAGGGTACCTCTTCCCTGTGCTTCCACCATGCCATACCACCCCATGCAAGTGCTGAGCAATCCTGGTCCTTTTCCAATGTGCAAAACAATATCATGAAATCTTTCCATACACTGATGGAATTCAGATGCAGCCATGGCAGGATGCACAGCCACTGACATCGCCTGTTTGAATTGAGTTGCCTTTGTCGTGCCATGTGCAAGGCTGTCTGCACACTGAGATCCAGCAATGTTCACATGACAGAGATAGCCATCTATGTCACAAGGGGTAAGAGTGATGAAAAAAGTTGGATGCCCAAGCTGATAAATGAGAGAACAAGTCTCATTCCTGTGGCACTGCTTGTATGCATCACTGCCAGGCACATCACACCTCAGCATATGGACTTTGTGCAAGACCCTCAATGTCATTTCCTCTTCAGAAGAGGTCACCTTTGCCCACTGTGACTTTTGAAGCTTGTCAGCCAATTTGCTGACAACCTGCACAGGTATTTGTTGAAGATCCTCAACAATGTGAGCGTGCTTGCCATCTGGAATACAAAATCTGATGAGTCATGCTGTGTCATGCTTCTGCAAGATGTTGTGGGACACACAAACACAAATGCCAGCTCTTCTTCGAACCAGCCATCTGCCATGTGCAGGAGGTGTGCAAGCTGCTTGGCCATGGAGACTGGCTTGCACCGATGTGGGTCATCAAACCCACCCAGTGCAAAGGGATCCAAGTGAGGGAACATCCACATGAGAGTGTATTCATTCTGGAAATTGTGAATTGCTCTGTTTCCTTTCCAGGACACCACAAAACAGCCACCATCAGAAAGGCAATGTGCAAGTGCATCAGCCTTCATTGCATTGTATGCAGAAGTATTCAACGACAAGGTGGAATAACCAAAAGCCTCCACAAAGAAGTCACCCAATGGAATGTTGCAGTCATCAAAAATGTTTCAAGACATTATGTTGGACTCTGCAGATGATTGTGCATCTTTGTACTGGACATGCTCCACTTGAATGCAGGGGAAAACAGTTCCAACATCCCCTGCACAGGGGAAGAAATTGCAAAAGTTGGCCTCTGATCAAATAGCCCCCCCTGCTGGGAAAACTTCTGTGGTGCATGTATAGGCCTTGTTGAACTTAAAGAGAAAATCTAGTATAGTGCAAACATTGCAGGCAGATGCCTTCAAGGGCTTGACCCTGTGCAGAATGTCTGGGGTAGGTGAATTGGTGTCTGCAAATACAGCAACAAAGCTCTGCTTCACATTGTCTACCAGAGGGGGAAGGACATTGTTGAGCATAACAGTGTCTTGTGGAAATATGAGAACATTTCCCTTCAAATACCATTGAATACCATTGAAGTGATTTCCATGCAAGCAGCTTTCTGGATTGTCAAGATACTGAAAACAAATTTTTGTCACTGTACAACAAGAAACGAGGTGTTTGTCAATAAACATGCTGTTCTGAAATGCTTCTTGCACATGTGCAGGGACATGTTCATATGCATAATGAAAGCCATTCACAAGCACCAACACAGGCATGTTGCCTGTGCACAGGGAAGTTGCACATGAATGGCAGAGTTGAATATCACCACCGAACTCAAATGGAGATGATAGTGTCAGGGGATGTCCCTAAAATTGATTGTGGACAGCTACAATTGACAACAATCAGAGCACAGTCACATGGTATGACACCCCAAATGACAGCCAATACTACAAACACCCAATTCTAGGAAGGACAGATCCCAGAACATGAGACATTGGTCATAGATCATATGGGACCAATCAGACAAGGGACATAAGGTGCCTGCCCTAAGCAAGCTGTATAGTCATCCACAGGCTTTGCTTCCTTTTACTTCCATACCTAGACATATATAGCACCCTAGGTATAGCCCCTGTAGCTCTTTAGAGCTAATCTCTTAGGAACCCCATGGTCCAAAGTCATTAGGTTCTCAACACAAAGCTTTAATTGTTTCAAACATGTACACAACACACACACAAATTGTGCCTGTTGGCTGCCAATCCCCACTCACTTTATAACACCCCTGTCAGTCCCTCTGTTTGTGAACAAACATCAAGGCATTGATTGATGTATGACTCACTACTCTCCGATTTGCTCATTGCCTGTTCAGTTATTCAATCATCAATGATTGTTGGATCATGTTGCCCTCACAGAAGATTAGCTCTCCAAACAAACCTGCAACAAGAAACATCCACCATGTTGGAATATGACAATATGACAAAGGATGAGAAAATTACCTTTCTCCTACACAAACTTGCTAGGCTTTGTGGATCATCCAATACAACCCCACCTGCTATGCCAGGACCAACAGTCACACATCATGGACCAAAGATATTGGTACTGGACACCTTCAATGGTGATCACACAAAGGCCAAGTTGTTCATGCAACAAGTTGTCCTGTACCTGCAAGGACATACTCATGAATTCCGAGATGACCAGGATTGTATCAACTTCATGTTGTCATATGAAGGGTGGAACGGCTGGCGATTGGGCCGATTGAATTGTTGACAAACAGAGCAACAACCTCCTCCCATACTTCACATTGTGGAGCATTTTCACCAAATGATTTGAGGAGGCATTCTGTGATGCCAACCCTGGTGCAACTGCACATATGCAGATGGAGAAACTTGTGCAAGGCATGAAAACGGCAGATGAGTACATCTTGTCATTCTGTGAACTTGCAGCACAGACCAAATACAATGAGATTGCACACATTGAACATTTTGAATGTGGCCTGCACTGGGCACTGGTTGACAAGATCTATGCACTCCCAGACATGCCCATGACTCTTGAAGGATGGTATATGTATGCTTCCCGATTTGATCAACAATGGCATCAACTGGATGCACATCACAAGGGAATGACCAATGCAACAGCCAACCAATGGAAAGCCAGATCAACTGATGCCATGCACAACACAACCCCCATGACAGCAATAACCTCCACCATACAGATGAACAATGCAATGGATGTCAACCAAACGAAATGTAACATGTCCACCATCTGCTGCTATGGCTGCCAAGGGTTTGGCCATGTTCAGGCCAAATGTCCTAAATGATTGACACACATCAAGATGATTGCATTTGATGACATATGCAAGCTCATCACTGAAGAGTTTGCAAAGCATCATCCTCCAACAAAAGTGGACAAACCAATGACACCAGTTGAGACATCCAAGGAGGATTTTTAGGATGGTCCACCAAAGAGAGCACAATTCATGTGACCAGTAAAAGTGATCCTTATGTACACCCCTCCCATAATAATGATTCATTGACAAAAAAACCAATCATGGGACATGTGTCATATGAAATGCAGAAGGTGCTGGACAATGAAAGATGAGGAGATGACCCTCCACAACTGATTATGTTGGTTCGGGAACAACAACAGATGGAACTAAATATACAACTGCAAACACTGGACACATCACAAGAATTTGAGGCACGAGCAGTACTTGATTCAGGAGCAACAGGACTATTCATTGACACAAGCTACATTGAAGAGTACAACTTAACCACAACACTGCTGGAATGTGCATGACCAGTCTATAACATTGATGGAATGCCCAACAAGGCTGGAGTGATCCAACACACAGTTGACCTCATCATATGATATGGAGAACATATGGAACATGCAACATTCCATGTAATGGGACTTGGATACAAGGAAGTATTGATTGGACATCCATGGCTTGTACAGCATAACCCAGACATCAACTGGACAACAGGAAAGGTGTCAATGACATGATGCCCTGAACAGTGTTTGATATGCATATGTATGGCAAAATGACAGGCAGAATGGCAGAAACAACCTCTGCCTGCAATAGCACAGGAAGATGATGGCACAGATGATGATGATTATGAAACAATCATTTGTGCTGCCAAAAGCATCTCAACATGTCTTGCAACTGCATGACCAGCTGAAGACTGACAAGGAAGAACATTTGACAATATGATACTGATGGCCTATCACAACTACAAAGACATATTTTTGAAAAAAATGTTCAATCAACTACCAGAAACAAGGATGTGGGATCATGCAATTGAACTGAAGCCAGAATCGGAGCCACATAGCACAAACCACTATTGTCCAATGAACAACACAAATTGGATGAATTCCTGAAGGAAAACCTTGCAAGTGGATGTATCCAACCATCAAAATTGCCCATGGCATCACCAGTGTTTTTTGTAAAGAAAAAATATGGGATGCTACGATTGGTACAAGATTATTGATGACTGAACGAGATGACAATCAAGAATTGTTACCCAATCCTGCTCATTTTGGACCTAGTAAACAAACTACATCATGCATGATACTTCACAAAATCAGACATCTGTTGGGGATACAACAACATTTGGATCTGAGAGGGAGACAAATGGAAAGCTGCCTTCCACACAAATTGTGGACTATTTGAACCACTGGTCATGTTCTTTGGACTTGTCAACTTGCCAAGCATGTTCCAGACAATGATGAACAATATATTTCGAGAACTCATCAATGAAGGAATCATTGTGGTATACATGGACGACATCCTCATATTCACAGAAACATTGGATGAACATTGACAGATCATAAGACAGGTGCTTGATGTCTTACAAACATACCACCTATACCTCAAGGCCAAAAAATGTGATTTTGAGCAGACAAGGATTGATTACCTGGGACTCATTATCAGTCAAGGCAATGTTGAGATGGACCCAGTCAAGATTGTAGGCATTGCTGAATGGCCAACACCACGGAATGTGAAAGACATCCAAAGTTTTATTGGGTTTTGTAACTTCTACTGACATTTCATATGTGGGTTTTCCAATATAACACATCCACTACACAATTTGACACGAAAAGACAACATCTGGACATGGGAAGCAAAGCACAACCAAGCATTCAAGGCACTGAAAATGGCCATAACATCAGCACCAATACTGGCACTACCACAGGATGACAGACCATTCTGAGTTGAAGCAGATGCATTGGACTATGCAATTGGAGCTGTCTTGTTGCAGCTGAACACAGATGATGAGTGGCATCCAGTGGCATTCATGTTGAAGAGCCTGTCAGATGTGGAACATAACTATGAAATACACAACAAGGAACTGTTTGCAATTATATGTGCCTTTGAAGAATGGAGACACTTCCTAGAAGGTGCCCCCAATAAAATACATGTCCTTACCAATCACCAGAATCTAGAATATTTTGCCAAATCACAGAAACTCACAAGACAACAGGCACAATGGTCACTCTACCTGTCATGATTTGACTATACATTAGAACACCAACCAGGATGATCCAGCAGAAAACCAGACATACTATCATGACGTGCTGACCACAATCATGGAATGTACAATAATGAGAATGTTGTACTACTCAAACCAGATGTCTTCACAATTGCAGCAGTGTGTCAGGGACACACCCTTATTGCAGGGGAGGAAAGCAGGCTCCTTTATGAAATATGACAGATGCATGACATGGATGAACCAGTGGTACAGGCACTCAAAGCACTATGCAATGACAAAACGGCTACAATTGTTGCAAACAAATGGAGCAAAGAACAGGGACTGGTGCTCTATCATGGAAAAGTATATGTTCCATGGAATGATGCACTTCATGCCAAAATCGTCAAACTACACCATGATTCACAAATTGCAGGACACCCAGGACATTGGAAAATGCTGGAGCTTGTTGCATGCAACTACTGGTGGCCAAACATGAACCAATTCATTGGAGAATATGTTCAAACATGTGATGCATGCAATCATACCAAGACATACCCACAATGGCCTGTCAGAAACCTCATGCCAAATCGGATCCCAAAGGCATGATGGGAAATTGTTACAGTCAACCTCATAACGCAACTCCCAGCAAGCGAAGGATATGATGCAACTCACCAAATGTGCTCACTTTGCAGTGACACAAAGTGAAGTAATGTCAGCAGGAATTGCATGTCTCTTTTGTGACAATGTATGGCAAAATCATGGACTGTCTCATGAGATCATCAGCGATCATGGAACACAGTTCATATCAAAGTACATGTGTGAACTCAACAGTCTCTTAGGCATCAAAATATAGGCATCAACAGCATACCATTCACAGAGCAATGGACAGACCAAATGTGTCAACCAGGAACTGGAACAGTATCTCCAACTCTTTGTAAACCATTGACAAGATGATTGGGCCAATTGGCTTGCATGCACTAAATTCACATACAACAATTGTATACATGTTGGAACACAACACTTGCCATTCAGGCCAGCACAGGACATAACCCACAAATGGGCATTGAACCAATATGGGAGGTCACAATTGCAGGAGTTGAAGAATTCACAGGAACAATGCAGCAAATCAAAAATGAATGCAAGGCTGCATTGGCAAAGGCAGCAGATGACATGGCCTGATTCCATGATTGACACTGACAACCCACAATAATGTACAACATAGGGGACAAGGTATGGCTCAATGCCAAAGACATCAAAACAAAATGACCAGCAAATAAATTAGATGAGAAATGGTTTGGACCATTTGTGATCACATGTAAAATCAACAACAATGTATATGAAATCAAACTTCCTGACTCATGGCAACTACACCTGGTATTCAATGTTTCCAAATTACGACCCTATCATGACAGTGACATACCTGGACATAAAGAAACACCACCTCTGCCACCTGAACTGGATGCAGATGGTAAAAATGTTTGGGAAGTCAAATGGATTGAGGACAGTTGTCTACAAAAGAACAGCCAATTTGAATACCTTGTCAAATGGAAAGGCTACTCAAACATGGAAAAAACATGGGAACCACCTGGAAACCTTGAAGGCACATGACAAGCAATCTGTGATTTTCACTGATGACACCCAGAGGCACCAAAACAAATTGCATGTATGGATTTCAATCAGCTATGATTCTGATGACTCAAAAACTACACTGAAATGAACCGAGTCCTCTTTGACTGGATGGATGGGTGATGTCCTGGTCACTCACACAACATGTCATTGTGGACAACAACCCTTAAGAAGGGGGTGATGTCAGGGGACATCCCTAAAATTGATTGTGGACAGCTACAATTGACAACAATCAGAGCACAGTCACATGGTATGACACCCCAAATGACAGCCAATACTACAAACACCCAATTCTAGGAAGGACAGATCCCAGAACATGAGACATTGGTCATAGATCATATGGGACCAATCAGACAAGGGACATAAGGTGCCTGCCCTAAGCAAGCTGTATAGTCATCCACAGGCTTTGCTTCCTTTTACTTCCATACCTAGACATATATAGCACCCTAGGTATAGCCCCTGTAGCTCTTTAGAGCTAATCTCTTAGGAACCCCATGGTCCAAAGTCATTAGGTTCTCAACACAAAGCTTTAATTGTTTCAAACATGTACACAACACACACACAAATTGTGCCTGTTGGCTGCCAATCCCCACTCACTTTATAACACCCCTGTCAGTCCCTCTGTTTGTGAACAAACATCGAGGCATTGATTGATGTATGACTCACTACTCTCTGATTTGCTTGTTGCCTGTTTGGTTATTTAATCATCAATGATTGTTGGATTGTGTTGCCCTCACAGATAGCCCTTCAGGGTGAAGAAAGGCATGGTGGTATTGATGGAAGGAATACCCAAGAGGACAAAGGCAGTATGGTACATAATCATTGATGAGGAGTGAGAAATCAACATTCAAAATGGGAACAGATTCCAAGTGGGAGAGCAAAACAGATTCTGTGCAGCAACCACATATGCCTCTGCACAGGGCTGGAAGGGAAACCTGGTCAACAAACTTGTTGATGATGTTGTGAACCAAATCAGGATTGTCTTTTGGCAGAAATACTTCATCCATGTCAGGCATGACCATTCAATGACACTTCAAGGAATTGTCTGCATAAGGGGAGACAGCTCTTTTCCAAGAACAATCAAATGATGGGATGCAACCATGGAGAAAAGGCCAAGCAGCTTGAAAGCAAATATCCAGACCAGAGGTTGTGCAAGATCACTTGCCTCAGCAGCATGCTTGAGCAGAGCATGTATAACTTTGTGCCAGGGCAACCATGGGGCAAGTGTGAATGACACTGTCCATGCTATAGACAGCAGATCACCACGAGAGAAGAAGTCAAACAAAGAGAGCATTGCCAAAAGAGTAGAGAATACACATAAGTCACCCAGTGCAGGGCCAAGGGGGTGGGTGTAGCATAATGCAACAAAGCAGTATGAGGAGTTGAGATGAGATGCTGGAAAAGGGTCACCATTCAAAGATGTGATGTCCCCTGCATGACTGACATAAGCTTCCATAATTTCACAAGTTGTAGGTATGGTGAAATGATCAGCTTACCTCAGAAAAGATGAATTATAAAAGAGGGAGAGATGGCAGGATGAAATTGAATGGAAACCAAGATACCAGTTGCTTGGTATGAGGGGCTGGAGAAATGTGCACTGAGACAAAATGACCCAACCAGCCCATGATACAAAGGGGAGAGGCTGAACCAGGCCAGCACAGGCACCACATAATACATTAACCATTGCCTTAAAAGGAAAGTTGGGTGGAAGTAAAAGGGCAATTTCTCCCTGCCCAAAGCCTGGGACAACTATGTTGCCCAGGGATCCACCTTTTCTGTTCTCCAGTATTACTTTAACTTCTGACATGTTAATTTGTGCTTCTTTATTGGTACTTGTCACTCTGTATCTGTCTGGACACCAATTTACCATGTCTTTTCAAGGATGAACAAAATGACATTCTCATATACTGCTCCTCTTTGACATCAATATATCCCAGCTATTCATCAAACATTGTTGTAAATCTGCAGTACTATGCACAAATGCACCACAACTGAATGCAAAACTTGGAAAATAGTACACTGTTTTGGTCCCAAAAACCATTGTCCATTCTGAGCATGGGTAGCTGGCCTGTTTGCCCTCTTTGAGCTCAGTACCATCATGTCACTGATGCTGATGAGATCAGCTTCCAGGGTAGTAATCTCTTTCATATATAGGACAGATTTACGAGGTATTTGAATAACTCAGAATCATCAGCCATTTATTGCCACTGGTACCTTTTGGTTATATTTGGCCAGGTGCCATTTGGTTTATTGCATCCCAGACCCCTCAATATTGTAAACTACCAACATGTGCTATACACCGGTTAAAATGGAAATGGGACCAGCCCCTGCCCAGACCCAAGAAAAAGGGCCAAATACGTCCCCTCGAGCAAATTAGGAAATATTCCGAGACAATGTGACCAGCAGTATCCATTGACCATACGGTGTCACAAGCTACGGAAACCCTCTGCCGTGTTAACAAGATATCACCTGCGATTTCTGCGGCATCACTAGCAGTAGTTTTACCTTGTCATGTACCCGTCAAATCGGCGGTGCAAAGCTACTGGAGGGCGCTTAGATCTTCAGGAAGCACTGAGTATGCGTGCCGGCATCAGGGACCCGCTGGGGTCAATTTGCTCAGAGTTCTGAGATTCCTCTCGGAGCGGAGCTGGCTCGCTGATCAGCTGACCTTTTGAGCCGCGTACTGATCATCACGTATGTAGTGAGCCGGCTCAGGTGGCCGGGACCCATGCATCCGTCGCTTGCGTATCAGGGTGGCAAAGAAGCAACCTTGGGTCCCGAAGAACCGAGTGAACGAATCATGGACGCTAGGGTACCCTGTAGCAATTTTACACAGCAAGGAACCGAAAGCACGGAGGACTTCACGGTGTTAAGGCGTGGGGTACCACGTGGACCACCAGTGACTTGAAGACACCGCACAGCTGTTCCCATCCAACAAGAGACCGCCTCGGATGGTTCTTGAATGGAAGACTCTCCGCAAGGCTGCTCTGCATGTATTCTGATTTCAGGGCTCCTGAGACGACGCAAAACACATTCATTTGTTTATTCAGCAAGAAACCGGCATGGATCGAAGAAAAAGCCGAACTGCGGCATCAAATGACACACAAAACCTTGAGAAATGATATGAAAATCCAAAAAGAGAAGAACGCAAGCTATAAAGATGGCCAGGGATCAATATCCTAGTCGACGGCGTAACTCCGAGAAGGATGTGCCAACGTCAAATATACCACCAAGTAAGGCCCGTTGCACGAGCCATGGATCCGCTGTGTTTATCTCCGAAGCATCATATAAATGAAAGAGGAACCGATCCTGTGGCAATAGCGGCATGTCATCTTCCCAATCAAGCGGGACGTCCTCTCTACTCTGCTCAACGAGTACGACCCGGAAGGACGGGTTCTCTCGCAGTTGCCGTCCTATTGATCTGACCTCCGCGTCCTCTTCGATAGAGGTGTAATCCACAAACACGAGCTGCTCGATACGAGGAAAGAACTCGACAAACTTGAAATCCTTCCACTTAAGCTGGTTTGCGGATATTGCAAGACGCTTCAGCATGGGCAATGAAGGCCATGAAGGTCGGTAGCATAAGAAGTCATCAGGGTGGCTGAACTCGTAGTGATCGTCTTCATCACCCTGAGCGGATGCTGGGTTGTTATGATGCATGCCACGGCCCTGACCGGATGGGACCGAATAGGCAGCAGTGTCAGCATTGCTGTGCCCCACAGGAATATACTGCGGAAGCGATACCGCTGATGCGAATCCGATCTCGGCACGTCGTTCCGTTCTACTCGTGTCTTGGCCTCCATATTCTTCTTCGCCAGCTTCCCATCTAAAGAGAAGATGGGGGAAGTGACTCGCGTACTGATGAACGACCAACTCTTCTAGGTGGAGGAGACGGGAGATTGCCGAGGGCCAACGACTACACCTTGGTTCGTTCGTGTGATAATGAAAAATGAACAGCCGTTGGAGACTCGGTGCCACCGCGAGAAAGAGAGGCGCTAGGTCATCGGTGCAATAGGCATGATTGCCATTACGAGTCCGCCTGTTTGCGTAATCCCAAGATCCTGGCAAAAGTGCCATTGATTGCACGAATCGGAGCTTATGAGGACTAGCGAGCAGTTGAATGATTTGGCGTCTGGACCGGATGACAAGGCGCTGGAAAACCTTGTCCGCAGCCGCCCTCCTCCAGTCACGATTTGATTGGGATAGGCTGCGAAGAGCTTTCTCAACACTGGGAGGCCACATGTAGGCAGACGGAGGGGTGTCGCTGATGACATTTCTGACGATCTCTTCCTTCAACTCTGGAGGCAGAAACCGGGCCATGGAGAATATCGTCTGGCAGTCGGTATGTTACCTGTGCAAGGTGGTGAAAAGTCTTTCACGGCGACAGGGACTCGTGCTCACCTTGGTTGAGCAAATGGTGGGAATCGTGGCAGCATTGACAAAGGATACAAGCACACCATGCCTTGGATACTGGGTATCTTTATATTCCCGTGTAAACAGCGGCGGGAAGAGTGGTGAACCCTCGGAGAGCGTGATTCAGCTGCTGCGAATAATGCATCAATGGGTAAGCATGGGGGTGGCAACCGCATGGTTTAGAAGTCCATTGCAACGTCCCTGACCCATGCCATTGGAGCACCAAGTGATGCAGGATTTATTTGGGTATCAGGAAGAATCAAGACGGCCGGATCTGGCACCAGCCTGAAAATGCAGGACATTCGTGATCAACTCTGCGGGGAGCCGGTCTAACCCGCCACGGAACCTGTAAGCTGGTCGCAATACAACATAAGACAAGCTTCTTCAGTCAACCTCTTCCTTGTTAGGAGCTTTGAAGCAACACGGGCTTGAGTAAGGAATGCAGACCCTGGAGAAGTATCCTGGAAAAACACGCAATTGGCATGTGGATGGTGACGCGGAGGAAAATCACCGAGACTGCATTGCCACATGCATGTCTCACCCAAACCCGATGGGAAAAAGCCCACGTTGGTCTTTTTCAAGCTTTGCTTATGCTGAGTCGCTGCACTTTGAAGAAGCGGATAGGATATTGGACTTTTATTTTTCTGGTGCGGAATTGAGGCTGACCACGCGGTGCATTTCTGAATTCGGAATTACCCGCAGGATGCCAACCCTAAAAGTGTGACGCAAGCGTAGGGGCTTGTTGGGGCACAGGAATCACACCAGAGAATTTGGGGTCAGCGGCGGGCCATCGTCACAAAGCCGAGGCGGCTCCCCGGGAAGAAGTGGGCCATAGGCGTTCCCGCTCTTCAACACCAAGATCAGTATTCGGACACCGAGAGTGGGGCTTTGAAGTTCATGGGCAGAAGCAAACCAGGGCGCGCTCCGCACATCCGCTCCAGGTTCTGCGGAGGCGAACCCACTTGTGGGAAGATAGGCGCCCACCGGAGAAGGGGTTTACCACCTATATCGTCCGATCTTGGTGACAGCTGGCTACATGATTCAAGAGAGGAATGCTTTGACAACCGGAGAACTGCCACATTTCGTAATGCCGAAATTCCCCTTTGTTTACGGACCTTATTAGTTGCAACACGATTGAATACAATTGGGTTTCGGACCGAGGGTGAACAACGCAAATCAAGCTCCGACACACAAAGGAACTGTAGGCGTTACTGAATTTTGTATTAAGGATATTCTATGTCACCACCTAATGTATGTCATACAGATGCCCAAGGATGATGCGTGAGAACATGAAATGTGTTTGAACCGTCTCTATGGTTTCATTACAATCGTCAACATACCTCCCAAGAGCTCAACTGGAATGGTTGCGACACCCGCCTTGACCGCAGCATCCCACTTGAACGAGCATCCAGCGGTGACCTCTTTACCAGACCTGTCCGTGAATGTACCCGTCCTCAACTGTGGCTCGCAAGGGTCAACCCAAGCTACGACAGTATAGGTGTTGCCGATGTCCCTAGCAACGTTTGCCGGGCCGTACCCGTCGTGTACGTTAGTCAGCGTAATGTGTCGTGACGTGCCAAGGGTGGTTTGTGAGACAAGCACCTCGCGGTACTCACTACGTGCCATGTTGTCTTCCGGGAATTCCTCTTGTGGAACCATGTCTGGTGCACTTGTGCGGGACGCACCGTCGTCAAGATACATCGAGTAGGTGTTATTCTTGCCCGGGTAGATATGCAAAGTGATGGGGTTCGGTGGGCTTTTGTCGCCAATGTATTGGCGCACTTCAATCTGCGGAATGATACCTCCTTCGCGAACATACATTGGTGTGACGTAGGGAATGTGATCGGGGTTGGCAGAGATATGGCAGTCGTACATGAACACGGATCCGCCTTCCACAACAGGGGACAGCGGAAGACCGAGGGATCCGTCAATTCGGAGGTTGAAGGTGTACCAGTTGTCGGGTTGAGGGACGTAGGTATGACGCTTGCCGATGTTGATCGTATGGGACTCAGTGACGGCGCATACCAGAAGATCCTGTCCACAGACATACTGACTATCGAGGAAATGGTCCTGTTCGTTGAACAGTGTCTGATCGAGAGGGTCGGTGATGAGCTAGATAGAGGATCAGCCCGTTGCGATAGTTCCCACGGACATTCACGCACCATGGAACGGACGATTGGAAGGCCGTTGACCTGATTCTCAAACATCTTGTCGTAGAGCAATTGCATCAAACTGTACCGCAAGGACACATAGTACCGGCATATTGGCTCGACAGCGGAATAGAGCCATCCCTGATCCGCTTCGATCTCAGGGTGGTCGCGCAGGTAATTGGTGTACTGATAGGGTTCCTGGAACCATTTCTCCCCGCTCCGCCTGATGTAATGGTTCCTGTGCCATGGAAGAAGTACCGAGCCTGAGTACCAACGGATGAGCAGATCCGGATCGCAGAACTTTTCATCTCCATTCGGCATAAACCCGCCCATGTCGGAGCCAGCAATGGTCACACCGATGTATCCGAGGGCGAGCACTTGCGCGACGGAGATGTGCCAAAAGTCCCAGGTGGACGCGTTGTCGCCTGTCCATAGGCCAGCGTACCGGTGCATACCGGAAAAAGAACCACGGCCGACGATAAAGTTGCGCTTGTTTTCCCGACATTCGAGCTTGTTCAAGCCCAGGTATGTAGCCTTGTGCAGGTTGAAGCTGTAAAGTGCCCAGAGCTCGGCCGCTGTCTTCCGCGGTGGTGGCTGGCCAGGCTCAGTGAAATGAGGGTCGGTGGAGATCCATAGTCGGGATGGGAAACCCTTCATATCGCCGTACCCGGTGGCAATCGCGGGCGTGGTCATGTCCTGCCATACGAACTCCAGTCCGGCTTCAAAAAGCTTCTCATACTGCTGGCCCCAGAAGTCGCGTACCTCTGGACGATTAAGATCCAGGTAGTAGCCCGGCTGTGAAGAGTGCCGCAAGATCAGCCTACATCATGCGCGACTTATCTGAGAATGCTTACCGTTCCCAGCTCAGCCCCATAGCTGACACCACCATGATAGGGTGACCCGCTGTTGAAGTTATCCGCGAAAGTACTGCTTCATCATCGTTAGTAGGTAGTACTCTGTTTCCAAGAAGGGGGGACAGACTAGTTCTGCTCATATACTGGGGTCGACGAGCCAAGATTTGGGTCCACCTCCTGTGGGACAGGCAGTCCTTGTTCATCCAAGTTGCCCCAGTAGTACGTGTAGCGCACATCCTCCGGTTTTCCACTCGTTCCTTCAAGGTATCTCGTATCGGGTATGAAGTAATTCTTGGCGAGCCCCTCCTGCAGGGTAGGATAGTCGTCTCCCTCGCCCTCGTCCTTGAGGGAGATCACAGGGGTGATGTTCGTGCAGCACTTGACACCCTTCTCTCTTAACTCGGCGAACATGCCCGGCACATCAGGGAACTTGTCCTCGTTCCAGGTGAATGTGCGGTATCGGTCTTGGAAGTCCACGTCGATATGCAGTCCATCAAGCGGGATGCGCGCGGCCCGATACTCAGCAACGACGGTTTCAAGGTCCTCGCGGGTTCTGTACCCGTAGCAGCCCTGGTGGTTACCTAGTACATAGCGCGGCTTGAGATGCGGACGTCCTACGAGCAATGTATGCGACTCGATGAGCTTGGCGACGTTGTCCGCGCTCATGATATATGCATCGAAGCCGTTGAACCGTGTGCCGATGGAGACGCGCCCGGCATTCGACTTGCCTAGATCGATCACCACTTGGCTGTAGTTATCCACGAAGGTTGCCGTCACGTTAGAATAGCCTGGAAGTGCATTCATCTCGACGAAGTAGGGGCATGAGTGATACAGAGGCTCGCGGTCGTCCAAGGGACCCTTGTTGTACAGGTTCCCATACAACATGTTGTCGTAACCTGGACATCAATCAGTTACTCCTCGGAGAAGAAGCGGACAACAAGGCTTACAGTAGTAATTCATCTGGCTTGGCGTTTTCAGGAGATGCTTCCCTCCCTGTTCGCCGAAGCCCAAGAATTCAGCTGATCCTTTCTTCCACACGTGGAGAATGATGTTATTCACGCGGTACTTCATCGGCTCGTATCGGAAGGGACGGGCTATTGTCTGCCACACAACCTTCTCCATGGGCACGTTGGTTTCGTGCAGGTCGGGCGGGACAGGGATTATCAAGGGCGTGACTTCGAGTTTGCGTGTAACCTGGAGACGAAAGGGAGATTTCCACATATAGAGCTTGGTGTCGATCGTCCCGTTTTTGTCATCATCGCGGTCTTCAACGCTAAGGTATGTAACGGTCTATGAAGATTCATTAGTAAACGTGAGTGGTTCAAAAATAGAATGCATACTGCGAGCGTAAAGTACTCCCCGTCTTCAGACGGGGTGAACCTGGTGCGCCACATAGTGTTCAAATCCCGTTGTATTGAGTCGACGAGTGCACCCCAGGTCTTCTCCATTACCGACCGGCTATTCGGCGACCGTCAGGTGCATCTTACGTCGAACAATTCACTCACGAGTTGTCCATTGAGTAGTCCGCAATCGTCTTGAATGTCGGGTCATACCTCACCCTCCATACACTCGGACTCGCGAAATGTATGATTGCAACCGTCCCATCATCGAACTCTAGGCCCGCAGCAAACCGGAGAGGATCCTCAGATTTGAGACTCGACGACGTGTGGACATTCGTGATCGAAGAAGGTCCGTGAGGGTACTGGGCTGCTCGGGTGAAGAAGTGTTCTGCAGGGACGAAGTTGAGAGGGTCAGAGACGCCTGCCACGAGGGAGCTGGGGGACATGTTTTGCTGAGCAGCTCGAGCGACGACGGGCGGCTTTTGTGGGCTCCAAGGAAGAGGTCGTCAGTGAGAGATGGGGTTGACCAGGGGAAGAGGGAGTGTAGTCGAAGTGAGTGACGCGTATGACGATTGTGATCAGAGTGCGCTGGAGAGCTGATAGATGGGCAGTTCTTGGGGCTATATAAAGCAAGATCACGGTCGATGAAGATTCAGTGAAGCATGAGGATGCTGGTGCATGGGGCGAACAAGCGAGATGGTAAGGGCGAGGAGAAGGGAGGGAGTGCTTCCCTGACGAGAACAAGGCAGTCTCCAGGGGAAGAAGCGGCTAGGATAGAGGGGGGAAGGAGGAGGGGAAGGAGGAGATGATGGAGGAGGAGGAGGAGAGGAGGGAGACAGCGCCCTGCCGTAAGGGACCGGGGGAGGGAGATCCAATCGAATGGGGACATTGCATGACCGTCGTTATTCCCCCGTTTTTTGCGTCAGTCATCTCGCTGTAAGGGTCTCTCTTTGACGGGTAATCATAATCCGCTCTCACTGTTTGACGTATGACATGAGAACAGGTCATATTGCCCCGAATAAGTCCTTTTAACTCTCTCTTTCTCTTGTCTTCTCTCTCTCGTGATTGGGCAAGTTTCATTGCAAAACCAGTTGTCGGGGTGCCTTGGCCTCGATTCACAAGCAGACGCGCACAGGGTTCACGGCCCAAACGGTGCTGATCAGCACTATCGAGAAGTCACCGGCATTCGGCCGCGCTCAACACAACCGAGGACTTCTGCTTAATTCTAACTTCTGCCGGGCCGTCCCAGCCCCAGTTTGCCTATACACAGCTCTTACCGCCGACTTGAACGGTCACCGGGTCTTCCACGGGGGATTAGGAGCGAAGGTGCATGATCGCTCTCGTCCTTGCGATCGCTCTGGACTCCCCTCTCTTCCCAATCGCATCATCACGCTGTAGGAGTATGCCAGGAGGGAGACCCTATCTGTGCAGCGTGCAGCAGGGTTTTTTCCCCTTCTCCATCTTCCCGCATGGGTGATCTTCCCCATCGTATCATATATCGCATTATGTCCTCGTCGGACGCCGGACGCCAGTCTTAGTATGCATGCCTGAACAACAGCTGCCCTGGACCGCGTGTCTCGAACCTTGGGAACTTCACATGATCCACGTGTGGTAAGTAAGCGAGGGTCACGTACTCCATGCCCAGCGAGTACCCGTCACCGCTTGCGACCCAGAGCGGCGTCACTTGACCTCAAGGTGCCAACTGATTACTCGACAACTGCTCGTCACTATACCATCGTCTCGGGCTCTTCATCTCCACTCTCTTTCTGTCTAATTCTCGGCAGAGCAATCAGAACCATTGGGCAACCTTGTGCTTGTATTGCTACAATGGCAGTCAAAATCGCGATTCAACGGGGTTTTGGGGCGCCTGTGGGAATCTGAGACTGATAACCTAGGGAGTCTATCGTCTATTGTTCATTCCCTACTGCCGGTCTCTCGGCTACTCAACCTGTCTGGCTGAGAGCCTTCTATCGCCGTTCGCGAAGCGCCCATCACCCCCAAACTCTAATGCCTCTGCACCAAACTCAAACAAGCCTCCCTGCAGCGCTCGTCTGATGAACCAGCTCTGCGGCTCGTCCACGAGCACTAGCCCGAACCTACCTGGCGGCAGATGCCGCTCGAACCTCTCCCACTCTGGCGCCCTGCTCTCGTACACCATCCGATCCTCAACGATTCCCACCCTCATCCCTGGGCATGCGAGGATCTGCTCCCTCAAGGCTAGCACATCCCGCTCGTCCGTCTGCCCGCCCTGCCGTTCGCAGAACACGAGTTCCCTCACCTGGGGAAACAACACTCTATACTCAAATTCCCGCCACCACGTCCTGTCCCTGTTCGTCCCGAGCCTCCGCAGCTTGCCCATTCGTGGGCATGCAGCGATCCAGTTGAGCATCCCTCGGTTCTGCCACCTTAGGAGCGAAAAAGGGAGCATGAAGCTCGGCGAGTCTACCACAAGCTCCTCGAGCTCCTCAAACTGGCCGAGCACGCCAGGCCAAAAATGGCAGTCTCGCACCCGCCGAGCAAAGTCGTGCACCACCAGGAGGCGCTTGAGCGTCGGCCCCAGAGCGGAGAATAGCGGTGCGAGCTCTTTGGCGCAGTAGGTGTGTGTATGTGCTTGATCCACCCGTGCAGAATCGGCCCCTTCCCACCCGGTAAACCAGTTCAACTCTCCCCTCAGGAGGGCCAAACTCTTCACCCACCGCAAGCCGTCCTCGCAGGCCAGTATCCGCCCCACGTCCTCCGCTCTCTGCACCACCACCCGCTCGTACAATCTGGGCAGCGCAAGCGCACGCCATACCCTGTCAGTCTGGCTGAGCGCGCGGAGGGCATGTTCGGTACCGGGCTCCCAGGCAAACGCTGAGTGGGAGGTAGAGAGGAGCAGGTGGGAGAGAATGGGTAAGCGGAGCTCGTTCGGTATCCTTGCTAGGTTTGGTGCGGACTTGGTGCGGGGCTGGGAAACGGAGCCCATAGATGGGTAATTGGTCGTGTGGGTTTCAATTGAGAACAGCACAGGATGCACAAACCAGACGGAGGGGCCCGGTTGGAACACGACCACGGGGTAGCGCTCAAGGAGGAAGGAGGATGACGCTATCTGAGGCTTATCGAGCCCTGCAGTTTGGGCGGCCCGCTGGATCAGGCACTGTGCCGCGGGCCCCGGCGGGAAACTGGGGTTGTAGGACACAATCGGATATAGGCATTACCAGGTGAAGATGTGTGGTTATGCTCGCTATCCCGCGGCGAGGTGGTTACGTGAGCATGTACAACTGCAGGAAAAGAGGCAGAGGGCGTTCGCGAAGCAATCACTCTGGTGGGTGATCGGGTAATGTGCCCGATCTGCTGCTGATGAGGGTCCTGTGCTGGCCTTCTCTCTTCGGGATCGTCACAAGCGCCGTTATGAATTAGGCAACTACAACCCGTACAACAATTTGCGCATCTTCTTACCCGCATTATAGTAAGGGTATCACCTCACACTCGCACGTGGGTATACAGGGTGCATTGTCACACCACCAACCTTCCCGGTCAAACGGGAAATTGCTCTCGACTTCCACTACGGGAACGCGTTGGTGGCGCCTCTGCGTAATCTTCCATCGACCCCTCCATAGCCGTGAGATGTTTTCTACTGTCCACTTCAGTGAGCGCTAGACCGTGGACGCTACTTTCACCGACTTCGCCCCTGATCGGCTGTGGCTGGTCGCCCAACCTGCTGTCGCGCCCCGCCTCGGCAGCTTTCTCCGTGTCCATCTCCCGCCGTGCTTGCCGGCCCTCCAATCCGAAGATGATCACACATAGGATCAGGACGATAATTGATTGGAATATGATGGACCGGTGCATGTTGAACGGTGGGTCTGCGTCTGCAGGTGCTCGAAGGGCACCTTCAACGAGGATGTAGATGACCGACATCAGGTTAGCACTGATGAACGTCAGCGTTAGGTCAGAATGCCGCGGAGCAGAAACTTACGAGCACCAGAATATAGCGGAAGATGTTTCGGCGTTTCTCGACACTTCGCAACCGAGTTCGAGCGCCACGGGAAGGAGGATGAAAGAACAGATACCAATTAGAACGAATTGCGTATAAATCCCAGCCAGGTCGTTGGCTTTGACTATTGTGCATCAGCAGCAGATTCGGCCTGAAGGATATGCGGTACTCACTGCCCCATATTAGTGTGATGTAAACTATGCCGAGTGCAGAAACGAAGAATTTGGCCGACATGGCCAGGTGATGCGTGAGGTATCGGTCGTAAATTGGAGCCGTCACGCATGCCGCGACGATCCCCGACAACAAAAAAGCAGCGCCCACGAAGCCGGCCGTATCGGCCGAGTACCCGTAGGGCACCATGAATTGGTTCAGGAGGACAGACATGGCGGTGAACGCCCCGACCAGATTCCCGAACGCTATGGTGAGGATGACGAAATCCCACCGCTGCCTTCGAGTCATGACGAACTTTCCCGGCCGACCTTTGCCTGGGAAGAGCACGTCGCGCAGTGTTTCGAACATGCTGGGAGTTTCGGTGGAGGCGGCGAATGCTATATGTGAGCGTGTAAGAATTCGGTTTATATTAGTCCCATGATCCTTACTTGGGGGAGTCGGAGGGCGTTCGAGCACACAGAACGCGGCAGGCACCGTCAATACAGAAGTGATGATCGCGAGGACAAGAATCTACGCATTTGTCAGACAATGTCATCGAGGGGAAGCAATAGCTTACCGAAAATGCGACATCATTTGAGCCAACAGCGGGTGCGATCAACTGAGCTAATGCAGCTCCAATGGGGTTGGCTAAACAGAGTGAATGAGAGACCACATAGAATGATCGTGAAGATACGACGTACAAACAGCAATCAGCATGGTTGCGGTTGTCCGTTCTCTCAGGTCAAACCACCGCTCGGAATATTTGGGCGCAAGGACCTGGAAGATCGGTTGTCCGATCCCATTCAGGACAGACGAGACCATGAAAACTGCGAAGGTTGTGGTCGCATTATGGCTGCCTTTCGCGGCTGCGTACCGCACCCAGGCGCTGGCGAGGGTCATAAATGCGCCGAATGCACACTACGGCACCGTCAGAAGGGCGACCAGACGAAAATGAAGCACTGTGAACGCACTGTCGGTTGCAGACCAAAATGTTCCACACTTATTGGGACGGCCAACGAGATGGGCAAATAAATTAAGTTGACCGAATTGGCGAGCCAGTTTACGTTATCGTATGACAGATTCCATTGCGCGACAGCTGAGGGTATATCAGCAAAGACCATGATTCCCGTGAACAAGACATACTGGAATTGGCAATAGGAGAAAACCATAACCAGTTCATCGCCGCCTGCATGGAACGTTCAGATTATTGTTTTCCGTGGAGCTCATGGCAGACTCACCGCTAAATTCAACATCACCAATGCGATCAAACCTATCCATCTTCGTTTGTATAGTCGATACTCCATGATGATGGACCTGAAATGTACGTGTGATTGACAAGCTGGCAGACCCAGGACATCCAGGTCCGTCGACGATCTTAAGAGGTGGCTTGCAGAATAGAAGGGAAATGCGATAATCAAGCCGAACTATCGTAATCAGGTGAGAAGCACGTCGTAGCTTGAGCTAGCAATCAGCGTATACAGAACTGAAAGGAAAAGGGGCAGCGTCCGCGTGAGCCATATGTATTGTCCCTCGTCCCCAAGTTCTATCCATGGACGCTGTCTCTGGCGTTCCTTAGTAGGGGTCTCGTGAGGGGGTTTCTGCATGGCCTCGTCGGCACCCTCCGGGCGCCGATGTCCGCGTTGAGAGACCATAAGCCGATTCGACCCGTTCAGTCTGGTACAAGGTCCGGTACGCCTCTGCGCGAAGCAGTGCCTTGTGGACGTGACAATGCTTGGAATGGAAGTTGTAAACAGCTCTGTCATCGTCGTTAACCATCACATTTGTGTCATTGAACACTCCGGCTGCCGACGTCAATTCGCCGGAAGCAGACCCTTGAGGCTCAGGCGCCCTAACGCATCAACCCAAACCTTGAACTTGCTCTTGTTGCATGCATATGCGGTTCAGATGAACGCCGTCCTAACTCAGGGCCAGGACGACCCACTCACACTTGATCTGCTCTCGTCTGAGCTGCACTCCCACCCCGGATCGCCAGACTCGCCCAAAATCGACCTCCCCATCCTCCTTCCGCTCTCACATAATCATCCGCATCTCGATGTATCTTCACACGATCGACCGTTCGAGGTTGACGAGTTCCTGCTCACGAGGGCGTCGCATACCACTTTACCTGACCTGAGAACCGAGCTGCGAGATTACCTGGCTAAGCTGAAAGAAGAACTGGTTGGGTTGATCAATCGCGACTATGGAGACTTTGTGAGTTTAGGCACTGACTTGAGAGGAGAGGGCGAGAGGTTAGAGAGACTGGGAAAGCCAATCCCTGGCATGAAACAAGAAGTTGAGGTTCGAGGCTTTTCTTTCATATCTATTCAGCTGCTGCTGAAGAGCAAATCAGAAAGCAAAAGGAGAGCTGGACGACGTAAAGGCCGCTGTTCGAGATAGGCTAACTGAGCGAGCCGCACTCCGAGAGGAAAAGGTACGTAAAAATATATTCACTACGGACAATTCTAATATCATATTAGGCACTTCTGCAACTCCTTTTGACTCTCTCTGACTCTCTTGTGCGGTTAGAATCTCTGCTCGCCATCGCATCACCACCGTCAGAGGATCCGGATATGCCGACGATATCAGGCAAGATGGACTTTGTGGCACCCGTGACGAGCCGGGGAGGAAAGCACCTTGCTCGTGTAGCCTCGGAGTACCTTCAATTGCTGTATCATGCGGACAAAGCTAGGGGCGAAGGGTGTGCGTTCGTGGATTCCAATCGATGGGTATGACCTTCCATCCCTCTGTATCCTCATTCTTATACTTGAGCCACAGCGTATTGACCGAATCAAAACCACACTCTCACGGGATCTGGATAATCTCTTCACGACCCTCTTGACCAGCTCCGCAAGCCAACAGACCAATGAGGGCTTCTTCGCGTCCAATACCACTGATCGTGGTCGGCGCATGCCTGAGCTGAATGAAGTGCTCCGGACATATGATGCACTAGGAGAATGGAGGCAAGCGGAAGAGGTTTTGCGGAGAGAAGTCGTGCGACCGTTTATCCGAAGTGTATGCCAAGTTTCGTAGTCCTTCTACTTCTATCGCGCTAACGTCATGATAGACTCTACATTCCACTGCCCTTACTGCACCACTCTCCCCGCTCCTACCGCGAACGCCCTTCCTCCTCAAATCCTTCAAGCGCACCTCTATCACAGAAGCTCTCATATCACCACCTCTCATTACCCCCGGAACCGGCACCCCGGGGCTGATGGGCGCGTTCAACCCACAAGCCCCCTTGCTGCTAACGGAAGACACCCCGCTCGCAGCGGTATACAATCAGCTCCTACGTTTCGCGGACCGCGAATTAGCTGGCCTCATTGACGCCTCAGAACGGATCAGCAACGCCCATAAAGGCAGGCGGAACCCCAATGAGACACCAGTGGAGAATGGCAAACCAGAGGAATCGGACAACAGGTTTGAATTCTTGGCGAACGTGTTCTGGGCCGAGACGGCAGGGGCGTTGATGGACGAGATGGGTGGGCAGCTTTTTGCTGCTGGACGACCAGACGAGTTCTTAGTTGTAAGAATGTTCATTGTGCAGTACCCGTCGAGGACTCATTCGAAGGCAGAACTACCACACCACGAGCGCATTCTTGCACTCGCTAGAATCCCTTGCTCCCTCTCTGACCAGTGTCTTCACAATCAGGTCGCACCCAGCAAGAAAAGCCTTCGACAGACGATGGCAGCTACCCGTTTACTTCCAGCTTAGGTGGAAGGAGATTGTAGGCGGTTTAGAGGATGCTCTGAGTGGAAATCGTACACCGATTTGCTTAAGTGTCGAGATGGGGTTGCTGACCTTTTCCAGCCATTACCGGAGACAACTGGGAAGGCTTCAAATCTCCTCAATCAGATGCCGTGTGGAAGGCTCTCGAGCGATGCTGGAGCGAGGATGTCTTCGTGCTCGAGCTGGGCGAACGATTTTGGCGATTGACGTTGCAGATTTTGAGCCGGTATAGGACGTGGTTGGCAGAGACCGCGCCTGCTGAAATTCTTGATCGGCCTGCTCTGTCACTTGCAGAAAAGGTAGGTCGCACTACGCTGCTTCTGATACTCATCCCTGAGCCGTTTGCTCCAGCGATCAGCGTCTCCAGCACTGAGCGGTGTGCCAAGTCGATCTTCCACCCCGCACCCACCAACAACACCAGACGCCACAAAAGATTCCGGGGCAGATGATGATGAGACACTTCGCAAAGATGCGTATAACATCATCGACATGAAACACTTGGAAGAAAAAGTGTGGGATTTGTATGACAGGATTGGAGGGCTGCTTGAAGAAGCCGAGGAGGATGATGAGACGGCCAAAGGTACACCTTTCTCCAACGTGAGAAAGCATGAACATGACAGTCTTCATCAGAAACACTTCAGTCATCACTGGCCCACTTGCTTTCGCGAATCCCGTCATACCAGACCCAAATTTTGCAGATCTTGACCAAGCGATGCGCTGATCCTCTTCGCCACGTTCGTTCAATCGCTTCTCAGTATCGTGCCATGTCCAACAAACGCGAACCCACGGAACCGAGTTACTTTGTTCCCGGTATCATGCGACCGGTCAAGCTCTTCTTTGACAAGGGCGGCCCGGGAGAAGCTTTGAAAGGAAGTTATGGTTCAGCATGGGCAACTGAGATCTTCGACGACCTTTGTCAACGATACACCGCAATATTGGTAGACATGAAGAAGACGGAGGATTCTCTTCGACGATTCAAGCAAGGGAAGAAGTCGGCATTTTCCTTGTTCGGCTCCTCGACAGCGTCTGCTAAAGAAGAGGAAGGAAAGGACGAGGAGCGGGTCAAGAAGCAAATGTTCCTTGACGTGACTGCGCTTGGAAAGGATGCGGAGACTCTCGGAGTTGACGCCAGGACGAGCGAGAGCTTCAAGGGGCTCATGCAGACCATTGGCATGGCAGAGGCGACGGTGTGAGGGCTCTTTGTCCGTCGAAACACGTGGGTCGGCCACGCGCCGCCCGGAGATACCGTTGTCACATAATACCTTTGTAAGCACGGAGCAGTGGCATCCCCTGTAACGGTATGCGTCAACCACATCCTTGGCACTGGTCGGTGTTCCGGGACACTTTACGCCAGGGCATCGTCCAAAGTCGGGTAAATGCATGTTATGACCGGCGCTCTCGGCTTGGAGAAAGGGTAGGCTAAGCTAATTGGGGGGTGTTGAACCTTATTTTTACTTGTATGCTGCGCAGCTGGAAAAACGGAGCACTGATGAGTGGGTTCAGGTCTAACAGAACTTGGTTGCGAGGAGAGATATGATTAGTTAAGGAACAGTGCACACACAAATAAGGGTTATGCCGCTAATTTGGCATGTCTGACCTGGATGGAAGGGAGGGGAACAACAAAAAAAATGTTATGATTTTCCGATAGGGGGCCCTGCCAGGCAAACATGCGGCAACACAGCCACATAGATGGGCTAGGGCCTGAATGCGCTTGACCTATACACACGCGTTGTCACTACGTTTCAACAGCTACTAAGTTCCCCCCTTCCTCCTCTCTTGGTTAGTGTGTTCCCAACTAGCTGTTTGCCTCGTTGTCGAACTCCACCGGCTCTTCCCGTCATTTCGACTGACAAGGAAGGGAGTCATCTCTTCCAGAACTTTCATTACGTATGTCCGACTATTTTATACTCCCTGGTCGCAAGGCTCGTCTAACGATGATCCCTAGTCTTCACACTTTGCGTACACGTTGCTCTCTCATCTCCGTCCATCTCCGTAATTCGTCAACACAGGGCTAGGCTCAGCCATGACTATTCACTAAAGCACACTTACGTCGTCTTTTGCACCCCAAATCTCCCCGAATATTCGCATATCCGACAAATCCGGTATTACCGCGCGGTGGCAGCCCGCACACAACATGGCCACATCTGCCTCTCGCTCGCCCTCTGCCTCGTCCGTTCGCGCAGACGCCATTTCGCGCCTCAAGAGGGCCGCCTCTCTACCACGCATGAAGGATGGGAGGCGCCCTGCTATACCTGCCAATGGAGGTGCGTTTAGCGAGGGGGCGAGGAGTGAAGAGGGCTCTATGCGAGGTGCCGACACCCCGACTTATGGGTACGGCGATCGATCACAATCAGAAACCGACATGGTGGCCTTAGTTCGACCGCACGAACAAGAGATGGAGCTCAGTCACGAGAACGTGGTGGAATACCAACCAACGGCGCTAGCTGAGGACGATCTGCCCACCCCAACCCCCCGAGAAGACGTGAATGACCTCCACCATGCGGAACACGATGTGTCTATCACCCAGGCTGCGACAGAGGTCCACGAGAAGAAGCCTGAGATTGAACTCGAACCTGTCACCGTACCAGAGCAGACGGGGGAAGAGGAGGAGGAAGAGGAACAAGAGGAGGAAGAGCACGACGAACCGCCATCTCAGCTCCCCACCGCTGAGGAAATGTTATTGCTAGGTCTGCAGCAACAGATGCAGATACAGCGTGTCTTGGCTGGTCTGCCTGCGGCATTCCCACCCTCATCCTTTCCAACCGGATTTCCACCATCTGCCTTTCCTCAGAATGCTTTCCAAACAGGGCTACCCAACCACCAACCGACCAATCAGCTGGAGGTCGTGATTGGAGCTCTGTTGAGTCAGCAGCAACAACATCTGCAGCAACAACAACAGCAGCAAGCTGCATCGTCTTCGCAACCACGGGTGTATAGACCCCCTACATCCCCTGTTGGGTGGCAACAGCCCATCAAGTCACCGGCATCTCCTTTACCGTCCCTAAATGATCTGGCCGCTGCCCATCAAAGGGGCCTTTTCCGTTCAAACAGTGCTGCTGCCCGAACCGAAGCATACAGCAAGTTAACTGGTGGTCGGGAGACGCCCATGATTTCTCCACCTGCATCGGTGCTTGGGCAAGTCAGCATGAGCCGATTGGGCCGAAGCCACACCGTCACTGGTGGCGAGAGAATGGCTGCGGGTGGACGAATGGTGGGCGTCATCAGCCGGCGGCAAAAACAGGAAGACCAGAACCGCGCACCCAGCGCTATGGACATGACAACAAGCGCTGGCGAGGAGAGCTCTGTCTCAGTGACAACTCGCGAAGAACGTCGCTCTCGCAGACGTCGCCGACATTCGAGCCAGTCAAAAGCCGTGGTGGTGGATGACCGAGACGTGCCTACGAATGCCCCAAGTACACCCGCACCATCCGGGACACCTTTGCCACAAGAAGACATTCCGCCTTTGCCGCCGCGGGAATCTATTTCATCTCTCTCCGCTGCGAATGCTCTGAGACAGAGTATCGAGAAACGCGGTGCAAGAGACAACTTCGAATACGACTACGAAAGAGGTAGGGCGAAGTCTGCCACTCCAGTGTACTATGGTTCGAAACCAGGCACGGATGTGGAGACAGACAACGAGATTCCTCCTGTACCTCGAAGTCCAACCAATATTCCCACAAGCCCATCGTTGAGTGACCTAGGGCGCCCCCTTCCTACTACGCCCCTGTTTACCGGTCTTCCATATCCGAGTGCACCGTATCTTACGTCACAGAGCGGCACACACAACTCAGATGGAGCCTCCCATGCCTCATCTGGCTACATGGACGGTATTCCTGTCTACTTGAGGACTGGCAGCCTGCAGCCAGCTCGGGACTCCTTCCCTCACACCATCGAAGGTACACCATACAGCCTGCCATACAAGTCGTCGCCTAATGGTGAGAATCACAACAAGATTCATCGGGCAATAACCCCCGGCTACGACTCTGCGGCTGAAAGCCCATGGAATCTGGGAGCCGGCTCAGAATTTCATGGCGCATTGGGCGACACGAGAGGTATGTTTCAGGGTCCTACTGTTGATCGATCTCGTAATAATATTGGTTCTGTAGGGCGCAATATCATGGATCAGTTCCGCGACGAGGGCGAAGAAAAAGCGGAGACCGGCGCACTACTAGTAGAAAGTCTTCCCGAGCCGACCAGCCTAGGGTCGGATTCTGCAAATACTGTGCGCGCCGCCATAACCCCAAGCCCTCTGCCGCCCATGCCCTTGACTGCTCCAGCAACCATCACCGGGATGTCCTCCCAACAAATGCAATTCCCTACCGCTGTCAGCCCGTCACCACGGGCGCCTACGGTCAAGCCCGCACACCGAGAGGTGTTGAGTGACATCTCTTTCACCTCAGTACCCCCCGCATCAACGCCACATCGTAGCCGCACAGAATCAGTGGGGATGTCTGACTTTGACATTGCGATCACTGACGGGGAGACAACCGGGCGGGAGGACCGGCCGAAGAAACGGCGCAGTGGAAGCAACTTCTCAGACAAAGTCAAAAGTTTCCTGTCGCATATGTCCAGCAGAACGGCATTGAGACCGCGGACGACCAGCATAAGTAGCCGACATGAGCGGCAGCAGAAGACAGAATCAAATAATAGCGGGGAGCTTTTGGGTGGAAAACTGGAGAATGTGGAGAGCAGGGAAAGCAGGGAAAAGCGAGAGAGTCGGGACAGTAGGGAGAAGCAGGTTGCGCAGTTTCGCGAAGGACTCCTAACCAAGAGCGTGTCGGCCGTGTCCCTGCCTTCTCAGGCTTCTCCCCAATTTAGCAAGTCTCTCATGGATGTCACCACCCCGATGCCTCAAGGCAGTATCTCGCCGTTGCCGCCTGCCTCTGCCGCTCAAATCGCCAAGTACACCGACGACAAACTGCTGCCATTCCCTGGCATGCTCAGGTTAGAGCAGGAGCGTTCAAAACTTCGGACCTTATCTCCACCCACGTCACCAACTAACCTATCATTCTCTCCACCGCCCACCTCTCCTCCTCCGGGTACACAAACCACAATTAGATCAGGCTCGGCAAAGCTTGGAACCCCGTCTCCTGGTATGACTCTACTCGATTTGCCCTCAACGCCTACTAGCGCACCTGCTACACCAGGTACCCTAGGGGAGAGGATGGGGGAGAGGACATTGCACTATATCGACTTGGGTGACAACCTCCTTGCCGGTAGTGAAACCTTACCGACGACTCGCCGCGGTGTTCAGCAGTGGCTGAGGATGAAGAAGTCATCACCCAATGGAAATGGCGCCGTACAGAAGAAGTCATCTTTGACCGATTTGCTCAGCTCGGGCATGCTTAACGAGAGTCCTATTGAGAAAGACGATGGTGCTGGGCTCTTCGGGAAATTGTCAATCGGACGGAACACGAACAAGAAATCGATCCGACCAAGGCTTCCCGAAAGACAAGATGGTCGGGCAGGTGCAAGCAGCAGTACTGATATTCCTCAAGTTCCCATCCCATTTCCTGCACCTGTGGCGCCTCCAGCCCAGATCTCAATACCGCGGCATCCTGAGGACTCTCATGTTTCTACTGCTCTATCTTTGGTACCATCACAGCCTTCAGCGATGCTGCCAACCAAGCCATCATCGCCAGCACCTCTCGTCCCCGTTTCAGATCAGCCGGCCGTCGTTGTTGCCTCCGCTTCCAATGCGAGCAATTCTCTTGCATCTCTTGCTGCTGTGGCTGCCACATACCAGGAAAAGAGCAACAATCAGAGCGCTCTTGCAAGTTTAGCCGACGCTGCCGCAGTATCAGACCAGCCAGAAGACAGTCATAGCTCCTTGGCGAGTGATCCCTCCGGGCCCAACAGCCATATCACAGATCTGTCTATTTCTGCTCTGTCGACGCCGTCCGTTTCTCATGAAACGTCGTCAACTTCTCAACCATCCCTAGATTCCCCGCCTCGGGTTCAGCTTCCCCACCTGAAGCAATACAAGTCTGCCTCAACACCGCCTGCGGGATCTTTATCATTGAATATCCAGCCATCTTCACGGACATTCTCGCCCAAACCGTCTCCTCCACGGAAGCTATTACTTCATAGCCCTGTCCTTCAAGTCGTTCAAGGCGACAGGTTGAAGGAGCGACATCTCTTCCTTTTCTCAGACATCCTCGTTATCGCGAAACCCGATCTGAGATCGTCGTTAACGAATGAGAAGGGCGACCCTGGTTCTTTGTCGCGACCTTTACTGGTCAAGAGTATTGTTGAGCACCGCAATTTGTGCATCAAACCGCAGCAAGATCATGTTGAGCCTGTGAAGTCAGACAAGCACAAGTTGACAATGAGGGCATTTGCAGACGAGTTCGCGGAAAATCCTACCGTGGCCGTCACCAAGTTGGCCCAACGCGCTGGGCTGCAAGATGACCCTGGCGCCATAGCGGACGTTCTCTTTGAAACACCCTCCCTCGACAAAAGGCAACTCGGAGAATATTTGTGCCAACGGTCTTCAAGATATGTGCTTCGAGCTTTCATCGATCGATTTGGGTTTGAGGATGTTCGGATTGACATCGCTTTGAGAACATTCTTGCTTTCCATCATCCTGCCTGACCAGGAGGAGAATTCAGACCATCTGCTTAACAACTTTGCTGCACGCTGGTGGAGCGCCAATTCAAGAACGATTGGTTTTGATCGGGAGCTTTCCACGCGACTCGTCCTTGCGATGATTCAGCTGAGCGAAGCTTTACACTCTGCTTCTTCCGTCTCATCTGGGAAAAATGGCGCTATGAGCCCCAACAAGCCGCGTATATCGGTTCAGGATTGGATCGAGACTTTCCGCATTCGGGATACTAGACAATTGGTTCCAGAATTACTCTTGAGAGCCATCTACACGGGGATTTCGAGGTTTCGCATAGCCGAGTCATTGGATTCCAACAGCGACTCAGAGGTACCGGCCGCTATGATACCGGCCAGAATGAAGACACGGCTGACGCACGGAGAACCTTCGGAGCGTATCCATATCCGGATACCTCGGCCGGATCGCAACTTCGCCATCAGATTATACGGGCATGGTCTGAAGTTCGATCCTGAGTACCTCGACTTCTCCAATTCAACGGAACAGTCCTTTGTCATCTTCCCTACCACTGTTGGGCCAAAGACTATCATATTTGGTCGAGAGGGCGGCAATTCCGCGTTCTACACAGGTGTCCCTTTGAGCAAGACTGTTCTCGTCGAGCGGGCATTCATGAAGAACACTTTCCAATTGGCATTCGTCAATCACCTCGGCGTCAAACGCAAATATCTCTTCAGTATGGATGATCTCTTCCGTGTGACCGAGTGGACCAACACCCTCTCGAGGGAAATCAACAAACGCAAGTCCATGGAAGCTCCCTTGCGCGAGAAAGACGCAGAACGGAAAGCTGCAGCAGATGTCATTGCATTTGTTACGCTGCGCGATCTGCTGCTTCCACGTGAAGAGAAGGAGCCAAATTCTTCTGCGGCGGACACCAGTGCCGCGAGCTACTCCCGAATCGGTCCTCCAAAGAGCCCTGCTGCTAAAGAGTCACCCAGTGATGATCGAGCTTACACCGGACAACAAATAATCCAAACGTGCATTCAGAACAGTCTGCTTGCCAGCATGATTTTGCGAGCGAAGCCTGCTAAGGCCGACGGAAACTTCAGTGACCTCGAGAAGAGGACACCTACGCCGAGACTTGCGTCACCCTTGACGCTAACGCCCAGAATTCGACCAGGCGGTATGCGGATGTTTTGAAGAATTGATTCGGCTATAGTCTTTCTTGTCACTTTCCTAGATTGTGGAACTTCCTGTAACGAGTCTTTACGCCTTCCTATTTCGGTCTTCCTGTTCAAATTGCCTCGCATCACAGTCCTCAACTCACATGTATTGTTACTCACAGTTCTGTATTCACCACTATACCTTACTGTTATGCGAGAAATATAGTACCCGTCTTGTTCTGATGTGTTTTGATGCACAGTCGGAAATACGATGACTTTGCGTGTACTTCCTTCTCTTGACGACGACCACTATGAAGCCATGACATCCAGCTTGAGATATCTTCAGAAGAGTTTGCAGGCCTCACTGGGGCGTAGTCAAGCAGTTCAGGAACTCGCATGGATGCGAAAAGAACTGCGAGCATTTCCTGATAGTCATGATACAGAGTCGGCTGATAGCCGACTTGCAACTTGGATAAAACGACGGATTGCAGGCGAGCCATTACAATACATACTCGGTGGGTTCGGAACCCGACTCGCCCTTCGAATTTACGACGCGCTAACTCATGACAGGCAACCAGCCATTTGGTCCGCTGGAGATCATCACACGATCACCTGTGCTCATTCCCCGACCGGAAACTGAAGAATGGGTAATGCAGCTCTCACAGCGCTTCGACCCCTCAGCGCGAGAGGGACCTGTTTCAGTCCTTGATTTGTGCACCGGTACCGGCTGCATCCCCCTCATGCTGTCCCATATATGGTCACCGGGGAAGGTCCGAGCGCTGGGGGTGGACATCTCAGCTGACGCGATCGACCTTGCGAAGGAGAACCTGATGAAGCGCGGAGCGCACGAGGCGGAGTTTCTGCGTGGAGACATGTTTGATCATCGTTTCTGCGCTTCGATATCGGAGAAAGGAAGGTACGACATTATCACGTGCAACCCGCCGTATATCCCGCTGGACGAGTACGCAAGGCTGTCCCGATCCGTGAAGGACTGGGAGGATCCCCGTGCACTGGTCGGAGAGTATCCGGTGCCCGAGGACGTATCAAGAAACGAAACGATCGGATCAAGCGGACTGCGATTCTATGCTCGGCTCGCCGAGCTTATACCAGACCTCCTCGTTCAGAAAGAGGGTATGGCCGTGTTCGAATTCGGTCATGGTCAAGGCTCGAAAGTCATGGATATTCTCAAACACCTGTTCCGCCAGACCGAGTTATGGAAGGACCACTCCGAGAAGGAACGGGCATTCGCTGGGTGGACTTGAGAGCAGGCATGAATAATACGGGTCGATAGCGATACAGCCCGTATCAATGAGCTATTATTACGGATCTTGATGCTGCGTTTCTAATCGAGAAAGAGGCATGCCTTTCTCGTGCCAGTTGCCCTGCTTGGGCGCCTCCACCGTGCGGCAACAGGTGATCCGATTCGGCAGGTGTACGCGGCTGCCGATTGTTATCATATATAGAGTACAAGCGCTGCTGGTAGAATGGCATATCCAGCGCATTCCCGGTAGATATTTACTTGTCCGTATCGCTGTTGGGGTCATGCATGCCGACTAGCGAAGCATGTTTAGTTCTGTTATTTTCTGCTTGGTGGATGTTCCGATGTAAGCACCCCACTTATTGATGACCTACAAGAGAACGTGCGACCCTGGGTGAAATTTTTCCATTTTCCCTTATCCGACGTCACCTGCCCCCGGCGGGACAAGAATTGGACAACTGATTTCGATAGAGGGGTTCTGATAGCGTGGAAATGAAGGAGTAGGGACGTAATAAGACAAGGTGCCTTTGTTACGGCGGTATTCACCAAGATTAGCACTGTCCCTCTGTCTTAGAAACAACTTTGCGACATGGGCCAACCCACAAGTATACATTCTTCTCCTCGAGCTTGGCTGGCAATGGCTTGACGACAGGGTACTATATTTTGTTTATTGTCTGGACCCCATCTTCTAGGAGGGATGAAGCCATTGCTCTGCCCAAATCTGAGCCCCACAATCAGAAACGCCATCATTCCGCACAGGTGTGTTCATCAAGCGGGTAAGAGCTGTTGTGCTTTGCGGGTTGACAGCCGGCATTTTCGGGGACGTAATTGTACTGTGGCACCTGACTCGACTTTTGGTGCGCTGTTAATTCGTACCCTCTCTGCCCCCCCCCAAACTCCCCATATCGATTCAAGGCAACGCCCACATGGCGGGCAAATTTATTGTGCAATGACCAACCGTGGCCCCGTCACTGATGCTCCTCGCCTGTCATAAAGCACCGCTGACCTGTGACGATTGCTGCTGAGCATCCCCCTCTCCTCCTCAATTCATTACAGTCACGTCCGCACTGCGCACCCCTTTCCCGCAAATAATCATATACAGTCCACTCACGTCGCTGCGGGATACCCATAATCTCTCTGCAGACAACCACCATGTGTACGTCGTCTTATGCCATGATGAATACCCTCCTAACCTGCCGTAGACTCTCGTCCTGGAGCCTCCATGCTCTCCCCCTCGAGCGCGACAGTTCGCCCCGGGTACAACCCCCGCCCGCGAGGGCAGTCTAACGCCGCCCCTAGTGGAAGCGGGATGCCCCCCGACCTAGAGCTATTCCACAACTTCGTCCGTTGGCACGCGCCGGACGAGCTCCTCCAACCTTGGGGCGCGCGATACCGCCCCCCACAGCTGAACTATGCCGGCCAGCCTATCCCGCATGACAGGTTCAGCGCGTCACTCGTCATCGTCGAACCGTACGGGAAGAACGCGGTCGACGTGGTGTTTGTGCTGAACCGCCGACCGCCGCAGAAGCGGTATTGTGTACGTGCGAGGGTGTACCTCCAGCAGTGGGCAAAGGACGAGAGGAACGCCCAGCTTACGACCGACGACGTGCGCGCCGCTGCGTTCAGGGGGGTGCAGACACTCTTGAACTCGCCGCACCTTGAGCCTGTGGAATGGGTCACCTCGCTGGCTGGGCCGACAGAGGTGGAAGAACGTGAGTCGACTTGTTGATGGAGCTGGGATTGGCGCTTACGCGTGCATGCAGCTGCCACGCCCGAGATGCGTGCCGAGAATGCGCCTTCCTTACAGTGGTCCATGTCCATGTGACCTTTGATACCCAGCTTCTGAGAAGCAAAGAAGAGAAGAGAATGAGGAAAGAGATGTTGATAATACCATAACGCGCTACAGTACTGTCTGAGTCTACCACCCATTGTATCCCCCACGACACCATACGCGCATGCACGCTTCAACTGACGACGACAGATATGACAGTTCCTGCTTTGGTAGCGTACTATACTCCTAATCATACCCATGTCCATCGCGTCGAACATCCTGGGTGTATACCCCTCTGCCTCCTGCCTGCATAACACGGACTACACCTCACTCATACATTCGTATTATCAGGCATGTTCGCATACTCGCTCTCGATGCCCGGTTCCATCAGCGCTGCATGGAAGAGGATGATGAAGGCGCTGCTGCCAAGGAGCCAGAAGAAGGTCCACACGGGGCTAGCCCACATAAGCAGGGGAAGTCCGATAACGAACAGAGCGATGTAGAGCGTTGATTGGGTTATGGTCTGGTTGCCCACCTGGATGGATTCGGGCGCTGAGTGGGCATTAGTGAGTGCATATTGAACGTAGGAAAGGAGCCAGGGGTAAGGGGTAGACGGGATGCGAGTGACAGGTAGGGGTAGAAAGAGACGCACCAAGCCGGTTGATGGCGGCGAATCCTCCGACAAGGAAGAAGATCGCTATCAGCAGGATGGGCTTGGTGATGCTGCGCGCGTTCGTTCCCCTGTGAGCAAAACAATTCATCATCCGAACGTAAGAACGCACATGGCATAGATCGCAAGCCCGAGAATGATAAGCAAGTAGTTGCCGGAGAAGTAGCGCGTGTTGTATGATATCCTCTGATTTCCCAGGCCTCAGATCGTGCACCAAGCGCAAGATGAGGTTGAGCGCTCACCGAAGTAGCTTCGTTCATGTCCGCCGGACGAGAGATCCGGTGGTAGTCGAAGAACTGAGACTAATCGGTATCGCCCCATCTCTAACATAGGAGTACTCACCTCCCCGGGGCCCTTCAATGCGCTCAGACGCGTCTCCTGTACTTGGATGAGAAATTATCGGGTGAGAGCGCGAGCAACGTACCCGGAGGGTCTTGAGCGCCGAAGCGCCACGCAGGACATACTCCATATTTTCAGATTTTTCAAATTGACAGAATAGATTTCAGAAAAAGTTCAGCTGCTCGCAGAGCAAGATGGTGGTCGTCAGAGTTAGAGGAGTGTGCGACCTGCTGAGGATGGTGCTTGGACCCGAGTGATGAGGCCGGAGAAATGTGCGACGTGCGCCGCGGTTTTTGCGCAGGTCGACACTGCCACTAGGGGTACACGTCGCCAAACACCGCAGCTCCGGTTCCACTCAGTTGGGGTACGTAAAGAGTGAGTAGTTTGGAATGGTGTGACGAAAATACGTTATGATTACGCGCGTGCTGTGAAAATAAGACGAGAAAAGAGGTGGATATTGGTATTGTGTAACCAGAAGATAGGTGAAGGCAGTGAGACAATATTCCAAGCGAGACGCGTACGAGGAAGGAGTTACTTGGTATTGCAAACAAGTTGTTTTTGTCAACAAGTCCAAGTTGTGCAAATTGACTGTAAAATGTAGACTTGATAATTACGTGTCAAGCTAGAATGTATGATGTTAAGCATTTGTTTATTCAGGGCCGGTATGTGACGTGCATATGGAATCTTGGTTGACAACGAGCAAAGAACGTCCGTCGACACCCGCGCCACAGGAGTACCGCTTCCCTCACCGCCGTTCTCCCCTACAGGGCCGCTGCCTCGAGGCATCAAGGACACTGTCAGAGTCGGTGAGAAGGGCGTGTACGACGCATTGTATCCTCTCTCACGCCATCCTGAGGTTGTTGTTCTCCCTCTCACTTTACGCCAATTCACCGTCGACTCGTCTGTCCTGTCTGTCAACCGTCGCTCATTGCTCACTGTTTACTCTAATCAGCGCTCTTTTCATGATCTTCTGATTGCTCTCTGTCTACTCTACCTTGTCAACATCCATCTTCAGCCTTTTCTTCGACCGGAAAATGTTCACCTCTTCTCTCCCTTTCTCATTGGTCCTCCTCATCCTCTCAACCTCCTCTTTCGCCCAACAACAATTCAACAATGTCACCCTTGACCCCGCTGCCTCGACACTTTTCTCAACCTCAAGCGGTACCCTTTCACCAGTAGGCACAACAGAGGATGGAGGGCGCATACTCGCTGCCTGTACACTCGACTCAACAGTCTACGTCGCCGGGTCGTTCTCCCAAATAGGAGGCACATCCGCACAAAACGTCGCTGCGTTCGACTCTTCCTCCTCTTCCTTCTCCGCCCTTCCCAAAGGAGGGCCAAACGACGCCGTTCACGCCCTCTACTGCGATTCGGCAAACAACCTCCTCTGGCTTGGAGGGAACTTCACCCTTCCCTCACCGGGCGCAGCGGCCTATGCACCACACAATAGCTCCTGGGTGCCGGCGCCGTTTGTCGGTCTGTCTGGCGAAGTTCTCGCCATCACCCCATTTGCCGACGCACAGTCCATCTACTTTGCAGGATCTTTCATCACCGCATTTTCTTCAAACAGCACCAACTCCACGTTCGGCAACAACCCGAATGTGCCGTACTCTGCTGGCGCAACACCTTATTCCTCCTCATTAGTCCCGATACCCCTGCAAGGAGCGCAGATCACCGCTGAACCCGCTACCGGTCAGACCGGGTTCAGCGACATCACAAACATACTTTGTCCGGCAGGAGCTGACGGCGAGGGGAATACCTGGCTCGCACAGGATGGATCGGCCGCGCAAATCACGGTCAGGACGTTCAGGAACGAGGGGGTCAGTGGTGTCAGATTGGGGAATACGTTCGTACAGGGGAGGGGAACAACAGCCTTCACGTGAGTTATCTGCATACATTTAGCCTTGGCAAACGAGTTGAATAATGTTCATTAGTGTCACGACCATCCCGAACAATCAGGTCCTCCCATTGTCTTACATCGACCCAGTAACCAACACAACACAGAACTGTTCTGATTCCTGCCCGTTGCTCACAAACACCACTATCCCGTATCAGGACTTCATCTTTAACCAAACACCAGCATTAACTATCACCGGTTTCCAGCTGACGCTCAACACATGGGCCGGTGCGGGAGCTGGCCTGCACTTGCTGCAACTGTTGTCGGAGGGATCCTTCGCTTCTTTCGTGCCGGGATTGGACACGGCATCCTGCTTCGCTCCTGGGCCTACGACGGTCACGCAAACAGGTAATTGGCAGGAGGTTAACGTCACTACCAACACGGCTGGTACTGTTCAGCCCATACTGCAGGCTACGCTCCCGACGAATACACCACCAGCTTCCTCTCCTTCCCTGGATCTGTCCGTCTATGTCTCCGCCGTCGGATACTACACCGTCTATTTTGTTACTCCTGGGTGTACGCTCATGGAAGACTGCGACTTGCGCACGACTGTCCAGGTCACAATCAGCCCTGGAAACAGTGTTGCCCCCGTAACGCAAGAGATCGACCAGCGCGTGACGTCGGATACGATAACCACCGTGTACCGTGGTCCTGTATACCCCACGTCCCCCTCGTTCACCATTCCCGTTTCCCTTCGCCTGTCCGGCACTCCTGCCGGTACTGGGTCAGACGGGAATTATGACATGGTTGCGGACCAAGTACAGTTCGTGCTCACCGCTGCACCAAATGGGACGGGAGAAAGCGTCGTCGGCGAGGGCGTACCGGGGTACAACCTCACCATGACTTCCTCCGGTATCGCTCGGGGCTTCGGGCTCTTTGAGTGGCCAGAAAGGAGTGCTGCGGAGAACGCAACTGGTACCCTGTCTACTGGGCTGGAAACGAGTGTAGACCAGGCGGGAGCCGCGTTGTATGCTGGTATTCTGGGCGCATCGATGAACTCTTTCTCGGTCGCGGCGATCGCACAGTTCGGTGCGAGTGTCATCTCCGCCCTTGCGGTGGGCAACAATGGTACGCTGTACATCGGTGGGCTTTTTACTTTGAGCACTGTTGGAGCAAGCAATATTGTTATGTGGAACGGGAGTGACCTGATCCCCCTTCCCTCCGGTGGGCTGAACGGCCCTGTGACCGCTCTTGCGATCGACAACTCTGCTGGGCATCTGTACGTCGGCGGGTCGTTCTCCGGTCCTCAAGGTTCGACGGAGAGCGGATTTACCGGTATTGGGCTGTTCGATATCGCCGCCAGCAAGTGGACGTCTATGGCCGGAGGTTTGAACGGGCCCGTGACGGGACTCGCTTTCAGCAGCAACCAACTGCTTGTTGTGGGTAACTTCACCGCACTGCCGCAGAACAGTGGGATTCCCGCAGCGGGCATTGCTTCATGGTCACTGAGCGCGGCGTCGTGGAATCCTCCCAGCGGTTTCGTCGTCGGCAATCTGTCATTTATTAGCACCGATGGCCAATTCATGGGCGGCCGTGTGTCCATGTCCTCGATCTCGTACGGCTCGAGCGGCCACCTCTCTGAGGGGCTTGTCATCCTCGTCTGTATCGTTATCGGCGCTGGTTGCGTGCTCATGCTCTTCCTTATCGGCCTCTTAATAGCTCTCTGGCTCAGACGGTCAGAACAGGCACCCCAGGCCCTCGCCGATAAGGACGACGACGATGCTGCCAGCAGCATCGGTCAGCACCCCTCTACTCTATTAGAGCACGTGCAGGCCGCCACGCGGGCTACCATTATTGGAGAAGGCGCGTTCGCCGGCGGGAACATCCGAAGTGAAGGCTCGCATGAGCAGGTGGCAGATGATTCGATGGAGACGGAGGAAGCAGTTGGGGGAGCGGGTCCGTTCGCGGACGACGGTCGGGTAGCGCATGCCCGGTACTCTTTCGAAGCATCTGGTGAGGGAGAGCTTGAGATCCATGCCGGCACGCAGGTGCAGGTCTTAGATGACCGAGACACGTCGTGAGTAGTTTTTTGGCCCAAAACTGTTCCCACCCTCATCGCATGACTTTTCTAGTTGGTGGCTTGTCCGTGATGTGGAAACGGGTCGTGAAGGCATTATACCCGCATCATACCTGCTCTAGACTATGCGTCCTTTTTACATATCTTGTCTCTCTGGGTGTATATTTGAAACCATCCTTGCTACCCCGACAATATTTTCCCATCACTCCTGTTGACACGTCGGCTCCACCTTGGCTCTCACGCTCAGGTCAGGGTGAGTCGCTGTGCTCCTGTTGTGATCGCTTTGCTGTAGAAAATAATCACTCGTCACGATCATAATGCAGAGTCTTGTCTCTCGGCCGCCGTGGTAAAATATTTTAAACCGCACACAATAAATACAGAACCCAGTGCCACGCTCATTGCCGCAGAGTTGTTGGGTTTCTGCGAGAACATGTCCAGGGCGGCGAAACCTATGCCATATTCGAGGGTCATCTCGCACCCTCGCACTGCATGCGTTCTTGCGCTAGTTTATTCACATCGGCGTGCCCTGGCAATCTTCCTGTTCTCATGCCAGAGATCCCAGAGGATGAGAGCGTGATGCAGAAGTCGATAAATTTAAACAGAAACAGTCCCTCGGATCCGCACCCTTTGGTCCAGCCTTTGAGAATCTGAGGCCGTAAGGCGCATAGGGTTCCGCCTTCTTTGTCCGCGTTTCTGAGGGTTCAAAATCCATTGCCAGCGGCGTGTGCCGCAGGAACCCTGAGCTCTTGGTAGAAGTAATCGAAGGAAATAGGGACTCGGGGACGTGTTTCTGATTTCGGGAGTTGCAACCATACTCTCCACCGATACTCGAATAAGGCATTCCACCCGGTGTAGGATTTCGGGCGTATTGTCAGCTCCAGCCCCAAATATCAATGATATCCTCCGCTTGGCTTCGTCAAGTGCACAGCACAAACCTGGGTTGCCTCACTATAAAGACTTTGAATTCCTTCTTTACGAGATATCACCCCACCGGTTATATAGCAACGTGCTATCGCAGTTAATGTAGGCCATGAACAAATCTATAGCCGGAGGGCACTGGAAACGACGCATGAAAGAGAACACAAACTGGCTGCCGCGGCTTGAGATGGTTCACAGACACCTTTGGCTCGCGATCGGCCTCTGCCGATCATGCTATGTCATTTTGTTTCCGTTACGTGAGCCTTCATTGATTAAATGAATGGACCCCATGTTACCATTCAGTCTTAGAATCACAAAGCAGGCCAGAAGCCCTGGGCCCTGCGGAATAGCACATGTAGACAAGGTTTCCCACACTTCCACACTTCGATGCGGGCGGCGACGGGTATATCCTCGGCATTTCTCTCTTCGATAACGAAATATTATACAGTGAAAAAATATGTTAGCGATCGATCTTGCGGACAAGCCTGTCAAGTTTGAGAAGGATGCAGTTCACATAGAATATTTTCAATCATCAGCAACATTCCAGTGTGGCCCAGACGAAATCACAACAAGAGGAGAGTGAGGTGTCTTATCCGTTTCCCGGGGATTTGTATTGCTTGTTTTTGATCCGGAGTGGCACATGCACCCTGGTCTTCACTCTAATTGATGCTTCCGTTTTGCTTCCCCTCATTTCCTTGATCGGGTACTTGGTCCCGTGCCCTTACAAGTCAAAGCCCCCAGGAACGATGTCCTTGAACCGTGGAGACTCCGCAAAGGGACCCTGTACTCTCCTCAGTCAAGATGCGAGATACAACCCCCTTCTTGAACATCTGGGCCTCCTCTTCTTGAACCTCTTCTTCCTTGTCGACAACCCTGTGCATTTCGTTCCTCCCCTTCCGATATATTCCTCCTAGACGACGTGTCCCAGTCTCAGGCATCTTCTCTTGATCCCCATTCAGTCCATTCGGGCCGAGTGCCCCTCTTACCTATAAAACCCAAGGGCGATCCCCCAGTTTTCGACGGTTGCCCGCCATGTCCTCTAATTCAACCCTTCCACCGGACTCTGTGGAATACCTCACCAATGTAGTTGGTGTACAGTATGCTCTTGGTGAGGACTTTACTGCCATCTTTTGTTGAAGATGTCTGACAAATATTTTAGTGGGCGCTTTTGTATGGCTCATGTATGATTACGGTGATTCTACTCTTTACCGGAGGTTGTAGAACTAGTACTGACTTTCCGTGACTTCAGTGCTCTGCATTGGGCTTGAGGTTAGTGGACCTGTGGCCCGCTTTTTCTTTGGGAATATAAACTGAAATATTCCGAACAGGTCAAATATGTTTGGGTTTGTCCATGTAGTCGAGGAATTTTCAGTGGCATTTCTAACCTTCCAATAGTTTGCACCCTGGGGGTTGCCAAAGCTGCTCTACGTTTGGGTACGTTCAGTCATCCTTCTGCTGGCACCAAGGGACTAAGACAATTCAGACTCGATATCTGGGTATATTGCTTATGGCCCTCATGGTGTGGAGTAAGTCGTCCATTATCTTCAACGTAAATTGCCTTACCCTCTATCCAGCGTCCAGCGCGAGCAATGGCAATCCGAGGGTATATTGAATTTGAATTTGTTTTGAAGCTTGCTGACGGTGAACAAAGAATTGTGTTGCCTTCTTCAACATTGAGACTTGGGGCAGCGTGTGGATGATGGGCACCGTGTCCAGTATGATATTTCCCGACTGACTATACGACCGCCTACTCACATTTTTCTTTTAGGTATTTTGCTGCTTCGAATTTACGCCATGTATGAGCGTAGCCGCAAGGTTGCGATCTTCGGAGTTGTAATCAGTGTTGTACGTGTATCTGCCCACTCGTGGGGCCGTCTGATGCTGACCTGACGCGCAGGGCCAAGTCATCGCAGCCTGTATGTGCTCCTGGCAGGCATTTTGTAGTCAATTAACTCACACATCTTGCAGGTGTAATACTAGGCACACAGCTGGTTACTGTGTACACCCCACCAACCTTACTGACGCAATTCGACTTCAGTGGCTGCTTCGTTGGAGAGAGTCCCCCTGCCCTAGTCACTTACTGGATTGCTCGGCTGGTCTTCGATAGTCTCCTCCTCGTCATGGTTGGCTATAAGATGGTATGTTTCGTATTTTCGATGTGACGGTCGGACTTACGACGGGATATCAGACTCACCGTTACGTCTCATACAACAAAACTGACTTGCTTGACATTATGATCAAGGACAATGTCTCCACATTCATTTTGTGTGTTGATGTCTATCGCTTTTCTTGCTCTGTGGCTTATTTTGTTATGCAGCATCTTCTGTGTGCAATCCGTCAATCTTTTCACCTTCCGTCTCGCACCCAATGAACTCGCCTCCGTGGCACTACCGTTCTCCATTGCAACGGACATCATCATGAGCACCCGACTCATCCTCCATATCCGTGAGGCCTTCTTCGGACCTGGCGAAGAAGCCGAACGCAGCGTCGACGACAAAACAATTCCGCTTGCACCATTGCGCGTACGCAGCCAAGGCGTGCCTTCTGTTCGCTCTCATAACGGTCGCCGGCTCCGTGGGAGCGCTTCGTACCTCAACGATATCGACTTCGACGAGGACGAGTTCACGGAGGAGCACGGTGCTGCTGGTGTGATGGTTACAGTAGAGGTCAGCACTGACTCCGCCCAACCAAGGCGGAGCGCGTTCAATCCAAGCCATGAGGCAATGGACCTCGTCGGGATGCATAAAGGCTCTGACGGGGACGATGATTCACATCGGAGCGAGGTGTAGGCAACACCGAAGCAGGACAGTGTAACCAAAACCAGGATGGAAGGATGCGGAAGGATTACCAGACAATCTTCGATACCGTGCAACGCTTATGTTTTTGGATCTATATGTTTTGGGATTGTGGTAATATCATGGCTCGTTGCGTTCGTTCAAAACTGTTTGATGGGAGTTCAGGAACCCACGCTTGTCATCCATCTCTTTTGGCTGTGGGAAGGTCGGTTCTTGGCCAGCGGGGTCTGTCTGTCCAGCCCCCTTTGGACCGCTGACGGGCCAGACTAAGCATTGGACAGATATAGATGAAACTATGCCATATTACTAATCTCAACCAGAATCATGACAAATCTTAGGTTGATTGATGTTTCTCGAGTGCAAAGCTGGCATCGAATCACGCGCCGATTTCATTGCGACACGCCTATCTCCTCGCTGTACTTAAGCTTGAGATCATCGCTATCGACATGAGCTCAGAACAAAGGATCAGATATCTCCATCTTCTACAACATGGTCGGGTATAGGACTTTCGCAGTCGCAGGTGCTGGCAATGTTGGTAGGTTGGATGGCACCACGGCAAGGTCAACGCTTGACACGATTTGCAGGGAAGTTCATCATCGAAGAGCTGGTGAAGTTGAGGGGTGTGGGAAAGGTCGCATCTGTCGATGTGCTGACTCGCTCTGTACGTACACTTGCAGGCACTCCCAATGTTAATCAAGGCTGACACCTGGAATAGCCTGATGACCCAAAATTGAAAGAGTTGGGCGTCAACGGCCTCAAGATGGACTACGATGACCCCTCCTCGCTCAACGCCGCCCTGCAGAGAAAAGACGTAGTGATCTCCACGCTCGGTCGGCCCGCTTTCCACCACCAAGAGCTGCTCGGCCAAGCAGCCAAAGCCGCGGGCGTGAAGCTCTTCGTCCCCTCCGAGTTTGGGAACCCCACGGAGGGGAGGGAGGACAGCTGGTTCGCGCAGAAGAACGCTGCTCGGCAGAAGCTGAAGGATATGGGCATGCCTTACCTGCTGGTGTACAACGGCCCCTTCTCGGACTTTGTGTTCAACCCGTATGCCCTTTTACGCCCCTTTTGTGACAGCTGGTGCTGAGTCTGCACAGGCATATGGGCTGGGACCTCCCTGGTGGCAAAGTCCAGATTAGCGGCAAGGGCGACACGCCTATCTCCTTCACGTACAGGAGGGACATAGGCAGATTCCTAGCTCATATCCTAACGGAGCTCCCGCCTGAGGAGCTCGCATGGAAGACATTGAGGATCGAGAGTGACCGCACTGTGCGCCTTCCCCCTCTTACCCCATGTGAAGGTATTGACGTTCGAGCAGACGATGAACAAGATCGCAGCGGAATACGAGCGGCGGTCGGGCAAGAAACTGGAGGTGACGCACCGTTCCTTGGAGGAGATGCGGGAAGCGGTGCGTAACAGTCCCCTCGACGTGTCCGAGACGCTGAGGCTGGACTGGGAACTCGGAGGCGGGACTGCTGGCACGCCAGAGCAGCTGGATAATAAGTTGTGGCCGGAGTTCAACCCGACCAGCGCGGTTGACGTGCTCCTCAAGCGCGACGGTTATCTGTAACCTATTACAAGAGGCTCATCCAGAATTACCAAACAAATGAAATGAAGGCTCGTATATGCGCGAATCGCACAATGATCCAAGTTCGGTCAGATAGAAGTCATTGTTTTATGCATCCAAACGCGGACTATGACTACAGTTTAACAAGATTCACGTCAGCTGCAGACAGACGTATTATACAACAACCGCAGCCTATCTTCTTACGTTTCCGATCTTCCTTCGATAGATCTATTAACCCTCACGGACGACCTCCTCGCATGCCTCCTTGAATATCCTCAGGCCTTCCTTCAGCTCGTCCTCGGTGACGTTGAGTGTTGGGATGAAACGGATGACCTCATACACGCTCGTTGTCAGGATGAGCATGCCCTTTTCCAGGCACTTGTTTGCGATCCGTGAAGCTGCGTTTGCCGGGGCGGAGGGCACGATGTTTGCCGGGAGATCGCCGGCCACGCTCGGGTTGGGCGAGTTGAACTCGACACCGATCATCAGTCCGAGACCGCGGACATCAGCGATCAGTCCGTTGAGGGCAGGCGAGGACTGCATCTCTTTCAGTGCGCTGATGAGTTCGACGCTACGGGCAGCGACATTCTCGAGAACCTTCTCTTCCTGGACGACCTTGGTCACTGCGATGGCAGCAGCGCAAGAAACAGCATTGCCATTGTACGTTCCACCCTAGATTACGTCAACAAATGCTGCATATATGCGTCGAAAATAAGAAACTCACCATAGTTCCCGGTGCCTGCACATCCGCAAGCTCCTTGCGGGTGACGATAGCACTGAGCGGGAAGCCGTTGGCAAGGCCCTTAGCGGTGATCATCACATCAGGCTTTACACCGGAATGCTCGATGCAGAACATCTTTCCCGTACGTGCCCAGCCAGCCTGGACCTCATCGATGATGAGCAGGATTCCGTGCTTGTCGCACACCTCGCGCAGGCCGCGGAGGAAAGATGGAGGGGCAGGAACGTACCCACCCTCGCCGAGAACGGACTCGAGCAGGATCGCGGCTGTATCTGAGGGTGCAGACTGCTGGGCGAGGATGAGCTGCAGCTGGTACAGGCAGGACCTGACCATCTCTTCCTCCGTCGCCTCGGGGGTGAGGCCGAGCTGGTGCCAGTAAGGGAAGGGCATGGGGAACACGCCGGGCTGAACATTGTTCGGTTAAATGCTGGTTGTTTCGAAAGAAAGTGAACATACCATCAGCGGTCCTTGGCCGAGCGAGTAGATCGTCTTGCTCCTGGTCAAGCTCATGGTCGCATATGTGCGTCCATGGAAGCCACCCTGCATGACGATGACGTTCTGCCTCTTAGTGGCCATACGGGCGAGCTTGATAGAAGCCTCGACGGCCTCGGCACCCGAATTCCAGAAGAAGAACGTGTCGAGTGAAGGATGGGGCATGAGCGGGATGAGCCGTTCCACGAGCTCGACGTAAGGCCTGGAGAATGCAATGCTGGACTATACAATGTGACGCATATATGCGCGCTGCTCAGCTACAAAAAGCGGATGTAGGGCGAAAGGCTAACCTGGGCATGGACGATCTTCATTGCCTGCTCTGCGGCGGCACCTGAGATCTTGGGATGGCAGTGACCAAAGTTGACGACGCCGATGCCGGAGCTAAAGTCAAGCACCTTACGACCGCCCTCCATTGTGACCCATGCACCGCTGCCAGACTCCATGACGGTGTCTGTCACGCGCTTGAGGCCATGGGCGATGTGAGCCTTTCCAAAGTCTGCGAGCTGGGACGAGCGCTGCGGGGTAGTGTGCAGTGCGCGGTGAGCGATAGAACGCTTTGGGAGGGCGCGGAGGAGGGCGCGATGGGTGAGCATTGTGAGCTTCTGGAGGAGGGTGAGGGGGGATGGGGAGGAAGAAGGATGGGCCGAGTGGATAGTGTTTATGCCACATAAGTACTGCGATTGACACTCTCTTCTCCCCTTAGAGTGTAACGCCCACCAACTCTCCTCCCGATGTGTGGTCCCCCGCCGTGTTGGGTTAGCTTCCTCTCGCTTAGCAGGTCTCCCACGCTTCCGGACCTCCTGGACCCTCAACTCTGACGTATCCATTCCTCCATCTCCCTATCTAATTCAATACCCCCCGACCAGCCTCGACCAGCGTAGGACCCCTCGGCAAAGAAATATATACAATCCGTGTTCCCACCGGGCCTATCTCCCATCTCGTTGGCTTGATGTGGTCCTCATATTATCCCAACGTTTCATACCGGAGCCTCCAAACCCACTTCCAGGGAATTCACAGGAAAGTTCATCCCTTCAGGGCCCTTTGCGCCCTCTCGGCCCAGGCTAGCCCGCGTTCGGCAATCGTTTTTGGGTTCACAACCATCAGGCCACCCCATGAACGGATCACGTTCGGACAGAAATACAGAAGGCAGAGGAGGGGCACCGGCGCCGTGCCGTGCGCGAGTTAGGGGACAACACGCTGCGGGGGAACGACATATCGGGCGGGCTTATCGTGTTTCATGTGTTTTCTCTTAAGCGAGGCTGGTTGATTGGCTAGTTCACGCTGTTCTTTTTGCAGTCAATGCATCTCAGGGCGTTCAACATCGAATGTACCACAAGGTGTCCGAGAATGGCCGACGTGTTGCCGCGGTCAAAGGTATTCAACACGTTCAAAGGAAGGTTAAGCGATTCCTGCTTCTACCGAACGTTTCTAGTCAGTTGATATATTATCGGTACACTTCTGACGCAGTCAGTGGAGGTTGGGCAACCGGAAGACGGCATGGTGGACTGCCGGCGGGCACATTAATATTAATGTTGACTCTTCAATTTCGAACAGACCTGGAATGAATTGCTCCTGTAAATGATTCGGACTCGTAACCCGATGAGAGTTCGCGGGCCGATCCTTCACTTCCTTCCCAACCGAATGAGTGGGAAGATCCAGACACGATACCCCGTGCATTGCGTTTCTCTTGGCTTGGCTCTGAATTTAGCCCGGTTTGACAGTATCCATCCGAGCCGCGCGGGTTTCTAACCGGATACAGGAATATTCTGTCCTATTCCGACTAGACGGTAAACAGCCAAGCACGGCGCGTTGGTATACTTCGCCCTCGGACATAATATCTGCACCATTCCTGGCTGGAACATGCATCATGTGACGTCTTTGTCTAGAGTTCCTCGTAGATCGATGACGTCACCCGCTCGCTCCTCACTGCTCTTATATCCTCTCTGCTAGGCACTTACTGGCGTATATATGATGAACCAACGCCATTAGTCCCAATATCAACCTACCTCTTCCATCAACATCCATCTGGTAAGATGTCCAACGCTGATCCTTACACCAAGAAAGCGGAACAGGCTGCTGAGGGCCTTACTCCGCAACAGAAGATCGACGGCACGTTGTCTCTTAAGCACACATCCGTCCCCGTTCTGATGTCATTACGTACAGGGCTGAAGCAGGTGCTCAAGTCGACAAAATACTGCATGTTCACAACCCGTTCGCCCGAGGGAGAGCTACATGCGCGGTGCATGGCCCCTGCGTCCAGTACATCAGGCTTTTCCAGCAAGACAGCCAGCTGATGTCGGCTTAGCGGAGGGACTCAGGTTCTCCTTCATCGCCAATAATGCAACGTTCAAGATGGACGAGATCGAGTTTGACAGTCATGTGAATGTCTCTTTCCTCGATCCTAGCTCCACGTGTTGGGTATCCGTCGCTGGCAAGGCTCAGTGGGTCCATCCCCACCTGTATTATGCACTCATGGTGTTTACGTCTTCGTGTGCTCAGGATCACCAATGATAGGGAAACGATCAAGTCCCTCTGGTCTCCGCTCGTCGCAGCTTGGTTCGGCGACCTCGGTGACGGAGTGCACAAAGGCGACGCCTCCGACCCGCGTGTGTCCGCCATCCAGGTCGTTCCCGACAGCATCAGGTACTGGTACGCGCAGCGTTCTTCGCTCGGACAGATGACGGAGATCGTCACGAGTGCGATGACGGGTGGGACTGCTGCCCCTGGACAGCTGAGGACGATCACGAAAGCCGAGATTCAGCTTGTCGAAGGGCTTAATACGGCCTGAAGGGACCAGCGAGTATGTATTGGTAAGAAACGCAAAAGCAAAGACAGTACGTGAGCAGCATATATGCATATATCGAGGTATTGGCGGTCTTCGACGCGCTTGTACAGCAAAAAGTTGTGTAACAGGCCGAAGAAATACGCGTTCCGCGTCCCTCGTTGGCAATTCATATCCTTGTTGCTGTTGATTCTCTCGGTTTGGATTTAGCCTGGTTCAGCATCGTCTGCGAAAGGACTTTTGTCGGCTGCTCGGTAGCCTCGCACTAGTTTGCTGCCGGATATTCGTGTTCGAAGTCACGCGCCAGTGCACCAACCAAATACGGACTACTCACATTCAATAATTATCTACACTTGACGTCTTCTGTCTGGTACGGGCACGCTCTGCACCATCTATTCCTGGTTCAAGCACGGATCATGCTGCGTCTTACGATCGAATGTGGGTCGCTCTGTACCATACCTGGCACGAACATACATCATGTGACGTGTTGACTATCCCAAAGCGTCGGCGTGGATTCTACTGCTAGTGGTAAGAGTTTGTCGCTCATGACACCATTCGCTCGCTGCTCGCCCTGCTCTGTCCGCATCCTCTCTTCTGGGTACCTACTCCAGTTGTATATAATATGAGCTTGCTCTGTATCTGGATGTCCCCATCAACACAAGTGCTCGTACCTTCACTCCATCATCAACACCACCATCAACATCCCAGAAGTCGAAACTATGTCTTCCGAGAACATGACTGTACAAGAGAAAGTCGACGGCACGTATACTCTGCCCATATTCATCTACATGCTAACTTGATCACCAACAGGGCTGAACGAGGTGCTCAAATCCATGAAGTACTGCATGTTCACCACCCGTTCCCCAGCCGGAGAGCTCCACGCACGGTGCATGACCCTTGGCTCCAGTACGTCTACCCGTTTCCCTCCAAGCTTAGGTCTGAGAATGTCCCAGCCGATGAACATTTCAAGTTTTCGTTCATCGCTAATAACGTGACGTTCAGGATTGACGAGATCGAGTTTGACGGCCATGTGAATCTGTCATTCTTCGACCCCAGCTCGACCTGCTGGGTCTCTGTAGCTGGTACTGCTCAGTAAGGCCATTTTCTCTTGGCCTGTGCTTTCGACCTGCTGACCTTTTGCCTGTGTTCAGGATCAGCAATGACAAGGAGACGATCGATTCACTCTGGAAGCCCGCGGACGAAGCCTGGTTCGGTGACTTGGGCGATGGAGTGCACACTGGGCAAGTGTCCGACCCGCGCGTTTGCGCTATCCAGGTCGTCCCGGATAGCATCAGGTACTGGATTTCACGCCATGCGATGCCAGGAGGGACGGCTGCGCATGGAGAGCTCGTGACTATTCCTGGTGTAGAGATGCGCGTGATCGAGGGGATGAGTACGAGTTGCAAATGCAATCATTAAGTTAGAGACCGAGGCAGGATACGTCGAAGAATATGAATACAATTTGTCAGTCTGACGCCTGAAAACAGGAACATGTACGAGAACGGACAAGAAGCGAGTGGAGGAAATCGACTGGATAACGGGAACTGTTGCCTTGCTATATTAACACTCACGTGAATGTCTCGTTGCTAGGGCTATGTGTTCGGTATCCGTTGTTGGCAAGGCTCACCCTTCCTCCGTGCCTGCAGCATCCGCGCGTGGAGAGTTCGTCACCATCTCTGAGGGAGAGGTGCCTTATATTCAGGGGAATAAGAAGAATTGAGGTGCAAACGAGCGACCAGCTGAGAGACGAAGGTAGTCGGAATGTGTCGAAGCAAATGAATGGAATTTGTCGGGATATCAGCACGTATGTATATAGCGCACATGTACAGTAAGCGCAATCTAGGTACAGGTACTGTACACAACGAACAAAGCCGAGTCCTGAGCCATGACATAATGATATGATACGACCATGCGTGCAACACAGTCTATTACGCATCCTCGTCTTTACACCTCCACTCCAGATAGTCCGCAAACCCGTTCAGCTTCTCACACAGCAGCGCGATCTCCTTGCCCGTCGCTGGCGCAAGATCATCGTCGGTAGGTTGAGGTGTAGGCTTGTCGCCGGCAACGGCCGCTGACGCGACATAATCTGTCCACTTTGCCAGGCGGCGTATTTCTTGAGGTGAGGTGAACGCGTACCAGTGATCGAGCAGGTCGTCTTCCGACACTGAAAGGGTCGAATCAGAGTCGTCGCCGTTTAGCGTACGCTCCTTGCTGCTGCCTTCACTGCTCTCGAGCTTTCCGTTTCCTTCTGGCGAAGTGACTGGGGATTCAGGCTTCCGTCCCCACACAGCGACGAACCAGCTCCACTTGGTCGCTCCTTCGCGCACGGGCAAAGGTGGGATCTTGGCGTCATCGTACGGTGAAAGAATGTAGTATGTGCGCCCGTCGACGTCCCTTCCAAGCGGTTGGAAACGAGAAGTGGAAGCGCTGTTGGATAGCAGGTACTCCGAATTGAGAGAAGCAAGGGTATTCTTGTGAGCTTTGTTCGCAGCAGCATACTGTTCGGGTGAGATGTTTTAGTAAGCAGAGATGAACAGGAGAGGGATAACTCGCTTACCTTTGCCTTGTATGCCTTCTCTCGTTCTACCTCTTGTTTGCTGGCACCTTTGGCCAACTTCCCAGGCCTTTCGAAAACGAGTTTGGCACGCTCTTCCTGCCATCTCTCTTCTTCTTCCTTGAGTGCTTTCGAGAACACCTTGCCTTTCTGTTTCATTTCTTTCTCCCCCTCCGCAAGTTCGAGCTTCACGCTCTCTCCCTGGACCACGAGGACCACTAGGGTCAGGAGAACGTCTACCAACTGTTCTGGCCGATGCACCTTCTTGCGGGTACGCCCATCGACTGCCGAAGTGGGGACAGTAATTTCCATGTCATACGCACTTTTCAAAAGCTTCTGAAGTGCGGTCCATATGTGAAGGGGTTCGCCGCTGGCTGCCGTAACTTCTTTCATTGCGAGCTTCACTGATGCTTTCTCCTTGGCACCCGCATCGACTGCTATGAGATCAAGCAACGCAGTAGTCACAGCCTTCGCTGTCTCGCGCGAGAAGGTACCAAACTCATCGAGTGCATCGAGGTGTGTCTTGGCGAGGCGGAGAATAGGGCGGAAACGCACAACGAACTCGCGCAGCTGCATGCGCGCTTCAACCTCAGCACGGTCTTCGAATTGGGGAAGAGCAGTCCAAATAGGCTCAGCGATTTTGCGGAGACGCTTAACATGCTCTTGAGCTTTATCATCGTCGTTCGTCATCTAAGTAATTTCAGATCAATTACCACAGTCAATGTATTGGCAAGTTACTTACGGCTTTCTCCATAGCTTTGCCGTTCTCGTCAACTTTTCCTCCAGTCACCCCAGTCCTTGCTTTTTTCTTGCCCTTCTCCACTTCGCTCCCACTGCCGCTATCCTCACCGACAGACTTGCGCTTTCGCGGGGGACTGAGTGTCAAGTCTATATAGACCTCACTAATCCTGGGGCGTGCAACATTCGGAGATTTGTCGCTGAGTGCCGATTTCATTTGAACGGGCTCAGGTCCAGTGCGAGCAAAGTACTGATGCAGCGTTGTCTTCTGGTTCTTGTCAAGCGATTTCTTGGGCCGTGAGAGCTGGGGAGGATTGTGTTCGTCAGATATAAGGTCGATGTACACCTCCATGCGAGATTTCTTTCTTCCGCTTGTGGTTACAGTCTCCGTGCCTTTACTATTTTCGGCAGAATCCGACGCAGTGAATGGTTTGGTTGGCGTACTTCGAGCGCCGATGAGCGTGTAGTTGCGTGAGTGATTGTACAGAGGTGGACAAACGATGGTGGCCATTGTTCTGCCCTCCAAGTCTATCAGGAGTGCAAGAGAGTTGTAAGGAAAGCAGAATGAGCGGAGCCCAAAGCTAACGTAATGGAACCAAACAGAGACGCGCGACCTTCATGTCCGGTGTTCCATCGCGCAGGACCATCACGTGACATGAACAGAAACCGCCGGCGTCCTCGGAGCCGACCGTTTCGGGGAAGCCCGTCTGCTCCCGGTTCCGAACTCTGCTCAAAATTCTGGACACGAGCAAGAGGCATCACGGTCTGTCGTGCTTCCAGGAGTGTTCGTTGAGGACATCGGCGTCGACGACTGTCTGCTTTCCCTGCTCTATTTCTTTACTTGCATATATCTCCGTCTTTGTTGTTTGGTCTGTCATTTGTCTACTAGGCAAGGATGTCCCACGCCGACCACACCCGGGACCCATGGTACGTCATCATTATGAAGCATCTTTTTCATTCCCACTAATGCAACGAACTCCAGTCCCTGGGTAGTCCTCAACGATTTTGGAGGTGCGTTTGCGATGGGAGCTGTAGGTGGAGGGATATGGCATGGTATCAAAGGAGCTCGAAACTCCCCACGAGTGCGTATTGAATAGTTTCCCGGGCCCTCTGATGCTAACGGTATTGATCCGTAATGACAGGGAGAGCGTCTCATTGGGTCGATTGCAGCTATCAAGGCCCGAGCGCCTGTGACGGGAGGAAACTTCGGTGTATGGGGTGGGATGTTCAGCACGTTCGACTGTGCCGTTAAGGGGTATCGGAAAAAAGAGGATGCCTGGAATGCCATTATCTCTGGTTTCCTCACCGGTGGCTGTCTGGCCGTGCGAAGTGCGTCTTTGGCTTTGATATATTACGAGTAAATGCACTGACGGTTGCTACAGGTGGACCACGAGTCATGTTCCAATCGGCAGTGGCGTGCGGTATTCTCCTCGGTGTCTTCGAGGGTGTCGGTGTGCTGTTGAACCGTATGTTCAGCGAGCAGAACCGACAACAGCTACCACAGAGTGCGTCTCCTCTTCCCATCCATATCTTGGTTGACCGTGAACCAATACTTGCTCCAGTCATGGAGCCTCCGCCCCCGCAACCTGTCCTGTCCGGCCCGACCCATGTCCCGGCCTAGATTTATTGCAGACAGACATATTTTTTCACCGAGTTCTCTTTCTAGTTTCTCACTTCTTTGTTGTCGCTCTCCGGCTTGCTGTATTCTACTCCTTTCCTCGGTCAGCATCGTCAAAAGCACACCACTTGCATATCCTCTAAAACCCCAAGCTTCTGGTACCGCCCCAGAACCCCGTGTACTAACACGAAGGACTTGGATATGCCAGTTATGAATCGAGCGTGCCATTTGTTCATGTTTAAATTGTCATTTGAGAAACTCAGAACAACCTACGCTTAGCGTGTTTCTGTACAGTAAAAAAGGCTATGCTACACATCGTGCTCGCCGAGCTAGGCCTTCACTGTCTCTTCCTTCGTTGCCTGCGAGTTCGCGTATGACAGATACGTACTGCGTACACTTGAGCATAGCCCTCATTACATTTGATAAAACACTCACTTCCAGAACAAGTTGACCACATTGACAACAAGCAGCCTATGCTGGAGCGGCACCACGCTGAAGTTCACCAATTGTGTTGGGATGAACACCCCCCAGTTTCTTACGAGAGTAGGAGCCCACGCCCCATGCAGTCTCCGCCCTACCTCCTCAGACCCCTTGCCCTCCATCAACGTCATGCTTGTGAAGAATACCGCGATGAGACCAGGGGTGAAGACGAACTGGTCCAAGCCGACTTTGAGCAAGACACCAAAGCGAGGGGAGGTGATGACCGCTTTGGGAAGACGTTCGAGAATCCCGTACCAGCCGCATATGATGGGCGCAAATATGAGACCACCGTATGCTGTTAATCGGGCTGTGCGGATATACTGCGATGATGGTTACAGGTCTGGTTTATAATAGAATGGGCGAACATACGTCGTGTCTTGCTAACCCTCGCTTCTCTACACCTTGCTGCGCGAGAACGTCTCCAGCACCGAAGAGCAACGCTATATGCGGGTAAGCCTGATGTGCGGCGTGCGGCAGGATTACTGCACACCTGCTGATACCACACCTGTGAGGAGTGGTCGTCGAATCGCGAGCGAATTATACCGCCGGAGGATCGAGGCCATCTTCTCTCACGCAACTCTAGGTGATATGGGGGTTTTGGATGGTATTGCTCTAAGGTAAACAGAGGACAACCGGGGGAAGATAGACAATGTAGAAGACCTCTGGCTATTGTATATGAACCGCTCACTGTCCGTCAACCTCGGCGCCGTCGTACCGGGGCATACAACGACGTCAGGGCCCATCTCTTTCGGAAAAGCTTAGCGGAGCGGAAGCAGGCGTAGATTAGTCAGCTTGAGAGGCTATGCAAATGATTTTGCTGACTGACAAGGAGTCACTTGACTGGCAGAAGGTCTTGTGCTGAAAGTACAACTGCTCTTCCTATCCGCTCTGTCAACAATCTCAGACCAACTCTCACAGGCATTTGTATCACTATACATCAGTTACTCATAGACGATACCTACTATCTACAACACAAAAATGGCCACCGCAGTCGAACCTTCAGCAACAACGATGCATGGTCCAAATGGAGAACCCCTTTTTACTTGCTTGAGTTGTTCGATCGCATTCCTTACGGCAGAAGACCAGCGGGCGCATTATAGGAGCGACCATCACCGGTATAACATGAAGGTATGTCTATCTGATCATTAGAAAGGCAGAAACTGAAGGGACTTCAGCGTCGGGTAGCAAACCTGCCACCTGTCTCTGCAACTGTTTTCAACCAGAAGGTCCTTGACCGCCGAGCCGAAACTGCCATCACAGTCAGTGTGAAGGATACGACCTGCGAAATCTGCAAGAAGGTGTATGGTTCGGAGGGAGCGTTCCGCGCGCATATGACTAGCAAGAAGCATCGGGAGAATGAGCTGCAGGCAGCAATTGCACTCAGTATGAAGCAGCAGAACGGGGATATTGTGGAGAAGAAAGAAGAGGAGCAGATTGATCAAGTGCCGAGCTATCGGGCCCCTGCAGATGAGGTACCTTCTGCTCCAGAAGCCGCCACAACCCCTAAACAACCACACCCGACAAGAGCACCTACGACGAGGACTCCACAAGCAGACGATGATATGGACACGGACGAGGAGGTCGAGCAAACACTCGAAGAAAAGCTCGCCGCTGCCCGGACACACCTCTCACCATCCTCATGTCTCTTCTGTACTGTCGCTTCCTCGTCTATGCAAGCCAATTTAGATCATATGTCCTCCATCCACAGTTTCTTCCTTCCCGACTCAGAATACCTGGCCGACATCTCTGGCCTCCTAGGGTATCTGGCAGAAAAAGTCGCCATTGGCAACGTGTGCTTGTACTGTAATGGTCGGGGACGGGCGTTCCACTCTCTCCATGCGGTTCGCAAACATATGGTTGGCAAAGGACATTGCAAGCTTGCGTATGATACAGAGGAGGACCGCTCTGAGCTGGGAGAGTGGTACGACTTTGCGAAGTCCTACACCAAGAAGAGCAAGAAGGAGAAGACTGCGAAGAAGGTTGTTATTGAGGAGGAAGTCGAGGGAGGGGATGAGGAAGGAGACGAAGAAATGGGTGAACAAGAATGGGAGGATGTCTCCGACGACGGTGAGGCCGACGAAATCATCGAGGTGTCTGGTTCCGAGGTAGAAGACTCTAGTGAATCCGACGACGAACGGCCTCAGATTACCTTTGGCAACACACCGTATGAGCTTGTCCTGCCTTCAGGCGCGCGCATTGGTCATCGAAGCCTCAAGCGGTACTACGATCAATCCTTCTCTTTCCGCGCTCCTGTCAAGCCGTCTGATCCGAACAGCGGAGCTGCGCTCGTACGCAAGCTGATAGGCGATAAGAACAACCAGCTCGTTCCTCTCAAAGGCGGGTTTGGTGCTTTCGGCGAGGGGACAGAGGTGGTCAAGGCTCGAAATGTGGGAGAGGCGAAGGAAGCGGGAAGGCACGTGAGGGAATTCAGGGATGTCAAGAGAAGAGAACAGTTCAAGACGAAGATTGCATTCAGGCACAACAGCCAGAAGCACTTCAGGGATCCACTGCTTCAGTGAGCCCCTCGTTTCCCCCAGGTTTTGTCCGCCGATTCTTTCTTTTACACTTCGATGCCCTCCATCCATTCGAGGAACTGTACTAGTGTCATGTGTCGCATTTATGAGAGGTTGAGCTGGTTGGTCATATGGTGCAATCGTGGTGCCCTAACATGAGTAATCCCCCCTTGTTGAAACAAGGGTTGTCCGAAATTAATGAAGACCCTTGGTTCTGCTCCATGCGGCTGAAAATCGACCATCTCCAAGGTTGACTGTGTCCAGGCTGGCTCGATTTTTGTATAAATAGTCCGGTTATCTTTGCCGGGAGTTGGCCCTGCTCGGTTGTAACAAACTTGGGCTACAAGAATGTCTGGCGACCTCATCACCTCCATGGATGCCCACATCCGTGCCCACGTCGATGCTCTCCCCAACCTCCCTCCCATTGCCGACCCAGCCAAGCTTCGCACAGCGCTCGAGTCCCTACCCACGTCTCTACCTGAACATGGATGGGGAGACTCGCGCACGCTCGAATATCTTACGGGCAGCATAGCTGGCGGACTGGCGCAGGGTCAAGCCGGGCCTCGGTATTGGGGTTTCGTAACGGGCGGGGTGCTACCCATCGCTCAAGCTGCGGACAACCTTGTTACGCTGTACGATCAGGTCTCTCTCATATTCTTCTGTTTGGGAACCTTTGTCTGAGACATGGGCAATGTAGAATGTCCAAGTGCACTTGCCTTCTCAGTCGATCTCGACCGTGATCGAGTCTCGGACCCTGGAGCTTCTCCTTTCCCTCCTTTCCCTCAACCCGACCAACTTTCCAGGCCGCACTTTCACTACCGGTGCAACAGCCTCCAACATTCTTGGGCTCGCTTGCGGTCGACAATGGGCAATCGCCAAGGCACATCCGGGCTATGATGTTGCCGAAGACGGCTTCGGGGGATTTGGATGCAAGGTTCTTGTTGCCAAAACGCATGCCAGCTTGATCAAGGCAGCGAGCCTTGTCGGGATTGGAAGAAAGAATGTTATTGAGTGCGGTGTAAAAGTTGATCAGGATGGAGGGCTGCCGTTCGACCTTCAAAAGATGGAACTTCTTATGCAGGAATGCAAGCAGCGAGGAGATGGGTGAGTCAATCGCCCGTGGTCACAAAACATCACTCATATGTTCGTAGTATTATTGTATCTCCTGGATTTGGAGAAGTGAACACAGTACATAAGCATACCGTTTTTCATCACGATGCATCGTAACCTCTTGGGCAGGGAGGGTTCACCCCCGAAATTCCGAAGATCCGAGCACTCTGCGACAAGTATGGTGCCTGGATGCACATCGATGGCGGTAGGAAACATGTCCTCATCTGAAGCAATGCATATTGATGGAATTTGCAGCATTTGGCGCCTTTGCCAAGCTTGTACCGGATTTGCAGAGCTACGTGGAACATTTGGACCTTGCTGACAGCATAACGGTGGACGGTACGTCCTGAGCCCTTCCGCGTCGATAGCATCATTGACACCCACGATAGCACACAAATGGCTCAATGTGCCGTAAGCATCTACTAGTATCTAATCATGGATTATACCTGATCCATCTTCAGATATGATAGCGCCGCTTTTTTCACCCGTCACGTGAATGTCCTCCCGTCTGTATTCGGTCCGTCGCCAAGCACGGGAGGACCAGCATACCTAGCAGCTGGTTCCGCAGGAGCAACCTATCCTGCACTGGATGCTGTCCTGTCTATCCCCTCTCCGCTCAACGTCAACATAGAAAATTCCCGTAGATTCAGAGCTCTACCGGTGTTCGCCGCACTGCTGTCCCTTGGTCGAGAAGGATATGCAGAGCTGATTCAGCGAAATGTTGGTTTCGCGCGTGTTCTGGGAAAATACATCAGCACCCACGGGTCCTATGAACTACTCAACCCTGGAAATCAGGTTGCGCTCAATATCGTGCTGTTTCGAGCGAAAAACTTGGACAGTGGAGAGTTGCTTCGACGGATCAATGCCTCGGGCAAGATCTACGCGAGTCCCACGAGCTGGGCAGGTCAGGGGGCGGTTCGGATCGCTGTGAGCAATTGGATGACAAAGATGGAGGCGATTGGGGACGGCAAGAGTGATCTCGATACTGCAATAGAGGTGTTAGACGCTGCGGTGAAGGATGTTTAAATAATCCTTACATCAGCAGCAGGGAGATAAGGGCTTGTGAGGGAAACTATATATGCATCACTCCGCCGCACTATCAAGCACTTTAACCCGCTATCAGGCACTGTGCCACGTCATCACTGCGGCTCGCTGCTGTGACGACCTCTTCCTATGTGAATTCTTTGCGCTGCTGAGCCCTCCGCAGACAAATTGGTCAGTGCGTATCGAGACAAGTTTGTCAGGCGCCATTGGCACAAATCGATGATTTGTTATGCATTTCAGTTGCCCTGACTACGCAGACTGCGTGAACGCGTGAAGTAATGGCATGGATTCGCTCATGGGGACTTTGAAGTCCAACAACCGCCCAATTGGTTTTTGCCAGCGGCGCAACACTCTCCGCTTCCTGATGTTTACCGGCACAAGTACGGCGCTGCTAATACCGACGACATCCTTGGCTAGCGCTTAGCAAGACAGGTACTAGGGTTACAATGGTGGATTGCTGAGGCCTCGAGGCCTGCGTGCTGTGTGGAGAATTAGAAATTGAGTACGTGTCGTACGTGTTCGTGGTCCTTTGAAATGCGGCTGAAACGGGAAGAATACGGCATTCACTCGGAGTATATAAACTACGAGAGGGGGTCTAAAGCCAGCCACACATCGACAACAATACTCGTTTCTCATCTTGAATTCGACCGAACAAGACTTCGAGTGCATTGACAAGCTTAGTATTCCAACATGAAAGTCCTCATTCTTGGTGCCAGCGGTTTCATCGGCGGGCCTGTTTCGCAAGCTTTCGTGCGTAGCGGTGCGTGTTTTGTGCTGCATACACATTCCAGCCACTGAATGGCGCAGGGCATGAGGTCTACGGCTCCACTCGTTCCCAGGAGAAGGCGCCCGGCCTCGCTGCTAAAGAGATCATGCCGCTTGTCGGCGAGGAGTGGAAGTCCATTGCTGCCGACATGGACGTCATTGTCGACTGTACGGCTGCCTATGGGCCCGACATGGCCGTGCCAAACCTCAAGACTGTTGCTGAGATCAGCAAGAAGCGCGATAGCCTGTACAAGATCAGCTACATCTTCACGAGCGGAACATGGGTGCATGGAAACATGGACCAGCGGGGTGGATTCTTCGCTGATGAGAGGTCTCCTACCAAGAAATCGCCCGACTTGGTGTGTGACAAAGTGCATACGCCTGGGCGCTGACTAATACGACGCGCAGGTAGAATGGCGTGCCCTTTTCGAGAGGGATGTTCTTCAGAATCCCGATGTAAACGGTATTGTCATCCGCCCTGCCCTTCTTTACGGGAAGTCGATGTCCCTTCTCGAACCTCTGTTCCAACAGGCCATGGCTGGCAAGATCGAATGGGTCGGTGCTCCGGGCGACCGTTACAGCTTAATCCATGGCGACGACCTCGCTGACCTTTACGTTCGGGTCGGGGAAGGCGCATCAATGTACAAAGGCTTGACGTTCGACGCTGCTAATCCTCAGAGCGAGAGTCTGGACGACCTCCTTGCCAAGCTTGCTCAGGTATCCGGCTGCTCCGGGTATTCTTACAGAGCACCGCAGAATACGTTCGAAGTCGCTATGACCACGACATCCTTCACACGCCCATCGCTTGGTCGTGCCCTCACTGGCTGGGTTCCAAAGAAGTTTGGCCTTGTCGATGGGATGCAGGTCTATTACAAGACTTACGTCGCGAGCCAGAAGAAATGACTGTCAAGCAGGCGCGATATCCATCCATGTCCGGGCAGACTGCGGTCGAATCTATGACGCGATGGATAGTAATTCAGATTGGTCTAATCATAGCCCAAAGAATCATAAGTAAATCAAACACTGGTATACCCTCCTCGGCTCCCGCCTGGTCGTATCGTCGAACATAAGTGGCTCGTAATGTCGCGCAGCAGGTAAGGAAGGTCCCTCCAGAAGTCTCGGTGACTGTATATCGATCAGTATGGTGGCTCACATGGAAGACGAATGCACGCACGGTAAGAGATCCCAGCCAGAGGCACCGTACTGCGTATAGTTGTAATATGCTCCCACTCCGAAGTATCCGATGATGATAATGAACAATCTGATCATACGGTGAGATAACTACAACGGAAAGTGGTGATTTGAAGCTTACAAAAAGAAGAACCATCCAACCCCACTCCACCCTCTCCGCGGTCCACCATTCACATCGTCCGGAGGAGGCTCAACTGCTCCCTTCTGCGCGCATCCGGCCTTAGAACTCCAGTCTAGATACAGCACGCCTTTGCTTTCGTCATACTTAGAGTACGTAGGCGCATGCTCGGAATCGGAACAACCGAAAGTAATAGCGAGGCTCTGAGGAATGGACGGATCATGAGGGGCAGGTGGGTATGCGGGCCCATGTAGAGTAAGGACGAGGGGTTCTGATCCAACATTGGAATCAGCTTCTTTTCTTAAAAATATCTGTGAGCATGTGCTCACTGGAGTTGTCGTCCGAACCGCCAGTAAACTCCGCGTTCAGCGAGGATTTGTATGCGTCGGTCGAAATGTCGCCAGCTATCGGCACGACACGCGTTATCCGATCTGGGACCCCATCCTTCTGGTTGGTCGTTCTCAAGCACACTCTTGTGCCCGACGGACACTGCAGCATGTCAGCCCTCATCCAGTCAGAAGCAGCATACAGCCATACCTGATCGCCTTCAGCAACACCCTCCTTTGTCGATAGCGCTTTGCACAGATCGATTTCGACCTCGGAAATTGACTGGGTCGGTGGGCTATGCCAGTGCGTGTAGCTCACTGTCTGCAGACTCAAGTGGTTGAAGTCCCAGTGTGTACGGTCTCGCGATAGAATACAGTCCCATTCAGCCAACGCAGCAGGCAACAGCAGTGATGTCATGCCCAATTGCCGGAGAATCATGGTGGTTTGGAGAGTACTTAGCGGGCTGGCTAGGGGAGACGTCTCCTGTGCTGCGCGTTGAGAGGCGGAACCAGACCGCATGACGCGTTCCCTGAAATGGGGGTGGCTAGGGTAGCGTGTCACACTAACGCCGCCCAATATGCCACTCAGAGAAGCCGCTGCCGCACATCCTTGTTCCTTACCATCAACTCTGAGAATGTGCTAGACCACAAGCCTTCATCATTTACTTATACGTGCTGTCAGCTTGCAGCGAAATCTACTGTATTCACACCGGTCACCATTGAAACGACATGGATGCCTTGCTTCCTCACGTTTACCATGAAAAGGTAACGCGTCTACAACCAGTATATCACATGTAGCTCACAAAATGACGTTCCAGCAAGAACCTGGCACGATGACGTGTGGTCAGTATGCCCTCAGTGCGTAGAATGCCGTAGACTCTAGTCCTACGTTCTAACCCTTCGCAGACGCTCTCCTTCGTAAGTACGGCCGGTAGCAAATGATCGTATCTTGATCGGATTGTTTGCTATATAGAGGGGCATTATGCAAGTCACGTGCTGCCGCTCAACAATCATGTTCTCAACAGTTTTTTCCATAGTTTGGAGAAGAAGACCTCGCGAACATCGGTCGTGGGCTGGACCACGCCGAGCATCACATCGAGGTCGACGCCTCTGGCCGCGCAAGCAGCAACGTGGACGAGACTGGTGCGCATACATCACCCGAAAACTGTAGCTATAGCTCATGTATGCGGCAGGATTCTTTTCTGTCCAGGTGCTTGAACAAGCTCTCCAGGTATGGAATCTGTCACTCGATAATTGGCGAAGCGCCGAGATGCGGCCTTTTAATTCTCGTCCAGAGTGCGTCCCCTTCCAGTTAGTCGAATGCTTCATTCGTTGAATGAGTGATGTTCAGAGATCAGTTCGCTTTTGTGCTTAATCATGCTCAGCATTGGTTCATCATTCGCCGTTTCGGGCCTCCTCCTGGTTACTGGTACAACCTCAATTCTTTCCACGACGCACAATGGCTCAGTCACACTTATCTCGGCATGTTCCTCAATCAAGCTGAAACGGAAGGTTAGCTATATGTACCAACGCACCATGATCCTTGCTGAGATCAACGTTCAGGCTACACTATCTTCGCAGTGCGCCCACTCAATCCTGAGGCGCCTAATGCCATCCCTATATGCCCAGCAGACGAAATCGCCACCGATTTGCTCACTCTTTACGGACCCACATCGCACGCTCCCACGGCACAACAAATGGAGAGTCTGGCCACCGGCGTGCCGATACCCTCGGAAGATGATGTTGAACTAGCCGCTGCGATAGCTGCCTCATTACAAGACACGGGCAAGTCAGACCCTGTCGTATCGGACCGGAGCCCGGCGGAGGATCGATATGCCGAAGTGTCGGGCTATCAAGCAGCCTCTATGGATTCACTGTTCGACATGGCTGCTGCACGACACGCGCCAGCCCCGCCTGAACCTCGGGCTGGACCATCAAGAGCTCCGGACATGGACACCGATGTGTCTGATGCACAGCTCGCTGAAAGTGTTTCCAGAAGCACTGCTGCCTTGCAGAAGTTCCGCATGTCATCGGCAGAGGATCTTCCGGAGGCGGCGCCGTCATCTAACCGGAAACGTAATGCTGGCAGCGAACACGGTGCTCCTAAGCGCCGTCGCACAGCTGGGGATGACGACGAGGAAGAAACGATGCGTCGCGCGTTGGCTGCCAGCAGGACTGAAGGAGATGCATATCTTGAGGGCGACGATGTTGACGACGCCGAGGATGCAGACAAGACATACGACCTTGGACCATTTGCGCGTGGAGCGCATGGTCAGGTTCAGCCTGTACGCGCTGAGGACCGAGTTTTGGATGATGAAGACATGGAGCTTCAGGCTGCTCTGCGAGCGAGCCTGGAGGATCCATCGGCGGCCGGCGTCCTCACGATACCGGAAGAGGTCATGCCAGTCAGGACGAGCTCCTCAGGTTCTGGCACTCCGGCCGTACCAACGCCCGCCATTGCTACCCCGGCAACACCGCCGCCACCTGGCGCCATTACTGTGCAAGAAACTGAGACTGAGGAAGTGCCGGAGGATGAAGACGAAGAAGACGAGCGCGTACAGCCTCAATCTGAAAGTGCGGAGCCAAGCTTGGAAGAGATCAGAGCACGTCGTCTAGCACGATTCGGTGCCTAACGTGTTATACATATGGAATGACACGTCGTGAACCTCTTCGTTTTCCGGCGGCCTATGATGACCGCGGCGCGGCTCATGTCACATCACAACTGTGTATGCTGAGTTGTTGAAATGACGGGCGTATCTCCTGGCAGTGCAGCTAGAACGGCGCCAACTGCCAGCGAAAGATGCCTAACTCCCCACTTTCAGACAATGATGAATCAGGGAGTGTCAACTCCGTGGCACTGTTTGCAGGAAGGTAAGCATCAGTATTCTTGGTATTCTGTTGGATTAGCGAGGTAAGAAAGACCGGCACAATACTTATGCCAGATCAATGAGACCTCGTCTCCTGAATACGTTTGGTTTGCGAGACGGCTCGCAGATGCGGCCTACAAAGTACGGCCGTTAGACAACGACAACATCAACTCGCCCTCGTGGGAAAACATGGGTCAATATGATATGGTTCCTACGATTCTCTGTCGCTGTGAGTAACCCTGCTGTTGGCAACGTTTGATATCTTACGTGATTTTCCATAGTTGTTTTGGCCGCATTTTTTTTCTTTTCTACGATATTCTTTTGACCCTCGATGACGAGGTAAGCGCACGGTATATTACACCGAGCCCTCAGTCTCACCATATAGATCGCATATGTCTGGAGGTATGACATTCCTTCCCGCCAAACACCGTCCGTTGATTTTCTGAAGATTTCGCTAGACTCTTCCTAAAGCTTTACCTATCGGTCCGGTACCCTGGTTTCATTTTCCAACTGTGCGGCATTTCTCTGTTGCCCTTGTCACATGGCTGATCTCAAGTTTGTCAGATTCTCATGCATTGGTACAAAACATACTCTATCTTGATCCATATATCTTATGCTCGTTACAAGTCTCTATAACTATTTCCTTTGTCAGACGAAGTAAGCGTCGTGCCTTTCAGCATTTACTTGCACCGGCTCATCCCTTCCGAGTTGTTTGTGAAAACATTTCATCTTCCCCCTGTCTCAGAACCTGATCCAGCTGTCTCAGCTACAGGATCATTTCAACGTATGAGATGCCAATCTCCCTCTCTTTATTACAAAACACATGCAGGTGGATACTCATCTCTGCAGGCTCTTCGGACGGCCTCCTCCTCCTCCTCCTCGTACTGGCCCTTCTAAAAGGACGTCCCCGCTGTGAGCCAGAGGGATCTTCGATAATAGCGAGAGTAAGACCGGTGCCGCACAGTGAACTTGGCACTCCTAAGCACCTACATCAGTCTGTCCTCCTCGGCCCAGCTCCAGCTCACACTTTCCACGTCGTTTATGCTGTAACCTTCCCTCTTCCTATTGATCACTGGCAGCCTAATACCCCAGATCCTAAAGACACTCATGGGCCTGCTTGGGTATTATTGTTATTATGGATGGGTAAATCGAGCCTGGGGTTGGCCAGAGAACCTTGGTGTGCAGACGATGCACGATGTACGATGTCCCTTGAGGAATATACGTCTCTCAAGCTTGCTGCTGCCAGTGCGCTGATTCCTATCGCCACGTACAGTACGGGGCCGTTGGATGCCTGGGGTTCACATGAGGTCTCTCCTGCGGCGCACCGGTGTTCCCGGGCCTCTTAAACGGTTCGTCATCCAGTGGCCACAAGGAGAACGCTGACAGTCGAGCGGTAGCTCTTCCTCCCGATCAACGCTATCTGCGTATGTACGCCCCCTTCCTCCCCCGTCTCCCGCTAATCCCAGGAGAACAGGCAAACCCCCTTTTCCTACACCTTCATTTCTTCATTCCTCCGTCGCGCGAGCCACAGGCGGGACACGGGCCCGGGCCCGGGCGCAAGGAGTCAGGTAGCGGGGGGACGTTCGGTTGGACCGATCCTAGTTCGGCAAGTTCGGTAGCTCGGCTAGCTCAGGGGAGGGGAGGGGCTGGTGGCCAGAAACGTACGGTTGGAGGGTGAGGGTGAGGGCGAGGATGAGGGTGAGGGTGGGGCACGTAGAGCTGGGGGCGGTATAAGAGCATTCGTATTCGTCTGGTGGAAGAGTGTGGAATAACATGTTGTAAGGCGAGCAAACGGCGCTTGATGCTTTCCTTAGTGCCAGTAGCAAAGCCACGCCAAGACTGACTCTGCAACGCCGGCAACAGATCCCCATCCTTCGCCTTCCTCGCTCAGGTCGCTGTCCCAATAGGGAGCTGTCCTAAGTCTAGGGAGCTGGGGCTTGAACGGCTTGTTCTTGCTGTTGCTCTTGCCGGTGTTGGTGTCGATGTCGTTCGGTGCCAATGCCGTCAATACCCCAGCCACCAGAAATCGAAGCCGCCCACCCTCATCCCCCATCTCCTCTCCCTCATGCCCCCCCGTTGCTCACTTGCCCCACTCACTCCCCGTCCTCCCCGCACTTATCTTAGGAGCAGGCAACAGTTCCTCCCCTGTCGGCCAAGCCCTCACAGTCGGTTCCTCCTCTCCATCCCCTTCCCTCTCCTGCCCATCCCCCTGCCCCTCCTCCCCGTCCCCATCTTCCCTCTCCTTCTGCTTCTGCCCCTTCCCCTCCTCGCCTCCGGTCCCTTCCCGCTCGCCTGCAGACTGGTTAAGGGAAGACTCCCATGTTAAGGGAAAGGTCTTCCTTCCCCTAGGGGACCAAGGTGCGGCCGTAACAGTATCCCCCTGCATTCCCTGTTCCCCCCCTACCCCATCCCCATCCCCATCCATCCCAGCCTGCAACACTCCTACTCCCTCCCTACCCGCTCCACCCTGTCCCTCCTGATTCTCCTCCCCCTCAACCCACCCCAGCACCCCTCCCAATGCCAAATGCTGCACCACCACCCTCTTCCCCAAGACCTCAACCTCATACATCCTCCTCAACCCCTTCAGGACCTTACTCCACGTAGGCACGGAAGTGATACTATATAGCTGCGGGGAATGGGAGGCGAAGGGACCGGATTTGAGGGTGTGGAGACGCTGAATTAGGAGGGTGTAGAGGTTTGGTGGGGGGAGGGGTTGGGCTGGGAGGAGGGCGATTTGGGGGGAGGGGGGGTTTGGAAATGGGACGGGGACTGGGGGAGGAGGCATGGAGGGAGAGGAGCTTGATCCGCTCGAACTTGAGCTTGAGAACGAGTTTGCGTGCGAGTGCGGGTGCATGTGCGGATGGGAGTGGGAGTGGGAGTGCGAGTGCGGTTGGTGCGCCTGCCGCTGTGCGACTTGCAGCATACACTCCGGTGTCGTCCCTGACCCCACAAGCTCCGCAGCGCCCAACAAATACGGTAGGAAGTGGTAGTCGTCCAGTCCCCAAACGCCGTGTGACCCTGCAGGCTCAAGGCGGTACCTGTCCTGTATAAACCAAGCGAGGGAGAGATACCTCGGGAAAATGAGGAGGGAGGATTCGAGGTCTTGTTGGTTTGAGGAAGGGAGGTATCGGAGGAGGGAGAGTGTGAGGAGGAAGAGGAGGAATGAGAGTTCGTGCCCTGTTCCGTAGTCCATTCGTGTGAAATTTCCGAATGAGGAGAGTAAATGGGGGACGAGGAAAGGGACTGCTGGATGGTAGGCGTCTGGCAACAACTCCCGTAGCAGCGTAGGGAGGGAAAGGGAGAGCTGGTGACCAAATGATCTGAAAGCGAGATTGCCGTATCTCTGTGGTGTTGGCAGTGGAGGGACGCGTTCTGCGACTAAGTGGAGTTGGTCGATGAATGCGATGATGGCTTGTGTTTGTGGTGATGGATGATCGAGTATGTCAGAGTTGAGTGAGACACCTGTTGAGGCTGATGAGAGACGGGAGAGGTAGATCTGGAGGTTGGAGTAGGAGGAAGTGGTGTGCCATGTGTTGAGGAGAGTGTCTGATGATATTTTGGGTGAAGGGAGTGGGAGTGAAGGGAGGAGTGAGAGGGGGATGAAGGGGAGTGAGGGGAGTGCAGGTGTGGACATTGTGACAGGAGATGGACAATGAGATGATTGCCACGTTGTCATCAAGAATGGTCGGGACATCACTGATAAACGAAAATGTCACGGAAACCTTATGTAAGCCTGTCCCTTACTCCTCTACTCAAGTCACGCCTCTCTCTCTCCGTTCACCTTGCTCACTCGTCACTCGTCGGCAGTCAATCATGTCCATATTCCTACTCCTCTTCCTCGTCCACCTTACTACGGCCTATATCCCCGCAGTGCCCACAAACGACACTTCCTTACCCGTATTCAACACTTCATCTCTATCCTCATTCGCACTCAGGTGGCAGCAACAAGGTCATCAACCTATGGGGCTCTACTCTACCGCAGTCAGCTACCAACTCGCAGGTGACGGGAGTGATGGTGTCACCCAGGTGCGTCCCCCAACTCCCATTTAGCGTACACCTCCTGCTAACATCACACAGGGCGCAATCGTCCATTTCACAGAAGCCACCGCAGCTGACAACCTCACAACCTCCACTCCCTGGATAGCCTTCATCTCCTGCGACAACAACGCTACAAACGCCTCGATGGAAGACGACATCTTCACCCTTGCTCAAGAGCGTGGAGCAGTTAGCGCTCTACTCTATTCTAGTTACTCCCAGGCATGCCTCATCAACTCAGAATACCTTTCCCCGGAATTCGACAAGCTTATCGACGTATTCGCCACCACATCGCAGAAGACAGCGGGGCTAATCGAATCCCAGTTCGAGCAGGTCAACACAAGTTTCTATTATTATAATGCGGCGCTACTCAACGCTAGCGCCCTGTTAGTAAACGAAAGCATGGCAGACATGGCACTCGACCAACCGGCATACCTCGTCGCCCTACTCCAAGCGAGTAACGCAACGGGCAACGCGACTGCGCCCGACACTCCTTCCAGCAGCGGCAGCAGCAGCGGGGGGGGAGGCACACCAAATACAGGTCTGGCGATGATAATCCTCTACGCGATCACAGGCTGCGTCTCTGTCCTCTTCTGTATCGTCATCCTCTCCGGGGCCATCCGTGCCATCCGCCATCCAGAGCGGTACGGCCCGCGTGCGGACCCGGGGTACATGGGGGGATTGCCACCGCAGACGAGGACGGCAGGGCTTGCGAGGGCGATATTGGACACTTTTCCGGTGATCAAGTTTGCGGGAAGGGGGGAGGAGGTCGAGATGGGCTCTGCTGCTAAGGGGGGGAGCTTGGAGGGAGGGGAACTGGGAGTTGGAGTTGGGGCGAGCGGGAGCGGGGGAAGCACTCCTACGGACAGGAAGCTTGTTGGTACGGGGGAGGGGGAAGTGGCTTCCCCCCTGGATACGTCCTTCCTCGCTGATGCGGACTTGGCACCCGCACTACAGTTTGCGAGGTCTGTCTCTCCTAGCTCTTCCCGTCCGCTGGACGCTCCTTTCACCCCCGCGCTTCCCTCCCAAACCCCAACCTCAACCTCCGCAACCTCAACCTCAACCTCAACCTCCACCGCAAACCCAATCCCAAACTCCAACACCCCAGAAGCTCCTTTGCTAGGTCACACCACCTGCCCGATCTGTCTCTCCCCTTTTACGGAGGGCGACTCCCTCCGCCTTCTCCCCTGCGCGGGGAGACATACGTTTCATCAAGAGTGTGTCGATCCGTGGCTTTTGACGCTCGCTACGAGCTGTCCGCTGTGTAGGGAGGATTTTGACCCGTGGCATGCGCGTGCGCGGGATGGAGGGGCTGGATCTGAAGGGGAGGGGGAGGCTGAGGATGGGGACGGGGAGGGGGAGGGAGCAGGGGAGTACCTAGAGCTTCCGGTTCCCGAGAGTCCGAGAAGAGAGAGAGAAGGCAGGCTTGGGAGGCTGTTTGGAAGACGAGAGCAGAGAGAGGGGAGACGGGAACGGGAACGGGAACGGGAACGGGAGAGAGGGAGGGGGAACGAATGGACTGGGAGTGTAGGGAACGAATGGATTGGGAGTGTGGGGATGGGGGCGGGGGGGGAGGAGATGGTCCTCCCCCCGCATCCGTTGGCCTGACTCTGACTCTGACCGCCGCTGTGCCGTACTTACGCTACGGCGTGCTCCGAGGAAGGGGAGCGGGGGGAGGGGAAGGAGGTTAACTTATGATAACGTGACTGTGACAGCGCAGCGACAACGACATGACAGTGTACAGTATTCTAGAGGGTGTTTTTGCAGATCGAAAGTTGTGCTTCTCTAGCCTGGGTTGGGTGGCTTGGGGTTTGCCTTTGGCTTGGCTTTGCCTTTGCCTTTGGTTGGCTTTCTGCATGCCACGGACAAATGTTATAACGACATCTCTTGCCTCTTTAGGTCGGGATTCATCTCGACGTCTATACGTCTACATGCCTATACGTCTCTCTGTCCATTCTTGCCCATTTCCACACCCACGCGTCCCCATCCTCTAGTCCACGCAACCCCGATCATCAACCATTTATCACTCATCACATTTCGCATTCATGCATTCATGCATTCGTAATATCATCTACCTCTACTCTACACCGTCAGAAGAGAGAGGGTAAACGTGGGCCAAAGCAGGGGGTCCAGTGGTACTGCAAGGGTGTTCCAGGGTAGTAGAAGGGGACGGAGTCCAGCCAGCCGCGGTGTTAGGGGTAGAGAATGGGGACAGGGATGGGGATAGTTGGGAACTGAATGGGAAATGTCAAAGGAAAAATGAAACTGAAAACTGAAAACGGAAATGAAGAAGAAAGGGAAGAAGGAACTACATGTAGCGTTACATCGTCCCCCCTCTGCGCTCCTGCGCTGGTAGGATATGAATACAACATTCTTCGGGTCGGACGAGCCGTCCGGTGTGGTCTATGAACCTCGTGAGTGGTCGTCGATCGGGGTGGTTTTCGGAGTTTGGGCGTGTAGGGGCAGGGAGAGGGGTTGAGGAGATGATGGGGACATCTGCGAGATTCGGATAGGGTGGGGTAGTGGGGGGGGTCATCGGTTTTCGTTGATAGTAGGCTGGGATTTCTCCGTGTCCACGGTGGGACTCACAGGCGTACTCGTACTCGCCTCACTCGGGTGCTCCGCACTGACCATACTATGCTCCCCCTCCTTCTTATGCGAGTGCTTAGCAGCCCATTCCTTCCCCTTGGTCTTAAGCTGTTCCTCATCCCCTCGCTTCAGCGAATGCTGCTCGATCATCAGCGCCGAGACGAAGAACGCGACCACAGCGCAGGGGAAGCAGAACCGGAAAACGTTTTGTACCCCGTTGGAGAACGTATTCTGGACGATGAGGATCTGGGCTGGGGTGAGGGACAGAGAGGTGTATGTCGTAGGAGAGGAGGTGATCGTGTCTACTAGGTCTTGCGCGAAACCGGCGTTGAGTAGTCCGGTTCTGCACAGGGTGGGTTAGGGCGCTTATGCGGCTGGGCTGGGAATACGTACTTGACAGTGTTGTTCAGGATAGCCTGGCACACGGCCAGAGCGACTGTACCTCCAAGCATGCGGACAAAGTTCCGCGTTCCGGTAACGACGGCCATCTGATTCCTTGGCACTGCTGCCTGGGCGGCGATGAGCGTTGTCTGGAATGTCTGGCCTGCGCCGACACCGGTTAAGATCAGGTAGCCAACTTGCTGCGCTTCGGTGGAGTGCAAAGACAGCGTCGATAGCAGCCCGAGCCCCACAGACCAGATGGCGAAACCCAGGTAGATGTTCGCCCTGTATTTCCCGGAGAGGGAGACGATCAGACCTGAGGAAAAGGAGAATACGGTCTGGACGACGATTAGTGGGAGGAGCTGGGTGCCGGACTGCAGAGAGGTGACGCCTTTGACCACTTGGAAGTACTGGGGAAGGTAGTAGAGCTGGACGTAGAACGCGCAACCTGAGAGGAAGGTCGCGATTTGCACGCCGCAGACAGTCTTGTTGCGAAAGATCTCGACTTAGGAAGTAGTTAGCCTGGTATAATGAGGCCTAGGTGGCGAATAGACTCACGTGGAATATTCGGAATTTTAGCAAATTTCCACTCAACGATAACGAAGCAGCCGATGAAGAAGGCCCCGAGAATGAGAGGAGCGATAACTGCTGCCGAGTTCCAAGGGAAGGAGGTTCCACCCCACGAGAGGGGCAGAAGGATACCCATAGTACCCATCAGCGACAGGACTGTGCCCACGTAGTCAACTTGCTTCAATTTGGTCTTCATATCCCCTTTCACCCTACGCAGCGGGAGTAGGAAGATGACAACTACGATCGCTACACCTGCCAGAGGGACGCCGAGCCAGAAACACCAACGCCAGGTTGCTTTGGTCGTAAATGTACCGCCTATGACGGGACCGATGCTGTTTCCCAATGCGACGATGCCACCAATGATGCCCTGGTACTTCCCACGATCCTTCATGGCCACGACGTCGGAGACGATGATCATCACCAGGGTGATGATGCCCCCTCCGCCAATGCCTGTCACGGCACGGAAGGCGATGAGCTGGATCATGCTCTGCGCAATAGCGCAGAGGATAGAACCGATGAGGAATACGGCGAGGGTGAACAGGAGCACGAATTTCCGCCCGAAGATGTCGCTCACCCTGCCGTAGATGGGCTGGAAGACAGTGCTCGTAACAAGGTAGGAGGTGCCGACCCACTCGGCCTGCTGTCCTGAGTTGAAGTCGTTCGCGATTTGTGGAATGGCCGTGCTGACAATGGTCTGGTCGAGAAGAGAGACGAAGATTGCGATTGCCAGACCGGTGAAGACGACGAGCAGCTGCCGGAAGGGGAGTAGGTTCGTCTGGTCCTGCAGCTCGGGGACACCGTTTGCTCGGGCGGCATCCTTGCACCGTTGAGCCTCCTCCGGCGTAAGCGCCGCTTCCTCCGCACCGGCGTCTCCAGGCTGAACAGTTGGAGAATGGGCCCCAGAGGGAAGAGTGCAATCCTCTGGCGTGGGGGAATGCGGGTCCGAAGGCAGGCCCAGCCCCCCCGCAGAACCAGAAAGCCCATGGGTGGCCTCCCTCTTGCCGGTACAGTCAGCTTGGCGACTCCTCGTCAATCGTTCTTTCTCGTTCTCGTCGCCCTCTTTCGAAGCACTGTCGACAGAGGCACGCGGTAAACGAGAAGACAAGTCTTTGTCCATAGGAGAGTCCACCAGAGTCTCTGACCGAGAAAGCGGAGCACGTATGGGGAAACCGCTGTTGAGCGTTGGGGGCGGTTCGGGGGCCATCCGTGTAGAGTACGGCCTGGCTATGCAGAGTCTATCCAAGCAGAAACAAGCGAAGGGGGGATTGAGGCACTGTGCTGTCTGTCGCACTGTGCGTTGTTCGCTGTGCCTTTAGGGAAGAAACTCTGGCACCTGCCCGTCGAAGCATCTGTGTGCTTAAGTATGTTGGACGAACTCATCGGCTGGCAACGCCGGCGCAACACGCCCACACGACCCGACCGTCGACCCTCCCCCTGGAGTCACCGTAATGTCAGTCCTCAACCAGTGACCTCCAGAGAAATTCGGTCCTTTCGGACTGGGACCTTTTGATTCCGGCCGAGAAGGGTCATCAATGCATATGTCATGCCGTGCTACCTTCCGGATCTTCCCCGGCCCGCTGCTGGACTCTCTCAGAACCCGCGAAGGTGTATTTTTATCGGGCGGCCTCTGCCGAGCGCCGCATTGCATATCGGCGGCACTGGGCCTGGCACGCACGGCGACAATCAGGGACGGCAGTACCTGATAAGCCACACGGTCAATTTTACCCCAAATTCCAACAACGCCCAGACTCTCACCATTCGGCCGTTCAACTCCCGAGGAAGCCATCATTGACGTATCACCCGCAGTTTCTCCACGATCCCTGCAATTCAACCCATAAGTCCCAAAGTGGCGATCGTTCCGGTCACATGTTCACCACGCCTCTGTCGGCCCCGACCCGCTGTGGAGGTCGTTCCACCCCAGTGGCTGTGTTGACGAGGCGGGATGCCGTGCCGGCCGGCGATAGCGTGCCGAATGCCGAGTTATTAATGACCTGACAATATTGTAAACCAGTCCAGGTTTGTCTGTTTCATCAACTTCTATATTCGTGGTTATATGGTTCGCGTAGTTGGATGATGATGATCTTGGTATGTGTTGTCTCGGCATGTGCCGAAACGTGCGTCGGTATCAGGATGAGTTTCAGTATCAACGGCAGCAGCAGCATCTCCGGCAGAATCTAGCCACTTGCGGCCTCGTTGCAAACAGAATATCCAGTTCAGTCCGTGTCAACCAGTGTCAGTGCACTGCCCACCCTGCCGCTCCCTGCCCCGACTCTAGCCTACACCCCACAACAAGAGAGAGATGCAGGCGGTCACGTAGAGCATAATCATCGTATCGGGCGTGCTTGCCGCTCTCACTGCGCCGGAAGAGGTATTTGGGGAAGTTGTGTTGTCCGAAGCTTTGACCTGAAACAAGCCGACGAGGTATGTGGCTTGATCGGTTTCCATATCCGCCAGGCTCTCATTCACCAACAGTGCGTTTTGTGTAAGCAGCGACGCGTCATACGAGTAAAAACTGGCATTGACCTGCTCGAATTGGGACTCGATGAGTTCTACGCTCTGCTGCGAGGTGGTGACAAAGACGTCGATGGGCTTGTAGAACTCTCGCGAAAGGTACGCGGGGTTGAGGAGACAGGATTGGGAGTACGCGGAGTATAGGAGGGCGCTGACAGCCCCTCGCTCTTGCGCGAGCGTGAAGATATCTTCCGTCGACGCACCTGTCACGTTATGATCGCAGGATATGAAGGCGATCCAGAGTGTGGTAGTGTTCAGGCTATCAGCCGCAGCGTCCTCTGTGAAGTGGACGAATGCGCCCTGCTCCGGTCAACAAGAGCTCGAATTCAATCAGACACTGGACGTACCTGTGTGACACCGGCGCTCCCGTTGCCTGGAAGCTGGTAACTAACAGCAGTGGAGTAGATTCCCAACGGCTGATGACCGTGTTGCTCCCATTTGAGCGTGAATGTGGAGAGGGAGGTGGTGTTGAACACCGGAAGACTGGCGGTGTTGTTTGTGGGCACGGCGGGAATGTAGCCGGTGACAAGGGGAAGCAAGGGAAGCAGGGGAAGAAGGGGATAGATCGCGGACATGGTAGATGGGTGGATAGTCGAGTGCACTGTCCAACCCTCTCCTCACACTTCCCCAACATCGTCCCTTGGTCGTAACTCCCCGGCCTTGGTTACACATCTTCAGCCACTGATCACAACCCTTGCGCGGAACAGAAATAAGCGCCCACTACCATCCCGCCTTGTCGGAGTGTTATCAACTACTCCTCTAGTACGTTACGACAAGATATCTCAATCTTTATGGGAAGGGGCTATGGTGACTATCAGAGTGTAGTATGGCCTGTGGTAATAAATCTATGTCGTTGGGGGTTGTCTAATGAAGTAATTTATCCCAGTGACTAATCCAGAACTTATTCTCATTTAAGCTGCCCTCTTAGCATTATTGCTACCTGTTTTTAGCAGTATGAAATGATGTTGAAAGAACAAGCCGGCGCCGACAAAACAGCTTGCGATCTTGGATTCCTTTTGCTCCCGCTCAACGGCTGTGTTTTTCAGTCACGTAGGGCGCTCTGATTCTTGCCACCACCTCCCTGCCTCTGTGATGTCGGAGTTCTGGGTCTCTCACAAACGCTACCGCTGTCAATATTGCGACATATGGATAGCAGACGATGCTCCATCAAGGCAACATCATGAGAATGGCCTGCGCCATAAGGGCAACCGAGAACGGTTCATCAAAGGCCTGTACAAGCAAGGGGAGAAAGCGGTGAAGGAGAGAGCAGAGGAGAAGAGAGAGATGGCTGCTATAGAAAAGGTGCGTCTGTTATTTCAAGGTTTAATACTTGAAGCTGAGCGAATGATAGGCTGCTGGGGCCGCTTATGCGGTAGACGTTAGCGCTGGTCGCGGTTCACAAAGCGCCCTCGCTGGTCCCTCGTCCGTCCCCTCCAAGCCCAAGCCCGCCACGACCCCAGCGTCAACTAACAAATGGGCCAACTACAGTACTGCCGAGTCTTTGGGGTACACAGATCCGGATGTCGAGCGTGCTTTGCAAGAGGCGCAAATGCGTCAGAACGCGGGTATCGCAGGGGAGTGGCAGGTTGTCACCCCTACACCTGCGGCTTTGGCTGCTGCCGCTGCTGCTGGGAAGGAGGGATCGGATGACAAGAGAAAATGGTCGCATGAAGAAGATGAGGAAGGGAGAGCATCTAAAATGCGGAAGAAAATACTTGCGGAAGGACTGGGCGAGCTGTATGATCCGGGTGTCATTAAGATAAAGGTCAAGGAACCGCCAAAGGAGGAGGAAGACGTTGTAGCACCGCCAGAAAAGGAAGAACCGACTGTCAAGGAGGAAAATGTGAACGAGGGAACGATGAAACCAAGGTGGGGAAAGAGCTGGAGTACCGTGGATGAGAATGCGGAGCGAGAAAGAATCAAAGACGAAGTCTCGCGTCAAGAGGAGCGGTTTCTAGTTCCAAAAGCGGAAATTAAGGAGAAAAGCAAGGAAGAGGAAGAAACGCAAACGGTTCCCGTGCCAGAACCAGAACCTCCGTCGACTGCCAGTCTGTTCAAAAAGCGAAAAGGCCCGCCTACAGGAGCCAAGCACGGTAGACCACGCCCATAACCAGCAATTCACGACACCTTTTACCCGATCCCGACCAAGAATGTTACCCCACATGGATCCATTCACTTCGAAGAATGTGGTGGAATTCTCACATTGTCCGATTGTTTATTTGTATTCTTATAGATGTATCAAAGTTAACAATCTCTTTGTAATGATATTTAGCAGCTTCGTGGAACCATTATCCAGACATGCATATATATCATCGGATGTCACAATGGATCACTGCTGCCTGTGGGTACGAGCGCAGCCCGACATCGACTTATACAGTCGCAGCCTGTGCATCTCATAAGGAATAGCTCTGCAAATCTCCAGAACGTACGTACCCCGCATACCCTCAAGTTCACGCCGGATACCCAAGCGGCGTCGGGCCCCGCGAGGAAGAGCACCGAGCCGGCGATATCCTCCGGCTGTCCCAGTCTATTGAATGGGGAGAACGCTTCGAATTTCTTGATCAGTTCCTCGCTCTTGCCTTCGAAGAACAGGCTTGTCGCAGTTGGTCCAGGTGACACGGTGTTGACCGTGATTCCCTTCGTTCCGAGATCTTTCGATAGTACGCGGGAGAATTGCTCCACCGCGGCCTTCGTAGCGGCATACACGACGTAGTTCGGCGTGATGACTGATTGGACGGTCAAGTGTGTGGAGAAGAAAATGACGCGCCCTCCAGGTGGCATGTGTGGGACAGCGAACTTAGTCGTGAAGAAAGGTCCTTTGACATTGATGTTGAAGTGAGCATCATAGTAAGCCTCATCGGCGCTTGCAATGGGCTTATTGCCCATGATCGCCGCATTCAGAACTAAAAACATGAGCTTGTGTACATTTTGCGAAATACAAGAATGCTCACCAAGAATGTCGATCTTGCCAAATGCCGCTACGGTCTCGGCGACCAGTTTCCCCGCAGAGTCCACTGAGCTCACGTCGCTCTGAATGGCAATGGCTTTGCCTACACCGCGCGCATTAATGAAATCGACGGTCTCTTTAGCAGCCTCCACGTTCGACACGTAGTTGACAATGACGTTGGCGCCAGCGTCGGACAAACGAATAGCAATGGCCTTGCCAATGTTGCGCGACGAGCCTGTGATGAGAGCTACCTTATCCTGAAGAGAGAGTCCAGTCATTCTTGAGGTGGAAATAGTTCAAAGGATGGAGTTGAGCTGGAGCTGTCATGCAAACGCAGCAAACGGTATATATAGGCCAGATAGCCAAAGACTCCGGAGCACCTCGGACAAGAACACCATTGCGTCAATGGGCCTTCAGGAGCTGCTAAACATTGAACCAGGCCTCAAGCATGACGTGAACGTATCAGTAACAGTAACGCGGATAACGGATCTGCCAGCATAGAGCCTGTTGAACCGCTATTTGCCGCAAGTATGAAGAGATACTGCGAAGGCGGCCCCGGCCCAAAGGACGAAGATGGGAACGTGGCGAGAATTACATCTCCGACATCGCCAGCCAGATGCACCCAAATGCAGTATTCTTACCGCATATCAGAGCAATGCAAAAGAAGCCTTGATAACAGGGAACCTCCCTACATGGTGGTCGAGGTTGAAGCTGATTATTCAGTCTCTCTAACGAAGCATCATTTCGGAAGCATTTGTCCTGTCGTTCACCTCGAGCTCGAGTCGCGTCCTCCGCACTAACTGTCATTCCGTCATTCTTTTCAAAATGGGTGTAGTAACCTACACATCCTACCTTGCTGTTTTCATCATAGTGCTCATAACACTCTATCTCCTGTTCGCCGGTGCGCACATCCCTTTCGTTGTGCGGAGCTACCCGCTTACGAGAGATCCCAGGTCAGGGAGAATGGTTCAATATCGGCCATTTCCTAGAAGAGAGTAGTCCATACATGTGGTCCATGGTTGGTGTTGGACTGTGTATTGGACTAAGTGTGCTAGGCGCAGGATGGTCCGTCTCTTTCCTTCGAAGGCCTAAGGCGCTTTTCTCATTGCGATCGGACAGGGGGATATTCATTACTGGAGCAAGTATTCTCGGAGGTGGTGTGCGAACGCCAAGGATAAGAACGAAGAATCTGATCAGGTTCGTCCAAGTTTTCAATCGTCCTGAACCAATACATTAATGCTGGTGACAGCATCATCTTCTGTGAAGTTGTGGCGATCTACGGAGTGGTATGTTCCTCCGGCCTTGACCCTGCGCCTCTCCTGACTGTTATTGGCAGATCATGGCGATCATTTTCTCCTCCAAATTTGCCTACATACCTGAATCCGACCTTCGCACCCCTTCAAACTACTATACGGGCTTTGCGCTTTTTTGGGGTGGACTCACCGTCGGGGTTTGCAACCTCCTGTGCGGCATTAGCGTTGGTATTACCGGCTCAAACGCTGCTCTTGCAGATGCCGCAGATCCGACGCTCTTCGTCAAGATCTTGATTGTTGAGGTGTTTGGAAGCATCATGGGCTTATTTGGGCTGATCGTTGGGCTGCTGATGGTGTGTCCACATGCTATTGTGTCTTTCAGAATCAAAAGATTGACTGTGCCGCAGGCTAGCAAGGCGAACAGCTTCACTGCAATGGAAAAAGCTGCTGTTCCGTTATGAGCCACCTACACTCCTTTGCGTGAACGCCTTCTTTTATAACCTGTACAGAATGCAGCAATATAATTAACCAAGCTCATCATTACTGGAGAGAACGGGTCTCTAAATACACGCTGGAGAACACGTTTCAGTTGTACAATACTTTACCGGTCCTCAAAGGGGTTCTCGACATATTCCACTGCACGGAGATTAGCGGTCTGAGGGAACAGACAAACCCGAACATACAATCATCCTCGTCTTCCTTCCGGGCGGCCGTGTTCGATCCGGCGCCAAGGGCCACGGGCCTCTTCGGCAGCAAGTTGATCTTACCGGCTTCGGGACGTCAGCGAATATTATAAGCCTCGTCATGATAGTACTCACAAACATCAACCTGCGCCGGAGGTGGCGCGCTGCTGCTTGAACCGATTGCGGGATGAGACGAGTCGTTAGAGGGCTCACGGATTGTAAGCCCTCCACGAGTTGCAGCTGGTTTTGGCGGTGGTCCGGCAGGCGGCTCTGTAAATCAGTTGTATCAGTCACCTTCTAACTTTGCGGAAGAGGTGCATACGGAATGGCCCCTTTCCTACGGTGTATCCCTGCGGCTTTGAACCTTGAGGAGCTGCAGAGCGCAAAGTAAAATCGTCGGCTTCCGAATTTACAGCGCCACGCGCAGCAGACCTAGGAAAAGAAGCACCTTTAGGACCGGGCGCAGGTGTCGCGGTGAGTTCAGCCCACTGATTCCACTCCGACGCATTCACTGGCCGATTCGTGGGGTCCGACTCGTCAGTCCTGTTGGAAACGTGAGCTCAGGACTGGACCAGTAAGGCGGGATGAACGGACGGCTTATCGAATTCCTGCACCTTCTGCTTAATCTTCGAGAAGAGGCTGCTGAATGTCTTCTTCCCGCCTGTTCATCCGCATGAGCTGCTACTGCTGCTAACCATGCGGAAAGGCTCACTCTCGGCGAACTTGTTGAACTGATCCTGGATGTGCGCGGTATCCACGCCTCCCCAAGTCCCTCCTTGACCTTGGCCTGTACCAGAAGTGCGATATTCGCCGTCTTGAGGAGGATTTCCGCGACGCGGCGCATTTTGACGTGGGAGATATGGGACGTGGATCTGACTTTGCCCACCAGGGATCGCACGACCGGAGCGGGCCGCGTTCTCCTCTTCCTCAAGCATAAGGCGTTGAGCAAGTTGCTCGTCTAGCTCAGTCTGTAGGCATTTATCAGTCACCTATTCTCATACGATTGTGATACGCATATACGTGCCTGATTACGGGACTGTGCAGTCTCCTGAGGCACGTAGCTCGGGTCGCTCATCCCAAGAAGCGTCTCGATCGCCTGATCCGGATTGCCATCACACGCGTTGAGGACACTGGAAAGTACAGTTTGGTCAAAGTCGGGAAACATGGCCTGAAGTGGTGCGATCCGTGGGTCGGCTGGCTCCTCTGAGGCTGCAGTCATTGTCTGGGCGGGAGCAGGCGCAGGTGCGGAATCGGGCGCGCTCTGCGGCTCAATCTTCATCACATCGGCCGTCTCGGTAGCTCCCAACTTCTCAAATGTCTCATCCGAGGCTTGCGCACTCGTCGGTGCGTTTGACGAGGAGGCCGCCTCAACAGGAGCTGGGGACACTGTGGGGTGGACCAGTGAGGATGTCAGAAGCAAGATGAACAACATTGGACTTTACCAGATTGATCGGTCGGTTCAGATATCTTCTCAGTCATGATACTAATAATTTGGGGTCGTTCACAAAGTCAGGTAAGGGCAGATGATGGGAGAGAGTAAGTTGTAGTTATTTATCAGAGGTGTGGGGTAGGTCGGTAGGTCGGAGCTACGCGTTGCCTACTTCGCCAAGGGCGCAGCATACGCGCCATACACCGCCACACCAACCTTTTGTGTCGTCATGAACGTGTCACTCCATCAGACCCTGGAGAGCTTCTTATCAATAATAAAGTGCGTCCGCCTTGCCTTCTTCGTCCCCCTTTGACTCTCCTCCTTGTCTCCTTTGCGCTTTCGTCCATCTCCATTGGTGCCTGATGATCGTTGGTTCAGTGACTCGAGTTTCTCGAGCGTCTTGTGCAGGATGCGTTGCTCCCCGGTCGTGACGATCAACGCATTTCTGCGTTTTTCGTTAAGCTCATTAGACGACCTTAACATACCTTCTTGTTCCTGTTGTTGCAAGTTTAATTCATGCAGCGCATTGGTGAAGAAAGTCGACATACCGTTAATGAAATCGGATACATTGCCAGACGTTTCTGAAGGACCACAAGGAGAACTTCATAACTCTTTTCATCCAACTTTGGCTTTGGAGGCTTTCCTTTTGATTGTGCTTTCTCCCAGTCCTCCTGGTTCAACAGAAGCAGCCTGACTAACGAAAGCATCTCGTCTGGCACGCTATACGTAACATCGAGGACAAATGCGCTGCATGCCATCTTAGTGAGTAAATCAGTCTGGACTCAGATGTGCGTACTCATCGCCGCCCTCCTCCAACCACCAGTCAATTCTGTCTTGATATGACTGGACTTTTGCCGCTTCAACAACCGTATCGGCATTGATCTCGACGACGTCTGATGGGCTTCCCACGCCATCCGGCAAGGTAAGGGCATCAACATAGCCATATCGCCTTAGTAAATCGGAATTTGGCGGGTCCCCGTAAGTGTTCCACTTTGTCTAGTAAGCATATGAACCCATGGAAAGAACTTAAACTGCGCACGATCTGCTCTCCTTTGGCTATTGGTTTGGTGGCCATCATCTGCAGGTCATCCCTCGTGTAGAAAAGTTTTGCCTGCGATTCGATGTCCAGTTTCCAGCATGTACTACACACTCATAACTCACGTTATTGCATCCACACCTCGCATTCAACATATCTGCCATAGGCACCATAGCAACGTCCTCAGTCTTTTCTCTTTCCTCATCCTCCTCGTCCTCGTCCATATCCCCCATATCAATGTTTCCCTCAGAGTCATCTCCTAGTACGTTCACCTCGCCCATCAACTCATCCCCAGCCGATGCCATGGAGGTATCAACAAGCTCCGGCGCTTCATCTTCGTCGTTCTCCGGTACAGCGCCGGACCAAGGGGAGACAGTGAATGAACGGGAAAGGATACGAGATCCTTGGATGTGGTAGTTCTGGAGCGTGTAACGGGTTTGGAACAGAGACGGGGCGAAAAGATCCGTGCGTTTCTGACCAACTACCTCAGCAGGAACTTGAGTGGGGGCACACTCAACTCACTTGTAAAAGAGGCAACACCTTCTCGTTATAATCTTTCTCGGCACCAGCCCTGCCAATTTTGTCTACACTAGGTAAGAGCGTAGTCAAGACTGGGAGAAGAAGGCGTACCCAGCACGAGGCTTCCCTTTAGCAACCCCAGCTCTTCATCAGTCCAAAACATCAGCGTGCTGAATTCCGTCGGCATAGACTCTTTCAGTATGTACATTAGCCTCATGGAGAAGCAGATTACCGAATGACACTCGCACCTAAGTATCCCCGCCATGGGCTCTCTTCTGCTCTAGCTTCTTCCCACATCATACAGAGTATCAGCCCGGCCCAGCCATCTCCTAATGCATTCCAATCTTCTTCCCCTAGTAGAAATGGTAGACTAGATGTGCGCGTAGATAAAAGAAGGGAACGCGGGATGGTGAAGAGTTTCTCGCCTTCCTGTTGTCCTGGTGTTAGAGGGCATGCAAAAGTGAGGATGGGCGAACGCACGTAGATGTCCCGCAACGCGACAGCACCGCGACCCGTCTCAGGAAGGTCTTCAATCCCAATAGCGCTGCTGTCGAATGTACCACCAGCCGATGTGAACCAATTGAGAAAGTCCATCCTTTTTGTTTTTGCGCCTGCTTCTGAGCGAGAAATGCGCCCAAATTTCAAGACAGGGTCTGATTTCTTTTCGTCACGTGCACGAGAATCACTAAATTTGGGGACAATGGGACTGGATTTCCTCTTGTAACGAGCTACACTACAAGTCTAGACATACCTTTAATGTTAAAAGACTCTCTAGAGTCCGCCAAAAGTTGTTCGAGACACGCCTGCAGCACCGTGTTCTCCAAGCCGAGTGCACTCAAACCACCCGCTTTCGCAAGCCTCGATCCGCTCGACTGCATGACTTTCCACGCGGCAATCTTATCCTCGAACTTGATCTGGGCTTCATCTAGAACTTTCCATACCCGGAGTGCTGGGTCAAGAACGTCCAACTGGGGCTTGCGACCCAGCTCGAGGACTATCTCCGTATCCACCGCGACGTCACCAACTTGTACCACAGAACCGGTCGCAACCGCTTCTATCGATATCTCTCTCACGGATCCTCCGACGGTTGCTTTGATATTCTTCAGTGGTGAGACACCAAGGAGATGGAACTTCCAGTTGCGCGTCGCCGGTAAGCCGGAGACATTTGCGACCGTAACTGGTGCAATCCGGATGATTCCCTTCTCCTGGGAATACGTGATGCTCGTCTTCGCCCACTTCACAGCGTCGAGGTTGGAACCCTTCCCATCATCCTCCATGATGTCGAATTGTCCATCAGCACCAACGACAATCATGACCTCAAATGAACTGGGGAGGATGCATCCGTTCTCGGGCACAATCGCCGCATCGAGCGGAATAATAGCACCCTTCCGTGCAAGAACAGGGTAACGCTCGAGCGGGCGGTACAGAACGAGCTCGCGATTTCCATCGTATACGGTGCCCGTAAATATATCGATATGCCTCCCCTCCGGGATGAAAGTGCGCACGGCACCATACCGCGTTGCCTTGTCTCTCGGGGTGGTGATTGGGGCCACAACCAGCTCGGAGCCGAAGAAGAACTGGTTGCGATTGCGGTAAGCTTCGTCCCTGGTGGGGTACTTCCAATAGGTTGGCTGTACAAGAGGCTCCTGCTCTTTCGCCGCACGGTAATTCATCGAATGCAGGTAGGGCATCAACCTATGCCTGAACCGAAGTTGTTCCTCCATCACCGTCCGCGCCTCGATCCCGTATGCCCAGGGCTCTTTAGTCATAAACAGGTTGTGGGTGCTGTGTAGCCTCAGTATTGGGCTCCATACGCCAAGTTGAACCCAGCGCGCGGTTAGTTCGTCATCCTTCGTGCCGCGTAGATGGCCGCCAATATCATGTGACCACCAGCCGTAGCCGATGTTACTGGCAGTGAGTGTGAACTCGGGCTGGAATTCAAGTGATGCCCAGCTGATGTGTGTGTCGCCAGAGAATCCGATCGGATAGCGATGGCTACCTGGGCCGGCGTAGCGAGAAAAGGTGAACGGACGTTGGCCATCGCGGCCCGAGTCGAGGAAATGGAAGTGGTTCAGCATCCAAAGTGGGTCGACACCAGGAATCTTCGTGTGCTCTCCCGACTGCCAGTCAATCCACCAAAAGTCAACGCCTTGCTTCTCCAGCTGGCGATGAAGCACGCTGAAGTAAACATTGAGGAAGTCTTTGTTGACGATATCGAATGGAATAGGGTCGCCTGTGCTGGGATCCCTTCCAAGTGCCTTCGCAACTGCCTCATATGCGTCTTCAAACGCATGTATGCCCTCGTGGGGGTGAATATTCAGCGTCACCTTTATATTGCGATCATGCAGCTTCTTGAGGAAGGCATCGGGATCAGGAAACAGGTCGGGATCCCACGTGTATCCTGTCCACCCGGCATGCGTCACTCGTGGGTGTTTCACAAGGTGCCAGTCCATATCGATTACCCCAACGCTCAGAGGAATTCCTTCGGATTTGAACTTGTCCATGAGGGAGAGGTATTGCTCAGCACTGTACGGGTAGTATCGGCTCCACCAGTTTCCAAGCGCCCAACGAGGGAGGAGCGGCGTATCTCCGGAAATGGCATACAGCGCCTTCACCGCCTCCTTATAGTCGGTTCCATAAGCAAACACATACCCATCCACGCGCTCTCCCTCCTTGCGTCCACTGACCCAGCCATCAGGCTCAAAGAGCATGCTCTTGCTGTCGTCGATAACTGCCCATCCATCCCGGCTACAAACGCCTGGACCGAGTTCGCACCGCCCATCCACCAAGTCCAACGTCCGCGCCGTTCCGAACAGCGTCATGCTCGCGCGGGGCTCCACTCCATATCTCCAGAAGCTATGCCGGTTGAGGTTGGCACCACGGACGTAGACGGCCAAGCCAGAGGAGGAAAAGGGGAGCTTGTCGTATACGAGGTGGAAGCGTGAGCTGAGGATCTCGAGGTCACTGTTCTCACCCTTGCCGATGACGCGGAATTTGGGTACCGGGAGCTTGCGTCGAACGGCGAAGGTGGATGCGCGGTCTTCGAACACCCCATCGGGAGCGTATTCATACCGCAGAACACCTTCTGTCAAGATAGTGAACCTCCAATGATCACCCTGCACCACAGCGGCAGGGTCGGCAACGGGAGAGAGGTCCCGCAACTTGTACTGTTCCATATTCTCGCTCTAGTAGTTTATGTAGTTAGAATAGTGAGATCATATGGAAAGAGGTGATGTTAATACATACTTCGTCTCAACACTGGACTCAATCTAAATGGGTCGTTCCCCATTCTCCTGAATGGTCTATTTATGCCGCACCGTCAACACGTGCCCCAGAGAGTTCGGCGTCATTTCGGTCGGACAATCGGCCCGAGTGTTCTTAGTATTCAAACAAGAAACCTTTGCGTCGGAATACTACAGTATGTCGTCGGCCACCTTGGCACCTGACCGATGAACATGCGCAGTTCGGGGCGAAGTCACGGCGACACAGACTTGATTGATGGGCCCTCAGAATTGTGCGTCACGTGAAAACACGTGGGACTCTGTTCCACGACGCGTCCAACCGAAAGGCTAGGGTCGCCACTGATATTGTCTGTTCCTCCAGCTCCCTTTCACTCCTCCACATCAAAGTCGCGTCCTAGTGGGCAGATGCCTCCCGCGATTCCTGATAAAATCGTTGTATGCTCGCTCATTATATGCCGGCCGTCGATTCTGATCCCCTCACAGTGCACCACACCCGCAGAGCTCGAACGCGAACTCAATGAAATCCGTCAAGTTCTCGCCCTACCAGAAACTGAGGACAGCTGGGAGAAGATAGCACGGGCTCTGCAGAAATATGCTGCCATTGTGCGGGGAGGTGCGACGAAGGTTGAACCCGAGTTCGGGAAAGCGCTGCGGGAGCTGAGCAGGGCGATTACGAACGCTGTGCGTGTTCTGCTCATTTCAACTAACTTAAGACTCAGTGTTTCCATAGATGTGCTCCGAGCGGACGCGTCTATCTGCTACAGCTTGCGATCTACTTGCCACGATCGTGCCCCGGCTGGGAGACAGATTTGACAGCCATCTTACGCTTTTCATGCCGGAAGTACTCAAGTTGTGCACACGTACGAACAAGCTTTTCATCGCTCGCGCACAGAAAACTCTCGGGGTTATTGTGACTCATACCAAGCTTGTATCTGTGATTTACTATCTGCGCGAAGCGGTCAAAGACAAGAGTCACACGTTGCGAATCGCCGCCGCCGACGCTGTTCTACTGTGCCTGAAAGATTACGAGCCCAAGACACTGAGGACCAAAATCGAAGACATAGAGAGTATCGTGGGCACTACCGCAACTGATTCAAACCCGGAAGTTAGGAAGATATCGAAACAGATGTTTGAGATGTACAAAAAGCAGTTCCCCGATCGGGTGGACGAGTAAGCCTATTTCGCAGCATGGAGACACGTTTACTGACAGGTTGACAGCTTCAGCGAACCCCTCACCCCGGTTGCCAAGCGATACTTAGGTATCGCACCAAGGGATAAAAGCGCGGCTCCGCTGAAGTCTGCTCTGTCCACTTCGACTAGAGATCCACCCGTCCCAAATAAGCACCGGCCCGAGCTCTCTTCCTCTACTTCCGCAACTCGCACCGCAGAATCAGGGCCGAGTAGGCCTACCGCCCACGCTCGGAGCGCAAGCACTACCGTCCTAGGACAACCTGTGAGGCCCAAGTTGATCGCCGCACAGACGGAGAAAGCAGGAAGGCCAGACAGGTCCATCTCCCTGGCGAAGTCAGTGAATTCAACCAGCTCACGCCCGCGTGCTCCATCTGTAACAAACTCCTCTTCACGTCCTGCATCCTCACTCGCCCATGCACCGCTCACCAAACCTGTGAAACCTACCACCCTATCTCGCTCCGTCACCGAAGGTGCTGAACCCCAAGATCAATCGAATCATCCGGTTCGACCAGCATCGGTTGCGGCCTCAAGAGGATTCATGCGTCCCACTGCCAGCTCGAAAAGTGCTCAGCGTACGCTTGCCGCGTCCACCACGGGTCCTTCCTCTTCCGCGTCCTCTGCCCCTTCTCGCCCGGCAATCACCCGACCACCAACAGCGCCACCTGTCCTCCTCTCCTCTGCTTCCCGTCGTCCATTCTCACGTACCGAGGCTTCCAAGTCGACTAAAGCCTCTACGGTAGGAAAAGTGCTCCAAGGTGGTGCGAAGCGTATCGTCTCTGCCCAGTCTTCTAAAGCCCCGGCAGCTACAGCACTCGCGCAAGCAATTAGGAAGAATGGTTTGGTTCCAACTCGTGGGGCATCACAACCCACCCCAGAGATGAAGGAACTTGTGGAACAGATTCAAGAGGAGAGCAACGCAAGCTCCCCTCCCCCAGAAGTCGTGGACAAACCTGTGGCTACTCAGGCGAACCAGGAAGGCGAGTGTGATGAGCTCTCCATTGAGGACCTCGTTGTATTGCGACCTCAGGAAGTCGGCAACGACGTCGACACTCCAATACAAGCTGGACCCGAGGAGGCACCTCTCGAGTCACTGGCGCCTGGTACGGATAGCGTGGGTATCCCCCTGGAGTCCGAGGAACCTGAGACTCCAGCCACTGAACCACAGACAGCCCTCGCTGAAGAAGTCATCGTCGAGAAGACCAATGCACAGAATCCTTCGCCTGCTCAGAGTCACCGACGACATGCGCACAGAAACCGTGACATAATAGAAACAGAGGAGGAGAAAGCTGCTCGTGTTACTCGCCATGAGGAGAAACGCAGGGCCTTTGAAGCACTCCCTGCCGAAGAACAAGAGGCGATCCGCCAGCGCAAACGAGAGAAGCGAGCTCGGCAAGCACGAGAACGTGAAGAGCTGGACAGGCGTGCACACGACGAGCTTCAGGGCGCTGCGGCAGCTCCTCTGCCTCGGGATGACGAAAAGCACAAGGAAGCATCCCCGGTCCCGGCTCCACACTTTGCCATTCCAAGGAAGCAAAGGGCCGAAGATGTTCCTCTACACGTGGCAGCAGCTGTGCCTCTTCCTGAAGACGCAGACGAGGGTCTCGTTGAGCCACTCAGTCCTTCCAACCCACTCAGCGTCATGCTCCCCAACGCCCAGATGGCTCTGCACCACACATCAGACCACGAATCAGAAGCCTCCTCATCCCGCTCTCCTTCCCCGCAGGAGATTGGTCAAACAGATGCTCCAAACGTTCTGTATGTTGAGGAGCACGAGAATGTGGCACCTCTCCCCGAGGCTGTCGCGACTGAGAGTGAGCTGACCACACATAAAGATGTTGCGATCGAAGAGAAACTGGGGCTTGTCATAGCTGAACGCTTGTTCGCAGAAGTGGACATTAATGCTCTTGTTCGATAACGCCGGCCTTGATTTTATCTCTCTAATTACTCTCTTGTGTTTTGCTCATTTTTTGGCTGCGGAGGAAGGAGCTATATCACTGTCACACTGTTCAAGTTACATCCATTTGCGAGGTTCCCCTGTAACTAGTACAATGAAAGGGAGTGCAACCGCTCAAATATGCGCACTTGAGCACTGAGAGCTTTGGTAGGGGTGATTTAATGATGCTATACTCCCATGCCGAACGTGTACGAAGTAATTCAGGGCATACGAACGCATCCCTACTTTCAGCGGGCTAATTTAGTGTTATAGCCCAGTCCGACGTTTGTAACGTTATATTCTATTCATTTCTTGTGGTCGATTACAGTGTTTCTTTGGGGTTTATTATAGGCAGGATACCTTGCTTTTTGTTCCCAGACAATTAGACATGAAGCTCCACAGCCTTTGCTCCAGAGATAACCTTCTCGTAAGGCTTGAGAGCGGGTTCCACCCACTCAGCAATGAATTCGTCGACCTGCTCTGGAGCACGTCCGATGAATGTGCTTGCGTCCAGAAGACTGTCGAGCTCCGGCCATACAGGGGTGAAATACGGGTCTTTGCGTACTCGCTCCACGAGGTCGTTTTGCCCGCCTTCGTCCTTCACCACTTTAGCCGCTTGATGCGAGAGCACCCTGATAGCTTCATGACATTCTTGTCGATCGGCATTGTGTTTGTCCACCATGGCCATGATGATATTCTCTGTTGCCATGAAGGGTAGTTCCTGAGAGATGCGGGAGGCGATGAGCTTGGGATATACAACAAGACCCTCGGTAATGTTTTGTAGCGTGGTCAGGAGGATGTCCGTCGTGAGGAAAGCCTCGGGGATGGTTATCCGTCGATTCGCACTGTGATCGCTGTGAGCTTCCACACGCATGTCTGACGTTTAGTGAATTACCTATCGTCTAAAGTCCGCTCAAACCATTGGGTGCCTGCGGTCGTGAACGTATTGTTCTGTAATGCCCACAGATGCCTCGCAAGCGAGCACACTCTCTCGCAGCGCATTGGATTCCTCTTGTATGCCATAGCACTACTCCCTATTTGGTCTTTCTCAAAAGGTTCCTCGACCTCTTTCAGATGTGCGAGGAGACGAATGTCCGTTGCCATCTTGTGCGCGGTGGCTCCGAAGGAGGCAAGGGGTGCGATGACTTGGATATCGATCTTGCGGGAGTAGGTTTGACTGGAGACCGGGTAGGCATACTTGAAGCCCATGAGCTCTGTGACGCGCTTATCGAGCGCTTTGACCTAGAGAGGATCAGACTTAATCTCACGTCTCTAAGATCGGCTCACCTTCTCATGATCTCCCTTGAATAACGTGAAGAAACTCGCTTGGGTGCCCGTGGTACCCTTCACGCCTCGGAACCCGAGATCATCCCTGGCACGCTCGATCGCCTGTAGATCCCAAAGCAACTCCTACACAACGCATCAGATTTCCAGCTCCTGATATCGACGTATATGCACGGACCTGAATCCACAGAGTAGCTCGCTTCCCTACCGTAGTCAATTGAGCGGGCTGGAAATGGGTGAATCCTAGCGTCGGCAATGCCCGATACTGTGCTGCGAAGGCGGAGAGTCGATGTATCACGACTGCTAACTTGTCGAGCAGCAAGTTGCATCCGTCACGCATGAAGATGAGGTCAGCATTGCTACACCATGTATCAGACAGAGCGATCATGGGATTATTGCGTTCAGCTCACTCGGTCACATAACATGATGTCGCTCCCAAGCTGAAGATACCATCAGCGTCAACTCTTGACTATGGCTCCGAAATTCGTACTGTATAATCCCTGCAGCAGCTGGTGCAACCGTCCCGAACGTAAGGACGTGCGCCATAACATCATGTCTCCGCTTCTTCTCCTCCTGGGCGGCAACTTTGAACTGGTCCACGTCGAGGAAAAGGTTCGCCTCCATCTCCTTAATGGCGTCATCCGAAATGTTTAGTCCGAGTTCCTTCTCTGCAATGGCAAGATTCAGCCATAGCTTTCTCCAGGTGTGGAACCGCATCTAGGGACTCCCATGAGAATTGCATGAAGCCGAAGAGGTTGTAGGTATATGTACAGCAGGAGAGAAGAGATAGGCCATCTCTTTGCTCGCATAGCGGCTATTTCACAATCAGCATATCACATTATTGTCATTGTTAGGAGGTGACATGCCTGGCCAACGGCGTCTGATAAGTGTCCATTTCCATGATGGTACAAAACTAGCAACTACAACCTCTAATGCAACAGTCCCTGAAGAAGCATATTTGCGCCACTCAACGGATGCTAATTCTCACTTTCAGAAAGCAAGCGCGCCTTTTCGTGACTACAACGACAGCAGAGACGACCTCGTCCACCTTTCACTTTCCTCTCATCTTCAAGGTGTCGTATCATGGCATCCACAATCGGAGTTCCCATCAAGCTTCTCCATGAGTCACTTGGTCATGTCATCACCGTTGAATTAAAAACTGGCCAGACATACCGTGGGAAGTTGGCAGATGGTGCGTGCGCTTGATATATTCAAGTACCCAATGACTGAATGTCATTCTTCTAGCGGAGGACTCGCTCAACATATCATTAAGGGACATCACTGTCACCGGGCGTGATGGCCGTGTATCGCAACTCGACTCCGTCTACATCAGGGGAAGCATGGTCAGATTCTTCATTGTGCCGGATATGCTGCAGAATGCTCCTATGTGCGCCGCCGTTCCAATATTTCCCGTTATAAATTTGCTGAATTTATGTTTCAGGTTCAAGCGGGTTGGCCCGAACGCCATGAAAGGTCGTGGTATCGGTACGGCGCGTGGTCGTGCGACCATCATGCGGGGTACGTCTTCTTCATCTGTTCCCGTATATCTTATCTCATTAATCATTCAGCAAATGCACGTCGTGGACGTGGAGCACCACAGCCTGCCCGCGGTATACGTCGCTGATCATTCTGTGGTTTACGTTGCATGTCGTGTTACTGAGCTACCGGAGAAGCCGTGCCGGAGCATTGGGGACAGGCCGTGTTTAGCGCACACACTTTTTCTGCACTGTATTATTCCTCCTGTCCAATACGCATGAATTGCATAGGCATTGTACTATGCTCATTTATGGCTTCCCTTGTGAAAACTCCATTGTCAACTGCTTTGGAATTGACGCCACTCATATGATTGTCCCTGAAACGTGATCTTGGGTCCAACATCAACGTTTCCACGCGCAGCCTAATTATCGGCGTTACGTATCGGTCCTGTACAATATCTGTCTGAACAGCTTGTGCATACAACTCTTGCTCTCATCTAACCACCTTGCCTTGCTCGCAAAGCAGCAAAACTCGCCGATCATTACCCTAATAACCTGCCGCCGAGCGAGGCATGGCCCACCACACGCGGCTCAACTCCTACGACTCGCCAGTACTACGGGCCGCAGAGAATGGCTACCCACCAGAGAACCTCGTCTCGCACGAGGACGAAGAGGAAGAGTTGGAGCAGATACGGTTTGTCGTGATCATTTAGGGATCTTTGCGTTGAGGACTGACGAGAGGTAGACGGTATGAGGACTTTCGGACAATTGGTATGTCCTGTCCTCACGGGATTGCTGGGAAATGGGCTGAGATGAAGACTTTTAGATTGGATACACGACTCTATGCTTGAGCGCAACCGCCGCATGCGACAGAAAAAAGCAATGCGACACCCATTCCGTAACCCGGACGGATCGTTCTCCTGGGATTGGCTGCGATACCAACTTCGTTGGGCCGGAAGAATGGGGCAGGACTCTTTCATCGTCACTGCTGTCGGTGCGCGGATATTCCTCACTATGTAACTGACCTTTCTTTATGCTGATGCTGTTATCAGGAGCTGTGATCGGTATCACCTCGGCGCTAATCAGTATATTGACCGAGTGGTTATCCGACCTGAAGATGGGTTACTGCTCGGACGGGTGGTGGCTCAACCAACAGTTCTGTTGCTGGGAGATTGATAACATTGAGGGTGGACGGTGTAGGGCATGGCGCGTGTGGACGCCGTCCAGCGCGCTGAGCTACTTGATATACGTCATTGTTGCCGTGAGTCTACTTGTGGTGCAGGTCGAGTTAGAGGGAACTGATGTCAAACAGGCCCTCTTCTCATTCCTCGCAGCGCATCTGGTAAAAAGCTACGCGAAGTACGCGGCCGGATCTGGTATCTCCGAGATCAAATGCATCCTCTCCGGATTTGTCATTAAGGGATATCTGGGTATCTGGACATTCGTTATCAAAGCACTTACACTGGTACGATCTCCTATTGCTCATTTCAGACTCCATTTCATTTAAGTTTTTTTTTAGCCCCTTGTCATCGCTTCTGGTCTCTCAGTGGGAAAGGAGGGTCCATCCGTGCATATAGCAGGATGCGTAGGAAACATCATTGCCCGGTGCTTCCCCTCCTTCCGACGAAGTGAAAGCAAGATGCGCGAGATCCTCACAGCAGCAAGTGCCACTGGAGTCGCGGTCGCATTCGGCTCACCAATTGGAGGAGTGATGTTCTCCATCGAGGAGATGAGTCATATATTCACAATCAAGACCATGTGGAAAAGCTTCTTCTGTGCTTTGGTGGCGACGGTTACGTTATCTGTGGGTGGCTCATAATTATATTGGGAAAGGTCTGACATGGTATTTAGTTTATGAATCCATATCGAACCGGAAAGCTTGTATTGTTCCAAGTTAGATATGATCGAGATTGGCATTTTTTTGAGATTTTCTTCTTTGTTATCATTGGGATATTTGGAGTAAGCCTTGTCATCTTTCTGCCGTGCATGATGACTCAGCATTGCATTCACAGGGTCTGTACGGTGCCTTTGTGACGAAGTTCAACCTTCAAGTTGCTGCTTTTCGGCGAAAGCATCTGGCATCCTATCCAGTCGCAGAAGCCGTTATTCTGGCTACTGTCACGGCGGTTTTTGGCTACTTCAATCGTTTCCTTCGCATTGACATGAACGAGAGCCTTGCGATCCTCTTCAAGGAATGCTCAGGAGGTGGAGACTATGAGAATCTTTGCCAGTGCGTTGATGTCTTTCCGTGCTTTTCTCGTCTGACGGGATGACAGGACTTGGGCCCAGTGGCCAATGGCCAATTCTCTTTTCATTGCTACTATATTCCGTATCGGTTTTGTCATTGTCTCGTATGGAGCCAAGGTGCCTGCTGGCATTTTCGTCCCATCGATGGCGATCGGAGCCACCTTTGGACGAATGGTGGGAATCATTGTAAAAGCTATGTACCAGTAAGTATGCTGTGTGCGCTGTCTTGTCTCATGGCTCACTGTGCCTAGAGCATATCCGACTTCTGGGTGGTTTGCAGCATGCCAACCAGATGCGCCCTGCATCACACCCGGAACATACGCGTTACTCGGCGCAGCAGCAGCATTAGGGTACGCGTGCCTCGTTCTCATTGTGTTGTGCATTTCAAAGCTAATCGCAATCTCAGTGGCATCATGCGCCTCACCGTAACAGTCGTAGTGATCATGTTCGAACTTACGGGTGCCGCGACATACATCCTTCCACTTATGGTAAGCACGGCGTCCTTTTGTTCGAAGACCTCGTGGCTGATGCAACAGCAGATTGTTTTGCTCGTGACGCGAGCAGTTGGTGATCTTTGTGGGGCAAGCGGTATTGCGGACGAGATGATCCGCTTCAATGGATTCCCTTTCTTGGAGAAAGAAGAACAGTCGTACGACGTAACAGGTCAGCACCTCTTTCCCCAGTTTACGTGCTCACTTCTAACGGGGTGTCGCAGTATCGAGTGTCATGCATCGAGAGTTAGTTACTCTGAGCGCTACTATGAGACTGGGCGACATCAGTCAGTGAACATCATCTAGATTGCAAAAACCGCTGACGAGAATCACAGAGCATATATTGGAGACGACCACTGTGCAAGGATTTCCGGTGCTCAACTCGCACAGTAAGGTCCTGCGTGGATACATTGGACGAACCGAACTGCTCTTTGTCATCAGTATGTTCCATAATAACCTGCCATAAAATAGCACTAAATCATGAACAGGCAAAGCCCGTCGAGCAGGCAATCCATCTCCCAACACTTTGTGCGAACTGGCCACTGAAGAACACATCCATGAGACGGGACAGCCTGAACTTCCGCTGATCACACCTACGCCTCTTGACGGACATCTTGGGCCTATGGGCATAGAGGAGGATGAGGCAGCTCCGGAGGCAATAGAGGATCTTAGCATCCTGCCAAACGAGCGCTTGAACTTCAAGCCTTGGGTGAACAAGGTGGGTCTGTTGTATTAAGTGACGAAATGACTGGCTGACGACGGCTGAATAAAGACCCCATTGACCGTGGCACCTCAACTCCCACTTGAAATTGTGATGCAATTATTCAAGCGAATGGGGTGTGTGGGTTCTTCTCGTACAAGATCGTCATACTGATTCCTTCTAGACCACGAGTCATTCTCGTAGAGCGATACGGAAGCCTCGTCGGTCTCATCACTATCAAAGACGTGCTGCGATATACTGCAGAGACAGAGCACGCACAGTCCCTTTCAAACCGATACGACGAATGGAGCTCCCTCGATAGCACCCTAGTAGAGGCATATTCTTGGTGGAAAGATACCCAGCATGATGCATTAGACCGGATGCGTCAATGGGCGCGTGTCGTACGACGAAGATGAAAAGACACTAGTACTTTGTAATAACTATACCCTTCATATTTATCATGTTATCTACCGAGACCGCACTTGGCCCGACACAGTTGGATGTCTGTACAGTATATCGGCTTTGTCAGACGAAAGTCCCCGAAGGGCATGTTTATGCACTTCATAGGCTTCGTAAGCTGAAGTTTTACTGCACGACGACTTGTTCGACCAGCAGGTGGAGGTTGAAGGAGAGGAGCGTTAATTGCTGTAACAACCATGGCCTAAGGGGATCAAGTCAAGAGAGTGAAGAAATGGGGGAAATTCCGGTGATGAAACGAAATGATCGAGAACATGACGGCGTATAAGCAACAAGCCCGACTGTGGAGGTGCCGGAGTGCTCCGCGGCTATTCACTTGGCGTTGGCTGATATATAGAGGGGGCTGTCAATGATCACTGAACTAACGTTCTCTACAAGAAAACGATCACTATGAGTTATGACAGCGTCTTCGTGATTGGTGCAACTGGTACGTCGCATACTCCCTCTTAACGTCTATCACTGACCCATTTCTCACGATTAGGCTATATCGGCGGTCCGTCGCCCGCTCGCAGCATGCCAACTTACAGTACTGACAAATGATGCAGGCGCAGTGCTCCACGCACTCCTGACCAACTTCCCCGGAAAATTCAAGTTCACCGCCCTAGTCCGAAACGAGAAAGACTTCCCCGCGCTCGAGCGGCTCGGCGTGAAGTGTATCAAAGGCTCGTTCGAGACGCTCGACATCATCGAGCACGCATCGGCAGAAGCGGACATTGTCGTCAATGCTGCTAATGCGGATGCGCTCGAGATCGCTCAGGCTGTCGTGAAGGGGATGGAGAGCCGGGCTAGGGCTGGCAAGGGGCCTAAGCCGGTGCTGCTGCATACGAGCGGGACGGGCGTCGTTGCTGACCGTGCGAATGGGGCGTATACGGAATATGCGAAAAAAGAGTGGAACGTGAGTCTCTATACATCCCTTCCCTGTGCTAGGAGAACGCTGGCTGACGCATGCATGCCCCATGCGTTGTCAGGACGCTAGCGAAGAGGACATCAAGTCTATCGACTCCTTCAGGCCGCACCGGAATGTCGACCTGGCGCTGTTCGAAGCCCACTCCCGAGGACTCATAAGCGTGCACATCATCGCCCCCTCCACGATCGTCGGTGCGGGTGACGGCCCCGTGCGCACGCTCACGCAACAAGTCCCCTACATGGTCCAAACTGCTGTGAAGAACCGGACGACGTACTACGTCGGGCCAGGGACGAACGTATGGCGGAATGTGGATATTCATGATCTAGAGGACTTGTACGTGCTCGTCCTCAAGCACGCGCTCGCTACTGCCGCAGAACCGAACGGGAGCCCGTATGCCAATTTCTACTTTGGAAGCGTCAACGCCCACTGCTGGGGAGACGTAGCGAGGTTGATCGCCCCGATCTTGTATGCCAAAGGGCTGACGGATAGCCCGGAGGCGAAGAGCATCGAGCTTGATAAGGAACCGCTGTTGATATCGACGTCGATCAACTCTGTTACGAAGGCGGACAGGGGATTAGCCTTGGGATGGAAGCCGATGGGCAGGACCTTGGAGGAAGCGCTTCAGGAGGATATTGATCTCACGCTGGCGCAGTTGTAGGAGAACTGATACGGGAACGTTGGTTTGTAAGAGTAGCGGTATTGTTACGCAGTGCAAGGATTAATGAAGTAAAGAATGGATCAAGTGACACGCCTCTGTGTGCGAGTATCAGATATAACATTTAATACTAGTAAATCCTGACATGCAATAACACTAAAGAACAACGTTAGGAGTAGTGTTCGTTTCCATTCAATGTGAGGTTGAAGTAGAAGAACAAGAATCGATCGATAGGAAGAGACACGTCTTTACTTGTGCTTGGGCAGCTCTTTCTCTCGATACTGCTCAGCGATGTAGCTACATGGGAATCAGTATATTTCTTTTTCAGAATGTGTGCAAACATACCCTTCACCAGCAAGGAAGCCGATCAAGCCAACGCTGACCGCGCTCACTATCCTCCTGTCCCACTTGGGTCCATGGAAGTACTTGTACGCGGCATATCCCACACCGCCCAGGACCCCAAGGTTGATCACACCGAGGATACCGCCAAACACGCCTGGGCGGAGGACGATTTCCTTCGCGTGTCTGTACAGCGCTGCACCCTCCTTGCGCGCCTTGGCCTCTTCCTTCTTCCCTGCGTCGGTCTTCCTATATGCTTCTGCGACGGCACCCTCTCCCAGGCCGATCGCGAGTAGGGAAGTACCGAGGATGGACAGTTTCCTGTAGTCGTGCCTCAGGTGTGGGTGCGTGTAGAGCGCATACCCCACTCCTCCGATCAAGCCGACGTTCACGAGGCCCAGGAGACCACCCAGCACACCTGGCTGGAACAAGCGCTGTTTTGCGAGTGCCCAGAGGTGCTGCGCCTCCTCCTCGGCTTCTTCGAGGTATTCCCCGGCTTGGGCGCGATAGCTTGCGGCTTTGGATTTTGCGGCCTTCTTCCCCTCAGCTGATGCCTCTGCAGCCGCAGCAGCCTCCTTTTGAACCTTGTCGCTGGTCTCAGTCTATAAGTGCAATGAAAGGTGAATATATGCGGGGATAGACATAAGTAGGATCGGGAAGACGTACGCGGGGGTTCTCCTTAAAGTCCGAGTCGACGACAGTCACTTTCTTCTCCACATCCGGGAGCTCCGTTGCTGTTGGCTGCAGGTTAAGGAGTGCAGGGTCGGCTGTCGGCTGCGGGCCGTCGGTATGTTCACCAGCAACGGCGGCGTAGGACATTGTCGGTCACTGTTAGGGAGGGCTGGAGAGGGGAGGAGAGGGGCTGGAAGGGGAGGGAAGAGGTGGTCGTTAAGAGGAGCGAGGGGGATGTATGCGGAGGTAAGCGTTTGGTATAGGAGGGGGGACAGCCTCCCTTGTGAGTTTTAAATGGGGAGGGAGCGGAGAAGGCGGGAAAGAGTGTGAGGGGCGGCATAAGTGGACACCGCCGTGAGTGACGAACGCGTATGGCACCAAAGACGTCATTCGTTCCCTTTCCCTTTCATGTGCGTCACTCGGAACACTCAGGAAGAAACTCGGGCGGAACCGTTTAAACACCGGAACCGACATTCGGATTATCAGAACCACCACAGAAAGGTTCCGTCTCGCTTTTTGTAGCGCCGATCAGCTTGGTGTCTCTGAACAGCGAACAGTGAACAGCGAGCAGAATGCCACGACAGCTGCTAAACCGCGCAATACGCGCAGCTGGGAGGACAGCAAAGCGTCTAGCCGCACCGACGACGACAGCGCCGGCATACATATCGCCAGTCGCACGGCCAACCAGCTCACTCACCCTCCCAATGCCGATCCGCTCGCTCACGCCCTTCGCCTCCCCACGTTCTCCCCTCTCGGCATTCGGCGCACCCCTCCCACGCCCGACACTCCCCTCCCCTCTCGCCTCCGTTCTCCCGCTCCTACAAGCCCGATTTTTGGGAAACGAGTACCAGCCGAGTCAGAGGAAGAGGAAGCGCAAGTTTGGGTTTTTACAGAGGTTGAAGGACAAGAATGGGCGGAAGACGCTGGCGAGGAGACGTGCGAAGGGTAGGAGGTTCTTGAGTCATTAGACTTTTGTTGCTTTTGGGAAGGGTACGTTCTCCCTCTTCTTTCTCTGCAATACTTACTGAACTGCAGGAGATGAGAACATTCGGAGTTTGGACATGTATCCTTCTCGTAGGCCGCAGGCTACAATTACGCGTGCATATATCAAGATTGCAATCACTTATCCTTAAGTCGGTCCAGTCCAGTGCATAACATTATTAAGCAAGGATATCAAACCTCCCATTCCTTACACATCCTCCGCGAAAGGCCAAGTCACCACCCTTGTCTCCTCCTGCTCCTCCTGCTCCTCGACCACCCTAGGGACATCCAAGATCCCGCTAAGTCGTTCTGTACTAACAGTGATAACCACAGGGTTGCTATACACCCTATCCTCCGGTGTCCGGCTCCTCTTCCCCGTCAGTGTGCTTGCGCGCGAATGTGATGGGGGAGCCGGTGTGTGCGACTCTGAGGAAACGGGCTGTGGGAGCTTCAGCGCAGACGAGTGCGCCTCTATACGGATGATGATGCTGCAGAACGTCTAGTCTTATCAGCGCTTGCTCAACACACGGAAAAGGATGCGCACGATAGCGATAACCGGGACGACCGCTTCGAGGAAGACGAAGAACACTGTGCTCCCGCTCACGAACAGGACTACCATCCCTAGCATGGTCAGTACATACGCTCCCGCCGAGTCTAGTACGATCCTAGCAATAGGGAGGAGGCTCCCTCTCGTATTCTTTCCTGCGCCGTATACGCCAGCAGCACGATGGAGCGTGCGCTCACTGACTACCAGCTTGAGTGCGATGAGGGAGGACGTCACCAGTGGCTGGAGGGTGATCAGGGCTAGGAAAGCGAGGATGAGGCCGTTGATCCGGACAGACGTGTAGAGAGCATCGACCGGCGCGCCGCCTTGGGTGAGCATGACGCTTAGGGAGATGGCTGATGCCGCTACCGGAAAGGTGAGCACGAACAGGGATAGGAGGGGAGGTGGGGACGTACTGATGCTTGCGAGGAAGATCAGTACTGGGAAGACGACGATCCGCCAACTGTGGTTCCAGATGATATAAAGCCTGTATATCTGTATTCTGTCAGTATCGGCCTCCTCCCTCTCCCTGGGAAAGAAGACGGACGTTGAACAGATCCCCCACTACGGTCTGGAGGGTGAAGATGGCGTACTTTCCGTCTGTGGCTGGATCGCGCAGCTGGTTGAAGTACTCATTCGCTCCATTTGGGTTCGTCTGGTTCGGCATGAACGCGAGGAAAGCACGGGTGAGGTTCATCGCTGTTCCTCCCGCCCATCGCCCATCAGCACCTTATTCCAATATGCAGGAAGCCGACGCACATAGGTGGATCGTTGCCAGTAGGGTGAGGAGGGAAGCTGCCCCCAGCATGAGCTTGTTCACCCCGCCTTTGCGGCGCAAGATGACCCATACAGCGGCGCCAAACAATGGGAGCGCGGCCCCATATAGCACGCACTCGAGCCAGATCGAGACTAGGGACGCTAGGTCGAGGGGGACGCCTGTGCCTGCCATCGCAGTGGGGGATATCTCGTCAAGAGATGCTCGTCCGGTATCGGAGGTGGATGAAGGGGGACACCAGCCAGCGGCGTTGTCTCAGCAGGCAGCAGGCAGTGGGAAAGGTGCATATGTAAGAGGGAAGTTTTGGCTGATGGGTCGGCTGTAGATCGCCGAGTGGTTGCCCTTTGCGGTCATGGGCTCGCTTGCTCCTACTGCAGTTCCGGGAGTACGAAGTTGGGAGAATGTGGACAGCATGTTCCCTTCCGGGTTGAGAGGTGGACGTGATTTGACCTTAGCCGAATCGTGACAGCTGTGGGAGGATACTTGGCGGACTGGAGATACGAGCATAACCGTCGTGCACCGGTGCATGTTCGACTAAGCACGAGGAGGTCGCATGAACATTTGATGGTCGACCTGCCCACAAAAGCGGAGATCATTGTCGCGATGAAAAAAACCTGGTCACATCAGAGTAAACGCCGACCGCAATGAGGCATCAGACAACGAGGATAACCAGCCTGGGTGAGGGGATGGGCGTTTGGCGGACGATGCATTTCCGTCTGGATGCAAGGCCATAGTTTCCCCCTTCTGGTCCTCGTGACAAGGCCGTGCTGAGCGTTTGCAAAGTGATCCAAGTCGAGCGTACGATAGACGGCGAGTGGAGGGAACCTTCTGGGCCCAACATCCATATTCCCGCTTATTCTGGCCAGCGAGCCCATCGCTGTATGCCGAAAGAGTACATACGAAGAACAACTGAATGCGAGGCGCCTTCGGACGGTCATGAGTGACGATCACTACATCCAAACAAGAGAAATTAATTGTGAATAAGAATATACATTACGGTTGATTATTCCAGTTCATGTTTGATCAGCACACCTACAAGTACAATCCGCCACCGCACAGACCTCATGGCCTTTACCATCGGTCCGACCAGTCCCATGGAACCAGTCGAGAATATGAGCCGCATGCCCCCCATGCCGGCAAGTCATACAGAACACCATACCAATATCCAATGTGTCTGTCGCCCGCGTCAGTGTGTAAGTTATGGAAGAGGATACCATCCATACCTCGAAGTTGGTCATCCATGCGCAACCCCGCATCACGTACGAAGTCGGACGGCATCCCAACTGGCACCAAACATATAGAGCAGTTAGGAAGTTTGTTTCGGCAGCTTGGGCAGAAATTGACCTGCGGCACGGTTAAGTCTACAAAAGCGCGCGTGGTGGAAAACCCGTACCAATGGACGCTCTTCTTTGCCTGGTTGAGGGATAGACGGCGGCGCATCCGGATTTATGATTTTTGCGCAAAAGTGGCACCGAACCATAATTTGTCGCTCCGTCCACTCATAAGATTCCAGCTGATGTTGTTCGATCGCGTCTTGGATCATTCTCCCTCGCTCAATATCAAATTGGCACCGTTCATGAAACAGCTTCCAGCGATCTAGAAGGTCATGATATGCCTCTACCCAGCGGTCGATGCGGGCATCACTTCGCAGAGATGGGGATGCAAGAGTGCCAAGAATGGCCGCGGTCTGCACATCTCCATGAAAGTCGACGTAAGCCTGCAGTAAATCGAGACCAGGCGCCGTGAGACCGGTGATCAGAAGTGCATCTATATGACCCTTCGAGCCTTTGCGCCTGCTTAGTCTGTGGAGCCAGGATGAGATCTAGCGACAAATCAGCGGGTAGAGCAGCATTGAACCTTGTATGGCTTACCTGGTCGTCATGAAGAAACATGAAAGCAATTCCGAGTCTATCCTTCAGCGGAAGCGACTGCTCATCGAGAACATCGAGCCAGCCATCGGTCACCATGTACTGAAGTAGTGTTCGTAAATATGGATCCTGGGTGCGTACAATCAGTTTCTCGCACTGATCTCTCCATCGTTGTGTCCGGGGGTCAATGATTCTGTCCGGATCCTTATCCCGCTGATCATCAAATCCCGCCACTGCCGCAGAAAATGCTCGGGATTGCTCATCTGCACATAAGTCAATACATTTACTAATGCAAAAGCGATGATACAGACCCCCGCTGCGCATTAGAATATCGACAGCTCTGTCCACGTTGTGAGTGAATAAAGACCAGCAGGCTGCTTTGGCGTGTTGGCCGGTCTCTTCCCAGCTATAAATCCGTTAATAACAGTACCACAATTTACGGCCCAGAGCACCATACTTGTGCATGGAACGGAACAGTTCCTCGTCGCTCAGACACCACCCTGAAAGGGACAGTGCCAGAAGGCGACGATTCTTATGCTTGGTGGGAGCAAGGTGCGTCATTTGCTTGTTGTCCAACCTGGAAAGCGATACCAAGCGCGAAATTGCCTCGTCGAAGTCACCACGGTGTGCGTCGTAAGGTGATTCGCTTCGTTGAGGGAATGGATATTGAGAGGCCTCCGTAGCTGAATACGGTGTCTCGCTCGGTGACTTTGCACCATCAAAACCGTCCCAGATTCCCATTACTCCGTGGACGGAGAAATCGAAACCCAGCATTCGAATATTTTCTGGCGATGACTCTCCGATGAGCGCACTATGGTGCTCTTGAACTGGTTTAAGATGACACTCGTCTCGGTAAACAGCTCAGTCTGACCTTCTATCCACATCCAAAGATCGTGTAAGTACTCAGAATCTCCATCCGCATCTTCTCCAATGATATTTGCGTTATCCCTCGCCTGTGGTGACAATGAGCTTCAGTCTGCCCCGCATGATCTGATATCATTGGTTTACATTTTCTAGCCCATAACCGACCTTCGCACGGTGCAACATAGTAGAACTGAGGTCACCAGTAAGGACTCTTTCCATTGTGCTGGAAGATTGTTTGCGCGTTGTCTGATTTTCGTGTGCATGTTGAACTTGTTGTGGCTGCGATGACGCTAACGTCAGGCGGCGTGCAGGGGCAGGGTCCGCGGCAATCGTAGACGTAGATGGTAGCGCGCGTAAAGCAGGCCGGGGAGTTGCAGTCCCATCTGTATCTCGGGTTGGAGAGGCGGCGCTCCGTGATACTGACAGTTGCGGCACGGATGCAGGACTGTCACTTCTACCAGAAAGCATGGAGGGGCGGAGATGTGTACGGCTCGAGGTTCTTGTTATGCCTCGTCTTGCATCCTTGTTATCTCTAGCAGCATTTCCGTTCACCACCACCGGGGAAGTTACCCGAATAGCTTCTCCCAGCACCATGGGCACATGGGCCACGGGATCTGTGGATTCCACGGGCTGCAAAATGCGCAGCACGCATTCGCTCCCGATGGCTAGATGGCCTCTTGATCCCCATATGTGCTGACAGAAAGAAGTCAGAGGTCGAACGTCAATGTTACGTCCCTCTTTTCCAAGAGTTACTACATGAGGCGAGCTATTGTTGGGCGAGCCATGCGGAACGAAAGCAAATGACGTGATGGGATAGGAGACCATTGCACCTGCAATACATATCAGAGGAAAGAATAATGGGATGCAGAACATGGCGAACTCTTTTTCATGCTAATCAGGATGAGATGATTCTGTGAAGAGATACCTGAGCTTCCCGAGACTGAGTTGTCCGCAGTAGAGGCCACAGATGCCACGGAATGGGATCTTGGCCGCTCGCGTTTGCCTTCATCTAACAAAGGCTTCTCCTCAACGACGCGATCGCTGGTAGCGATATTCCAGATGCGTAGCGCAGTGCTATCCCTCGCAAGGGACACGAGAGTACCCCTGTGCGTTGGTGACCAGGCGAGCGCGGAAATCGTTCGGGGTCTACTACCTTCCCGAGCATCCATGTCATCCAGGTAAAGAACGGGCTCCACAGGTTTTCGCCGATCCCACACACAGACTCTTGAATCTTCGCCGTAACTTGCGAACAAAAAGCTATCAAATGGGTCGAAGCATAATCCGTTGGACCACTTGGTGTTCCAAAACTGAGAATAACCAGTAGCCGTAATGTTATCACGCAAATCATAGAGTCGAATGGACTTCTGAGACATGCCCGCAAGAATTGAGGTGTGTGTATATGGTACCCAAGCAATGGAATGGACCAACTCCGCCGATGCATAAGCTTGCAGAGCCGGAGTCTCTCCTTTAAACGCGGAGCCGGTGCCACGATGATTCAGCGCCGGTTGAGGGCGTGATCCTGACGACGGAACCGGAGACGACGTACCCAGAGAGCTCGATGAATGCTGGACATCGAATATGATCAAGCTGCTCTCGTTGCGGACCTTGTCGAGACCGACAGCAAGATAGTTGGGGTCCACAGCAGAGAAAGCTAGAGCGTGACAAGAGCGCTGTGCCTTGGGAGACAGCGAGACCGTTCTGGAGGCATCTACATGATTTCGCCTCCCGGCAGCGGTAGCATTACCAGCATTGAGGCGCATCAGCTCAACTCTTCCGGTACTGAGGCCAACCGCGACGAGGTCGTTGAAATTCGGACTCGGGGACCATGCTAGAGCCTGGAAAACTCTCAGCAACCTCACTTCATGACCATAGTAATGCATTCGCACCTTCATGTACTGCAAATCGGTTTGCACCGTGACCAGCTTTATTTTCCCCTCCTATATCATTGGCAATAAGTGCTCCGTAGTAGCCATCTCCTGGGCGTGACGTACGTCGGGTGCCCACTCATACATCTTCACATCTGTTCCTCCCCCTACAATAAACCTATGAATCCATGAATAGAATCCTTTTGGGGCATGTTGCACATGCGTACCGATCTGTTCCCCGAGGATCCCATATCACTTGATCCAGTCGCCTCGTCCCCTGCACTTTGTCACTCGCACTTAATTAACAGGACATCCGCGTGAATTAGGCGATAGACTAAAGCGGATAGGCACGCACGAGGAGAACATTGCATAAGCTACAGATCACTGACAGCCATAAGTTCACGAAGAAGTTACGCTCAGTTAACGTTATTCGACCGGTCAGGGGGAGCTCATCGTCTCCAATGCTTCCGCTGTCTTGAGCGCGCCGAACTCAACGCGTGAGACGGTTGACGCGTCTCTAACACACGACCACGATGGATAACCCACATGAGGAACGACAGGCCGTGTTACTAGAACGGATCATTAAGAACGTAGTGAGTACAACAGTGAGAGCCAAAAACACCCCGTTGACCAACACGCGTAGGAAAAGTGCAATGAAGCTATCCTTGAGATGAACCACTGTGCAAACGTACGGAGAAGGGTACTATCGTGCACATTGGCTGATGTACGCATACAGGAAATCGCTGTTGGACATATGGACACGGCCATTGCTGCGAATTTATTCACAAACTACAGCAAGAACGTACGGTACAACCTAGAAGCCATCGGTATTATGCCTGACCCTAAATGATGGATGGTTTCACCAAACCTTCGGCACTCAACGACGAACGGTTTGTCAACGTCTTGTGTTTGCTCGCCAACTCGTTTGACGATTCTGTACATAGATGAGTGTATCTGTGTTTGGGACAGCGGTGGCGTGGATGAGGCTGATTATTGGATGAACCTCCATATGTACTGTAGGCAACACGAGGGACAGAGGAATTGTATGCTTATTGGTGTCCATTGCGCTTGGACAACATTTGTCTATAGCATTCCCTTCTGCTAATCTAATCAGATACAGGCTTAAAAAAGTACGGTCTCCCTCAACAACATCCCATCATGAAATAAGTCGCGATTAGCGACCGTTTAGTCGACATCCATTTCCTCCACCGTGGGGCCGGCCTCTTCAGAGGGCTCCATAGTCTCGTCCTTGGGAGGTGGCGGGGGGGGCGGCTGATTGGCACCCGCGGGAGGCGCATCAGCCTTCGGCTTGGGCTTGGTCATGATGGGATTGGCGAAGTAAATGAGCTCATCCCGCGTCTTATCGATCTCAGCGCATGTAATGACAGGGTCAACATTCTTCGGCCGTTCTGAGATTTTGACCAACGAGTTCTCCAACCACGACTGCGCTCCAGCAGCCTTCTCGATGACCTTCTGCTTGTCCTCAGGGGTGATGTGGGAGAAGCGCTCGTCCTCTGATTGAGCCTGGGACAAATAGTTGTTGACGGTTTCACGCAGAGCAGCGGCGGCCCGTGGGCGCATTTCGGTTTCCATGTAACGTTTCGCAACAGGATCACCCAGTGCCTTCAGGGCGTCAAGGCGCGACACGTAAGAAGATTTGGGGGCATCTTCACCCTCCTCAGTGTAAAGCCAGTCCTCCGCTTCAGCGAGTTTGACACCAAGCGCTTCCTTCTCTTTCGGCTGGACAAACGTGGCATAACGATCGTCAAGCTTGCTACGCGTGTCGTAGATGTATTCTTCGAGCGCATTCTTGCGATCCTGTATATGAACGTCAGCATAAGATTTGTTATGAAGCGCCAATAGAAGCACACCTCAGTATCCTGAACGAGCTTGTCCTCCGCAATCATCTGGCCTTCAAGCTCCCTCTGGGCATTCAGGATGGAGCTGTCAAGTGCAAGCCCACCAGCAATCACGGGCATGTCGTTCTTCTTCACCACCTTCTTTTGTCTTTTTTGGGGAGCGACAGGAGCTTCACCTTCGGCGGGAGCTGTCTCCGATGGCACTTCCTCCTCTACAACCTGGGTGGTCTCGACGAATGCACTTTCGAAAGAGAAGATGCCATGGAGGTTCAGCCGCGCCCTGACTTTCACGGTAGCCGGCACAGCTTCACCAACGCTCTTGATAGTGACCTTGCCAACCCAAGGATTAATCCTTCCCGGGAGGGCAGCGGGATCAGCATACGACGCCTCCAACTCGAATGGACCACTTCGGACAAACTTCAGGGTCTTGGTCGAAGGAATTCCATTACCACGAGGGAAGACGACAGCCTGGGGCTCTTCTCCTTCATCCTCCGGAGATGGTGCCCACGAAACCTTGATCGGGTAAGTGGCGATGTCGTTGACTGTGAAGGCGCGAAGCTTGAAACGAGGTGAAAGGCCAGCGCAGGCGAAGGTGGCACCACGAGCGACGGCCTCGTCAGCATTGAGGGTCGCGGAAACGGGCTTGCCGAAGAAGTCCTGGATGCGCTGCTTGATGGCCGGAATCCGGGTGGAGCCACCGACGATCTCGATGACGTGGATATCAGCAGTGGTGAGCTGAGCCTCACGAAGAGCCTCTTCAAGAGGAACGTGGACACGCTCGAGCAGAGGCGCAATGAAGGTCTCGAATTGCTCACGGTTGAGCTTAGAGGAGGCATCAACGTCGTTCATGATGGATTCGACGTTGAGGGGTGCCTCCTGGTTTGCAGACAGCATCTTCTTCAAGCGCTCGCAGGCGGTAGCCAAACGGAACGTAGCCTTGGGGTTCCCTAAGACGTCAATCTTGTACTTTCCTTTGAACTCTTCGGCAAAGTGCTGCACAAGGGCGTAGTCGAAGTCACGTCCACCGAAGTGACGATCGTAGGCTGTGGACTTGACAGTGAGCTGGCCTTGAGCAAAGGAAACGACCGCGACGGAGTAGTTAGAGTGACCAATGTCGACGAAGACTACATTGCGAGGAGTCTCTGGCGGAGGGAGGTCAGATTTCGTAATGCCATATCCGAGAGCGACGGCGGTGGTATCGTTAATTAGACGTAGAGGGTTGAGGCCAGAAATAAAGGCAGAGTCGAGAACTGCACGACGCTGGACCTCGGTATACCAGCCGGGAACAGCGATCACACAGTCGGTAACGTCCTGTTGCAGCTCCTTAGCGGCAATCTGCCCCAGCCTTGCGAGGTACATGGCCAGGAGCTGAGTGGCAGAGAAAGTCTGCTTCTCGCCACAGTACAAAACCTTGAAAGGAGGTCAGAAGGACATTCAAAACTAGCATATACCCAACAACACTTACGCTCACGCCGACAGTGCCGCTCGCGTCAACCAGCTGAGCATTGATGAACTTCTTCTCGATTTCAGAGATCTCCGGATCCGCAAACGAGCGTCCAACAAGTCGCTTCAACGAGCCAATCGTGTTCTTGAAGTTGCCCGTCTCCATGGTTTTCGCCGCCTCGCCAATCGCCCGGGCTTTTGGGCCGAATGATATTAAGGAACTGTGGGCGCCTGAGTAAGAATGGTGATACTAGCAGGAAGCACGTCAATGCTCACGGAGTAACACGGTTCGATACTTCATTCGCCACGATATCTATGCCCCTCTGGCGAGCAACACCAACCTGAACGTGCGGTCAGACGATCGTTGAAAGGGTACGAGACCATGACGACGTATACGCACCTTGCTGCCAAGATTACCCAAATCTATACCCACAACGCTTGCCATAGCTATAATTTGTCCTTGTGTGAATTAGGAAGGCAGAGAGAAGACAGGAAAGAGAGTCGTTGGAGGGCTTTATAGTAAAAATGAGGAGGTGGATAGAGTCAGACCAGACGACACGATGAGGACACGCCTTTAAAAAGTTGCCGCACACGGTGCACCGCCACCGCACCTAGTCCCCAACGTTGCTCTCCCAAGATGTTTCCAGACGTTTCTACCGGTGTCCGGTGCATGCGCATGGTGGTAGCTTCAATGTACTGCCAGTATCTCCACAACATTTTCGGAGTAGAATAATTTATGTCAACTCGCTGTAATTGACAACCCAATGTTATGTAAGTACAACCGCAGAGCTCTCTGGACAATGAAATAAGGAGGGAAGAAAATGTCCAATCCGTTGTTAGCTTGGAGGAGCGAGGGTTTGTTCGCCGTCAACGACAACTGCAGTGTAAGCGGGGGCGTGGTCCTTCTCCTTGATCTCGTATATGCGCTCAACAACGATAGGCTCGCAAGCTTCGGTGTCGTCACTCAACATGATCCTGTTGCTACGGCCAGTGAAGGACCGATATGCGAGAAGACCCATGACGAAGATAACGCGGATGAGAGTGCCGACGCCAAGCCCAAGGATGAAGGCGACAATACGACCCTCAACGGGACCAAGAATGTAAAGAGCATGCATGAGGCGACGTGAGAAGGGCTTCTTGTGCCAATCACCGCCGCGGTGGTGGTGGAACCGGTGATGTCTGCCCTGACCCTGGTGGTGGAAAGGCATGGGCCAACGAGCATCGGGGCGGCGCATGAGACGATCGTCGTTTTCGGCAGGACTAGTTGTATATGGGTGCAACAACACACGGTCGCTGGATACCATTTGTAGAGGGAGAGGAGCCCCATGTGGGTGAATCGGAGCAAAGCCGAAAGCTTCACGAATGCTGGCAGCCACGCCATTGAAGGACTGCTCCCAGGACTTGTGGCATCCCGGCTTCTTGCCCCAGTTGTGGTTGAGGTGTATGGGGCGATGTTGGAGAATATCACCACCATGGTGCACTTCGGGATGGGTCATCACCCAGTTACGGAACGCTTCGTCTTTCTCGCGGACGGGGGCTGCCCCATCGGATACAAGGACAGATCCCTGTTCACCCGACGCGGGCTTGTACACCCAATGCGCTGTCTTCTTGTCCGTGACTTCGACGATCTCGACATGGGGATGGAATGCTGACGCCCCAGCGCGCACGAAGCCGAAGCCAGACACCTGTACAGGTACGTTCGGCCGTGTTTCAACATTTTTCAATGCCTCTTCGAGAGCAACGGGACCTCCAGACGAGCCAACGAATACATCAACTCGGAGAGGTGCTGCGCTCGCACGGAAGGCTACGGAAGGGTTCCGTTGTCAGCAAGCAGTAGATAAAGGCCTTCATGACGGTATCTCACCAAGCGCAGCGACGCCTATAGCAGCGTATAGGAACTTCATTCGAAGCCAAAAGGGAGAGAGGGATGAGATGTACACAACGTTATTGATGAAACAGCAAGTTCAAGGGAATGACGGTAAGAAGCAGAGGTGGTAAAGGCGTCCAGTCCGAGGGCTGACCATGCTCCACTTATGTTGCGCACAGCCACCCTATACATAGCTGCGGGTATCCGTTCCGCTTCTTTCACCCGCCATGTAACGCCACCACCCGGAATGTTATTTTTGGGTACCACTTTTAAATTCTATCGTAAAAAAATCACTTTTCTATAGAATTCCTTGCTAGACTAAAAATACATTAGCAAACGTTAGGAACATATACATATGCGAATGCACTTCTGCAGTTGTTCTACTTGGATGCAGCAGACCATCCCCTTCTATATTTAAAGTGCAGCACCTAAACCAAGCTTAGTGCGCTTGATACGAGCAGTGAGTGGGTCGATGATGCCGCCAGCGGACAAGCCAATTTTGTCTCCCTCAGACCATCTGAACAGCTACCATCAGCAATCGCAAGGTTGTGGCAGAACAGAACGCACCCCATCATTTGGAGCATCTTATAGCCGATGTTCGACTCTCCAATTTTCGCTGCCTTAGCACCCACAATCTCACCCTCTACGTCGCACATGCTGCCTTTGAACTGCCCATCATTCTTCTTTCTAGAGTACGCCCGATTGAACTCTGCAATGGTGCTGTTTGGTCCGGCTTCCTTGCATGCCCGTAGGATCCTCTCCACCTTCGCCTCTTCGATGCTAATTCCAGAACGGGTCGTCTTCGTTAAGATAGGGAAGCGGTTTGTGCCATTTCCCTTGCTGTCACTCTTGAGCTTAAAGCAGTCCGCAAGGAGGTGCACCCGCCGACGGCTCTCCTTATCCATTGCGGGAAGAGTCATCGTCGTCTTGCCTAAATCACGGAGGAACACACGGATCATCCGCTCGAGGGAGAACATATCGGTGATGTCCTCGAACTCGGCCTCGAATTCGGAGTCGGACTCGCTCGTGTCTGACTCGTCAGGGTTAGACTTGCCCTTCTTCTTTCCCTTATCTTTCCCTTTCTTGTCTTTCTTGGCCGCCTTGAAGGGGTTACCTTCCTGTCGCTTGCGTTCCAGAGCACGGGCCCGCTTGTAGTCTGCTTTCTTCGCCCGGTCTTTGTCCCATTGGATCTGAAGCTCTGGAGGCAAATCATTGCGCTTTTTGTTCTTGTTCTTCACTATAGAAGGGGATCAGTCACCAGCATGAGATCGATGACATCAACCCACAAATCGAGCTCTTGAGCAGCTCATCATCCTCATCGACCACTGCTCCGAAGTTCCCATCTCGAATGGCAGCAAACAGCTTCTTCCGGCTCTTTTTGTCTTTCCCCTTGAGGATGTCCACATTCTCATCCAGCATCTTGTGGACTTTCTCCACCAAATCACCGCCATTCTTGTCCTCCCAAGCGAATCCCCCCTTGAACGGCTTATCGTCGTCCTCGTCTTCTTCGTCTTCTTCGTCGTAGTTCATAGGCGATTTGTCCTTCTTGCTACTGTTCGCTGCTGCCGCTTTAGCATGGGCAATGCGGGCCGAGAAGCTGCCCGAGGGACCCGCATCAGGTGGGCCGTTCTCGTCGTCTTCCTCGTCTTCCTCATCTTCTTCATCTTCGCTCTCCTCATCTTCGCTCTCGCCCATAAGCTCCTTTTCCGCTTCTCTCAACACTTCGTCCAAATCCTCACTGTCACTCTCCTCATCTTCCTCATCTTCCGACGTGCTACGATCCCCATCCTCGCGCTTAATCATCTCATCCACGTCCAAATCCCCTATGCTAACATGTTGTGCCCCCATGCCCAGTGCAAATCTCGCAGCAGCATCCTCATCCAACTCGTCGATATCCATCCCACCAAGGGCATCGCTCAACCCTTCCTCCACAAGTCTATCAGCAGCAGCGGTAAACGCTTTCCCGTTTTCTTCCTCTTCGTTGCTCTCCTCCCCAGGAACTCGGACAGGCGCACCATCGCTCCCCCACTCGAGGTCCGAGTCCCCCATGCGAGGTTCCCCTGCAACATCCTCGCCTCCGGGAAGGGACATCCTGGCCTGGAACCGGCGAGCAGCGCGACGCATGCGCTTGATCTCTTTCCGCTTTAGCGGTTTCTTGCCTTTTGCTGGAGAGGCCTTGTGCGGGGATGAGAAGGTGAATTTGTAGGTAGAGAAGGACGTGGTGGCAGGGGCAGGGGCAGGGGCAACAGCGCCGGGTGGGAAGGCAGGAGGGATCGGCTCCTCCTCTTGAGGTGCAAGAACTGATTCTTCAACTTTGGGTTCCACACCATGTTCGGCAGTAGCAGCAGTTGTTGCCACAGACACCGGAGCACTTTGTTCAAGCGCCTTGACCACCTCCTCCGCTTTCACTCCGCCCTCTTTCGTCTCCACATCCCCAAGCACAGCCTCAGCAGGCGTATCAGCCGCGCTGCCCGTTCCTTCGTCAAGCCTCACAGCGGGGGTGAGCTTGTACTGCTCCAGCAAGGAAGAGAGGGCTTGGGAAGAGGGAAAATGAGTAGGGGTGACAGTGCGGGAGGGGTCTTGGGAGTGTGGCATAGATGCTGACACTGTTTTCACAACTGTTGGAACGGCGGAAATCGGCTCTACGGCCACTATGGCGGTTGTGGGGATTTCCATTGTCGTGGTTGGGATTCCGAGCGCGGGAGGGATGGGTTCGACGGCCATCGCTGGCGGCTCGGTCGTACCGAGTGCTGGGAGTGGCTCAGACTGGGGTATCGGAGAAGGTGTCTTGCTGATAGGTTTGTTCTTCTGTGCCGGTGCGATGTAGACGATCTCCTCTTCATCTGTGTCCATATCCTCCTGACTCGGCTCCGGAGGTAATTCCACTTTTACCGTCGTCTTGCTCTGTGCTTGTAAGAAAATCCCCGGCATGACGGATTGAGCGACCAGATATTCGAGCGTATCTCTCGGAGTCTGCACTCCGCTGGGAGCGCCTGACTGACCCGCCTCCTCGTGCCCAGCAACTCTCTCAATTTCAGCTGCTCGTTCAAACGCCCTCTCCAACCACTCGGCAGTCGCCTCCTGATCCTCTTGCACATCTTCTACTTCTGCCTTCAAGAGTTCCTCTCGGTCTTCAAATAGCGTGCCAGCTTTGACGAACAAGATGGGCTTGAGCAGCGGGCGCTCGCGGGGGTCTTTTCTCGGCGTGAAGCCATCACCCGCGCGGGCACTGCCCCCGCCGATAGAACGAGCCCACTCGTAACCCCGGTCATCCTCTGGCATAGCGCGATAGCCCAGTCCACCCCCTCTCCGTCCCCGACCAGGAACCGGCGATGGCTGAAAAGTTGACAAGCCTCTCCCCCGCCCTCCGCCTTGCAGGGGAGGGGTATAGGCGCCCTCGAAGGGAGACCCGCGCCCACGTTGTCCACCCCCTCTACCCCTCAGCGATGGAGGGTACGGAATCTCAAGTTGGGTCATGATCACTGTCTCGCCGAACGACTCCCCTCAGTCATCGGTCAATCAATCAAGCCTGTCAGCCCACCTTGGGCCTCTTGCTCGATCTCCCATCTCCCAGCACCACCACCACCCCTTCCTCTACCCCTCCCACGAGAGGTGTTGCTACCAGATCCGCGCGGAGTATTCCCGCCCCTACCCCCACGTCCGCCAGGGGTTCCGCGAGGGGTTCCACGCTGAGGGGTGTTGTGGCCTCTTGTCATTGAGGAGGGCGCTTGCTGAATGGGTGACAGTAGAGATCTCTAGACTTCGTGCACACTTATAATTCAAAGCTGACAGTGAACTATATTCAAATTAACACAGTGAATTCAAGTCAAGCAGTCTGAACGGCAATCCTGTTGAAGTCTAGTCTAGGGAGAGATCCCTGTGTCCATCGTCAGAATGAGTCCACCGAAGCGGTCCACGGAGGCATTTCTTCACGTGTTGTCACGCGTCACACGGCTCCTGTCCTTTCCGCACAGGGACGGCGCGTCCCGCTCACGTGCACAGCCCCAACCGCGTCGTTCCCCTTATGCTTGGCCTGTGACTTTTTCTCTTTTGTTTACGCTGTCATCATCCACCGCCGCACCCGCCCTTGTTCCGCCCGCTCCGCTCCGTCTTTTGTTCAACATCGAGAGCCTTCTAGCCTGAGGGACGACGTGGACGTACAAAAGAGCAGGGAGGACACGTACCTGCACGACAACGCACGATAACTTGCAAGCTTTGTGGCCACTCTTGGATAAAGGTCGACACAATTGACGCGTCGCACAAGGATCCAAAGACGCGTCGAGGACACCAGTCATTGTCCATCCTCACTCAAACAGTCACACTCACCCCTGCATAACTCCATCACATACAAAAGCCTTCACCCTCATCACCTAACATCTTACCTCGACACCATCAACTTCAACTAACGAATACCCTCGAAATGCCTCGTCAAGCCCTGTCCGAACTCCCGCTCTCTCTCTTCCTACCTACCCTCTTCCCTCAACCTCAGGCGCCCGTAGACCCCTCAAATCCCCACACACCCCATCCTGGTGCCTACATATCCAAGGTTCCCCCGTCCCCCGTACATCACCCAAGTCACCTGCACATACATGGCCTCAAGCGCCCGCACGAAGATACATCCCCCCGCATGGTTGCCAAACGGCGGCATCTGGAGGACACGATTGCGAGGGAAGAAGAGGTGAACGGAATCGCAAAGAGGCTGTTTACGGACTTGACACCACGCAAGGAGAGCACGCGGGTGGAAACACCCAAGAAGCCGAAGAAGGTTGCTCATATCCCACCGCCAGAGTCAACATCGCGGCCCATGCCACCACCCTCCACTCCTGGCAGGACCGCACCCCCAAAGACCCCAGCTGCTTCACTTTCTATGCCTTCGTCCACATCTAGTAACCCGTTGCTCACTCCTTCAGAGGACAACAAGGAGAACCTCCCGCCACGTCGGCGCCGTACGCACCCGTCATTACCCCTTAGCGCGGGAAAGACGATCACACCCAGCACACCGAAGGTATACTCTGCTCCGCACTTGGGCAGAAGTAATGGGAACGGCAAGGAGGTTGTTCCCCGTTTCGCGCACAAGCTATCCGGCAAACCGTCTACACCGCGCGAAATCGGGCGAGAGATGCTCATGGAAGAAGTGGACGAACCGGAGGAAGTGGATGACGTGTTTTAGTCCCAGAGCTGGCGGTCTGCCACTAGAGTGTAGGATACTCATGATACAGTACTGCTTTTGTATAGCATTTGTTTAGTTCGTCAGATGACCGGATATGACACGCTGAGAAGGCCATGATTATTGTATGCATTTACCTACTATCTGCAGTGCGTGTTCTTTCAACTTGCAATATTACCAGCATGGATCGCCAGCGATGTGCGCGTGCGAAAGCATGTTCCCACTTTACGTCGTGCCCATCATCACTTCCAAAAATAATATCGATATACAACAATTATCGTCATAGTCAGCAACCCCGCTCCTTCTCACCACTTCCCGTATGTACCATCTCACAGTTCTACGATGAGCAGGCCGGAGACAGCGTGTTCGCTTATACGAAACCGTCCGAACAGGTCGGAAAGTTCCAGGACTGCATGCTTGTGACACACTCTACCATGGGAATTGTCGTTTCACTCCCTTATATACGAAGATCGATACCGGTACCGGTGTCCGATTGGAACGTGCTTAGTGTGAGCATATCGACCGATTTCATTCTGAACACGAAAACTGATGGACCTCTCGTAAATTCGCCCCTGGTCGAGATCGTTACAAACCCAGAGCAAATTACGAATGGCTGCGCCGAACATATCCCGAATGAGCCGAGCCCCTTGGATCGTATCTTCCAGAAGCTAAGCTAGTAAGTACCTCGCCTTCTTCTTTCCCTTCAATCTTCCGATGCGCATGCTCCTCCTCTGCCCTGGCTTCCAAAAGCGAGATGTTCTGCGAAAGCCTGGAAGCGCGTTCGAGCGCGTTCGAAGACTCGGTGGGTTTCACCAAGATTCTCTTGTCATTCCAGGAGGTGTAACCGAGGGCGAGACTGCACGACCCGGGGTGAGACCCGGGCGATTGGTTGGATCTCTTACAATTGAGGGATCTATTTTCGCCACCAATTTTTCTTTCTATTAATCGGATCCTAAGGTATAGACTCCCCCACACGTTGCGTAGCCAGCCATTTGATTTTGAAGATGTTAGATTTACGGCAGATTCACCGCCTTCGACCGATACTGGAACAACAGACATCAGTTCTCGGCCCACCGGTTTAGTTGTTCTCAGCCAAAATCTCACCACTCTCCGGCCCCCGATCCCAAGCCGGCTCCTCACCATGCAACGGCATGTGCGGGAGGCGACGGCCGCCTTGAGGATGACAATTTGAATATTGCCTGCCACCCTAATCCCTGGAAACTGCGCCGAGCCTTCCGGGCGCTTCTTTCCCTTGTGGACCCTTTGTATTCCTCGTTCCTGATTGGGCGGAGCGCTTCCACACATGGGGGCGGCCATCTCGAGTGCGTGCCAGTCCATCGGGCGTGTGGTCACAGGGCTTATGGGGGCAAGCAGAGGGGTAACCCAAACCTCTACCTACTCTCCCCCGGCTTCTATAACTGCTTGTGCCTGTGCCACTCTCTCAACGCTTCTCCAACTAGGTTCGCTCATCTCTGGGACTCTAGATGCATCTCGCTGCTATGGGCGACGTGAACCGGCCATATTGAGTTCGTTCTCCCACGCAAGCATGCATCCATCGATTCTCTGCATCAATTCTTGCGCTTCTACCGCATGAGCATTCACACAAGAACACCATCTCATTAACTACCGCAACAACATCTTCTTCGTTCATCGCTTTGCACTATCTTCTCGCCAATCTTAAGAACCATTCCTTCAGTATCGTCTCGCCACCCCTGCCGACAATAAACACTTGACAACCTTTATCATCGCAGTCAAGCATTCTCCCCCCTCAAAGTTCAACGACCAACGATGTCTAAACGCCCTGATGTATCCCCGATCACTCCCGGTACAACGTCAGCCATGATGTCCTCACCTCACTCCCCGCGCGGCGTCTCGTTCCACTTTGCCCGCCCCCCAACTAGATCTTCCGGTGATGCCATCGAACTCAAGTCCCTCCCCCCTCAAGAACTTTTCCTGGAAGAGAGCGAATGTCCGTATCCTCCGTTACCGCTGCAGAGGACGGTCACCAGTGTCGTCACTGTGAATCGGGACCTGGAAAAGCAGCTTGTACGAAAAGTAGGCCGTGAGGATCAGGAAAGTAACAAGCAGCTGACAGTCCGAGGACAGTTCGACAGGCTGATTTTGCCCATGCTGATGTTGGTCTATTTCCTCGGTTATCTGGACCGCGCGAATCTGGTATGTTGCTGTGGCCGCTAATACGGCACCAAACTGACTTCCCATAGGGTAATGCCCGAATTATGGGCCTCCCCGACGACATCCTCGATGGTGATCCAACAGGGGTCAAATTCGCACTCATAAATACCGCTTTCTACTTGTACGATTCTACCCTCCCTTCCGAAAGATCTAGGCGGTAACATACTTGGACAGTGCCTACATAACCTTCCAGTTGCCTGCCACAATTATGGGCAAGAAGTTTTCTCAGAATTTCTGGCTCGGAGTCGCCGCAACTGGTTGGGGGTTCTGTTGTGCGATGCAAGCCCTGACCTATAATTTTGCGAACATGTTCATTGCCAGGTTCCTGGTAGGGCTGTTTGAGAGCATGTTTAGTCCGAATATCTCGTTGTAAGCCTCCCACAGCCATCCCTTTTACGCGTTTCACGCTGATCGTTCGCGAAGATACTTCACCTACTTCTTCACCCGGCAGGAGATCGGCGCCCGCTTGGGCACCTGGTTCTCCTGTGCCTCTCTTGCGGGTGCCTTCGGTGGTCTCATAGCATTCGGGGTGCAGCAGATCAATTCTCGAGTGGAGAACTGGCGCCTGCTCTTCATCATCGAAGGCTTCCCAGCCGTCATCGTCGGCCTCTTGTGTATCAAGATCCTGCCCGACCGGCCGGACACCGCCACCTGGCTGAACGAGGACGAGCGGCAGCTTGCGGTGATGCGTATGAGTCGTGGAGGCCTGAAAGAAAAGCCGAGGACGATCAACGCCCGACATATTTGGCTCGCGGTGCGCGATTGGAAGATATACGTCTACGGCGTGGTGTACTTCGGTGCTGCCTCGGCGGCGAGTGCGTTGGCCGCATTCCTGCCTACTATTGTGCAAGATTTCGGATACGTCGGTGCACAGGCGCAGCTGTTTTGTATGTTCGATGTTCGCTATAATTTATCCAGGTCACTAATATCAGGTTCACAGCTGTTCCACCTTACGCTGTGGGGGCAGTAGTGCTCATCATAACGATGCCGTTTTCGGACCGCCTGGAGTCACGCGGCATTCCCCTAACATTAGCAGGGCTCCTAGGAGGGACCGGCTTCCTGTAAGTGTCCTGGTCAGAACCCTACCTACAGGTGTGTTGACATGACATCCAGGCTTCTGATCGTATCGGAGAACGTTCACGTGCGCTACGTCTCAACGTTTATGATCTGCGTAAGTCCTCCCACACTCATTCAATCCAGACTAACCATGAGGTAGACATCAACATTCACAAGTATCGGCCTTGCAATTAGTTGGTTTCCTTACAACATTGGCTCAGAAAGTAAGCGCGCGGCGGGTATTCCGCTGTTCCAGGCCATTGGCCAATGTGGAAGTGTGCTAGGAGCAAACTTGTTTCGTGCGTCTCTCCCATGGTTCATTGGCGTGGGCTGACTCTGTGCGATGATAGCCAACGCGGAAGCGCCACGATATTTGTGAGTTTTGCTCACGGTGTTGCATTCCTTCGCTGATTTGGTGTAGCCTCGGCTTCGGCGTGTCCTGCGGGCTGTTGTACCTGACGGGGTTCTGCGCATTGTGCCTGACCGTAAGTTCATCGTCAGCTTTCCTAGCGAACCCTCACAGTCTACGGAGGCATATTACCGCTACGAGAATGCACGACGAGATCGGCAGTACGGCCAGGCCGACCGGAACGCCGCAGTGGACACGAGTGAACTAGCCGACAACGTAGGTCCCCTTTACTGATCCATATCCACCCTAGACTGACCCCTTCATAGGCCCGCGACTTCCGCTACACTGTATGACCTCCGCTCAATATTTTTGGTATTTTCGGTTTTCTAGGCATTACCCTTCACTTGGGCTACCAGTCTTGTTTGGATTTTCAGCCGAAGGGCTTATACCCCTGTAGCATTAATGCACGACCTATTAATGTACGCTGTTCTACCTCTGCCCTGCTCCTGCGCGTGCTCTCTGGCACATCTCGCGTTCGCGGTCAAGTCTCCGTCCCAAACATCCGCTTGACTTTATGACACGTCGCTGCCGAGCCGACACCCACAGCGAGGACAAGCCCAAGATCGACAACAAGCAGCATCACCCCACCGAGCATGAACCGGGGGGCGAAGACCTTCCATACCATCAAGTGCCGGCGAAGCCAGGCTGCGGAGGCGGCGCTGCTCAAGGCGAGAAGGGAATTGGTGAGGGAGAACCCGATACAGGATTTGAGCGTGTCGGGTAGGACGTGGACTTTTCCTGCGCTCGTGTTTGCGTTAGTGTCAGCGCTGGTGTTTTTGACCTTCTCCGGCTGGGATGTCGTAATAACAGGAGAGACCTGCCACATGGCCAACAACGGCACCGCCAGCGCAGACAGGAATACCGGTCCCGCAAAGTTCAGCCCAACAAGAAGCGGGGAAAAGGGGTATGTAACAGCTGGGAAGCCTATGAACGCAGATTTCCACTGGATGGTGGACATGACTGCCTGATGGCCTGTGGTGAAGAATAGGAGCTGACCGAGGAGGGCGAGGGTGGCGATTTCTGTTATTTTCGGCCCTGTTGCTGGGGAGAGGGAGGATAGGCGGGCAGCGTCTCGCCCCGCGTCGGTCTGCTCCAGCAGGGAGAGGAGGGCGAGGAGCCATAGGACGAGTACTACTTGCCCCGTTAGCTGGGTGGCAGCGAACAGGAGTGCGAAGAAGACGAGGAGGAACAGGAGGTAGAGTGCACCATAGGCGTTCGAGTAGCCCAGCACTATGAGCTGCTTCCCTTGTCGTGGGGAGGAGGGAGGAGGCTCAAAGAGCTGCAGTTCCACACAAGGGGGTGCGACGGCCCACCCTGCATACCCGGCGAAAAGAGTTGCACTGAGGCTGATGCGGGCGAAGAGCATCCTGAACGCTTTCAGGGCGGGGACGCGATCGGGGTTGAGCCCGCGCCAGGACTCGAGGTGTTCTATGAGCCAGTACAGGGCTGAGGCTAGGAGTGCGGGACGGAGGTAGTAGGATAGGAAGAGGGGGGCTGGGCCGCGGTCGGATTTGGACTGGGAGAGGAGGAAGAGGATGGCCCGGGGGAGGAGGAAGGCTGCCGGCAGGGAGAGAAGAAGGATCACGCTTGGGGAGACGGGTGTGGTGGAGGATGCATAGAAGGTGACGTGACAGTTGGGATGCTGTTCTTCTCTGCAGACGGTGGAGATGCTCATTAGCCGTATGCAGCCTGCGAGCAGGAGGGAGAACCCGAGCAGGCGGTATTGCAGCGTCCTCGTCGGGGCGGAAGGAGCGGACAGGAGGGTGGGGAGCAGCAGAGTGAGGAGGAAGAAGGGCACAACGTGGTCTTCCCATAGGATGAAGGAGTTGGAGGAGAAGGAGACGGCGTGGAGGGTGATGATGCCGAATGCGAGGAGGGCGGGGAAGGATAGTTTCGGCAGCAGTAGCGGGGTGTACGGGAGGAGCAGGCTGAGGAGGAGCAAGACCGCACTACCGAAAGAAGTCCCGAAGAGCATCCAATCCGAGAGGAGGACCTTTTCAACCATCTGTACACTCACGAACCGCTTGACTGCCCACCCAGCCAGAGCACCCCCAGTAGCACCTACGCCCGCCCAGCTCAGCGCGCGCCTCACCAGCTCATCCCAGGCGAGCCGATGCGTCAGTGTCCTGTACAGCGCGCCCAGCACGCCGACAGAAAGCGCGAGGACGCCCAGGCCAAGGCCAATCATGAGCACGTCAAACTGTGCCCAAAGAGAACGGCATGTTTCGAGTGCAGAGCGGACGAATGCGTGTTGCGCTAGGATACGGGCTGGGTCGCCTGCGCCTGTTCCAGCGTTCGCCCGGCCAACACTCTTCGCTGTCACCCATTCCCTTTCCAAGCCGTCCCAAGCCTCGTCCAGCTCCCCACCGGCCCCACTAGCTCTATAAGCCAAGAAGTACTCCCAAATCTGGGCGGCGTTAAGCCGTAACGCGCTTTCCAGCGCTCCAGGGCGCCAGAAGAGCTCGGGGATCACGCAGCCCAGGTTGTTGAACGGGATCGGGAGGCCGAGGAGGAGGGAGAGGGAGGGCAGGAGGTCGATTTGCTGGACTGAGCGGGCTGGGGCTGGGGATCCAGGGTAGGTGGTGTATGGTGTGAGTTCGCTGGGGAGGGGTGAGGGAAGGGTGTGCAGGGCTGCGCCGGGGGAGTACAACCACGTCATGGTCGAGACTTCGAGTACCGAGTCTCCGCCATGGTCGCCTTTTGGGTCCATACCGTGATCGCCAAGGACGACGAGGAGCGTGTCATCTTGTAAGAGATCGACAACTTCCCGTAATAGGTTGTCCATCTGGCGCAGCTTGGTCGCCATGGCTGGGTGGTCTGGACCGAGCCTGTGGCCGACATGGTCAACCCCCAGGAAATGGGCGACGAGGAACTGGAATGGCTGGTCTTCTGCTTTGCTTCCGGGGGGGAATTGGTTACGCAGGAGGGGTAGGAGGGAACGTGTGACACCCTCGTCGACTGAATGCAGGTCCTCGACGTTGAAGCTATCGAACGGGTGCGTGAGGTTGGGCGAGAAGGAAGACGGGTAGATGGATAGCCATGTGTCGTCCCCCATAAATGCGCGATTTGGGAAACGAGGAGAAGACGCAATTTGATGTATTATGCTGTCTTCTTCTATGCTTGAAGAGTGAAAGTTGTTCCCTTGGTCAATGAATGTTGGGAGTGAGCCTGTTGTGATCGCCTTTAGCCTCTGGAGTGTGGTAGTAGGTGGGTCTGAGTATGAGTGAAATAGGAATGAGTTCTGAGGGTATTCAGCTGTGATCTCTGAGGGCACAGTAAGGATAGAATGATGATACCCTGAATGAGGTGAAGGTGGGTAAGGTGTGACAAAGTCATATCTCAGTGCATCGATGATGATGACCAGCGCTCGGTTGTGCGTCGGTGTGAGAGTGGTGGTAGCGAGTGAAGGTGCAGTGTTCGACAGTGCCAGACGAGATAGTAGAAATCCTCGAGTAAATAAGAATAACCCAGTGAAGTGTAAGTAGCAGATGTATAAGAGCAGTAACACTCCTAGTACATGTCCACGTAGTATTGCCATAGTCACAGTAATGAGAAGAACAAGCGCTCAACTCAGGGTCTCCTCCTCCTCCTCGAGCTCCTCCTCCTCCTCGAGCTCCTCCTCCTCCTCGAGCTCCTCCTCCTCCTCCTCCTCCTCTTCATACTATGGACCCCTCCTATCACTGTCAACAATGCAAACAGCCTTTCACTCTCGACCTCTCTCTCACAGATATATCCCCTTCAGCATACGATATAATCGCACCGTCTCCTTCACCTTCACCCTCACTCTCTCCTCGTCCTCCAGCAGACTCCTTCGTTCTCCTACAAGACTCCTCCTTTCCTCAACCCCCTCCCCCTCCCCAACCGCGAGAAAAGGCAACCCCGCGCGCACAGAACCTCCGCCATCTGCCCAAGCTATTCGATATCCTCTCTTCCCGCACAGGTGTCGACCACCCTCTGTGCGCAGAATGCACCCACTCCCTGATCGACGGGCTTAACAAGCAACTCGACGAGGCCCGGCGAGAGAGAGACGGCTACATCGCCTTCGAGCGGGAAGCGAAACGAGAGCTAGAGCGAGGCAGAGCAGGGGTAGGGGAAGAAGCGAGCCACTTGGATAAACTGAGGCAAGACGAGAGCGCCGCTGTGCTCGAACTATCCGCTGCGGAATCTGAGCTCCAGAAGCTGGAACATGAGCTCGCGGCTCTGCGCTCCGAATCTGATGCTCTGGACCTAGAAGAACGCGCTTTCTGGGCCGAACAAGCCAGTACGCAAATCGCGAGTTCCACCCTGCGCGCCTCGCTCTCCTCCTTACGGTCTGCGATCCGCACTTCGGAAAGAGAGCTCGACGCCCTCGAGCGGACGAACGTATACGACGACGCCTTTTGCTTGGGGAGCGACGGGGTGTTCGGGACGATCAATGGCCTCCGGCTAGGGAGAGCGGGGACGGTCGTCGTTGACTGGTCAGAGATTAACGCTGCTTGGGGCCAGACGCTGCTCCTCTTACACACGCTGGCGCGCAAGCTGGAATTTACCTTCGACGGCTGGGAACTGCACCCTCTTGGATCCTTCTCCCGGATCAGCAGAGCGGGGAAGGACGATTCCTATGAACTGTATGCGAGCACGGACATTGTCGTCACGAGGTTGCTCCATAATAGGAGGTTTGACTACGCCATGGTCGCTTTCCTGGATTGTCTACGACAAGTAGTGGAGTTTGTGAAGAGGAAAGACTCGACTTTGGATTTCGTTTATTCGTTAGTGCCCCTTCCTTCGTCGAACCTGATCCACGTGAACTGACGGCCTCTCCAGCATAAACAAAGACAGGATAGGGGACGCTTCGGTCAAGCTCCAGTTCAGCCAGGAAGAGACTTGGACAAAATCGATGCGGTATATCTTGGTCGTGCTCAAGCGGCTGTTGAGGTGGGTGGTCAATATGGACACTTAGCCCGGTGGGGTAGTAGACGCTTGAGACGGGGTTTGTGGAGGGAGAAGCGGACGAGGACAGGAAGAGAGGAACCCTTGCACTGTATCTGTATTTCATGTAACCCCTAGATAGGACTAAATGTCTAACGTCTTTCCGAAATCCGGTCTATCGAGTACAGCTCGTCATGCACGCCATCTCGCATGCTATACAACAACATCGACATCGACATCATCGACATCAACAACGTGAACAAAAAATCACGACCCTGATCGGAAGCTCCCAACATGCACCGACTCGCACGTACTCGCTTATTTGGACGCCTGGTCGGCGTGCGTGTTCAGGTGGCCGTGAAAGGCCGTATCCCCTCTGTAACTAGAAGGCAGGAAATCCGGTTCCTTTCTCACGCCACGTTCACTGCAAGCATCAGCACAGGTAGAGAAAGGCAGAAGAGGAAGCAGACAGGCAAGGAGGGGACAGACGTACATCTCATCAAAGGCTTTCATAAGATCGTAGTTGATCTGCTCGCTGACCACACTGTCAAACTTATAATCCGGATGGGAGCGGATAAATCTCCTCATCCAAGATGCGCATGTCATGAGCGAGCCTACCGCACAACATCAACGTCGTCAGTACCTCCAACTTGTACTCAAGGTGAGAGGGAGGGGGGGGGGCATACCGTTCGCTCGACGCCTAACGACGTCCAAGTACTTATACAAGCTCCTCTTCGTATGAAAGTCCACGTCTAAGGAATTCAAATACACCGCAACGACGCCAAACAAGCCTGGGAAATAGCCTTCCTTTCCATTGACGATCTCGTCCAGCGTCATGAGCTCGTATTCTTCTTCCACGGGTCCGCGCTCCGGGAGACCGGGGGAGGGACAACGGGATTGGGACGCCGAGACGGGGCGGGAACGTTCGTCTTGCGTGTGCTGGTGCTGGTGCTGATGCTGGTGCGTGTGCGTGTGGGGTGGGAACCCGTTCGTGCGTGGAGGACTGATAGGACTCAGAGGGGTGAGAGGCGTGTGTACCGCTGAGGTAGGGGGTGAGCTCCCCCTGCTCGGACCTGGAGTAGCTGCGGGCGTAGCTGCAGGGGTAGGGGTACCCGTCCAACCCTGACCTTGACAAGCCTCGACCGCGTGCCTGAGCTCAAACGCCCGATCCTGGGGATACACGAATTTCCTAAACCAAAACCTGTCTTTCCTAGCCGCGTCCCTCTTCTGGGCCGTCTTCATATTCTCGTCCACTTTCGAGATAGGGATGTAGAAATTGAGGTCGAAGCTCAGGATGGCCCGGGAGAGGAGGACGATGAATATGCAGAAAGCGGCGTTCTCGTAGTCCGTGACTTGGACTTCCATGCTGCGGAACTCGACGCGCCAGCCGATAGGCGAGTTGGCCGGCGGGGGCTTGAATCGCAGGGTTTGCCAATTGGTGGATTGGATGTTCTCGAAGTGGTCTGTGGAGTTCAGGTCGTCTTGGTCGATCATCTCGGAGAAGATTACGAGCGGGTCGCGGATGAAAAGGTGGGCGATGTGCTTTGAGAGAAGGTCGTCTAGTCCTGTTTGGAGTAAGTGGGCTGGCTTCAAGCAGCGGGGAAGGGGGAAAGAGGAGGACGCACCGTGATCCCGGAGACGGTTGTAGATCCCTTCGTCGATAGGCAGCGGATTGTCGTTATACTCCGGCCGGTTGTTGTAGTCCATAGAAAGGTAGGAATCGACACTATCATACCGGCTCTTCGGGATCCTGTACCTGTCATGTTCCAGTGGCTTGGAAGGAATGAGCACTGCACAACCCCCTGCTGTGGGAAACGCACCTTCAGCCCGCGCTCTTCCTCTGTCCGATCGTCTACCGCGTCGCGGATGACGTTCCACCTACAGTCCACGTCGGACAAGTAACCCCTATAAGCCGGTGCCGCAGCCGTAAGTGCCAACTACACGCGTTCATCCCCGTATCAGCCCCCAACCCCCAACACCAACAAACAAGCGCACCATGATCGGCCCCACAGGGATAAGCGCATCATACACCCTCCTAGCCTCATCGACGTTACACGCCTGGAACGTCATCTGCAAGCAACAACATCCCATGCCAAACCCCATCGCGTCCATATAGATGTGATCTGGGAGCGCAGCGCCGTCCTTCGCCTCGCTGTCCCCTGGGAACAGCGCTCGGTCCCACGGGATTGTAGGGTCGATAAAGGGCTTGGGGGTGTGCGTGTCCTCGAATATAGGCAGGTTGATGGCGACTTTGTGTCCTCGCCTTCGGCGGATGTTCGCCGTGAGCGTGCTGTGCAGCGTTAGCCCAAATACGACAGCTACGACAGAAGCAGGGGAGACGCACGGGAAACGGGCAAACGGGTTGGTAATCTCCGAAGGGAGGAACAAGCTCTGGCTCTCCTCGCTCTTCGGCTCAAAGTACGGTTCCGTAAACTGGCCCTGCGTCCCCAGCCGAGGGAAAGACGTGACAGTCAAAGGCACCTCGTTGGGCTTGAGATGGCGGCGGGCGATCTTCCGCCTGTAGCGCATGTTCGCTTCCACCGTGAGGAGTTCTTTGAGCGAGCCGGTGTAAGGCTTGCCAGGGGTGGACTCGAGCATGAACCTTCCGTATTCGGGGTGGAACGTCGGGATCGGAGGGCTGTTCCTGTCAGCATCTATCCTTCCCCAAGGGAGAGGGAGGGGGGGACTAACGTATCAGGCGACTTCTCCTCCTCGAGCTCCTCGACAACATGCGCGAGCTTCTTGAGGATCTCGCTCTGCCTCAAGCTCAACCTCGCCACCTTGTGCTCATCATCGAACGCCACGACCATGTACTCGATCTCGTCCCCCCAGAGGAGGTCGTCGCCTTCCCTCGTCTTGAGACGGTCCCATGCATGGAGGAACTGGGTGATTCCGTGTTGGCGTACGTGGTCGTGGTAGGGTATGCTGTCTGCCCAAGCGAGGGGAGTACCGAGTGAGAGGAGGCCCATTGGTGGTGGTGGTGGTGGTTGGTGTTGAAGAAGAAGGAGGGATATGAATGAATTTATATCCTTTGTATGAGCCAGCAAGAGTGGACAGATGATACGGATGCGAACGCAATTCGGAGACGACCGTCGCCCGCAGAAGAGACAAAGGAATTGTTAGTTGATATCCCCTATGCTGGAATGATGTTATTTGTCAGCGTGCTTCCCTTTGTTCGAAGCGGCGATAATCTTTGAGAGGGAAAACAACGGACCCGAACAATTTCCACTTTTTGAGGGCGCATTCCATATCGGGTACAATCACATAACACATGACATAATCAATATTCGGCACTTTTCACGGCACCGCGTCTCACTGCCTTCACCCTTGCTTGCCACCACCACAGGTACTCTAGTGCTGACCATGGCATCCCTCTTGATGCAAAACGAAGCGCTCGTCGCCTCCCTCTCCCTCCCCATAAACCTCACTCTCCTAGCCAGCATCGGATTCCTCATCTACCGCCTGGTCTGGCCCTGCATCCCCTCCCCTTCCCGCATTCCCACATCCTACAAATCCGGCTATTCCTGGATGCCAGAAAAGCATCCCCAGGTAGCGTTGTTCAAGCAGTACACACCGGTAGAATTGGAGAAGTATAATGGTGTGAAGGAGAAGAGGATATTGCTCGCTATTGCTGGGAAGGTGTTTGACGTTACTGCCGGTGCGGGGTTTTATGGTCCTGGTATGTGAACCTTGCTAGGGGTGCGATGGGACTGATGGGATGGCGTAGAGGGACCGTATGGGAACTTTGCGGGAAGGGACGCCTCCCGAGGGATGGCAAAACAGTCGTTTGACGTCGGTCTGTCCCCCCTTCTCCCCTTCTACCTGTGACTAGGCTTACGAAAAACAGAGATGCTAACTCCCGTCGACGCGCCTATCGACACTTTGCAGGACCTGACATCCGAAGAGCGGGCGAATATGAAAAGTGCGTCTTTCTCGCCTTGCTCTGGGAAACAGATTTCGTTTACGGGTTTATGGGGGAATAGGCTGGAAAGAACATTTTACGAACAAGTATATCGTTGTTGGGGAATTGGTCGAGAATGGGACTGCTGTGTAGTGCTCTTTTTCTGGTGGCATGAGAGGAGCACGCCCCTATGTGTTGTTTTCGCTTGTATATTTAACTTCCCACCGCGCGTTGCGCGTGAGAGCGTAAAAGTCATCCATTCGAGCCAACATGTGAGACAATATATGACCAAAGAAAGAAGATGAACCAGTACAGGATCATAGACCGCCACCTGAGCTAGCGGTAGGGGTATAAACTGCCTAGAACGGCTTAGGCTGCTTGAAATCGATCGTGATATCGAGACATGTCTGATGGGTGTCAGCTCCTTCCTACTAGCAAAGGAAGGTAGACGCACCATATCCTCCTCATCGGCTGTAAATCCTCGTATTTGGATCGCATACTTGACTGTACGTACATATGCCGTCAGTTTAGGAGAGGGGCCGGGGGGAAAGGGGGTGGACGCACACTTAGGGATCTCCCGGGGTAACTCTACAGTCTGCGTGATCTCGTGATACCCTTCATCGATCGGACACTGCACGGTAAAGTTGTTGTTCACCCTGCTGCAATCAGCCACGCACTACGCAGGAAGGGAAGAGGGACGTACGCTTCTTCGCACAGGTCGAACCGCTTTTTGAGGATGATAACATATCCCGCTTTGACAAGCACGTTCGCATAGGCGCCGTCCTACCCCCACCGCACACAACATCAGCTCTCTCCAACCCTGGCTCAGGGGAGGACGCACCTCGATAAGCCCATTAACCTTCCCAGTCCCGTGTAGGGTGAGCGGTTTCCCCGGCTCTGGCGGGTCCGGGGAGACCTCCAAAGTCTGAACGTTAACCAAGAAGCTCTCGTCCCCTTTCCCCCAATCCCACCATTAGCACGCACGCACGCACAGGGGAAGGGGAGGAAGAGCGTACCACAGTCTTTCCAAGCCCAGGTTGCTGGGACTTGGACTTGGGCTTGTTCCTGCGGGAGGACGAGCTGCAGAGGGTTCCACGCTGCTGCTGCTGCTAAGGTCGCGAATGCTAGATAGTTGAGGAGCATGTTCGTTATCTCCAATGAGGTGGAGAGATAGGAGTAGGAGAAAGAGAGGGTTGGGAAGGTCCTCCACAGCGCTTAGCCGTCCCTATCTTGGTTGGCTGCTTCTAGTGGCAGTGCACATTTGATCCCGGTATTTCCTTCCTTGTCCCGTCATTCACCGTAATTGCAGCTCCTCGTCGTCCTCAACCTCCTGCTCATCGTCCACACCTAGAGATGGCATTCCGACTCGCTGTCCGTGCTCTTCCCCGCCGTGCTATGCCTGTTCTTGGACGGAGGGGGTACGCAGAAGCCGTCGGTGCGGCCGATAAGATCAAGCTTTCCCTCGTGTTGCCTTACTCTGTGCGTCCTCCCTTCCTACTTACCAGTAGTCGTTGACAATGTCTTCTATCACTTCTTATTCCCTTCGCCATCATCCGGCCTTCTGGATTGACGTCGATGTTCTTGGGAGACAGACGATATTCTCTTCCGAGGAAGTGACACAAGTCAACCTACCCGCAGTGACGGGAGACATGGGCGTCCTCGCAAACCACGTAGCGACGATCGAGCCCCTCCGTCCAGGGGTGCTGGAAGTGATCGAGTCCGTCGGACAGAGCAAGAAATGGTTTGGTGCGTCTTGTCTTTACCTTCCGGGTACGATGCGATGCGGGACTGATGCATGCATGCGCGGTAGTGAGTTCCGGGCTCGCTACTGTGCACCCCGATAACACCATGACGATCAACGTGATTGAAGGTGCTCCACTGGAAGACTTCTCCGCCGAGGTCCGCCCCTCTCCCTACATCCCAAGTCCTAGCTAATAGTTCCCCAGGCCGTCAGGTCCAACCTTGCCGAAGCACAGCGGGTCGCGGCCGGTAACGGGTCTGAAGTCGAAAAAGTAGAAGCGGGGATAGAAGTTGAGGTGTATGAGGCTCTGCAGGCGGCGTTGAGGTAGATCTTTTACCGTTTCTGAACCAGCGCTCTCCCATCTGGTAGAGATGCGGAGGTGGTGTTGGGAAAGGAAAGGTGTAGATCGAAAAGATATCTGCCGGAAAGGCAGGAAATTTGCTGAATATTAATTATTCTGCTCTTGGTGTTGATTGTCTTTTCCAACGGCGTTCACTACTGTTGGTTTGAAAGTATGATTCCAGAGAGATACAATGCCTAGGAATGATTGCATCGGCCGAACACGGAATAACCTCATAGGCACCCTGACTGCTGTTGTGCTCGCTGTCCAAAGCCTTCCTGAGGCTGCTCAACGCACCACCTAAACCGAGGGATGCGCCCTCCCATACGCCGACCCGCTCGTCCTCTGCGTCTCTCACGGCAAGTCAGAGCACGGGCACTCCATTCCACTCCTTCCCCATCTACGTCCACCTCCACGTCCACCGCCCAAGTCGCTCAGCCCCTCTCCAAACCCGCCCATCCAGAACAGAGTTCCCACAGTCCGATCACCCTCCCGCCCCGGCTGGTCGTCAAGAATGTACTGAAGGAGGCTGCGTCTATTCTTCGCCGAGTCGGGGAGGGAGACGTGCCGTGGGCGCTGTTTGCCGAGCGCGCAGCTTCCGACCTTGGCGAGTCTAGGAGTCCGAGGATCGCAGGTACGCCGTATGACTCCAATGGATATGCTGGGACTGACGCAAGTCAGTGGTGGGAGATAGGCTCGCGGGAATGAGGGAATTTGTCACGGCTTTGTTGGACGACCCGCTCAGTGTGAGCCATCGACGGAAGGCGATCTGGGCTCGCTGGGAGGGAGAGGAGTCGGAGGTCGTGCGAATTAGGTGGGGTCGATGTACACTTTTCAAGGGAGAGACTGATGTTTGATAGGCATGGGAGTGTAGTCAGTTCCCAGAAGGGGGAACTTGTCGTTCCTGCTGCATGGTTGGAGAAAGACGGTTGTGAGCTGTACGAAGTCGTCTGTGCGTCTCTTTTCACCCATGTTCCCATCCTACTAACGAAGACTGTAGCGCAAGACCTAACAAAACATCTCCCTCTCCTGCTGACGATGGACTCCATCCTCCTCGTGACGGACTCGAGCCGTCTGCTCACTCCGCTCACTTCCCTCCTCCCCCACCTACCCGTTTCTCCCCTCGCGCCCACCTCCCTACAGCTCATAATCAACCGGCCCGCTAACCACAGTTTTTCCTACACGCCATCAGAGGAAGACACACGGGTCGCCGCCGCTCTAGAGGGTTATTATCGTGGTTCCCCCTATCCATCGGTAACCACCGTGTCCAGCACCCTAGCACTAGAAGCACTCGAAGCCTTCCAGAGCTCTGCTTCCCCAAGCACCGAAGCCGTCCGTACCTTCCAAGCGAAGTACATGCGCTCGCGGATCTCCCAGCTGCAAACCGCGCTCTCCCGCCCCTTACCAGAGGACTTTCAGGTAAACACCGCTGCTGGCCTCGCTTCTGCCGCGTTGGGGGCAGGGGCTGTCGCCCTAGTAGATGCGGAGCAGGAAGCGGACCGAGCGAGGAGGAAGGCGCTCTGGTTGCAGGGGGAGTCGGAGCGCGAGCTGGGGAAGTGGACGGGTGTGGAGGGGCTTAAGGACCAAGCGGAGAGGGCGAGGCAGGGGGTGAGTGCTGCCCTCCGCAGGTTCGCGTTCTGGAAACTTGTGTGGAGGGTGGACGACTTGGGCGCTGAGGTGAGGGAGACGGTTGAGAGGGTGTACGGGAGGGAGCTGGAGAGGAAGGTACGTAACTTTTATTGGAGTACTGGAGATGCTCAAAAGGCGATGGTAGTTATCGTACGACGCCGGAAGGCTCAAAGAGCTCCAATCGCAGTACACCCATAGCACCGCCGAGGTACTCGAGCTTTTCGCCTCTCCCAGCCAAAGCACGAGCGCGCCGTTCCACTCCCCCCTGCTGGAGAACAAGCTCGCCCAGCTAACGTCGCTCACCCAACTCCAGCCTTCCTCCCTCCTCTACCCTATCTTCCACCGGCGACAACAGCTGACCCAGCGCGGCGGCCCGATCGACCACCTGCACCTCCGTGCCCAAAATCTTGTCCTCACCGGATGGGCGTCTTTTCTCGCTTCCCCGATTGCGGGGATACTGGGATGGACGATGTACGACGTTCAGGGGAGCACGGCTGTCGCTGCTGTTGGGCTTGTATGGGCGGGGACGGCTTGGTGGTGTCAGGGGAGGTGGGAGAAGGGTTTGAGCAAGTTCTGGCAGGACTGGGACCGGGTTGAAAAAGGGCTGGACGTAGACCTCAAGGTGCGCCTTTGCCCGTTGAATGGCTCACGATGACATAGGCTAACTTGTACAGAATGAAATACAGGACGTGGTGAGAACTAAGGTTCTTGCAAAGCCGCTCACCGCGGCGGAGGGTATACAGGAACTGGTATCTAGAAGGGAGGCAGTCCTGGGGCCTATTAGGCAGGATTTGAGGAACGCGCAGAAGAAGCTAGATGAAGTCGTTAGTAGGTAGCACGGCTGTTGTACATGGGTAGTGTTGGAGGTAGTCGTAATTATTGGCGTTAGGAATCGCTGGGATGTTGTGTGAGCTTGGGAAAGGGTCGGGGATAAGGGGGAGAGGATGTACGAACCGTCGCCTGCTGTTCTGCACTCGGATAAACAGCCAATTCACAGCATCCCGTACTCCGGTCCTAGAAAACCCTTAAAATATGAACCACCTCATTCGGATAAGGCTCACCCTTCGATAGCGGAGATCCCCTGCACGTTCAAGCTCGCCATCCGCTCTGCGGTCGGAACCTCCGACGTGGGGCTCATAGGTCCCAACTCGGCGGCATGCTCCCTCTGTCGTCGTTGGAACCATTCTTCGTAGTGATTCCGGATCTCTTCGACGCTTAGGCTGCCGGGGACGTCTTGTTTGTTGGCTAGGAGGAGGAGGGGCACGCCGAGGATCTGCGGGGCGGAGAGCACGTTCTCTGCAGAGGGTAGTTAAAATTCTAAGCCAGGGTAAAGGGTCAAGGAAAACATACCAAACACCTCCCAACCCTCTACAAGTCTATCCCTGTCCGTCGCGTCCACCACATACGCCACCGCATGACAATCATCATAGTATCTCGGCCAGATGAGTCTTATATCGCGCTGCCCGCCCAAGTCCCAGAACTGCAAAATCGTGCTCGGAAGAGTGATCTTGCCCATATTCTGGCCCACGGTGGGAGCGATCTTATCTGCTGGAAGACCAGGCGTGGGGTTGTACAGCGTCTTGATCTTCTCGAGTAATGTCTGCTTTCTGGGTGAGCAAGAGACAGGGGAGAAAATGGAAACGTGCCGTCTTCCCGGCGTTGTCAAGTCCGAGAATGAGAACGTTGTACTCGTCTTTTCGAGTTAGTTGCTGATATAGTCCTGATAATAGATGATACATTGTTGTAGTAGACCGGGAAAAGCGGACAAACAGAGAGCAGCTTGAAGTTATGTAGTCCAAACCCAGGTCATCTTTAGGCGCTCAGGGTCCAACTTTCGGTGCTAGGGGCTGTGTCGGAGATAAGGGCCACGAGTTGTATCACACACGCGTTACCTTCTGCTTGCTTGCGCTCACCACACACTTCTTACCCACCATGTCTGCTCTACGCAAGCCCAACCTAGCCATGTTCAATACCTCTGACGATGATGAGGCTGCACCTCCTCCTCAGGTTTTCAACAGCTGTCCACATACCCGTACCCGTCCGCTTACCTAGTATTGATGACAGTCCAAGTCGAAGGTCGATGATGCCAAGATCCAGCATTTTACGAGTGGCAGTGTACGAAAGTCGAAGAAAGATAAGGAGAAAGAGGCTGCGGAAGCCAAGGCGCGAGAAGAGGAGGAAAGAGCTAAAGCGGCGTATGCAGAGTTTTTGGATGATTTTGCTAGTGGGCCTGTGGACAAGAGGGAGGGCAAGGGCTTTGTCAGAGCTGGACAGTCGGGGTCTGCCCCGCCCAATGCCAGAGGAAGAGGACCGGTCAAGGCAAATATGGCATGGGACGAGGAGAAACCAGAAGAGGTACGTATCTTCCTACGTGTCATCACCGTTGCACTAAGGCTGTTTAAGTCCGCACCCGCAATGGGCGGCGCGCGACATTACACTAAGGGCAGACGTGCGATGGATTCTTTTCTAGAAGAGATCAAAAGGTATGTAAGCCCGTGTAGTGTTCGCTTCTTTCCTCACGAGTCATTTTGACAGGGATCAAGCTTCACGTGAAGAGCGCTTGAAACGTTCTGGTCAAGGTGGGCAATAAAGATGCTCTCAATGCCGTATCTTTTTGTTGAACTCCTTTCCCAGCCCAAAGCAGCTCCTTCACTTCATCAGAGTCACGTCGAGGATCTCGAGATGTCGGCGACATGGAGGTTTGTCATTCTCTTACCACCCTCTGCAGTCTGCTCACCTCATCACAGACCACCAATGTTTTTGTAGCAAATCTTCCCACTGGCGTGACTGAACAAGGACTGGGGACGTACTTCGCCAAATGTGGACCGGTTGGCTCCGTACGTGATCTCCAATAACGCTACTGCCTTTCTCATCGCTTTACAGGTTAAGATAATGTGGCCTCGGCACGAGGATCCTCCGTCTGTGCTTGGTGTCCCAACTGGCCCACGTCGTCAAAACAGTCTGAGCGGCTTTGTATGCTTCATGAAGCGCCGTGATGCAGAGGTCGCTGTTTCAGATCTTGACGGAGCTGAGTGGAACGGCTCCACTTTGAGGGTTGGGTGGAGTAAAGCAGTATCCGTTCCGTCGAGGGCAATGTTTGGTACGCTTAGATGAGCGCGATGAGAGCGGGTCTGACTGGAGAGCGTTAGACCTTGGGCCTGGGATCGGTGCGAAACGCGGACGTTCGCGCTCGCCAGAACGACAGCATCACAAATCTCACACGTCAAGATCTAAGAGCCGGTCGCCTCGTCGATATGACTCTGGTCGAGATCGGGATAGGGGTCGTGAGAGAGATCGTGGCAGGGACAAGGATTGGTCGCCTGACAGACGGAGGAGAGATTCTCGCTCTCGGTCACCCCCGAGGAAGAGATATCGCGATGATTCTAGGACGCCGGAGAGGTCCCGGGAAAGGCGGAGGCGCAGCCGTTCACCGGAAGAGTATAAAAGGGAGAGGACTCTGGAACTGGAGCAATTCGATGATGATGTATGCCCTTCTTCCCGTTTCATGGCTAACACTAACCTGGTATAGGGGGCCAACTCGATATACTCTACTGATTCAGCGGAAGAATCGGAAAACGAAAATCACAGGAAAGGCACGCTTGGAAAGCTTGCTCTGCGCAGGTTCGAGTCGATGCTCCGTGGCACCACCGGGAAAAGGGGTGAAATCGCAAGACTGATGAGCTTTGCCTTGAATCATGCCGACGCTGCTACTGAGGTATGTTGCTCCTAAACTTGGGATATCCAGCTGATGGCGAGGTCTCCTAGATCGCAAGGATTATCCTTAGTTCTTTGCTAGTTGACTCTACCCCTGTTCCGCGCAAAGTTGCCCGCCTCCACGTAATCTGCGATATCCTACACAACTCGGCCGCCTCTGTCCCCAACGCCTGGAAGCTGCGACAGGAGTTCGAATCCGGCCTTGGGCAGGTTTTTGACCATATGGAAACGATCCACGACTCTTTCCCTGGACGCATCACCGCAGAGACATTCAAGAAACAGATCACGAATGTCCTGGACGTATGGGAGGACTGGATCGTCTTCCCCCCTGAGAAGACACAGGAGTATCGCCGGAGGCTGGATGGGAACGTCGTGCAGGAGGTTGCGGAGGAGGAGGAGACGGTGCAGGAGGAAGTGAGGGAAGAAGTGCAGGAGAAACCGAGGTTTAAGGCGAGCTCGTTTAGGCCTGCGGGGGAGGCGGAGGACGTGGATGGGCAGGTGATGGAGGATGTGGATGGAGCACCGATTGAAGATGTGGATGGAGTGCCGATGGACGATGTTGATGGGGCTCCGATGGACGACGTGGATGGGGCTCCGATGGATGATGTGGATGGTGCTCCGATGGACGATGTTGATGGCGCCCCGCTTGAAGATGTTGATGGCGCCCCGCTCGAATATGTCGATGAGGCCCCACTGGACGACGTTGATGGCGCACCACTCGAAGACGTTGACGGGGCTCCTTTGGAGGTCGATGCAACACATATCTCTCCAGCAGTTGTAATTCCGCCTACCAGTGGCCCTGTGGCGGTTGATGCGGATGAGGAGGAAGACATGGCTATTGAGGATGATTGATTGCAATAGTCAAGAGAGTCTAGGCTACCTTTGTGGACCTTACTTGTACCCCTCTCCCTCAGTGTTAGTTTGTCCATGATATCCCTGTGTTTCTAATAACAGGTATGAACCCTATGTATGTAACCCTGTTGTCTGGTAGGGGTTTAAGGAGTCTACTTGCCTCCGTTTCCGCCCTTGTCCACGTTACTGTCCTCACTGCAGTGAACACATCTTTCTCTCCCTCCAAAAAAACTTAAAACTCCTCCCATTCTCCCCTCTTTGTTGGCGTCTTCCCCGTCGGCATTTTGACTCTGTGTCAAAAGGTTTGAGACAATTCATTCATCAACAATTCAATGGCTTCATCAAACAGCATCTCCGCCGCTGACCTCGCTCGTATGCACGGTGCAAACCCCGCGACGGTCGGCGGTCACGAAGACATCGTCGACCCCTTCCCATCTCTCGGTGGGGGCGAACCGACCCCCGCTGTCAGGGCATCGAGCTCCCGTCCTACGCAAGCACCGTCAGGCGCACTGGATACAGCTTCCGAAGCTGCGTTCCCAAGCTTGGCTGCTCCCGCTCTTCGCCAGCCTGACAAGGCCCCGGCGAAGAGCAAGTGGACTGCTGGCTCTGCTGCCGTCAAGGGAAAAGGAAAGGCTCCTGCCGGTAAGCCCAATGGAACTGCGTCGCCTGGTCCCGCCATCGCCAAGCAGGTGTTGCCCACCGACACCCTCGTCATCGAATCGCCTGTGCTGCAGCCGAAACAGTCAGTCGGAGATGTATGCAGGATCGTCATGAAAAAGCACGGTGTCAACATCGACCCTAGCTCGCAGATGAAGTCCGGACGGAAGGAGACAACCTTCTTGATCAAGGCGTCAACTGCCAAGTTGGTGGAAGAGGCTCGCAAGAGCTTGGTCTCGATGCTTTCGCCGGTGGTACGTCGATCAACCCGATTCCAAATATGCCACATGTATACTAATATCCATCACTAGATTACGTTGACTATCGATGCCCCTGTCTCCACGATTGGTCGGATTGTTGGTCCCAAAGGTGTGCATAGTCCCCGATCATCCGAACCCCAGCCTAATCCTTGTTAGGTGCTGCGCTCAAGGCCCTTCGTGACGAGTTCAACGTCCGTGTCGACATTCCCAGGCGCGAGACCCTGCACACCAACGGTGATGCTGCCACCCTGCCTGCGAATGGAGATGCCGATGAAGTCGAAGAACCTACCCTGACCGTCACCATCAACGGGCCTGCTCCCGGTGCTCGTCACGCGTACGCACACATCCACGCCATCGTCGCCGAGAAAACGAGCAGGACCTCGACAAAGGTTCCCGTTCCTCGCCAGTTCTGGCCATTCCTCTCTGCCAAGAAGGATGAGCTGGAAGCAGGCCAGGATGTCAAGATCACCATTCCAAAGCCCTACCACCCGACGGAAGAGGACGACGATGCCACTGCTGCAGAGAAGTCCCACGCTGTCCACAGCGCGCCTGTCATCATCTCCGGTGAGAGGAATGCTGTCGCACTGGCAGCAGATCGCGTCAAGGCTATGGTCAACGATCTTGAGCTGAACACCAAGGAGCTCGCATACAAGTTCCCCAAGCGTCAGCATCGTTTCCTTGTCGGCGAGGCAGCTAGGAAGATTGTCGAGGACACCGGATGCAGTGTGGAACTGCCCGCATTCGACGATCCTTCTGAGGAGGTCGTCATCCGCGGCCCCGAGGATCAGCTTCCCATCGCTCTTGGAGCCGTCATGAAGCAAGCCAATACGGCAAGTGTTCTGCAGGTCGACCTGAACAAGATCTACCCTACGCCTCCAAAGCATGCCCATCAGCTGCTGATGTTCCTCACTCGTTCTGGCAGGCTCCGGAAACTCGGCGAGGCGCACCCTGGTGTCAAGTTCTTCGCCCCTCGGCAGGCTCTGGTCGACTCTACAGGTGGTCACGTCGTTATCGACATCGTGGGTGATAACAAGGCCTTGGTGCAAAAAGGGCGCGACGATCTGGACGCGGCCGTCAAGCAGCTTACGGCCGAGTGCTTCGACAGCATAGAGATTGAGCCCCTGACTCACAAGTTCCTGATCGGTAAGAAAGGGCAGAAGCTCAGAGCCTTTCAAGATGCTCACGGCGTGGACGTCCTCTTCCCGCACGAGGGCTCGGATACATCTACCGTCCTGCTGGTGTACACGCACCCCATGGAAGGGGACAAGAAGACCAACGAGGCAGAGATCAGAAAGCGCTTAGCTGAGGTCAAGGCGGAGATGGCCGCGATGGAGAAGGAAGCCGCGGATATGAAGACAGAGACTCTCAAGGTTGACAAGAAATGGCACAGGTTCATCGTCGGCCAGGGGGGGACTACGCTCAATGGGTGCGTGGATTATGTACAGTCAGCGGGGTTTCACTAATTGTTGGTAGCATCATCGGCGAGGAAAAGGCTATCATCATCAGGGTTGGATCTAACAACAAGCCTGGCGCTCACGTTAAGGATAATGTGGATGAGGACTCTATCGTCATCCGCGGCCCGAAGGATCAGGTGGAGCGCGCTACTAAGGAGATCCTACAGATCGTCGAGGATGCCAAGAACGACGATATTGTGAATGGATTTGTGGGTCTTTTCGCTCATCGCCTGGCGTTGTTTGACGTGTCCTAGACGGAAGAGTTCCACGTCAACCGCGAGTTTATCGCCCGCATTGTTGGGACCGGGGGTTCTAGTATCAAGAAGATCCGTGACGAGCTCGGCGTTCGGATCGATATCGATGAACAGGAACCTGCTGGGGAGGAAGTCAAGGGGAAGAAGAAGAAGGCGCCCTCGACGGCTAACATCAAGATTGTTGGGAGGAAAGAAAATGTCCTCAAGGCCAAGGAGCGGATCTCGGAACAGGTCGACCGCATGGCGGACGAGACGACTGAGATCCTGAAGATTCCCGCACAGTATCATCCTTCCCTTATTGGTCAGGGCGGGAAGTACGCCATCCGCTTGGAGGAGAAGTATGGTGTGAAGATCACGTTCCCTAAGGAGAAAGAGGAAAACGATGCGGAGGGACGGAAGAGGGACCCGCATGTCGGGAAGGATGAGGTGCTCCTCCGTGGTGGTAGGAAGGGCGTTGCGGGTGTTAAGGCTGAGCTTCTCGAGGTGAGAGTAACCCTCTTGTGTTCTAAGAATAAGACTGACGCCTCGCAGACCGTTGAGTTCGAGAAGGAGACAAACAATGTGCTCAAGTTCACCGTCCCGCAATCTGCCATTTCTCGCATTGTTGGTAAGGGCGGCCAACAAATCAACGAGATCAAGGATCAGACCAACACCCACATTGATATCGATCGTGAGAACAAGGGTGGCACTACCGGTATCACGGTCAAGGGCGGCAAGAAGGAGACCGAGGCGGCCAAAAAGGCTATCCTGGCTATTGCTGCCGAGGTGGACGATGAAGTGACCGTGATCGTCGCCATCGAGCAGAAGTATCACCGTACCATCATCGGCGTGGGTGGTCAGGGCCTGCGTGACCTTATTGGACGCTGTGGAGGTCCTGCCGACCCTCGTACGCAAGCCGGCCTCGTTCAATTCCCTCGACAAGGCGAGTCTCAGGATGAGGTTCGCCTGCGTGGTAAGCGCGTGCTGGTCGATAAGATCAAGGTGGAGCTAGAAAAGGTTGCTGAGGGTCTTCGTGATCGTGTTGTTCTGGCTGTCAGTGTGCCAATCGCCGTTCACAGCGCCCTCATTGGCCGTGGTGGCAAGCGGTTGCAGGAACTCCAGGAGTCCACCGGTGCCCAGATCCAGTTCCCTGGGTCTAGGTCGTACGGTGCTGTGGGCGATGCCGAGAACGCAGACGAGGTCAAGGACTCGGAGCCACAAGATGTTGTCAAGGTTTATGGCTCTCGCGCTGCTTGCGCAAAGGCGATCGCCGAGATCAAGAAGGGCGCTGAAACCTTCGCCGCTTCTCCTGTCAGTATCAGCGTATAGCTTCATTGTTTTGCTTTCTGACCATACATGCAGGCTCACAATCGCACACAGCGTGCGCCACAGGAGACTTCTGTAAAAGCTGTGCCGCTGAAATACCACCATGTCATTTCACAAGGCGGGGCATTCTTCCGTTCCTTGCGCGCGTACGGCGTCACGGTGGACCATTCGACCGTGCCCGAAAAGCCCGAGATCAAGCCCCCGACGGGCGGCTCCCAGGAGGAGGCCCGCATTGATCAGCCTGTCTCTCCGTCAGAAGGTGCTCAGTGGGATATCGTCCCCAACTATCAGCACATGCCGGAAGGTGATGCTGAGTGGACGATCAAGGCGAAATCGAAGGAAGGATTGGAGCGCGCCGAGAAAGAGTTAGAGGAGGCTATCAAGCATGCGGCCACCTACACGCATATTGGCTTCCTCACTCTTCCGAACCGCACCATGTTCCCTCGGATCGTCGGTTCCAAGGGTTCCACCATCACCAGGCTCCGAGAGGAGACCGGCGCCAATATTGATGTTGGTCGTGATAACAACACCATCATGATCACAGGTATGATCTAGTTCCTCACGGCCTAAGTCAATCTAATTTCCTACCGCAGGCTCCGAGGACTCAATCAACAGGGCAAAAGAGGTTATTGAGAAGATTCTGGAAGGTGGTCGCGGTCGAGACTACTAATTGTGACCATCATTTCCGTTTCTCAGCCTCCTATCTATCGGTTTTTCTATCATTTGGACCTGCATTCATGCACACTATATCCATTCATATTTCTCCGTTCTAAGTTGCCTGTCGGGGGGGTCGCAGGGAGCTTTTGAGTTGGAGACATGACCATGACGTTTCATCCTTATGCACCATCCCAAAATGCAGGCCCTCTTAGAATATCACATGTAGCATTGTGCAATCAAAGGGTAATTTAATCTGCAAACGAGTATCATATGTTTTGAAGGTATCAAGTGTGGCCTAAAGTGTCCGCGCAGGAAGGACAAACAAGCTGTATGCACCGAGAATGATTCCCAAGAACAATGAGTAACCAAGAAGACGTTCACCGGCGATGTCCCTGCAGAGCAGCAACCTGTTCCTGTAGTTCCGCAATCTGTGCTTCGTGTTTCGCGCTTCTTCTGGCCAAGCCTTGCAAATCAGACAGGTCCGGATCTTGCCGCAACGCCTCGAGGTCAGCCAGTTGCCGCTTACAAGACTCCAATTCAGCCTTGAGCTCTTCTATCTTCCTCTCGCGGAAGTCTACGGTCTTCTCCCCAGCTCTGTGGAGACGATCTTGCCGCTTGAGGTGCTCGGCCAGGCTAGTGAGCTCGTTCGAATAGGACATTCGAAAATCATGAGGCAGGGAAGTGAGGAATTTCAGCTGCTCATTCGTGACAGGTGTGAGATAGCTCGGCGTCGCTGGTGCAGCGTTTGATCGTGTAGACATGTTTGCCGGTGTGCGCGGTAGTTCGCTCACTGCGACCCTGCTCGGTGTCCTCGGTGTATGCGCATTGTTGGGTTGTTGGATTTCAGGACGGAAAGGAGTGGATGGCCGAGCCGCCGGCCAGTCGAGATTCGCGGGTGGGGGGATTGGCGACTCCTGTGAAGTGTGGAAGTCGTCCTCCTCTTGTGCCGGCCAACCGCCCGGTGTGTGGAGCACACCCGACCTGGGTCTGGTTCGCTGAGCTACAGGAGTGCGAGGTGGTGTTACCGCACCGGAGCCGTGTGCAGCAGCTGAAGCGACACCACGAGCACGCGTATGATGTGGGGAGTTGGGAAAACCGATGAAGTGCGTGTTGTCCATGTCTGTTATTGATTGTGGATGGGCGGCGCTATGAGCTTTACCAATTACTTGATCTGCCCAATCTGTAAAAGGTATTTAGTGTGATCAACAATAGGGGCTAGGGGCTCTTACGGAAGAAACCGCACTGATGGCCTGTATATTTGCAACAGGTGTAGAACCACCTTATATACGTGCCTTTCAGCAAGAAACCGCGTGAAATAGCCTCTTGACGTACCTCCCCTTGTTCAATTTTGTATGCGCTTGGCGGAGTGCAGCCTTCTCCGGTTGAAAACACCAACAATAGGGATGATGGTTGCTTGGAGGCAAAGGCCAGACATGCTCAATATCCTCTGCTGGCTCAAGCTTGACCTCCAGACACGCGGAATGGTTGGGAACAGTCATAGTCGCACATGATGGTTCATTGTCTCGCGCGGCAGCAAATGTACGAAAACGGAAATAGGACGTCACAAGAAGGGAAAGGAAGATGCGGGAAGATTATGTTAACAGTTGATCAAGACGCGGGGATAACAAAGCGCTCCGACCGCGGTGGGATGTCAGAAATGTACCCTCCGCTGATCCGCTCCACGGTCGAGGAAGAGAGAATGAGGCTCAAAGTCGGCCGGGCCAGCCTTTCGAGCAGAGGGAAGAGTTCGTGTGAACGTGAACGTGAGGAAAGTTCGCGGAATACCAGGCCCCAGAAGGCTTCTGTGCTGGCACCGGATGCTGCTTTGCACCAGGATACACGTGTGGAAACGAGAAGGATTATGAACGCAAGTAGAAAGATATTTGGTCTGCGGTCGCTCTCCAAAACACTTTGGAATGTAGACTCTGTGTTTTGGCATGCAAGACGTAGGATTGTTAGCAAAACAATGTCTGTTATGATAACAAGCACATTCCAGTCAGTGCATTGGAATATGGGATCAATCTGATGAGTGGACCCGTCACAACGCGTCGTTGGGTGTGATTGAGTTACGACTCGCATTACATTACGTGCCATCGGGCGGTCTTCTTCATGTGGACAGCACACAGACGCACCCTCGAAAGCGAATTGACGCATTATATCGTCATGGAAGCCGAGTGGATATCGTAATAAGCAATGCTGCTAGCTCTCTTTGGGGAAAAAGAGGAAAAAGAAATTGCAAATGAGCAAGACAAGGGCTCCACAGCCTTGTGGCTCTATCGGGCCTAATTGACTGTCTTCCTTCCGAAGTAGAATTTTATCGCCACCGACATATCATATGCTTTCCCACCCCGCTTCTCTCACTTCAGCTCCAGGCCCCTCTCTCTCATAAACCATCACCCCCATTTTATCTTGTGTTGAGTGCAAGATATCTGTCCTTTTCCCATAACCCCACCTTCTTTCACTCCGACGATCACTCTCCATCTGGTTCGCAAGACACCGATTTCGTCAATACGCGACCGACTATCTGGAACCCTGACCCAAAGGCGATATCAGCACGAGGCTATCCGCCAAACCACAAGGGGTTCTTCGTATATAGATGTCTTCTGGTCGCTCCCCGCACCAGATCAACGACTCGTTTCAACTCTCAGCTTATCCATCCAGCCGCAGCGACGCTGACGATACCACCACGCTGCATTCAGACATACCAGTGAACAGCTCGCGCGTCAACCTTGTCGGCCGCGATATGACGTACAATGGTGCCCCCGCCAGCGAGGACGATCATAACGTATCGACTCCTAAGGCGAAGAACTTCAGGCAGAGTGGAGAGAAGCGGCCCCACTCAAGCAGAAATCCGAGCTGGGATATGCTCGGAGGTGTTGGTCACCAGTTCAATGAAGGTGGGCCCTAACGATGAGCATCTGATTGATCATGTCTGACGAAAATTCTGTAGGATTCGAATTTAAGACGAGTACTGCAAAGGAAGAACATTTGAGATTCGCTGAAGGTGATTTCGCCGTGACTCCGATGTCGCGATTCTATGCCTACCTACTTAATCTCTCCATCTTCACGCGCTGGACGCTATACATTCTGCCCGTACTGGGCCTGCTCTGGATCCCCGGTATCCTAGGCTTGACCGTCGCGAAGGACGCGCGGATGGCGACTGTACCCCTTCTGTACTGGTCCATCTGGTTCAGTGTCGTCTGGGCCGGCTGGTGGGCGGCCTTCGCGACAGCTATGATCTTCCCCAGAGTTTTGCGCGCAACCGTCGGTGTCGTTCTTCTCGGCGCGCGCAAGTACATCGACTTCCTCCAGGTGTGCGAGCGATACGTCGCCTTCTTAGGCTGGTCGATCGCGATATGGATCTCATTTACCCACATGCTCGAGTTGTTCGCTCAGCCGACGAACCCACTCAACTCCGCCCTTACTACCATCGCCGGCATCTGCGAGGCTCTCTTCATCTCCTCCGTGATCCTCCTCGTCGAGAAACTCATAATCCAGTATATCGCCCTTGCTTTCCACGAGACGTCTTACGCCGACCGCCTGGCAGTGCAGAAGATGAACGTAAAGATCCTTGTTATCCTTTATCGTAACTCTTCCAACATCCCGGGACGATTGGATACGATGAATGACGACCAGTCTATGATGTCTCGCATGAACCCAAAGAAAGTGCTCAAGGACTTCCTTCACGGCGTGCGTAGTGTGGCCGAAACCTCTGCCACGGCACTCGGAAACATCGCAACCGAAATCGCCGGGGCTTCGGTGCTGCAGCCAAACTCGCCTGAAGGGCGTGTTCAGACCGCCCTGTCAAGCGCCAACAAGTCTCGTCTCCTCGCCAGGCGCTTGTACTACTCTTTCCGAAATGAAGGCGCCAAGTCCGTCACTCTGAACGACATTGCTCGTTTCTTCCCGGACTTTGAGACCGCCCAGCTCGCATTCACATTGTTCGACAAGGACGGGAACGGAGACGCCACTAGGGACGAGATGGAAATGGCCTGCATGGAAACCCATCGCGAGCGCTTGAGCCTCGCAGCGAGCATGAAGAACCTTGACAGTGCCGTCGGGCGCCTGGATGCGATCCTCGTGTACATCTGGTTCCTCGTCGCGATTCTCGTCCTTATCGCATGCTTGGACACTACACTCTACACCTCCTTGTCCGCATTTGGTGGCTCTCTCCTCGCTCTTTCTTGGCTCTTCGGTGGTACTGCCACCGAGATTCTCTCGTCGATCATCTTCCTCTTCATCAAGCACCCCTACGACTGCGGTGACCGCGTAGATATCGACGGATACCAGTTCACCGTGAAGGAAATCCAGCTCCTCAGCACGATTTTCATGACCACTGCCGGGAAGACCGTTCAATGCTCTCACGCTGTACTCAACACCAAGTATGTCGAGAACGTGCGCCGCAGCGGACAGATGTCAGAATCTTTCACCTTCGACGTGGACTTCAGCACGACCTTCGAACAACTGGAGAAGCTTCGCGCCAAGATGCTCGCTTTTGTCACCGCAGAGAGGCGCGACTACCTTCCTGCGTTCGACGTCATCGTCCAGGACATCCCTGCACAGGGCAAGATGTCACTCTCGGTGATGATCAAGTACAAGAGCAATTGGCAGCAGGTGGCTCTCCACGCACAAAGGCACAACAAGTGGGTGTGTGCGCTCAAGGAAGCCATGCACGATTGCAAGATCTTCGGGCCTGCTGGTGCCGGTAACCCGAGCCCGCCTGCTGCACCTCCTTCCCAATACACCCTCGTTCCCTGGGAGGAGGCTAAGCCCGCCCCGCCTGAGCCTGCTCCGGCATACCGCGAACCGCTTATGCCCCGTGGCGACTGGAATCTGAGCGACAGGAATGCAGTTCTGAGGGACGACGAGCGGGACGTGTTTGGCGTCTCGGATGAGCTGACAGGCGGTACTATGCGCAGCGGAGGGATCACCTCACCCTCCTCGACGCGTCCCAACACCCGGAGCAATACACCCGAAGTTGGCATGTCCTACGTTCGCGGTGGACAAGTGCCACCCGTTCCTTCCCTTCCATCACATGTCGCTGCTGGTGCGGGGCGTCGAATGGCGAGCGGATCTTCCGGAGAGGAGTTCGAGATGCGGGGAGCTCCTCGTATGACTCGCGCGCGGAGCGGGAGTGAGATCTAAATCAAATGATGAAAGCTACATTGGACGGAGCAGCGGCTGGGCCCGCCGCCTCCTAGCATTTCCTCTTTTTGGACTGTTTTGCTCACCTCTCATAATCATACATCGCATAGCATCGCATGAAGGACTCTAAGCATACACCGAATGTCGAATGTAGATTGAAACGCTGTGTTTTACTTAGTGGTACAAGCGTGGAGCTTCTTTGGTGAAATATCACTCTTTTTTTCCTGTATGAGTCCCCAAGTGCCGGACGACAGGTTCCTTCTTGCCGCCTGTGATTGAAATGGTGATGCTACATGCAGTAAGCGCAGTTCTCCTTAGCTACCAATATTCTTCTAACACCGCTCGCAACATTGTGTAATGATAAGCGAATTCATATCCAGGCATCGAAGGGGCATTCCCAGACTCCATTTGTTGGATGGTGATAAACCAATCCTTCGGAGATAAAGTTTCTCACGAATCACAAGCGGCGTCAAAAAGTGGCGGCCTTAGAAAATTTGTTCCCGCCCACTCAAGTTTGAGCGCGTCGTCCGCCACTCGTCCTTTTCTCCTCATCACTCAGCACAGGCGCCGTCGTCGTCCTCGCCTACCACCACTTTTACCAAAGGCCTTTCTTTCTTTTCCCTGCTTCAACCGGCCATATACGGACCTCTTAATCGAGCGATCTGCGACGACACCTTAATACACTTACTGGACTATTTGACGCGTGCTTTCTGTGCTACTGTCAGTGCCTTGGCCGCGAACGACCACGCGAAACATTCACCATGGAGGATCCTGCAATACGGATACGAGAGCTAGCGAAAGACAGGGTGGAGTTTGTGATGACAGGAGTGGATTTATCGTGCGCAGCCGCGTTCTTGTTCGTACGAGCGCCTGTTAACCTGCGCGTAGGTTCGCAAACTCTTTCCGGCGAGTCATAATGGCGGACGTAGCCACCGTAGGTACGTGTGCGGGTTAATGACGGGTTTTCCGCCATCATCATCCCTCTCGTAATGCTGACCCCCATATCAGCGATTGACATGGTGGAGATCGAGGTCAATACGACCGTCCTCGTCGACGAGTTCCTCTCTCACCGGATCGGGATGATCCCCCTGACGAGCACAAATTGCGAGGAGGGTATGCGGTACAAGAGGGTTTGTCGCATGCTTTCTCTTCCGAGAAATGCATGTGCCTGAACTTTGGGCGCTTCGGGCGCTTCATATTCCAGGACTGCCCCTGCCTTGGCATATGCCGTTACTGTGCCATCGTCTATGACATAGACGTGCGGTGTACGGAGGGCGAGATGAACGTAACAAGTGATCATCTAACGATGGTACCCCCCGATCAGTGGGACCACGAGGAGCAAGATTCATCTGCAGCTGAAGACATTCTCTCCAAGCGCGGGAAAAACTTCGGAGTTCCAGCCGGCCCAGGTATGGCCTCTATTTCCATGTTCAATGTTCTGTAGCTCACATGCTTCGGCTAGCGACTGATCCGGACCCGAATAGAAGACCGATATCTCTCGTGAGAATGCGGAAAGGGCAGGCGTTGAAGGCGAGGTGTGTAGCCCGCAAAGTACTAATCCCTTATAGTTGTTCACGGGATACTTTGCTGACCTTTTCTAGGGAATAGCAAAAGAGCATGCCAAGTGGTCGCCCTGCGCGGCTGTCGGATTTGAGTATGATCCGCACAACAAGCTGCGACACACGGCGTATTGGTACGAAGTCGACGAAAAGGCAGAATGGCCACTGAGCAAAAATGCCGACGAGGAAGCACCTCCTGGCGATGTATTTGATTTCACTTCCATACCAGACCGGTTCTACTTCGACGTGGAAACCACTGGCTCGCTTGCCCCCCAAGAAGCGTGTCTGAGGGTGAGTCTGACGTGATCACAAACCATTCCAGTTCTGACGGCGTTTCAGGGCCTCGCAGAACTACAACAGAAGTTGGCAGGTTTGGTTTTCGCATGCCGCAAGGTGAACGAGCCTGCGGACGCGCCAGGTCTTCAGATGCCCTCAACTATGGCAAATGGACACACCGACGGGTTCGACAAGAACGGCTGGGGCGGTGGTGCGCAAACAGCTACATGGAATACGTCTCGTGCTTGGGCGAACACGGCACCTGGAGGCGGCGCGTCATCCGCGGGAGGCAGTTGGGGTTCAGGGAATGCTGGGTCTCCGGACGGTTATGGTCAACGAGGCGGCGCACGGTCACCCGCAGCCAATGGATGGGGCAACGCCAGCGGTGGAGCAACCTCGCCGTCGGGAAATGGGTGGAGCAGGCCTGACGGCTCCTCAGGTGGAGACGGCGCTGACAGTGGCTGGGGAGCTTTTTAGAGCGTCGGCGTGGCCCTGTGGATCTGGAGAAAAGTTTGCCCCCTGGGCGTGGGCTGCTTGCTACATCGACCATACATCACCAAGATGGTTGAAGGCGGTCGATATGATATGTGCATCTTAGTGTATATCGCTCCTGTAAGCGATCTCTCATGTAGGCTGTGTAATGTGATGGACACGGCTTATCCTTGCTGCCACCAATATTTGTAATGTGTGCGCACACTCTTAATCATGATGGGGTTAAGTTGCTGTCGAATTGGTTTCATCAATCTATCGAGATAAAGTACAGTTTCAGGCCTTATAAACGTCTAAAGCATTGACACCAAAGACCCCATCGAGCGCATCCTGCTCCACGCCCATCTCCGCAACGCATTCCCGGGCAAGAGTATACCAATCGCTTGCCTTCGACACTGGAGACTTACTAGATCCAGTGGAGCTGTAAATGATTCTGGAGAAGCCGAACGCCTCGACCACCGGCCCCAGGTACATTTTTATCCGCCTCTTCCACTCTCTCCTTTCCTTCTGAACTTCTTCATCCCCCTTCTCGGCAGGGACGGGGCCCCATTCGGGAGGTCCGAACTGAACATAGACGCTGGGGAATAGGGACAGTTGGGTGATATGATCTTGAAAGGCCTTGTAGACTGGGTGGGTGAGCAATTTTACCAGAGGGGTGTTGAAGCCCACGGCCGGGATCAAGAGGTTTTCTGCAGACTAATGAGCTTCCTACTGGCAAGACTGACAAAGAACTTCGCCTACTCAGAATGACAGGTTTGCGTTTCTGCTCCTCTGACGGCAGCGCCTTGCCCAGAATGTCTTCGAGCTCCTCCCACGTCTTGTCTTCGCCCAGATCGGCGTGGACATCAATCTCGGCAACATACGCGCCCTCTAGAACAGCTTGCAGTCCCTTTGCGTATGTCTCCGAGGCCGATGTGAAAGGCGAGCTGATGGCAAGATGGATTTCTGTCTTGTGCAGCCGCTCCGGGAGGGTGAATTCCTTCGACAGATCCATCGGGACCGAGATGCAGAGCACCTTCTGCATCGTGGCGGCGTACGCGTGGTTTCTATTCGTAGGTATGTTAGGTGTGCATATATGCGTGTCAAGATGCGAATACTGACTGCATATGTCCTGGGTAGAGCTCATCCAGTGCCTCTGCTGCCTCCAACGTCGGTGCCTGGACGACGATCCCCTTCGTCCTATCAGCACGGTCGGCCGCTTGAGTCCACCAGCTGTTGAGGTCCTCCCAAGTCCTGATCCCGCTCACACCGGCATCGATGATGCTCGCAGGGAGCATGAGGGATGGATCAGGTGTGGGTAGGGGAAAGCCCGAGCTGGTTCCTGGCGGTGAGAAGGCGCTGAGAGGAAGCTTCGGGGCGTGCTTGCGCCTCGCACCAACACCGGCAGTATTGGGCGTCAATGGTATCTGTACCTGGAGCTCTTCGGTAGACATGATAGACGGGTAAGTCGTATGTGGTGGTTGCTGAGGTCGATGAGCTTAGCGAGGATCAATAGAGATTAAGTAGGAGAAGAGAAACAGGGAGATGACCGGAGTAAGTGCGGGCACGAGGCTGACATTGTCAAGCAGACCCCTAAGGAGGTTTATATGATGCATCGATATGCCTGCTTCCACCCTCGACACTCACAGCCTCAAAGAAACGCGTTTCAATTATCGATATAGATCGCATGACAACGACTGAGGTGCAGTGCGAGGGGGCTAGGGGTCGACTTTTGCGTCGCTTTCGGATAGGAAATGCGGTGGTCCGTCGCTGGGCATGGTGCATGGTGCAAGAGAGTCGAGGTGCACAACGTACGGTGAATAAGCCCACGGTTGTAAAGCATTCCGGAGAATCGTCATGCAACCACATTAGCGCCGAGTCAAGTGTCGGCGTTCCGCAAGGTCATCAATAGCTAAAATTCTTCAGGGGGCGAGAAACGTAATTCCAATCGTCACGTAAATTCTGATACAGCGAGAAATTGTGGGGCTTTGAGTCTGTGAAAAGCTAGCCATGGGATAGCCGCTGTCAAACTTTCGTCACAACGAAATAAGATTATCTTACGAGGGTTTGAAAAGGACTTGGCTACAGGACATACGGAGGAGTGCTACGGACCTACAGTACCATACTCGTCTCTGAGAGTGCAAACGCCTCAAGGAAGGTCCGCCGTGGTCATGGAGTTCGCAGAGTGTCTGATCGAACATACACAACAGCACGCCACGCATGTTGAGAGAGGTCGGTGCTAGTGCAAACGTGCGCATCATGAGAAGCGGTCTCATGAGAGCAGGATCGCCCAGCTTGGCATCAGAAATAGAGAGAAATCGTGAGCCGAAAGGGTTAAAAGTTGACGTGCAGGATTGCCGCAAGTTGGGTAAAGGCTATCTACCATAGTTGACCCGAATCCCGCGGTTGCGAATGGAGGTTTCCAGAGCTGTCGAGAAAGACGGTCAATTATAGTTAAGACGTGTGCTGGAAATACCACTGACATTTCACGTCCTCTTCTTCTTCGCGCTGGCCGTAATCAAGTACAAGCCGCTTGAGATCTTGCTGCTCCTGTTGCTCGCGCAACTGCGCAAGGTGCGTCTGCGTTGCAAGGTCCGAGGACGCTGGGACATTAAGTTCGTGCGTCTGAGGCCGATTGCCTTTCTTCGACAGCAAAGTAAATTTCATGACATCCGCCGGCTCACTCTTGCCATTCTCTAGGTTCACAGAGTCTCTGCGTCGGCGAAGATTGCCCGGCATAACGGTTGACTCCCACATCGTCATGGCTGTCCTCCTATCCACTTTGCGATTTTCTCCTGCATCGGAGATCATCTTAGCCAGTTCTTTGGCGAACTCAGCATCGTCTTCTTCGGATGGACCCGTGGGCTCGGGCTGATGCAACAATACCGGGGCTTCCTCTTCCTCTGGGCGATCCATTTGCTGAGGGCGACGGTCAACATTGACTTGCCCACCACTAATTGATGTACGTACTGTTTCATCCTCTTGCTGCCTGTCTCCATCTTCTTCCTCATCTTCGACATCGGGACGTTCCTCGTCATCATCGCCATCGCTGTCATACCCGCTGACACCAGAGCCTGACGGCCGTGTCAGCTGAGTGATATTCATTGTCATGTTTTCTTACCATCAGCCATCTTCTGGGCTTGCACTCGGAAGATCTCGTTCACTGCCGCTGCAGCCTCGTCATAAGTCTTGAACATCGCCATCTTCGGCCTGAGAGCCTAGGAAACTCCGTCAGCCCTCGCTTTACTTTCAGTCAAATCTGTGGTCACCTCAATTGTGTCCGTAATCATGAAATCCACGTCCACTGGCATTGCTTCCTTGCAATGAACATACATTAAAAAGAACGGAAGGAAAGCGTCGAGTCGCTGTGCTCCAGCACCTTTCTCAAAGCACATGCCACATGCATCCAAGATTGTGCACACCAAACGGACGCGGAAAAAATCGTCTGGTGCGTCAATGGGGACAGGCTGACCAGGCAGAGGACGGCCGTCCGCTGGAATAGGATTCAGCTTATATGGATCTCCCCCGTCTCACTGCGACAACGTACGATGTCCAAAAGTCACGAGAAGCCACAATGTATCGAAAATTATGTTGGAACTGATGAATCGATAGTTGTACAGTTCGGCTAGATATTTGACAGACGCGATGCGGCGCTGATTCCATTTAAATATGTTGACTTCGAGCCCTCGACGGATGTCCTCAAGGACCTGATCGACAAGGGCGATGCAGAAGTCAGGATGATATTGCTTCAGATCGCAGGCCAACATAGCCAGGAGGCTGATGCTAGCGTAGCGCAGTTTCCAAACTTTGGTGAACACCTTCAAGATCCAGTGTACCACTTGCGGGTCTTCCCAATGGAGCTTCCTCAGAAGCCTGAGCACTTTGTCCACGGTTTTCTTGGACAGGACATCGTAAACCAGATGCCTGATGAACGCGTCCATTGGATCGCGCTGCTTGACCTCCCTAGGGCCCCGTTCGGGAGGGTTGCATTGGTAGAACGCATTCTCCAGCATAAGCATTTGTCTTTCATCGAAGTGCTGAAGACTTTGCTTTCGCTTCATGACACCAAGCTATGCAGATATTAGTGTGATATCTACCATTTTGTGAGCACGGGTCATACCAACTCCGCCATTTTCCGCTTAGTGTCCTCACTCCGAAGTAAGAAACGACCACACCCTTCCAACAGTCGAGCAACATTTCCAACATTAGGGCCATTGAAGTCATCCAGGAAGACTTTGAAAATGTGCAAAATAAGGTGAGAAGGCACAACTCGGTGCTTGGTCAGAGCAGACAAGAATGCAACATTCTAGCACTCGTTGTAAGCATTTGTCACACACGAAGACGCAGATGGTTACCTTGGCTCGACTGTTTTCAAGCTCTTTCACTATTTTCTTCCGCTTCTGCAAAAATCGGAATTGGTCTTCAAGCTAAATGACCTTTCAGCAGGGAATTTTGACGATAGAAACCTCGGGGACATACCATCTCCACAACCCCAGCTCCGACATCAGGCATGTATTTGTTCAACGTAGTGATAAATCGTGAATAATATGGAATAATGTCAATTCGCTCCCGAGGGATTTGACCCATGAACTATTGGGATCAAAATAAGATTCAGTGAAACCGTCCATGGGGAAGAATTCACCTTGATCAACCGTTTTCTCGCAGCTTTGGAATTCAGGAAGGCAAAATCGATGGCCGCCTGATCAATGAGCTCGCGGTTGGTAGCATCTGGAAGACGGGCCAGAAGAGCAGTCATCAACGCTGCAGGGCCCGCACTCTGTTGTTGCTCTTCAGGTACGGCCGGGAGGGTAGAAATGACAGGCGAAGGTGAACGAGTCGGAGTAACGGAACCGGTCTCACTTGCACTCAAACTTCGGTCAACTGCTGCACCAAACCCCGAGCAAGGACCCTCTTACCCATCATCATCTCCATCATCGGTAGTGGCTGTTTCCTCTTTGTCGTCCAATCTCTGCATTTCTTCCTCCAGCTTCTTCTCTTCGTCCTCAGACTTTTCTGGAGTTTCTGCTTCTGCTTGTTCATCTTTCTTCTCTTCCTCAATACCCAGAATGCTCCTGGGCACCCAGTCCTTGAGATCGATAATGTCCTCGTAGAATCGTCGCTCTTCTTCATCCTCCCATTTGTTGGTTGAGGTCCATTCTTCATCATCTCCACCCAGATGAGAGAGCCCTTGATCTCCTAGGATGATTGACTCAGAATGTCCGGACTCCTTGGGAAGATCCGGCATGGGCAAGCTCAAGACTTCCGACAAGCTTGCGCAACACATCAGCACTGACAACAATGATCAACTCATGTCCTCACGATTGCACGCTAGACAACAATTTCTCGTAATTCTTGGTCATCTTTTCATATGCCTGTTGGCGGTCTTCGAAGATCTCTCCGGAACGAATGTATGCTTCATGATTCTTCCGATCCTGCTCTTGTAATTTCTGAACCACTATCAGTTACAGTGTCAAAAATGACATGACCAGGCACCACTCACCAAATGCGCCTGAACGAGCTTCTTCGACACCGTGTCGTAGTAGTTCTCCGTCATGCGTCTCAATTTCTCACGCGTTTCTCGCTCCACAAGCTCACCCTGTTCATGGTCCTCAACCTGCGCTTCGGAAGGTGTAGGTTCGGCGGCAGCTTCGCCAGCATTGGTCCCTAGATAGGGGCGAGCAAATGATTTGACAAATGTGATAAGGAGCGGCAAGGACGACAACGATGGGTCGTGAGAGAGCTAAGTTGGGATTCATTAGCGAGTTGATGAAACCACAAAACATACGAAGACGTACAAGATCCCTGAGTAATTTGATCACACCTTCGCCTCCACTCTTAGTGCCATCTTCGCTCCGCCATACGCCGACCATGCCCAACTCTGCGCATATCCGAAGCACAGGGCGTTGGCGAGTGATACGCGCCACGTCTTCTTTCTCTTTCTGTTCAGCGGACTGGCCGGGGACAGCATTGACCTTAGCGGGTGGAGCCAGGATAGCTAGCAGGGACGAGTCTACCGCGGGGGTGAAGTTCTTCGGGAAACGACGATGAAATGCAGAAATGACCTGAAAATGCATTATTTGAGTTATCACTCCAGCTCTAGTCAGGAAAGCTGACCTCAACTGCACTCCATACATCCCTATCCGTCTTGCATTTCAGGACGCCCTCACTAATAGCGCCTACGATCTCGTCCAGGTATTTCTCTAATGTAAGGGTCTCAAGTTCCTTCAGTATCTGATCGCGGTTTTCGTACGCCATGGATTGTCGAATACGCTTGATAAGCGCTGTGTGCCGCTTCAGTGACGAGTCCGGGGCCTTGCTTGGGCTCTCCGGGTTTGTATATGCAGCAAGGTTAATCTCCCGCAGCGCAAGGCGACGCTGCCTCTTCGACAGCTCAGAATCGTCCTTGGATGTGGTTTGTTGAGTAGCCATATTGTCGGTTGTCTATTTATTGCCAGTAATCAGAGTTGAATTTTCTTGGCGGCTTGAACGCGACGAATGGTGGTCGAGCCGTAACTCGAAGAGGGGTTAAGGCAACAACGGGATAGCGCTAGCTGATCATTGAAGTAACATTCCCCGGATTTAGCTCCACAAGGTTGTCATTCGACCCCAGGTGGATTATTGCTAGTATTGGCAGTTGTACAGAATAGGTAAAGCAGCGCAGCAGCGATGGCGAGCACGGGCAAATAGACGACGACAAGGGATCAGGCACGTAAGGATGAGTCTGTCGCGACCGTGAAGTCACAGGTTGAGATTGCTCCCGCCAGCGAAGCAACCTCATCATCGCCATCCATCACCGCGGCCAGCAGCCCAACATCGTCATCTGCGCAGCATATATAGATCTCTCATACCCTCTACACGACAGACGACAGGCATGAACCACGACCACAGCATGCATGCCTCTGCTGCCGCACCTATGCGCCGCTGCGCGATGAACATGCTCTGGAACACGCAGGTCGAGAATACCTGCGTCGTCTTCCGTCAATGGCACATTGGCAACATCGGCGAGTTCATCGCCTCGTTCATCGCCATTCTTCTCCTCGGGTTGCTGTTTGAATATCTGCGTGTTGCGCAGGTCAAGATGGAGAAGAGGATCGCGGCAAGGATGGTTAAGGAGAGGGGTGTGGAACATGCGCCGGGTACCGAAAGCCCTGGCGAGGAGGCACTGTTGCTAGCAAGAGCATCTCGTATGGGAGTGTGAGTGTCTCGGATTATGTTGCTCCACTCTATCTCATTATTGGATAGTGCCAGAGTTCCCATGTACTCTCGTGTTGTTCGCGCACTCCTGTACGCGTCCTCTACTGCTCTGTCTGCATTCCTGATGCTGGTCTTCATGACATACAATGTCAGTCCTTTTCCCTTATTCACCTATGTATTCTCACCATCTTCCAGGCATATCTTATATTGGCCGTTGTCATCGGTGCGGGGCTGGGACACTTCATCTTCGAGGCGAACATAGATCCAGAGGCGATCCTCTTCGGTGTCAACACCAAAGGAGCCGTCTGCCACTAGTATTTCTTGTCCTGAAAACATTCTGTAATACTATCACAGTGTGCACTACTCATTACTGCTCAATACTGCGACTTCAGAAATGAAAAGATTATGATACTTTTGAACTACGCCGAAGATCCGAGGAACAGCCAGCATTGGAAATTTTGCAGAGTGGAAGTGGTGAAAGGAGCAATCGAATTCTAGAAGACATCGCGAGGCGGTCCAGCCGGCCGCAGACTCACAGACTGGGGAGGAGTCGGGGGAGTACGAGCACCATCAACTTCAGCAGGAACAGCGTCATCGAATCCCCAATCATCCATCCTAACAAGCGTATGAGGACTTTCGTCTTTTTTCTCGTCCCGGGATCCACGCTCATATCGAGAAGGCTGCTCATCTTGACTGCGATGCCTATCGCGGTCTTGGTTCTTGCTCTCACGGCTGTGACCAGAGGAGTGTCTGTCGTGCCCTTCGTACTTGCGCTCGCGACTGTATCCAGAACTGTGCCTTTCGTGAACGCGATTAGCGGCAGTTGAATCTATGTAGCCACTATCACGACGGCGAGGAGAGCGAGAACGTTCGCGGAACTCGTGGTGACGACGGTTTTCACGGTCTTCGTCGTGGCCTCGGTCAATTACACGATCGTAGTCGGAAGTCTTCTTGCTGTATTTCTCCACGTCGTTGTCACGGTCATACGTGCGCTCTTGGTCATGGTCACGTTCAGAGTGGCGGTTGTAGGTGCGCTCGGAGTCACGATTATTACGACCAGAATCGCGTTCCTGAGTACGATGCTCATCACGGTCACGATCGCGCTCGTAGTCGCGCTCGTGACCATGGTGATAAACGCGTTCGCTGCGGTCCTCTTCACGGTCAAATATGCGAGGTTCATGTCGACGCTCTTCATTCCTGCCCGTCTCATAGTCGCGGCGATGACGACGGTCATCGTCCCCCTCCGAACGGTAGTCGCGATCACTCTTGCGGTGATCGTGACGGTCCCAGCTAGCGGTGTTTGTATAGTCGCGCGTGTCATTCCCACGCTCTCCAGGAGGCCCTTCGGTACGCCAGATACTGGAAGGAGCACGACGCGCCCACTTGAGACAATGGATTGTCTCAGCATACATGATCGTTAAATGTGAACGCATATATGCTCACCTCCACTTTGATTAAAGCACCATCGAGGTGGACGTTGTGCATATCCTTGAACGCGTTATCCGCGTCTTCAGATTCACAGTACTCCACAAAAGCATATCTGAGGTGCGAAGGGATAATATCAGACAGGAAGCTCATACGATGAACGAGGAAGGTAAAAGAGTGCGTTCGGGGAAAATCGTTCGCATGTTTGGACAGAGAGCATATATGCGCGACGTTCGAGGTTCGTGTGCGTCACGAAGGGAGATAGATCGCAAAATTCGCGTCGCCATCGCCGCGGATGGGTTTGGAGGGAGATGGATCACTCACGGTTGAGAGTTTATGTATTTAGACATAGGAATGTCGCAGCGAACGAGTTTTCCAAACCTAGGCACGACGAACGCGCCTATAAGCTCACAGACCATGATGCGCCTGACAAACGACTCACTTTCCGAACCCTGCTGCCAAGTCCTTTGCACGAGTTGAGCTGTGAAACCCAACAACATAGAGAACACGATGTCCACTGCGGGATGACATTGCCTTTCGACTGACAACTTTGCAAAGTTGGTGACGGTTAAAAATGAAGAGGTGTAATGCCACCGGAAAAGCGGATGGTCACTCAAATAGTTTTTGCTACGCCACGATTCCTGTGTGTTCCGTGGAGCGTCGGCCGAGTGCCGCTTTCTCGCCGCAAGCCGCGCTATAGCCATCACATCGGGCGAGCGGCGTTGCTTAATCGCCGCCAGGCGGTTTTTGGGGTGCAGAGGTAACCAAAGTGATGTGTCCAGGCAAAGAAGCACCAAAAGTCTCTGACATCTTCGATCGCGCCCTTGATAGAAGAAGTAAGAAGTTGTGAAGAGCGGAAGCACTCTGCTGGAGGTTGAAAGAGAACGGACGTTTGTGTCCGCGCTGAAAAGGCGTAACCCCAACATACCGGTAGATCGACGTCTAATGCTCCGAACGCGAACTCAATCAAATTCGTAGAGCTGCGGGCGGACCATACAGATACCCGCTACTTACATACCGTGATTTTGGTGTTATGAAGCGCCTTTGGCCATGATCCTCGCCCTGATGTGTGTGACAATCTTTACCACTGATCATGGGATCCGGACATTATGTTCGCCCGCCACGAATCAAATGGAGACGCCGCTCAAGTATGGCAATGTGCATCCTACAATAGTTGTATTGCAATGTGGCCGAGGAGAAAGTGCTGACAAAGGTCTAACCCCACAATCCACCAGCCGCGAATCATGCTCCACCTCTCATCTTCTTCCAACCCTCATCTAGTCGATTCAGCATGTCTTGTGCATGTTTGACTGCCGCTCTCCTCTCTTTCCTCGCTTCTTCCCATCCTTCCACCATCAGCGCATCCAAGCGCAGCAGAACTTGCAATATGAGCTCACCAAGCCGTGTGTGGGTGGCCTCGCGCTCCTCCTTCTCCACAGACGCGCCCTTTTCCAGGAATGTCTCCAGCTCGGGAGACAATGTGGAGGTTAGCATCGACAACTCCTTCCGAATCCTCTCAATCGTCGACTGCTCGGTGGGCTTCTCTTTGACAACAGGCGCAGCGGCAGTGCTCGGCGTTGGTAAGGGCTCGTTGAGACCGACGATCGCCAGTGCACGACCAGGTTTGACCCCGAACGATGCTAATGAAGCAGTGTTATCCTTCAGAACCGCTCCAGAGTAAATGATCTTGAAGCCATCAGGAGGCAGACCGGTCACATCGGATATGGACTTTCGGAACTCGGACAAAGGGGTCTCGAGAGGTGGTAATGGTACGCGTATCCTGGATTGGTAAAGGTTAATCTAACGTCCAGTCAAGGCACGTTCGTGAACGCACTTTTCCTTCCCCCATTTCACAGTGACCTCCATCATTCCCTTCCTGGCCTTCTCTCGACGGATCTTTGGCTGCGTAGGAAAGAAAATGCGAAGTGCGATGCCTGCGACCGCAAGGAGTATGACGGCGCCGGCCGTGTACTGCAGCTGTGCCGAGTCTAGTTTTGGGATGAGCGCGTATTCCGGCATCAGCGCGCACGCTCGGACCGTCTATGTATACACCTGCTTCCTTGGATCAACCTTTGCTGTCGTAGTAATATTGACGTTCGATGAACTCACTGGAGAGGCGTATTTGGAGAGGTCAATTGAGTGCCACGAGGACCCTTTTAGAAACATTGAAAGCGGCGGTTGGGCCGAGCTCTCCGACCGCCGAAATCTCGGCATTATACCTCCGCCTAAGATCATAGTCTGGGATGTGTCAGGCAGATTCGGAGATGCTGGATACGTACCTTGTACCTTGACACATTGACTACCGTTATCTTCGTTGAGACGAAGGACGTTGTAGAATGAAGAAACAGTGAACACAGACTAGTCTTGACTTGGTATATATGTGCGACCCTGTACATATCCACCTGCTGAATGTCAATTGTCTGAAACCGCATATAAGGCACCATATCTATCTGCTTTGCTAGAACATCTCTTACTCAACACCGTTACGTCTTCCCGCCATGCCCGACCTCAAGATTGTTGATTCATGTATTCTTCAAATTGTTGTGGACAACTCAATAGAATGGTTCGTATGTAGCCGAGAACTTCATTGTGCCAATGCTCAACATCGGTCAGGATGACCAAGTTCCCCGCCGGTTTCACGAGCGAGATCGCAACGCATCTTCAGGACAAGCCAAGGATAGACGAGAAAACTGGGGCACCTTTCGTTGACTTGGACAGGTACTGCTGCGGTGAGTTCATCAGCCGTCCAGAAGCAACCGTTCCTGATCACAGGCTAGCTGCCCATGGACTCTCGCTTCTCATTGTACGCTGTCCGGCCCAATCGGAAATGACCATTATTAACATGAAGTTGAGACCACCCGTTTAGGAAACCAAACGCACTGCACCTTGTTTGACACGGGTGAGTTACCTGGGAATATCAGCTGCCTATCCATCTGAACTCTTGCAGGTCCCGATGCGCTCACCCTGGAGCGAAATCTTGCCTCGCTAAAGGTCGACATGACCAAAGTCGAGCGCATCGTTCTCTCACATTGGCATCGAGATCACTCGGGCGGAATTATCGCCGCTTTGAAGCATGCTACGAAGCAAGGAAAGAAAGCCCCGATCGTCGTCGACCTGCATCCCGACCGTCCCTTTGCACGTGGGATCGCTCCCAACGGCCAGCTCATAGGCCGTCTTCCGGAAGACCCGACGTTCGAGGAGATTGAGTTTGTCGGAGGTAAAGTGGAGACGCACGCGGAATCGCATACGGTTGCGGGCAAGACTGTCTGGATTAGTGGGGAGATCCCGAGAGTGACCAGCTATGAGGAGGGCTTGCTGGGTGCAGTGACCTGGTATGAGGAGCGGAATGGCGACGGGGATTGGCAGCCGGATGAGGTATGGATACATGTTCCGACTTTGGTTTGATCTTGAAGCTGAATCTGAGCAGCTCATCCTGGACGAGCGCTATTCGGCGATCAACGTCAAGGGCAAGGGGTTGATTATCATTAGTTCATGCTCGCATGCCGGAATCGTCAATGTTTTGAAAGACGCCGTTCAACGGTTCAAGCGACCGATTTACATGGTGAGCAAATGCAACGTATTCGTCGTTGTCTTTTCTGACAAGTACTCTAGATCGTCGGGGGACTTCACCTGGCTGGGCCAGAGTTGCAACATCGTATTCGCCCGACCGTTGAGTTCATCGCCAAGGGGCTCCATCCGACACCTACATACGTCCTACCCCTCCACTGTACAGGATTCAACGCCAAAGTTGCACTGCGGGAAGCGATGGGTGACATTGTGGTCCCGGCAGCTACTGGTGTCAAAATCGACGTTGGTGGTGATGACGCCGCCGAAGAGACGTTGGGGGAGTCCTCCTGCCCTTCCGATACGGAGTAAACAGACCGGTTCATCATTGTTTACAACCTGTAATTAAATACATCAATCTGTATTCAAGCATGTCGTGTTCACCGAACTCCTCCCTTTCTAAGTATTGCTGACTAAGACGAGGATCGGGGATTGGTGGTAACCGGTCATTGTAGCCGGTCAAGTGAACCGTCCCTGATGAACCGTGAAACGAATCTAGAGATGGTCGGATACTCTTCACTTAGCTGCTGTTAATGGTGCGCTGTCGCTGAACTTTTCTTGCCTTTCCTCCTTCACTCTCGTCGCCTCAATCTGTAATACTGAATCTCGATATGCGGGCCATCGTCATAAACTCGTATATGCACCCATCCGATCGCACTGTGTGAGCGAGCTCCACTACGCATTTCCTACGGATCGGTCCTTACATATGCCAGGTCTAACGATGCACCAGAGCCAACTTTGGGAAAGAATAATGTCCTGGTGGAAGTCGAGTCTGCGTGAGTTCAGCTCCAGGGAAGGCGGGTTGAATTCTAGATCTGACATGGACCAAGGGCATTGAACTTCTTTGATATCCTGCAGTCGCAAGGGAAATACCAAAGTATACCCTGATTTAACAGATTATTGCTTTCAAGTGAACTTCCAACGCAGATCAGCCGCCCTTACCTTACGTGTTAGGCGCAGAAGTGAGTTCGCCTTTTGATAACTCTGTGTGTATCTGAACACCTTACCAGCTCGCCGGGACTATCTCACCGCACTCCCCTATACCCAAAGGCTGCAAGCTCAAACCTGGAGACAGAGTTTTTGGTTATGCGCAGGGTGCATTTGCTGAGCGAGCAGCGTGCGACTACCGCACCCTCTTCCCCATACCGAAGGGGATGACGTTTGATCAAGCGGCCGGATTGTACGTCACCTATCCGACATCATACGAAGGGATCGTCAATCGAGGAGAGACGAAACCTGGGGAGTGGGTGCTTGTACATGCTGGTGCAGGAGGTGTTGGCTTGGTAGCAGTGCAGATTGCCAAAGGTATGTACCCCCCTGTCTTCCTACTTCGGACGCTTGATTTTCTGTGGATTAATAGCCTTGGGTGCCAAGGTAATTGCCACCGCCGGCTCGCCCCCCAAGCTCGAGATTTGCAAGTCCATCGGAGGAGCAGATGAGGTGCTGGACTACACCAAGTCAAGTTGGCAGAAGGAGGTATTGCGGATCACCGGAGGGAAAGGAGTCGGTCCGTCAATACGAATGCTCTCTGTTGTTTGACTGAAGGGGCAGGTAGACGTCGTTTATGACCCGGTTGGTCTGATCAAAGACTCATTGAAATGCATTGCATGGAAGGGCCGAGCAGTGGTCGTGGGGTAAGAAAGTGCTGCGGGATGTGGTGATGTTTTCTGACAGGCGAAACTAGATTCGCAGCGGGCAAGATTGAGCAAGTGCCGACAAATCTCATCCTCCTGAAGAATGTTTCTCTCGTCGGGATACATTGGGGTGCTTACTTAAGTATGTGCTGCGAGTTATCCTCACGGACAGTTATTTACACCCAAATAGAAAACGAACCTGGGCACGTACCAGATGTATGGAAGGGCATCTTCAAGTATACCTTTTCATCATCACAGCCTGACTCGGTCACCCTGACCCAATATACAGGCTTTTCGAGAGCGGAAAGCTTATACCAGCCGTGTACGATCCGCCTTACATGTAAGCGTCGTTCTCCTCACCTGGGCCATCGCTGACAATTCTTAGGGGGCTGGATTCTGTACCCAGAGCTTTAGTAGACCTTGAAAACAGGAAGACCTGGGGGAAAGCGGTCGTGCGAGTGCGGGAAATGCCAGAGCGAGCCAAGCTGTAGGTCTCAGACCGAGTATCTGGATAACGATGGTATTACAGCGTGGTGCATACGGTGTAACATAGCGAACGGTGAACCAGGATAAGGTTATCATAAGCTTGCGAGCGCCTCGTCAATTTTTGGAAGACATTGCTTCAGAGCTTCCCACTGCATTTTAGTGAGAACACGTTTGACAGGAAGATACAAGTCACGGACCTGCTCAGGTGAAAGGGAGATGCCCTTCTTCCCAGGTTTCTGCTTCTCCTCCTTGTCAACATAGTACTATCATAGTCAAAAGGTCAGCACAAAACACACCATTTCCGGGGATTCTTACTTCTCGGATATCAATGAGCGGTTTGCCATTGAATTTCCGAATAGTGACGCGTCTGTTCTTGCCCAGAGCAACATATTTTTCACCATCTTTCGAAGGATGATGAGCATCCGCGAGAGGATAGCATCGGGTAGACAATTCACCTTGATTTACTTGAATCTCACCGCTTGCCTCAGCGGCTTCAGCAGGTTTTGATTTTGGCTCTTTCTTGGCTTTCTGACCGTTCTAGTTGAAAGTGGATGCGCACACAGAAACACGAACGGGTCTCTACCTTTTTGATGGGCGCGTCTTCGGCGTCCTCTTCATCCTGGAAAGACGGATCTTCATCACCCTCTTCGACAATGGCCTTTGATTTTCTCTTCGAGTGCATATTTGGAAATATGACGGGAATGAACGTGTCTAACACGTCGATACGCTGGTGACTGTTCTCCCCACAGTGATGGTGAACATCATTCTTTTCAGGGACTTGCCGCGCCACGTTCTCTGCCGCGTTCCAGTTGATGCGGTCGTGCGACACCCTTTTACTTTGTCAAACGAACATCCGAAGGAAATCTCTGCTTGTCTCCCTCCTCATTAACCTCACTGTCGAAGTCATTACAACCATATCAAAGCACATATCAATTTATTGACCACCCATCAAAATGTCTATGTCTGCAGTGAGTACTCTTACCCAACCACACCAGCATGGGCTAACAGGAAAAAAACGCAGATTGTCAAATGTTAGTGCGGACCATTGATGTAGGGGTCGACCCTGACAATCAATTTGTTATAGCTGTCGCCTCTGGTGATACCCTTGTACTTCGTGGACCACCTGGACCCAATGGACAACCTCCCAAAGAACGGTACGTCTAAAACGTTTCTGAAGGGGCGTTGTTAACGTGGCACGTAGCATTCTTCATCTCGCAGACATCACCGCACCTCGCATAGGTAGCGCTACCAGGGAAGATGAAGTGGGTGCCGTTCCTTTCTTACTTCAACTTTCCTAACGTTTTCTTCAGCCCTGGGCCTACGAATCCCGCGAATTCCTACGCGCCCTTGCCGTCGGCAAACAAATCCATTTCCATGTCACCCATGCCCTCGGTCCTTCAAATGATGGCGGTCAGCGCGACATCGGCACTGGTATTGTCGGGGGAGCAGATGTCGCTTCAGAAATTCTAAAGAACGGCTGGGGGAAGGTAAAGGAGGGAAAGAGGGACGAAACTGAGGAGGACACTAAGCGCAAGGCGCTGGAGGCGACTGCGAAGGAGGAAGGGAAGGGACTGTGGAACCCAGAGGGGCCGAAGGTGCGTCATTCAATTCAATTAGTATTGCGCCTTCTAATACACTGCCCAGGAACGCATTGTCAACTATGCCATGCCCATCGATCCATACGCATTCCTGACGGAGTGGAAGGGCAAGCCAATTGATTGTGCGTGTTCCAGGCAAACAACTTTTCTGACCCTTGCTGAATGCTGTTCCAGCTCTTGTCGAACAGGTCCGCGATGGCGACCATCTCCGCATACGCTTGCTTCTCGCGGATGACCAGCATCAGTTCATCAATATTTCTATCGCCGGTATACGCTGCCCACGCTCCACTCCTAAAGAAGGCGAATCCGGTGAGGAGTACGGGAACGAGGCTCGCTTCTTCAGCGAGTCTCGCCTGCTACAGAGGCATGTTAAGACAACTTTGCTCTCCCTCCCTGCACCTGCTGCAACACCGTTAAATGCAACTGCGGCACCGGCACCGCCGTCTTACTTCATTGGTGTTGTAGTACACCCTGTTGGTAATATTGCAGAGTTCCTTGTTCAGGCAGGACTTGCGCATGTTGTGGGCTGGCATGCTGGGATGTTGTCTTCTCTGGGCATTATGGAACGTCTTCGTGCCGCCGAGGCGTGAGTCTCGTCCTTCCTGTTCAGTCTTGGTCATTAACATATCACGCAGAACCGCGAAACAGCAACGTATCGGCGTTTATAAGAGTGCTGCCCCCATCGCCTCCTCAACCGCAACTGGTCAATCAGCACGTTCCGATGCCCGCATATTTGAAGGCCAAGTAATCCGCATATGGACGGGTGACCAGATCTCCGTAGTCGAAAAAGCAACCAACAAGGAGCGCAGGATACAGCTAAGCTCAGTCAGGGCCGCGAGAGCGAACGATCCGAAGCAAGCGCATTGGGCGAATGAGGCACGTGAGGTGAGTGACAGTGAAACGTTTTTTCGATATTCGACTGAGATCATCTCGTGCAGTTCCTCCGAAAGAAACTCATCGGCAAGCAAGTGCGTGTCCATGTTGACTACATCCGACCGCCAGAGGGTGAATATGAGGAGCGTGAATGCGCAACTCTCCGGGTTGGCGGTGGTAACGCGTACGCTACAACCTCATGGACCTGGTCGTACTTTGTTAAGGGGTCTCTGCAGGAATGTCGCCGAGCAATTGATCGAGAAAGGCTTAGCGACCGCAATGCGGCATCGACGTGACGACGAGAACCGCTCTCCCGACTATGACAAGTTCATGGCGGCGGAGCAAGCGTAAGTTATTCAGCCGCATATGCAAGTCGCACATTCTCACGGACCGACAGTGCGGTTGCTGCTGCTCGCGGTCTGCATTCAGCAAAGGAGGTTCCTCCTACTCGTATTGGCAATGCATCGGAAGTGGGTTCATTTCATGTGGGATTCGAGCCAGTTTCTAACTATTCACACGTTCAGACGCATGCAAAAGCCGTCCAGTTCCTTTCTTCTTTCAAACGTTCCGGACGCATCCCCGCGGTAGTGGAGTATGTTGCAGCTGGCTCTCGATTCAAGTACCACTATCTCTCAGTTGTTGCATGTGTGCAGAGCTGACTGAGGTCCAATTAGACTTGTCCTTCCCAAAGAGAACCAGACTCTCACGCTGGTGCTCGGTGGGATCCGCGCTCCTCGGACCGCTCGGAACCCTTCCGAGGCAAGTGAGCCCAGTGGACCGGAGGCTCTCGACTTCGCCAACCGTCGCTTCATGCAACGCGATGTTGAGGTGGAGTTTGACAATGTGGACAAGTCTGGTGGATTTATCGGTACCATGTGGGTCAACAAGACGGAGAATGCGGGCTTATCTCTCGTCCGCGAAGGATTGGCATCCGTGCATGCGTATTCTGCTGAGGGGCTATCGTATGCTCAGCAGCTGATTGATGCAGAGGTAAAAAAAATCTTGCTGACTGGTTATCAACAAAGGAATGACCTTTTTACCACAGGCTGAGGCTAAGAAGGAAAAGAAACATGTGCGTTTTATTGCATATTCATCCATGATTACCGCTAATCTCCTCAGTAGCTGTGGTCCAACCATGTGGATGAAGCGCCTGTACAACCTGAAGTAAATGGTGATTCAAATGGAGATGCCACGCCCCACACACCAGAGTATCTTGACGTGATGGTATCCGACATCCGGAGCAGCCCGACGGGTGCTGCCTTCTCCATTCAGATACTCAAGGATGGAGGTAAGCATTATTTTATCTTTCCGTTTACGGACACCGCTTCACACCCGCCCTAGGCATTGCCGCGTTAGAGAAGTTGATGAGTGAGTTCGCGATCCATAATCGGACGGCAAGCTCCGCGCCCGGCTTTGCCCCAAAGAAAGGGGATCTTGTTTCAGCCAAGTTCAGTGCTGATGGACAATGGTATGCAGACCGCTGAAAGAGGCATCCAATATCATTTATCTTTTGCTGTAGGTACCGGGCAAAGGTTGCACGCTCTTCTCCGGTGAAGAAGGAGGCAGAAATTACATTCATGTCAGTGGGTCAGCAGTGCCTTATTCTCAGGAGCTTAACATAATCCGCAGTGATTATGGCAACCAAGAGACCGTAGCCTTCTCCCAGATGCGCCCGTTGGACGGGAAATTCAAAACGCTGCCCGCTCAGGCAACTGATGCGCGTTTGAGGTGCGGTGAAATCGGTCATACTACCAAGTACAATGGATTGATTGTTGAGATAGCTTCGTGAAACTAGTTGGATCAGAGAGTGAGTATGGAGAAGAAGCCCTCCAGCGGTTCCATAGCCTATGCGAGGTGCGTGATGCCAGTCTTCCGTTGTGATATGATGCGAGCAGGTTTACTAACTCTTTCGCCTTAGGGACGTAAGCTCATTGCTATTACCGACTATCGAGAAGGCCCCCTATTACATCTTCGTCTGATTGATCCCACCTCGGCATCACTTACCGATCCCTCCGCGTGCATCAACGTGGACCTGGTTCGAGAAGGCCTAGCACAGGCCGACAAAAGTTGCAGATATCTGTCCTCGAACCCTACGATTGGTAAGGCAATCGCCGCTGCTGCGGACGAAGCAAGGCGAGAGCGGCTCGGCATCTACGAGTACGGTGACGTTTCCGAGGACTGATTTGTTGTGTTCCATACTTGAGACGGGCGGCGGAGGGCGGAGAGACGCACCAATGGTAAGATCTATCACGAATTCGATCCATCAAAAGAAGGCCAAACTAATTTGTCTAATATAGCTTACGTAATGCTGAATGCATGACCATGCCAATCTGGAGTATTGCGCCCAATGCCCTGTAGTCATCGTTATCCATCTGTGTTGCCTTCCTGGTAGCCGGACCATCAAAATGCAAATGACATGTCACATGTTTGAAACATTATTGGGGTTTGACAATATGGAACACGGCCTGACACATCAGCTGACAAAAGATGTCATGGAGAGGGTTGTAGGGGCTCGCGGAGAGGGATACCGCCGGCGGATCTTCCGAAATAGTCGAAAGAGGCGAGGGACAAGAAGGCGAAATGTCTCGGGATGTCCCAAGTGTGTTAACCGGCAATCCAAGGCCGCGTTACGAGAATCCGATGTGCTGCGAGAAGCAGGAGAAGCAGGTGTCGTGTGGCCGTTATGCCAAAGTCAGCCGGGCTCGGTGGGATCCGCGGGATGGAGTTAAGCATCGGGTTATCGGGTGATTTGAGCTTTATCTAGATTTGGGCATATCGGGCGACCCTTCACACCGTGTCTTCCAAACGTTCCAGGTCGTCCGCTGATAACTTGTCAACAATTCTTCGACGCACCGGACGAGGGACTCAGGGTGAGAAGGCGGAGGGCAACAACGACGACGACCACAAGGGCAAACAATTGGACCCTGTGATCGAAGGACGATCTGCGCTATCGGCATGTGCCAGCAAATCTCCCTGGGATATTCAGTCACAGTCTTTAACCGTTTAACCGCAGAATGGTACGTTGCGAGAAGACCGGAGAAAACGCCGAGAGGGCCGACCCAGGAGAAGCGGAACAAGGGGCGATCGGGCGCAAGTAGACCAGGCTTCTTACCCGCAGTCAATGGGCAACCTGTCCCTGGCCAGCGAGGTGCCACGAACAGCACGGACGGGGCGAGGGGCCCACGGTGCATCCCCCCTTCGTATCTTCCTGCCTTCCTGGCAAGCGGCCTCCATCGTGGGAATTCGCGAGTGCACCGCGGGGGTATGGGTCCCTGCCAAAAATTGGAAGAGCCCATGATTCGCTTCGGCAAAGAGAGGGGGACGTGTCCCAGCGATTGGGAGCAGTGACGACCACCTAAGCATAGACGTACGGTTCTCCCGCCCCTATTCATTGCTGGCCCTATCAAGCCAAACTTCGTCTCTTAAGCGGTCCCCGTGCGCATGAAGCAATTTCAACCCCCGCTGCGCTGTCACGATGATCCGTTTCCCCAGAGGCAGCAACGCTGGACTCAGGCGAGAGAAGGTACGAGGACCGTGATACCATTGAGGGGAGTTGAAGGGGTCGGAACATATGGAGATAGGCTCGGGCCTCGACTTCGCGTAGCGTGTTCAAGTACCGGAATCGCAGCTTGTGTTGTTGAGCGTGAGTCTCGCACAAATCTGGTTCTCTGAGCACAGAGAAAGGAGGTGGCCAAACACATGTCCAGCGGAGACCTGACGACTGCCAAACCAGCTTCTTTCTCGAGCTCACACCCACGCGCACATACTCCAAATGCAAGGTTCATGAGCAGCGAAACTCGCTCGCTCCAAGTATTGCCATCCTGGCAGGAAAAACACACCAATCCCAAGTCCACCTTTCCAAGCATGCGTAATTGGACAGCACGCTAAAATCCGTCGTTCTCATTTCTCCGTCTCGAATTCGTTCCGGATGTCCGGATTTTCCGAGACAGTGCCAGTTGCTCACTCGCACCGCGCGGGGTGGGCGATGGGCAACTCCCCGCGACCCCCAAGTAGGAGTTGCTCGTTGGGGCAAAGGAGCAGCTCGCACCGGTGTTCCCCCGTGATGCGAGGAGAGGCGCTTCCCCTTTCCCCCGGAAAGGATGGTTTCCAGCTTCGCAGAGGTGGTGCGATCATTTCCGCCCTTAGCCTGTCAGCCTGAAGGCTTTTCCCGCTTTGTGACTGCTGTTCTGCTCGGGGCGCACACACCTGTGCACGAGACGCCGAAACTCAACTAAGGTGCATCTGCATAGGCGTAAGAGTTTGCCGTTCTTGACGGGCCCGCGCCCGCAGGTCCATTCATGGCCCATCTCCCATTGCCACGTTACATTTTTTTCAATCAGGGAAGGCGATGCGTGTGCGATGGGACGATGGCGCGAAGACAGAAGGCGTGATTGATTGCGACTTGACAGGGAGTGATCGACGATGCGAGAAGGGGACGAAATTTGCCATATCTGGCCAGGCGGTGATTGGATTGTGCATAGGACTAACCTAACACCATACTCGATCACCATTTTCCATCATCAACATCATGTGTGCAAGATGCGCGCTGCTCTCTCTTCCCCACTAAGTAACTCTGTCGTGTCTGTTTTGCTGACTAGAACACAAGTGGGAAGGATCTTCGGGTAATACACGGGGGGAGACAGATTGGACAAGGCAAAAGACTCTCGAACACGTAGAACAGGAAAAGGAAAACAAGCCGAGGCAAGACCGCACAGCGTCGCAGGGATTTTGTGTACACGGCAGACTGAAGTCTGCGCCCAGCGAATCGAATGTGAATGTAGAATGTAGAAACAGCAGATCGCAAAGAGAAAAATGTTAAATCGCTACACCTTTGGAGACGCCAAAGAGGGAGAAAGAAGGATGCGGTTGTCGATTCCGTACACGTACACTTCTAAGACTGATTTGAAACCATGCCGTTGATAGGATTCGACAATGGCGGGGCGGACATATTTGTTGGTGTAGGCGGCATATTCGAGGCACGACCACGTCCACGACCCTTCTGCTCCGGGAGGGGAAGTCCCTCACCCTCTTTCTTCCCCGGCTGCCCGTTCTGTCCCGTCGCGCCTGCAGCAGCAGCAGCCTTCTTGGATCTGCGTGCACTGCGGGGCTTCAGGTTCTTGAGCAGATCGCGACGCCCGCGCCGGAAATAGGGGTGAGTGAAGCCAGACGCCTGGACAGCATCTGTGCCTTGCGTAGGGTCGCCCGAGTTGATGTCGGCAAACTCAAGGATACAGATGGTGGAGACGCGTTGGAAACCATAAAGATTGATTTGACGGACAAAGGACGACACATTGCTGACATAGAGCGCTTTTGTCAACGGAGGCAGTGGACCCTCGCGCGTGAAGCTTACCTATGGCGGAAGAAACGAGGGAGCACGAATTGCGCGAACTCGGCCGAGTTCATAAGGATGAACGCATCTCCAGCCTCATTCCAGCGCAGGAAGCGACCATACTCTGGCCGAGACAGGAGACTGTCAACTATTGTTAGTACATATGACCTGAAAGGGCTCTATTCCGTAGACGCACTGATATAGCTTGCTGATGAAGGCGGTACAATCACCTGCCTGCTCCTCCTGCACATTGATAACGGGCTTTTGCTCTACCGGCTCGCCAAACCGGGGAGATGCGCTGAAGTCAGTGGATGCAGGGCTTGTGTTCGCGCCGTTGTGATCTTCGCTCGGCAGTGTCGCGATGGGAGGAATACCGATGTGCGTCGAAGGGGTGAGGGGATATCGTGACTGGTTCTCGCTGCGCCTAAGGCCATCATCGGGTCCCATGCTTGAGGTATTGGGAGGTCGACCGTATCCGCCAGGAAGAGACTTGTAGTTGTTGTAACCCCCTGCGCTAGATGGCGGGGTGTGCATCGAGGAAGAGTACCCTCCATGGCCGTTCATGGAGACGCCCATCGACCCCTGTTGGTAGCCGAAGGGGGACATGGAGGGCGTGGGTGGGAACGATCCATTCGAAGAGGCGGAGTGAGGTGCAGCAGACATCGGCGACCCAACCGTTGACGGGTTGGAGTAGTCGAGGCTCGACGCGTTGGACGACGCTGTGGTGCCGCGACCATAGGACTGCGCGCTCGTCTGGAGGGCGGGGATGTGATGTGTGTGGGCGTAGTCTTGCTGCATAGCGTGGGTGAGTGAGTGGAATGGAGCGGTGAGTACGGGCGAGTGGCCAACCTGCATAGAGTAGGGGAGGAAGGACTGATTGAGCCGGTAGGGATGGGCTAGGGTTACAGTAGAGCCTACCTGGTCCATGTGAGATGGTGTCGGAGGGGAATCTGTTGTGTTGGAGTGAGGTGGGGATGGAGGATGGAGGATATATGCGCCCTGTTCTGTATGCGGGGGAGTGTGTGTTGGAGGATGGAGGAAGGGGATGGGAGCGGGGGGAAACAAAGGCAATTATAAGCAGAGTGAGGAGAGCGGGAGGAGAGAGTTGGTCTGTACCGTGACGGGTGAGTGTGGGATTGAGGGGGATGAGACGGGAGGAGGGGAGATGGACATGACGAGAGGGAGGGGGAGGGAGGGATATTTATGAGAATTGGGCAGAACAGTGGGTGTGAGAGAGAGGCCCTCCCCACGTGATTGTCTCGTTCAGTAGTACTGGGCCAGAAACGGAGAGAAGACCAAGATGGTAAGAGCGAGTCGCAAATTGGGAGTGGGTCGACAAGAGGGGGGAGATGGGGATGAGTTGAGAGAGAACGGAAGGACGCCTCTCTGATGGGCGGGTGGGGGGCACGCGTTCTTGTCCTGTGATACTCATCCATTCCAATCACAAACCACAATAAACGCGTCCATCGGGGTCCTCGCCCTTTTTCGCCCCCTTCTTCTTCCTTCTCTGCGCCGTGGAGCTAGGGCAGTGTCTGTTGTCATCCGGCTTATTCCTAGACCCCCTTGACCCAGGTCCCCGTGTTCCCCCTGTGCTTCCCTCTCCCTCGCTCCCTCCCTGTAATAGACGGCTCCTCCCTTTTGCTTTTTTCAACCCCCGACTCTCTACAGACGATCTCTCTTCTCGCGCTGTTCATGAGAACGCTTTCTCAAAACTTGCCTTTTCTCACCACCCCCGAGATTCCCAGATACCGGAGCACCATCCCCTTCTCCGCCGTACCTCTTCCCGCCCTTTGTCACGCCGGTTTTTTTTCATCCAAGCAGACCCCAAGTCCGCGTCTTCCCGCCTTACACGGTCCCGCTTTACGTATAGATGCCCCCTGAGCTCGCAACGCGTGGCCAATACCCTTAGCCATTGTTGTTGTCCCTGGCTCTTCAGTAACTACGTACCAACGCTGCTTCTAGCCTTTCTCGCTCTCCTAGCGCTGCTATCCCCCGCTCCCAATCCTCAAGGGACAGCGCATCCACCGCGCGCACATGCACAGCCCGCACGACAACTCTCCCCTCTACTACGCCCGCCTCCCGCGCAGCAGCTCTTCCCAATTCTGGCATCGCGACTGCCTGTGTCACCTAGCACAATCAGCACGCAAAGAACAGAGGTCAGTTATGTGGCCATGCCAACCAACAAAGGAAAGCCACAGAAATCTCGCCACAAAACCAATCCCCACATCATCATGCCGTCTTTACCCAGCACAGCACCCCCGGCCACCGATCGGTCGTGCGCACAACAAAAACCGCGTAAACAATAAGAGGCCACAACCATATCAGGTTGCTTGCCGCTCGACATCGCACCTTGCTGGCGACCATCCAACCCCGAGGACACATGGAACACAAACCCCAGAAAAAAATGAAACAATAAACAGCGCAGCAAGGGAGAAATATCGCTGGAGAACGCTTCCAACAGGTGACTGACAGGATTGATCCCGCGCCATCAATCGAGTTCGCAACAACAAAGGGCAAGTCACCGCAGGCTTACCTCTAGCACATCCACCACGCCCAGGATCATCACTTTCCTCTTTCGCTCGCTCAGGAACGCGAGTTCGGGCGCGACGCCGACAGGGCCGTTTGCACCTCCGCGCTCGCCCGCGGGCGGAGCGAGGAGGCACGCCGAGATATCGACAAGCACGCCATGTCCGGCGTGGGCAACAACGATCGTACCCAAATCACACGCGCTACCGAGGTACCTTCCCCAAACATGAGTGGCTTCGCCCTATCGTGATGTTCCAGAAGACCGGACTGACCATCCTGCGATGCGAACTTTGCGTCCATGCAACGTGTTCGCGTCTGTCGTGAGCCGTGAGAGCAGCACCGGGATTGCACTCTCCGTCTCTTGCGGCATTGTCACCCGCGTTGGGGATATACAAGTTATGTTCCGGTATCTAATGACATCGTATCAGCATAAGCGGTGTGATGGTCAGATGTTTACATACCTGATTATAGACGATGTGTTGCTAATCTGGGAATGGCTGCGTGATGCGTCACGGGGAGCCTAGCCGGAATGTCATCGGATAACTGTTCGGATTGACGTACGGGGATGCTCGGTCGGCCGAGGCAGACCCAAGGACACGGCTGCGGAAAGTTGATAGTTTGTATAATGCGTCTATGTCAAAGAGAGCACTCAAGGATTGACCAAGGGAAGCTCAAGGGAAACTCAAGGGGCCGGTCAAGGGAAAGGGGCAGCGTGGTTCCAATATACCCGCCGAAGCCGGCATCAGAGTAAGTTTCATTCAATCGCACGCGCCGTGGCGGAGATAGGACTTTATACACCGCGTCCCCCGATAGAAGGCTGTGCTGTCCGCAACCAAACCCAGATCGCGGGATCAAGCGACAAGTCATTTTGCCTCCGCCCGACTTGTTTACCGAACTCAGTTGCCGCCGGCTTGCGGTCCGCACCCTGATCCACCAGGATCACTTCGCACAAGGCGAACTTGTTCTTCGCTCCTGCTCTTCTTCTCATGACTTGCTGTGGGGCAGAGTGCATATTCCGCAGCTCCATTAGGTCGCCTGTAGCATCTGCTTCTACACCAGTCGCGCCTATCACAACGCCGAGTTGATGCACGCCCTCAATTAACATATGGTACTATCCAGGGGTCTGACCCAGACTGCGATACGCTACAATCGCTCACTTTCTCGCACATCGCCACGTCTTCCCCTTCCACCGGTCGGCGGGTACCTTCTCCCTTGCCGGTGGGACATACCTCGCATCTTCCTCTTGGTCATATACGGACGATGCCTGCCCGCAAGCCTTTTCCGTGATGTATTTCTCGAGTAGATCTTCGCACCGCGGAGTGGCCAAAATCACGCCAACGTGTAGCAGACGCATCGTCCTATTGAGGGTTCAATTTCTGTACCGACGGCAGCCGAGGTGCTCACCCTGAAAGGGGCGATGAAGCATGTTGAGAAACTCGTTCAAGGCAAGAGTTCTAAGGGTGCACAGTGCCTATCGTCGAACGATATCTGGCCAAGCCCAATTGGTAACCAGCCCGATAGTAGAACACTCATTCTAAGGTATAACGTCATGGGTGCGGTGCTCCGGAGATGAAATGATGAATGAAGAAGGCTTGATATGACTACCACCAAGCTCTGACCGGGACCATGGACGAGGAATGCCGGCACAGAAAACAGGGCAGCTCGGTCAACCGAGCATTTTTCACATTGTCGTATGATTCACCTTGACCCTAAGCAAGTGTCCGGCCACTGCGAAGCCTAGATCGACATCTTCAAGAGAGGATTCACGAGGTCAGGCCGTGATCGCGTCAGCGTGTTGCGAATCAGCCCTTGCCTGAAGCGGGAGGGTACGTAAAATAGGCAAAGAGAGTATCCGTCAAGAGGCGGAGATCCGGGGTCACAGATAGTGCAGCTGAATGTTTGGATGGGGGTAGAGTTGAGTTGTCATGTTCATCCCCCTGGCCGTCATACCAGGCAGCCAATCCGCGAGAAGAAATGACGTTGATGTCGGATTAGAAGCTGGTTAATCAGGGACTTCACAAGCCATTGTCGACCCACAGTGAGATTGCAAAAGGGTCTGGAGGCGCTCGAGGGTTTGGCTGACTTGATGATAATGGGCGGCAATTACCCTTTTTGTGGTTCATGACCGAGGTTGCCATGTGGAATCCCCGCTAGTACCGAAAAAGATGACGGTCCCAGTCGATACGCCAAGGGTCTTAGACTCCTGCTGGGCTAATCAGGATGCGAAGAATAAGGCGGATTCGTCTGCGGTTCTTGCGTTATCGCGGAAGAACCACGCTTGAACAACATTTGAAAGTCTACTTCAACGCTTTGCCGGTCAACACAGCACGTACGGTTCGCTTGCAAGGTACAGCGGCGTTGTATAGTATCAGACGACCCAGTCAGCGGATTCTCCGTTCAAGCCAATCCCCGCGTTGTTCTGAGTAGAAGAGGGGGAGGAAAAACAAGAAGCGCAAGGAAAACTCCGGAAGGATGAGAGAGGCCGAGATTCGTAGCGAGGATGGCGCGGAATTATTCCGTAAATCCATTAGCTGCGGTTCGCCCGATGGATGGCAATGCAGTGAGATCGCGTCCCCGTCCCTCCCCATGACTCATCACCGGAGAATCCGGGGTGACTTAATTTATTGACGGATGGTGAACCTATCAGGAACAGAGAGTTGTCGAAAGTCAAACAGAGTCCCCGCGGGATGCGAAGCAGGGATCACTTCCAGAAGCCGTGCACAGCATGAAATCCGCCAGCGACTCAGACGCTGGGAAATGATGTCGACCATAACAGCACAAACCACCGTGGAACTTTGGAAGGCGCATTTCCAAATTGAAATCCAGATACCCCATGTGAAGCAGAGCAGCTCCAAGAGACGTTGCCACGTAAAGACTTCGCGTTTTCAACCATTCAGTTGCAGTTGCGTGACAAAACGTTCCGATATAACCAGTCGGTCCGCATGGAACAGAGCGATTGCAAACAATCAAGCACTTCGATCTATAATCACCTAAGTCGGCATCCACTGCCATACCTTCACACCACCACGTCGGCGGGGATCCTCTTCCCAGCCGTTTGTCGTTACCCACGCCTCTCGATATCCTTTTTCCGCCAATGTATTTCGCACATTGGGGTCTTCAATCAGGGCACCAAATGCTACCAAATGAGATGGCCACGTGTGGGTCCAGTTCTGAATCCATGGCATACCAGGCGGTGACGTGGGCATTGGTGATGGTGGAAATGTTGGATCTACCATCATAGGGAATCGCTCAGAAAGGTATACCACTGGTGCATCGTAAAAGACATCCGCTTGGTCTTGATAGGAGGCGAGTTCGCCTGGTGATAATCTGTATCGGGAAAGACGTCAGCATGATTGAGCTAATGTTGACGAAATATTCGGATCCGATCCAGCTGGCATCGGACGACGTGCCAAGACACCTGCATCACATATTCTCGGGCGGGATTGTTAAAGCGGACACCGAGTGATAAATGTAGCCAATAGTGACCCAAGAAAGCAGGTTGACCGTACAACGGCTCTCACGGATGCGAGTGCGCAGCTCATACAAACCCTGAATGACGTCTCATACGCCCATGCAAGATTGTCTGAAGTTGGGTGCAAAGAGGCACAATGCCGAAACAGTGGGAAGAACAAAGAGGCTTACCCGATTGGAGGTTCGCACCCTAGTGCCCACATGTTTCCCTCAAGTTGTTCCCGATGCAGATATGACTGCCAAGGGGTCGAATGGCAGGGCATCAGGAAGCCAACACTGCGGAGGTTGGCCAGATCGAGAGACCGAAGGTAGAACATGACGCTAATCTGCGCGCGTCCATGCCAACGGAGTAAGTACACCCCCAGAGGAAGAGTTAACAGAAGGAAAGTAATATGTCGTGTTGAGATGTGCAGTGTATTCTTCGGTATTTCCGGCGTCCCATGGCCGACTTTCTTCTGCACCATTCTGGTGTTCAGATCGACCACGGATTTCGAAACCAGAAGTAGTAATTCTGGCAGCAATGGGTGCAGGAATCTCCATTCCTTGTGTCCGGCCAAGCTGTACATAAACATCGTCCAGCCGACAAGACCGCAAAGTCTTCGGGATGCGCTGTCGCCGTTGCGAAAGAGAATGATCCATGTGGTGTGAATGGCGAACGGTGTGGCAGTGTTCAGCAGAAGGGGAAGTGCTTGGGTGACATAAAAGTGCCAAGTGTTCTGACCGTAGAAGAGGGATATCGGATTAGCAGAGAAGAAGTTATGCACCAGGAAAGTTACGGGTGTAAAAGTTAGTTGGCGATAGTAGGCTGAGTCAATGCCGACCAGCAGAAGCAAGGTTATAGAACCAATTACGACGGTGTCCGTCAAGAGGGGAAATATGGGCCGTCTGATACGTATAGTGTCGTAACAGATAAGTGAGAACATCCACAACCACATGATGCTTGAAGTGGGCCGTATCGCGACGGAGAGTCCGGCCAGGCAAAGAGCGATACGGAACCGGGCCCTGACGAGGTCGATGAGCTACTTTCAAGACAGGCAAAACATCCCCCATACCTGACGTCATGATGTAGGCAATCTTCCGCGGCCAGTGCCGGCCAGTAAAAGAGACCGGCGGCAGCTAGACTCGTTTCGGTCGAATTGGACAATGTTCGAGTCAGAGAGAGCAGGTTAAACACTGAAGTGAGGGAAAGAAACAGCTGTTCCAATCAATTGCAAGCCTCATGTCTGTGTCTATTTGGAAAACCTACCGCTGCATTCCCATACTGGGGCCCATAGAGTCGGACCGCAAGTTTGTAAGTATAGTAATCCGCAAATGCGGCAATACAGCCTTGAACCAGCTTAGGTAGAACGATCTAAACAAGTGCGAGCGCGTCAAAGCAAGTCATTTCCCGCTGAAACCTCCGGCTCACGAGAAGGAAAGTGTTATCAAGACTTGTTATCCTTAGGAGCCAGTAGACCGGCACAAATAGAGCTGGATAGACGAAACTCCTCAGCGGCGGTCGGATAGTCCACTCCCAAGTCAGAGCGCCAAAGCCGTATACCGCCTGATGTGCGGGCTCCAGTGACTGAAAGTACTCATCCGGTTGGAATAACGTGCACGTCAATAGTGAGAGAGTAGCTCTAATGGCGATACAGAGCAGAAATAGCCATGTTCCCCCAGAAATGACCGGCATTCGCCTTGTGCCGGCGCAGGACAACGAGAGTAGCGCGAAAGAAGAGTTGAAAAGAGCACCGCCACTAACACCGGTACCTAACACATGTCCGATGGCCTAAATGCAGTTCCTCGACTGAGTTGCTATCGATAAATTAAACTCTCCTCCTATGCTCATTGCTGCCTAGACTCCTTTACTCATCTACAACGCCAGGAGGCCTCGACACGTTTGCAAGCCTACGCAAGCTACCAGCATTCCCGTGGAGACGAAATGACGGGTCCTGCGCAGTCAACTGGTGCCCTCGCACCTGATATGCATGGTCAAACGGTAGACCCTATTTATAGACTGTGGTGCGCCCCCATCTATGAGTGCAATTGCCCTACTAGAGTGCTCATTCTATTTAGAAGCGACACAGAGGGATGATATGCAAGATGTTTCTGCCCATGATGGTTGTAGGGGATGTGTAAGACACTGCGGGTCAGTTGCGCCCGCTGCGCAGCGGGTTGGTCGAGGCCGTCAGGACGGGACAAGCCGTTTATTACTTCTACACGCTCCACGCGGCCTCGGAAGGCGCAGTGCCCTGCGCAGGACGCCAATCTCCATTCTCAAAAGCCGTTCCTCTCGCTCTCTCCACCATGATCGTCAACGATCAACACCAACAACCAGACAAGCGTTCTCTCCTCGACGAGAACGACACCGACAGCGTCATGTCTAAACAATCGACCGTTGAGGACGGCCTACCCGTCTATGCGCCTGTTGACCCCAACTCGGAAATGAAGGGGAAGGAAACCCCTGCTCCTCAGTCTAACCGCGGGAGGAAGATCAAACGTGCCATCAAGTTCTGTCTCTGCGCTCTCCTTGCGTACCACCTCTACCACTTCGTTCACCACAGGTTCGACGGTCCGCCCAGGTTCGGCTTCTGGCATGGAAACGACCATGACGAGATGACGGACAGCAAAGATGTGACGGATGAGTGGGTGAACGGGAGGTACAACTTCGCACATGTAAGTTCTCCGCCATACCAATCAGACTCTCGCTCATTGTCGAACAGATGGATTACAATCTTGCCACGGCTGAGGATACGAACGTGGACATCTGGACTATGGACGAGGTGTTCCCTGTGCCTCCCGACCACCCGGACATGCCCCATCCTCCCGAGATGCCTGACAATCCTGACATGCCGCCGATGCCGCCTCACTCGCCCCATATGCCTGACGAGCCAGACCACCCAGCTCCGCCCCGTCACCCTTCTCCTCCCCATCACCCTCCTCCACCGCGTCATCATCCTCCTCCCCACCCTCCCCACCATCATGTCACGGTCGAGTGTCTCTCTACCGAGGGCGAGAGTACTGCATTGACCATGCAGTTGCCCTTTACGCCGAGCGATGACGGCTATCTTCCTGCCGGTGCGGTTGTGGACCTAGGGAATGCAGGCCTGGATTGGACTGAGCCCGTCTCGTTCAACCTGTCCACCTCGCTGCGCCGGCTCGTTGTTGCCTCGCATGGTCCTGTCGCTGGTAGTGTCCACCTCCACACCGATTCCAGTCTGAGCGATACCGTAACCTACAACGTCACTGTGTCCGATCCGTCTGTGGTCAAGATCTGCAAGCTCCTGCACGAGGATGTCTTCTTCGGTGTTGCCGTCGTGGCGCCGCATGAGCGCGTACACCCCGTCCCGCGGGCGAAGATCGATGTCTGGTTCCCGAGCGAGGCGGATATCAACGCTTTCACCAGTCACACTGGTGTATTCCACCACGACGTTGATGATCTGTCCGGCGTACAATTTGGCAAGTTCCAGCTCGGTGCGAGCAACGCTGCCCTCCACGTCGACACGGTCAATGCGAAAGTCGCAGTGCTCAAGACGGTCAACGCCGCGATCGATGTGGGAACCGTGTCCGGCAAGCTCGTTGTACTCACGACGAACAACGGAAGGATTACTGGTGTGGTGCCCAATGCTACAGCTGTCATCGCTGCTACTAAGAACGCGCCTATCACCTTGAACGCGACCGTTTGGAGCACCGCCGATGGCGAGACCTCCGTCCCAGAGTCGTACCATGCTGTGGGCTGCCACCAGCACAAAGAGGAAAAAGCGAACACTTGGGCTAGCTGGTTTACCCGTGAGGCGAGGCGTGAGCGCCGCGCACGTCGCAAGGCTCGTAAGGCCGTGAGGAAGGCGGGCAAGCACTGGCATGGGCACGGGCACGGGCACGCTGCGGTCGCTGAAGACGAGGAGCCGCATGACCCTCATGGACCTCACGGCCCGCACCACAAGGGTGACGGCAAGGGAGTCCTCGTGGCTACCAGCACGAACGGACACATTGACGTCCATGCTTGGCTGAAGAGCAACACCACGGGAGTGTTCAGCGTCGTCGCCAAGAGCTCTAACACCCAAGTTGAAGTGGGCGTACTTGACCAGCCGGTCAACAGTACTCTCTCCCTCACCGCGACGAGCACCAATGGACGGATTGGCGTCGGCCTGCACCCTGCGTTCGAAGGCGAGTTCATCGCTAGGACCACCAATGGGAAGTCAGAGCTGATCGAAACGCCCAACGTCAACGACCCTGCGGGGTTGCACAGGGTCAGGCACATCACCGTCAGCCGCTTCGCGAACATATTGACGGGCTCCGCATTTTGGGGCGAGAAGAAGAAACGTGGTTCTGCGGTGCTGAGCACCACCAATGCCGGTGTTCAGCTTGCCATCTAATGCTTGCTCATACCCAGCATCTGATGTATTTTGTCGATCTTTGACAGTTTGTAACGGGTAAGTATTTCGTTTCGTTAGCTTGTACCAGAATCATTAAATGTATGCGCTTCAAAAATATATGAAATCATAATTTCATATATTGTCCATTGTCAAAGCCACAGCTATGATGCTGGAGACGGATCAGCAGCATCCTTGAGAACACTCAAAGGTATCACTAGGAGGACGAGGCCTTGTAGAGAAAAAACAAACGGGGTTATCTTAGACCTGTGCAACGCCTGGATGCCCTTGCGTCGCCTGCGTCATCGGTGTTCCCATCATTGGCATCCCTCCAACCCCGCTCATCTGGGTGCCTGGCGTGGCTGCAGCGGGATACCCCATCTGCGGATTCCCCGCCGCCATAGGTGCACCGGCATAGTGCGTCGGTTGAGTCATCGGCATCATCCCGCCCGAAGCGACCTTGTCAGAGGGCGCAGGAGTGTAGTCAGCCATGGAGGACATCCAGATAGCTCCGCCTGAAGGAGTGTGATAGACAAGCGCGGTGATGAGAAGGATCCAGAAGAGGGCGAACACTGTTTTTTCATCAGCTAAGAATTGAAAGAGGAGGTATAGGACATAGACGGGCTGCAAAGGAGACGAAAGTCACGTACAGATGATCCAGTTGAGCCATGCGAGTGCCTCAATAGCTTGTGATTGCTGACAGACAGATTGAGCTTCGGAGGCGGAGCGTAGGTAATACGAAAGGTATTCGACATCCACTGTTATGCATCATCCAAATGATCGCCGGTGTTAGCCTTCGAGTACGAACGGTAGAAGAAGACGCACAGGAATCACTAGAACAGTCCAATCCCTGCAGCTCGTTTGTAGAATACCCTGCCGAAGCTGCATACGAGGGTATATTAACGGCATGCAGGGAAGAGGAGAGGGAGGGAGGGACTCGCCTAACCACAAGACCCAGATGACACCATTCCAACCAAGCTCAACAGACGTCCAAGAGGGCAGCGCATTGCGACGGAGACGGTCAAGCACCAGAACGGGGATGAGCACGACGAGAGTGATGACGGACACCGCTAAAGCTGCACATACATGCGCGTCAAAGTATCAAAGCAGCTATTAGCCCACACGATAATCGCAAGAGAGGGGAAGACGCACACAACTGGGCATATTGGCGGGTCACATGATACTTGTTCGCTAGTGCTACGGTATTGGCAGAGATTCCCAGCAAGCAGATGGTGAATACGAGCACGAAAGCTGATTCATGACGAGAATGTCAGTGTGCCGATCTGGGGGGGAATAGAGGGCGTCTACCATGCAGGATGAGACGAGCGAGGGCGTAAATGCGCATTTTATCAGCCTAGGTTTGCTTTGAACGCGACTTGTCAAGGTGGGGAGGCGAGCAATACACAGAAAAGAGCGCTGGGCAAAGACTGGCGAACTTGGCGCCTTTTTCTACTCGTGTGCATGGCGCTAAAAGGCACTGCTCGTTGTTCCCCCGGAAAACCAGGCACATCACCGAAAGTTACCGAACGTTCACGAATCCATTGTTTACCGATGATCGTGATCGTCACACATCGAGTCAGTCATATCGTGATCCGCCTGGGCGGCAAAGTGAAATCCGGGGTGAAATCCGAAGGCAATACTACAAATGTTAGAAGCAGGCGCCCTGATGAATGAAGAGAAGCAACAGAAAACGGCACATTTGAAACAGAAGCATGAACAGACCCTGAGCAACGGCAATTGACTCTCTCCTGGTTCTCACCCTCCATTCTCTCGCAGTGCGAGAGAATGGTATACTCAAACTCATCCCTCTTCGCCAAATCTTGGAGTGTGGATCAAACTATTTCAAACTCCCCAGCATGTTCACCCCTCATTATCGTCTTCCCCTTTTGTTCGGCTAAGATGTGTCCATATTTGAGCATCCCCATCTGGTATCTGAAAACAATCTCTTGTGATTGAATCATAACAGGCGCAGCATCTGGTTCTTCCGAAGTAGGCCGGGTCTAAAAACCACTTTCACACGAACAGCAGCTTTCTGCCCTTGACCGCGTTCCGTTTGATGAATATGACTGACGAGGGAGTGGGCATTCTCCTCGCCCAGCAACCGTATAGGTTTCGGGCGCAATAACAGCCCTTTCCCAAAATCGTGAATATTGTTCCAAAGCTTTCCGAGTGCACTAGACGAACTCCCTTTTTGCACAGGGATTGGATTCAGTAATAATTGACAGTCCCGCATTAGTTAGTTTGAGGACCAACTAGCGGTAACCGGCCGGTTTCCCCACTCATGGTTCCAGGGCTGTACATAGATCGTTTGTCCCTTCAGGCAAAACCCTGCCTGAGGAGATCCACAATTCCAATCAACAGTACGCCACGTACCAATCAAACAAACCCTGCCAAACACGGGGATGAGCCGCATCGAACCTTCTTACAGAGAGCACGTGAGCACCGTCACTGACGAAAGGAGCTGCGTACGCAGCCCTACTGATGGACCGTCCCTTGCGGCTCTCCGCATGCCTGGTGCGCCTGCTATGCTGAACTTTACGTACCCACACTGGATCCTGCTATAACTGTCTCTGGATTGCAATTCTGAATGCCCTGATGGATTGGACGGAATGAGTCTATGAAAGGGACGAACCTCGATGGAAGAAGGTCGAGGGGGCTCGCCTGATGGGCTTTGCTCTCCGTGAATCTAACCTGATCCCCATCTGGAGCGCACTGGAATGCAGGCCTGGTGGAGTGTGCTCTCACTGAGAAACTGCTCCCAACTTGTTGGCTTAGTCGATTTGTCTGTGACTACGGAGAAGGCGTGTTACGTTCCCAACCTTTGCTTCGTTTTGTTATGACAGACACTCTCGCGCGTTCCTGCTCCACTCTTCTTCTCTCCTACCCCGTTTCTGGTCAAGCGCATCTCATATACTCTCCTCACTCTCGTGCGTGTGCTATCCCTTCTACCCTCCTCCCCACTTTCAATAACCACCAGGGCTCTTAGCCCGTCCACTCCTTTCCCCTACCTCCTACCTCCTCTGCGCTAGCGCGTTCCTTTTCCACCTCCGCATTCTCACAAGGTCGACGGCCCACAATGGCCCCTGCTGAGCCGATACCTGCCACACCTACTGGCCCCGTCATCGCCCTTACGACTGCTGACGCGGTGTCCTCGCCACCTCCAAGAATTCCTCCTCCCCCGGCACCCAGTACCGCTCCCGTCTCCTACTACTCAGACAATGACAGTACGCCCTCAAGTTCCCTGACAGTCGCTACTCCCACTGGCAGGTTGCGAGACTCTTCTCTCTCCCCTGCCGGGGCACGTGCCCTGGGTGCCGCCCTCGGCACTGTGGTCGGCCTCGGCCTTCTCATCATATGTTTCCTCACGATCTATCTCTGCTGTCGGAGACGCGCCCGTGCGGCCGCCGCCGGCGCGGGGGTGTACCGTAATTCGTCCTTCTGCGCTGGGCCTTCTTATGCCAACTTTGGACCGATGCCCGGCATAGACAGTGCCGCGACGAGCAAAGAGGCCTTCGCGCAGTATCAGGCTCGCAGGAGCTCTGGTACCGCGGAGATGCAGATGAGCGAACTGGACCTCGCCCACGCTATGCCAAGAAGGCCGGAGAGCGCCATCACGTACGACCCTACCGTCCCCGGCACACCTGTCTCGCATGCACCAAGCGAGAGGATTGGCCCGGTGGATTGGAAGGTGAAGGTGGAGCAGAGGGATGTCAAGGCAGTCAAGGCGGGAACTCCGGTAAAGGCAATTGTCGCGCCTGTATTGACCACCTCCCTGGAGGCGATCAGGCAGCCACCTGTAGCATATCGTCCCAATCAGCCTCCCGCAGAACAACAGAGGCGAGCGCAAGAGTCCAGACAACCATCACCACCAAAGCAGACCATAACCTCCCCAGCCTCCGCAGGCTCCTCCCTTCGCTCCCCGTCCACAACGAACAGTACCAGTTCTTCCCCTGAAACGCGACTCTCGCACACATCTGTTCCCACCCCACCGACTTCGCCGCTCTTCGGCCCGGACGCGCGAAAGTCTGCCCAAGGCGAGCGACCGAAACTCAGGATCATCACCGCAATTGTGGGCGATGGAGAGTCCGAGGTGCAGGTTCCACAGGTGGCCATTGAACCCCTCAGACTGCCAGCTGCAACTCGGCCCAAGAAGCCGGACTATGCAAGACTATTGTTTGCCGCCGGGGTAGCTGCAGGGGGATCAAGTACTTCGCTGGTTACTACCGCGACCACAACTGGTGCGGTGGAAGACTTCTTCGCCCCTGCGTCGTCCCCAAAACACGCGGAGCCTGAGCCTGAGCACAAACACCCTCCAGCTAGGCAGAGGTCCGTTCCACCGCCAGCGATCGTGATTACTTCTCCTCAAGTGGAATGGGAGGGTGAGGAGCTGTCTCCAACCCTAGAAGGTGAATACGAAGACGAAGGCTACGGATCAGACGAGCAGGATCAGGGGGATTATTCCAACCGGGATGAGGATGATATTGGGGATATTGATGACGAGGATGTTTCTGGGGGATACTCACCGACCCATGTTCAAATAACACTTTCCCGTGCTATTGCGGTCGACCTACATCTGCCCATGCATATGTCACCGACTATACCGGGACTCCCGTCCGGCTTCCCCAGCAGTGTCTCCTTCAAATCCAGTGCTTCCAATGCTTCCATGCACACGGCTTCGCCCACTCAAGGACTACCTATGCAATTCGCCAGCCGTCGGGAGCTGACGAGTCCAACAGGCTTTCCACAGAGTCCCTGTGAAAGCGAAGCAGACTTCGATTCCGATTGCGAGCGCGAAACCGGGGCGACGGATGCGTGCAGCTTCTCCCCCGTCCTGGGACATCCTACTACGCAGCATTCACCAGTTGCTAAGGCGAATGCAACCTTCAGGATACTGGAACTGGACCAGGGGGGGAGTCCGCTACCGAAGCGTCCGCAGACAGCGGAGGAGAGGCTGAAGGGCCTTGGAATCGGCAGCGTGCGATTACCCACGATCACTGTCACAGAATGGGCTGAGGAGGAAGGGCTGATGCGACTCTGATCCATGCATACTGGAAGCGAGCGGCTGGGGATAGAGCAATAGAAGTGTTATATCCCGCACTTGTGTTTTTGTCTTGTTCGTCACTTCGACATCTGGGATCTTTGTATGCGCGGCATATTTGTTTTTGCCCCTTCGGCCGCCTACCGTTGCTGTATTATTAGATACATGGACAGATATAACAATAAATGACGTCGTTGGATGAGATGACTGAAAAGAACTCTCATTCATCGTTACTTGTACATATGAGGAATTGCGCTATTGAAACAATTGTGTGATGAATCAAACCTGAGCAAGAAGATTATGAGATGGGAAGAGGAATGGGAATATTTGCTAGTCTTCGTCCATAGGTATGTCGGGCTGTTCCGGCTCATCTGGCTCCTGCTCGGATTCTGTTCCACTTGTCGAATCCTCCCCATCGTCCTGATAGGCAGCCCAGACCGAGTCACCCTCCAGTGGGTCTTCAATAACTTGCTCGAACAAGTCGCGAGCTTGATCACGCATATCTGTGACACGTTTGACGTTCTCTGGGTCCAACCATTCTGGCGGGTCCGCGTAACTGAGACGACCGATGCCGAGAAGAAACGCGTGCGTGACCCCGTTTACGACTTTGGAATTCTGCAGTTTCTGCTGGAGCTCGTCCGTGAGCCCGATGTGATGGAACAAAGTCAGACAAAGCTGTAACGTGTGCAAAAGGCTGAACTAATGATGAATGTGAGAATATATGCGCAAGAATGTCTACGCACGTAGTTTGTCGCTGTGGAGATTCAATGATGCTTTCGTTCTCATCCCACAGGACCATGGATTGTAGCCGGAGGCACGAGACGAGAGAGGGGATGACGCATCGACATTCCCGAAGAAGTTGAAGCGTATCGGGATGTGCAATTGATAGGGACGTTATGGCGCAGATAGACGCTTGCATCGTTCCATGGGCTTGCTCGAAGGTCGCGTTCGGTTGAGGCTTTAGGAGGAAGTTACATAACATATCAATCAGTGGCATAGATCCATAGTCGGTTCGTCGATCGACGCCAGTGCCAGCTTTTTCAGCAAATGCGAGCATGGAACGACATAAGGGAACATCTGTACAGCGTCAGAAGACCTCACAGAGACAAACACGGGAGCCTACGGCAACTAAAGAGGTACATTAATCGAGACGAACGCTCGACAACCCATGGAGGTTGAGTTGGATCCAGCAGGGTGGCGACAAAGCTCGTAGATGAGGGAAATATTCCCAGCCTAGAAAACGGTCAGCAGCATCCTAGAGAATTGTGGAAAACCTCACTTGGGCACGTCGTCTTCACTGACCCTAGCAGCAAGCGTCTCTATGAGCGTCAAACATGTCTCGGCGACGGCTCTGCGCTCGACATCTGCCTCCCGCATCTTTGCAGGTTGCATATGCAATGTCACGCACTCCCTCAGCGCTACCAAGAGCGTGGGGGCAGAATCTGGTGACTCAGAAGGCACAGCAAGAAGAGCTTGGCGAAAAGCAGGGATTTGGTAACTGATGAATGCTAGTAGGTCAAAGCAGAGGGAAATCGGCCTGATCTAAATATGGTGAGCCGGTCGAGCGTGAGCATGTATGTCAATCAGCTCACCAGTGCCAAGTGGCAGAATAGAGCCGCAAGTCGACTCAGTCCTTGTCCAACTGTGCTAAGCTCCTCCGAGGCACCATCTTCTCGCACAGCACCTTCCGAATGGTCCATGCCAAAACCGGCAAACACGTCGGCGCAAACCTGACTATATTGTTTGACTGCATGTTCCGGCGTGTCTTCGCACAGCTTCACTGTTAGTAAGAGTTGTATTGTCAATGGCGGCGGCTCATTAGACTCGTCGGAAGAGTAGAGTAGTGAGCGATGTTTGAAGGCAGCATGGTGTAGCTTCAATATCCGTCAGCATACTACGCAAGGTGCAAAGGGTGGAAAGAACCAACCTCTTCTCGCCAATTGATACTGTCCTCAGGAGGTCCAAAGAAAGAGTCTTCTTCAGTATCGTTCTTTCCCTCTTCTTTTGACACAGAGGCATTATCTGCATCCAGCATTGGTATGTCCCCGAAGTCCACGGGCACACTTTCTTCGACCGGTTGATCATCCTGAGCTTGCAGGGTCTCTCCTACAGGTGAGAAGGATTCCTCCTGCGATGCTCCTCCCCATCCGCTTGTGTTCTCCTTCCCTTTCCCTTTAGCCGGACTCGTACCGTTCACCTGCCCCCTAGTTCGGGTAAGCGCAGGTTTCGGCGTAGGCGCAAACGAGTTCTCAAATCCTGTAAATACAGCTTTCTTGCTCAGAAGGGTAGGTTGAACAGGGGACGAAGGCGGTCTTGAACGAGGAACTTGTCGAGCTGGTGTTCTGGACGGCGTCTGTCCTGGATATAATGAATTGGGATGCAACTGCGACTGTGGGGGACGATTCCACGCAGGTTTCTTGGCTGTCGTATGGAACTCATGTTGCTGTCATCCACGTGAACTACAGTGCATATATGCTATGAAACGGAGCAAAACTGACCTGGAACTTAATCTGCGACTGTAATCCGTCTATGGTTCGCTTCATCTCCTGTTCCCTGCCTTCGATAGCTTTGGAAAGCGCCTCCTTTTCCTCCTTCAGCTTGTTCATAGCTTCCAGGTTCGCTCTCGTTTGCTACATTCATGAATCAGCCCCTATCACAGCATAATTGCAGCATGATCCTTATACCTGTTCCATGAGCCTCCTAACGTTTGATACCTCTCCCATATTCGCATACCCCAATTCTTGTGCTTTGGTCTTCTCGGCCAAAAGTGTCTCGTTCCGTCTCCTTAACTACGTTTTCATCAGAAATGTTCTCTTCAACAAACAGACGACGCATACCTCAACTAACTGAGCCTTCAGCGCTTGAAGCTCCTCAGCCCACTTCGGCGGGGGTTGCCCTTCTTCAGCTCCATCTGTCCCTGCTCTGGAAGCCACACCAACAGGGCTCACAGCAGTCTGGCTCGAACTTCCTCTCCTTCCCTCTCCTGCTCTGCCCACATCGACCGGAGTCGTGGGACGCACGGATGATGTTCTCCCCTCCTGAACAGGTGGGAGAATAGCAGCCTGTGCTAAAGGGGAAGGGTGCTGTATGTTCTGCCCGAGAGTGCTGGAGTTACTCCGTCCAATTGGTGGTCTGAAAGGAGGACGAGCATTGAGCTGCCTTCCCGCCTGATGGGAATACTCCGACCCATTCGGCAGTCTTCCGTTCCCAGCCTGAGGAGGTCGAGCATATGTTTGAGTAGGAGCTTGCGAGCCAGCAGGACCATTGCTGTTCTGCCCAACCTTGATAGATCCAGTGACCGTATACCTCCCACTGCTGTCAACCGAGATCTCCGGAAGCTCATCGTCTTCGTTTAGCGTGCGGTAGGCGTTGGGCTTAAACTTTTTTGGAGGAGGCGGTCGGATACTCGTAGGTCGAGAGATAGGTCGCTGCCCAGGCATGTGTGAGTGGGATGTCGAGGGGGCATTATAGGGCTGTTGAGGTGGATATGTACGCCCTGTATGAGGAAGAGTCGGAGGGGGTTGAGACGGAGGTTGAGAGGGCAGCCGTTGCTGAGAATGTAGCGGCAGTTGGGACAAGGTCAGGTTGAACCTGTCCTCCATGGCCCGGGCCGAGGCGAATACCTCCTCATTATATTCGAAGGTGTCATTGTCGTATTCGTCTGAGGAGGGGACCGGCGGCATGAGGCATTTATGGGACGTTGAAGAGCTGCAGGGAAATGGACTGGTAAGAACAAGGGAAATGTGGGCGCTGGTATGTGACGCGACAGAGACGCGCTCAACCCTGACGGAGTTGCGGAATTCACTCGAGGCACACTGAAAGGAACAGTCACAGGCGCGAGAACACAAAATCATGGTTAATCTGCTAAGTTTACAACTTTACAGTGGAACGGAATAGAGGTGAGAGAAGATGAGTAATTGATCAACCAAGCGCCTTTTCGGATCGTCCAGCTAACTCGCCCCTCAATCATGGTTAGCGTTGTTCAGGATCCTAAGGATAGATAGGACTAGTTATCTCTGTCAGCATTTCTCAGATCGAGGGGCATGAGAATGGACTGACAGAGATTGATGAAGTCCAGGTAGAGCGCGATGGCACCCCAGATGTACTCATCAGGGCTGAGACGGCGGTTGATCAGGTGGGTGTCGTAGACGATGTATCCGCTGAAGAGAAGGGCACCGCCGATGCCGTAGGCGAGGTCGACGCCACGGGAGAAGGGAAGGAATATGTGGACGAGACCGGAGAAGACGAGGACGAGCAGACCTGCAAAGAGGAAAGGACCCATACTGTCGAAGTTGTACTGTGCACCAGATTAGTCCACGATCAGTATCGTGATTAAGAATGGGAGTGCTTACCTTGGACTGCAGAGTAAACAACGTCAAGCCGAGGAAGACGCCCAGAGTGATTAACAGCGCCTGCATAACGACAACCTGGTCGTAGTACGCAACCGCAGCACCGATCGCGACACTCTCCATAAGGGTGAAGGTAGCGAGCAGAACAAGGTTGAGGGGATGGCTATGACGCTTCCAGAAGAGCACGCCGAGGTTGATGAGGGTACCGAAGAGTGGGACGATCACGACGCTTGGGTGCTGCTTGACGAAGAACATGGCATCTTCCGTGCGCATACCAGCGGCGACGATAACAGTACCAAGCTGCGATAGGGTCAGATTCATGTGTCTGACATTGGACATTGACTCACAATCTGAACAAACAGGATAGAGTACACCTTGCGAACAAACGCTACACAATGTAAGATTTCCAGCTCATCCCAGTCAACGTCCAAACTTACCTTGCTGGATCTCGACAGCGCTCTCGCTCACGGTTGTTCCATACTTGAAATCATCGGGCAAGTCATCAGCAGCAGGCTGGTCAAAGATCGCGTTCCTCGCTGCGGTGGAGGTGGTGGCGACACCCTCTCCCAGAAGAGCCTGCTGGGTCTCGTCTGCCGCACCGTAGTTCTTGGATGGGCTCGGTGGAGCTTGGTAGGAGGGAGGTGGAACAGGATAGGATGACATTCTTGCTAGTTGTCTAGGTGTAAGGAACGATACAGAGAGAAAGGAGGAAGAGGACCGTCGCTGACTGACGACTGTTAGGAGGTTGTAGTCGCCAAGGGGCAGTGTTGACCCGGATTATGTACGCCAAACCCGGGCCATTCAACTGCGCGTTTCTGGTGATTTCGATTCAATAGAAAGCACAGCCACTCAAGCCGAGAAACGGCATGGTGGGGTGAAAGAACGTGTTGAGAGGGCTATGCTTACGTCACCGTTATTATAGTCATTGTGTGAAAAATGCAACTTTACAATGATTGTAGTAGTTACATCTTGGTTGGGGTTATTGTTACTTTTCGATGCAATGATAACTAATATATCTGTGGCTACGCAAGAATACCCCTTTCTCCTGCTTTGTCTTGCCCAATCCTAAAATTATAAACACGCGACCAGCGCATGACTAGTGACCCTATTCATTTCGACCACCATGCATCTCCCCATCATCTCGTCGTTAATTTCCTATCTCCTTCCAGCCTCAACATCATCTCAAATACCACTATCATCTCATCAGGAGCCCACATATATAACGTTTGCAGCCTCCCACGAACATGCGCTGAGTTTCCTACCAAACAGTTCAACACCTATCACCCTCTTCCGGAACGCGTCCAACTCGTTGCTCGATGGCCTCTTGTCCCTGCGTCTGCGGTCCGTTCCCACTCGCGTCTATCGTCCTCGATCACAGCAAGTGTTCCACGAGGGCCGTCGAAATGGGCGCATGAGTGGACAGCTGCTAGATGTGCCCTGGGACGAGGATGTCGTACCTGGCCCCGATGTATCTGATAGGGAAACCGTCCTCCTCCTGGCGAAGATGACGAGTAACGCATACACGTCACCGGAGAATTCAGACTGGTACCCTCTTGGAGATAGGTGGAACTACGTATGTGCCGTTTCTCCTATGTTTCTTTAGGTTTTCTTACCACGGTTTTGCAGTCCGAGCCTTTCGGCTGGGAACCCGACGCAGACGGCTTCCGGGGACACATCTTTGTCTCCACCGACAGTCCACCGACGGTCGTTCTCTCCATCAAAGGTACCTCCGTGCCCGTGGTTGCGCCTGGACCCTCATCGGGCAAAGACAAGCTGAACGACAACCTGTTATTCTCGTGCTGTTGCGCACGTGTCTCTCCTACTTGGTCAACGGTGTGCGACTGTTTTTCCGGTGGGTGGAAATGCGACCTGGGCTGCTTGTCCGAAGCACTCAAGGAGGAGAGCTTGTTTTACACCGTTGGCACGAGCTTGTACAACAACCTTACCTACATGTACCCGGATGCGAACATCTGGGTCACCGGTCACTCTCTGGGGGGAAGCATAGCCGGCTTGTTGGGGCTCACGTTTGGCGTTCCCGTCGTATCCTTCGAGGCACCTCCGGAAAAACTCGCCTCGCGTCGTCTGCATCTCCCGCTCCCACCAAGCGACGACCACCTGGTGCATATCTACCACACCGCGGATCCCTTAGCTGTCGGTACGTGCAACGGTATCACGAGCGTGTGCAATGCCGCGGGATACGCGCTCGAGACGAAATGCCACAATGGAAGGACGATACGGTACAACACCGTGGAAGAGAAGGGATGGGGGGTGAGCGTGAGGACGCACTCGATCGTTTATATTATCAACTATCTGCTGAACGAAGACTGGAACGCGAACGTCTCTGTGCCAGAAGCGAGCAGGGAGTACGAGGAAGGTTGTATTGTATGTCGTTTTCCCTAGCAACCAGAACAATGGCTCATGCATAGTAGGACTGCTACAAGTGGGAGTTTGGTGACTGGCTGAATACCACAGATGCTGAATGCTAACGATCTTGATCACCCTCTTGAGAGGATTCAATGTAGTCTACAGCCTATCATTTGTACCGATATAACTGCACCTTACGAACTAACGAATACAAGTTGTCATGACCTACGCCTGCCTAGCTGCATTTTACACATCGTTCACCTGAACCCTCTCAACGCTCCAGTACATCATCAAAACGTTCTCCCTGGGAATACCGCCAGGGCCAGGCCTGATCTCTGCCTTAACGCGAATCTTGTTCCCCGCGCCCTCGCCCTCGAGCAGCTCCATCACGTCCTTCCACATCTTCTCCCAGCTCTGCGGGCTGTGGGCGTACCTCGACCGTCCCATGTGGTCCGCAAGGATCCCCTCCTGCTTGGCGCCGGTGTGCCGACCGAAGATGATGCCTCCCGGGACGCGCCGCCAGAGGGACGCGAGGCGGAGGGCGATTGCCTTCTGGGTGCTCTCGTCAAACAGGTGGAAGAGGGCACCGGCGTAGATGTATGTCAGCTGGCGCTTGAGGTCGTTGAGCTCTGTCACTTTGCTTATGTCGATCGGGGCCGTGCGCAGCGGCACCGCAGAAGGAACGATGGAGAACATGTCCCCTGTGATGAACTTGATCGGGCATGTTGCCGCATCACCATACAGCTCGTATCCAGCTTTGATGTAGGTGTCGCGCAGATCACAGCCGATGAGCATATGGGGAGGATAACCGTCCCGGATCAGCTTGCGAAGGTCTGTTCCCACTGTAACGCATTAGGATACGAAAGAGCAGAGGGATGGAGGAGCATACTCATGCAGCCAAGATCCAGCAGATAAGCGTGGCCCTCCTTGCCTGTTTCTAGCACTTCGGGGTATATTGCGTTCTGGAGGAACGATGAGCCAATTAGTAGATGAGTGTGAGGGACGCACAAACCTGCTGCATCATCAACGACACGAAGTGGAACGCCCTCAGGCACGGATATGGGTAGTCCTGGTAGCATCTACGTCTCATAAATACATACTCAAAGCAATGAACGACAGCAAAACGTACTTCTCCTGAACGGTAAACACCCTCTGTTTGAGCACCGCATCGTCCTTAGCGATCGCCTTGTGCAAGAAGTCCAGCTCTTCCTGCGTCGGTTTCCACAAGCTGCGATCCAGCGGCGGGGCTGGGACGGGCGGCTCGGGGAGCTCAAGCGTGATCTTTGGGTCAGTGGGCATTGTTTGAATAGACCAAGATGAGTGGCGAGAGTGGACTGCGAGGGCAAAGAGAGAAAGCAGTCGGCCGACAAAGGGTTGCGGCTCACCAAGAACTTTAGAACACGGTGTTGGGCTACTCTAAATTGGACTCGGCGTGTTCGGCGGTGTGGGTCGCCGTTATAAGGTAATTCAATAAACAATGAATCAATCCGATTGGCAGCTTACGACATGGGAAGGCATCACATGAGACCCTAGATGGTTGACAGCGCATCTCTTTCGTCGATACCCGACAGAAGATTGATAGATGGCAGAAGGAGAGCGTAGTAGATTACCTGTGTTCATGGGATGTGTATGCTACAGGATATATGGCCCAAATTAACCCAATACTTGGCACAACAACGATCCCAAGATAAACATTCGAAGAGATGAGAGCATTCGGCGAAATACAACAATCCCTCAGGTCCGCTTGCGTCCCACAGGGCGCCAGTAGTACTGCTTGTCCGTCATCTGGGCATGTCTTACTCGTCGTCCACCTAGATTTCCCAGATTTCTGCCACGTTCGCGGTCAGGGTCTTTATCAGCGTTGTAGAAATAGACATTTTCGAGAGGTCTGCCTGACGCGTCCTGTACACATGATCAGTACAATGGAACGTGGAGCGAAGCATTAGGAGAGACGCCAACACGAACCTTTCCGCGTCTAACAACCTTTCCAAACATTCCTTTGACGCCGTCTTCCAGCAAAGTGCGGCACATTTCTGTGATGTCTTCGTGATCATACGACGCAAGAGACGACTGTTCCAGAACTTCTGGTAGGATGTGTGATAATGGCGTGGTAGTTGTAACGGACAGAGCAAGCGCCGTAACGAGGTGAGGAAGAACCGCGATGCGAAACTGGATTTCCTCCTCAGCAGTGCGCCGGGGCTTGGGTAGGGGCAATTGCGGAGACGCAGAGTGATGCGATCCGTTCTGATTCTGCAATTTGGGAGCAGGTTCTTCAGTATATACTGATGTAGACGGAGGCGCTCGCGCGCTCTGCTGCACGAGCAAACCCAGGAGATCGTCGTCTTCGTCTTCGTTGTCTTTTCTAGGCACTTCCTCTCCATTATCCTGGTGGTCTTCTTGGTCTTGGTCTTGTTCATCGTCTTCATTTTCTTCACCGTCAGCGTCCATGTCTTCATCTCCCGACTGCTCACTCATTGCGATCCTCTTGACAGGTGATGACGGCGGTAATGACCCAGCCTTGCGTTTCACTCCACGCGGAGGTGACATCTCGTCATCGCTGGACAAAGAAGATAACGGAGAAGATGCAGGTGAAGATGGCGGGAGTGAGGTGGTCATATGGCGATCTTCGGACGGGGTGATAGGAATCGTTGCTTCAGAAAATACAGCCGAAGTTGCCGTATGTGGAGTAGTGTATTCCTTCAGATCCTCTAATTCCTTGACATGCGGTGGTTCTTCTCTCTTCACTTCCATAAGACGAGGTGCAGCGGCGTGCGGTAAGGCACACTGAAGCTTGATGGACCTGACCCAAAGATCGAGGTTGACAAGACCCTTCTGTTCAGGGAGGATCATCTCTTGACCCTCGGCAACGAAGTGATGTCCAACGCGCAGGCCATTCTTGCCAATAGCTTTCAGCCTGACGCCACCTGGGACACGCTCGACAACGCTGTGCAAGCGAGAAACTTCGAGCTCTTTCAGGGGCAGAGTGTAGAATTGAACACTACCAGGTTGTGTCAAATGGGGCCCAGTCTTAGATGCGTCCAGTGGCTTAGCCATACGGCCGATAACGACGGGATGTCCGATTTCTACGACAAGCTCGTCTGGAATGACGGGAACGGCACTTGTGATAGAAGGTGTGCGATTGTGATGCGGATGATGGAAGGGGGGGGATGAAGGTGGAGGTGTAGCCAATGTCGGAGAGAGCGCCTTCGCCTTTGAGGTAGCCATAATATGGACCGAACCAGAGTGTTGAAGGGGAATGCGCAAGTCAATGTATGGTGAGGATGGAGGCGGAGTCATCAGAAATTCCCTCCCATGATCCATAGCCTCCACGGCTGCGCGTATTGGTCTGCGGTTTAATGCTTTCGATGCCTTGAGGTCGGTCGTGCACTCGGTGGATGCGCTGGTCAGGACGTTGGCCTCGATTTCTTGTAACGCGCTGCAACACTGGATACGCTTCGTAAAGACGTCGCTACTATGATAAGGAGAATATGTTTGGGGTGAGCGCATAACCCCTGGAGGAGGAGAAGGTGGTGGACGTGGTGGAAGGAGACAGAGGGAGCGAACAAGCACAATCTTGGGCGCGTGGCGGACCGGCTACTTGTGTGGGAGAGAGATCTTCGGGTACAGCCACCGACGATGAGCGCATCGAAAAATAAAGCACAATTTACCTCACGTGATCGCGTCGATATTTTCATTACCGCAATGTGTGACGCGCCCGTGGTACAGCTGATTGGTCGCAATCAGAGTTTTATATATCTCCTCTCACGTTGGGGTTGCGTTATTTGATCGTATGCCTAATCACCAAACGTTTACTCTGTCATCATGAAAACATCTGTTGTGCGTCCTACATTGACGGGCGCTTCTGCACAGGACTGGCACGGTCCAGAGAACGCGAGGAGTTGATTACGTCAATCATACGGGAAATGCTGGCACACGCCGTTCGGAGAAGCGTGTACAATTCCGAGATAATCAGGGGAAGATATTGCCCCATGGGAGACGGATCCAGCATTTTGCATGCTGCCTGTTTATGCGGCTTCCTGACACGTGCTCCGTCCCCGAACAGCCGCGGGTGGTACCTTCCGATACCGCTAGTACGGTCCAACGATTGCTCGATTCCTCCATGGTCGAGAGGTGCGTAGCTGGCGCAGCATCAACACGTCAGCTTTGCTCGGCTCGGAGTCGACGCCATGCGAGTCAGTAGAGTGTGGAGGTGACGGATGATCTCCGGTTTCACAACGACCTGTTTGCTGGCCAATGGCACCGGTGCCACACCATGTCCGGCGTCCTCTCCTCGCCATCTGGCGCTGCCCTCGGCCACGTATGATAAAGAGTGAGGGCTTGTCGAGCGCGGTCTGTTAAGTGGCAGCACTTATCCTGATTCACTACCATCACCATGGCTCGGTATCTCGCAAACCCCTCCAGAGAATGTTGCATGCAAGCAGTCAAACACGAGGGCACGACTGTCGGCGAGAAGGAGGAGATCGCCGGAATCCCGTGCTATGTGTCCTACCCGCCGTCGAAGTCAACTGAAAAGGTCATCCTGTTTTGCTGTGACGTCTTCGGTCCATGGTACAAGAACAACCAGCTGCTCATGGATTTTTTCGCCACAGGAGGCTACACCGTCGTTGCTCCCGACTATTTCGGAGGCGAAAAGCTTGAGGAGATACGTGAGGCTCCTGGATTTGATTTCGGTGGCTGGGTCACTCCCCATCGTGCAAAGGCTGAGTCCTACCTCGACAAGTTCGTTCCGGCGATGAAGGAGAAGTTCAGTGAGTGGTGAAGCAAACAGCGCAAGTACGAGTTCTGATGAGTCGTCAGACGGCAAGGCCTATGGTGTTGTCGGATACTGTTTCGGTGGCAAGGATGTCGTTGATTCATTGAAGAAGGGTTGGGCCACTGCTGGTACGCATGTACAGACCGTCTTCCACATATACCGGGCTGAAGTCTTGATGGGAAAGGTGCCACGTGCCATCCGGCCTTCATCACCGAGGAAGCTCTTGGAGGCCTAGACAAAAGAGCCATATTCTTCTCTTGTTCTGGAAAGTTTGGGTGCCTCCAATTGATACATACGCCCTGACCACGCTGCAGAGATTGACCATACATTCCCTGCTGAGGGCAGGCACAAGGCGGAAGAGATCCTGGCGAAGAACAAGATTCCGTATCACTTCCAACTTTTCGCAGATGTGGCGCATGGATTTGCGATCCGTGGTGATATGAGCGATGAGAATCAGCGTGAGTTTACACATAGATTGCTTGGGAATAAGGACGCTGAAAGCTGTGATAGGCTGGGCGAAGGAGACGAGCGCCTGGTCTCTTCTGAGCTGGTTCGACCGCTGGCTCAAGGTGTGAATCAGATATTACACCTCAGAACACGCATATTGGTGCGAATGGCGAGAATGGCTTGTAGAACAACTGAGAAATGATGATCCTGCGTTCTGGACCTGTGAGTATCGTCACGGCCCCGTGCAACCCTAAGCAGAAACTCTGCACCCTTGAGAGACTCTTGCACGCATTGAGACAGGATTGAGGCCCTTGAAGTTTTGAGAAAGGAAAGGGATCCATATACATATCTGGAGGCAGACAAACTTGTGGATTGCCGGACACTGGGCAGACAAAGAAAAGAAGGAGAGACTGAGTCCACGGAATCCGCGGGATGAGTTTGTATACCGCCCAATCGGGGTTCCCGGTTCCGACGCGAGACCGCGTCCGTTGAGCGCTTGCTCTCCGCCTGAGGTTGTCCTAGTGCACACTTCTTGCCCGCAGGCTCTCACGAACGTCTTGCCATGAGCGAGGTGCTGCGACCGTGGCTGCTTAAGCATTTTCAAAGGCTTGTAGAACAGGATGGACCCAATGACGCCTTCGAGGAGGTGAGGAAGAAGGTGCAGATCACGAAAGTACGTCCTTCCCCAGTGCACGGAGTGCTCGTCAGATTGAGCGCTACTGTTGTGTTTGTGTATTCAGTTTCATACCGATGGAGCTCAGCCGGTGAAAAGTGGGGAACTCTGGGCTCAGGTGTCTGATAAAGAACGCTGGGTTGACGTGTTGATATGCCCAAGTTCGGTGGAGAAGCACAAGACGTATGACCTTTCACATTCCATTGTCCTCATCCTGATCTAGTCAGCTAGAACACACAACGGCGAGCGTATCACACAAGTGCGCCATGGAAACTTCTTTATAACCAAATGTCGCCCTATTATATCCCAAATACCCGTGTTCTACAACGGAACTTGGTCACTCTCTTCACCGAACCTCTGCTTGGAGGCGGAAGTGGACTTCATTGGCGGGAGAGGATGCTCGAGTGTACACGGTGATCCCGTTCAGATCACGAGGGATGCGAATATCAAGCTATGGGAGAGTAAGCTGAGGGTACGAGGGTAAGCACTTGTATGCTGTTTGTTGGAAGGTGTGTTCTCATACACAAGTTAGCTTTACTCCTGCGGCCAAGGCCAATAATGCAAGTGGAGCGCCTGCGGTCGACTCTCCTGTTCCTCCATCTGCTGATGGAACGACATCCGAACGACAAACAACTTCCCCGAGAAGCTCGACTGCTGTCGCCGAAATCGGTCCGTGGCAGGCTCACCTGCTGCGGTGGTGGGGTGCTGTACGTTCACTTTTGTTTCAAACCCAATTCATAGCTCACTATATTGATAGGCTACAGAGCCCAAATGGCCCTCGGATCGTATGTCTCGTGACCAAGGGCAAGCTTTGGGCAAGATTGACAGCCGACCTCGCAATGTCAGTGCGATGTTGGCAGAAGATGCTAACGGTCCAACCAAAGCAAGAGATCCCGCACCTGTAGATGACGTGCATGAGACACAGGATCCTATTCCTTGGAGTCCTTCCCCACCGCGCGACCGTAATTCACACCACCAGAACGAATCTGCAAAGGCCCATACACAGGAACCGGACGAACAGAACCACGAGAGCGCTGATCAGCCCTCCCAGGCTCATGACGGGGTAGGAGAGGAGGAGGAGGACGAGGAGGAGGAGGAAGAAGAAGAGGAAAAGGAGGAGGAGGAGAATGAGGGGGAGGAAGACATCGATGATTCTGACGATGAAGATTCCGACCAAGGTCTCGCTTGGGAAAAGGACCAAGACGACGATGGAGCCCCATCTGGCGCACAGACGCCTGCATCACTGGATTCAGTAGAAGGCGTTCTTGGTACCCAGCGCTCTGATGACGATGACAGCTCCGCAGAGCCGCGGACGCCCTTCCTACCAAGTTCCTCCGTTCCTGCTACACCGCTTTATATCGCTGCTGAGTTATCTCCATCTACAATCCGATCATCAGGTGATACGGAGTCATGTGCGCCTGCACCGATGCAGAAATCGAGCCCCGCCTCTGCCAGCAGCATTCGTGGCCGCGCATCCTCGTCCCAACCGGAACAGAATACGAAGCAGTCTACTATTGTGCGAGCAGGAACACTTCCGCCGCGGTACTCTCAAGTTGTATCTGGTCAACATGATCCAGAAAGCTGGACCCAACCTGCGTTCATGCGGCATGCCAAATCCGTGTCTATAGAGACCACCCACTCAATGCGGTCGCCGTCTGACAGGTCACGATCTGGACCGTCCAGTGCCGCGCGTCGCGTGGACACTGCGGATGTACACTTCCGTGACGAACACGATCGCCAGGGGTTTCTCTCCGCTGGGTTGGGCACGCAGCAAGACTGGGAGCGAGAACAGCGAGCACTGCAAGGAGAAGAGCAGGAAGTCGTCTTGGAACATGCCCCTAAAGCGATCTTGCGCTCGGAGTTCCGGTCTGACCCCAACGCGAGGCAAGGGTTACAGGATAAGATTAAGGAGGCGTCGGAGGTGCTGAGAAATGGAAAGCGGCGTGCGGGGGAGGAACATCACGAAGCGGTTACCACCAAGAGACAGCGGACATCGGACAATGCTCCATCGACTTCGGAAGCGAGTACTCGCCCGATCCACCGATCACACGCCTCTGCGCCTATCAATGCCTCCACGAGTCGTTCGACAACTCAGAAAACCGCGGGTACTCCCACGATATTACCTGCGCGTGACGTGTTTAATGCCCCAACGGTGACAGGGGATCAGATACCACTGGTCCGAGCAGCGCTGACCTCCCTTCCTCCGAGAGGCAAAGCCAAGCGCACGTCGCCTTTCGATTCCGACTCTGATTCTCACAGCAACGGCGAGACAGCCCGAAAACGCTCGAAAAGAGAAGCTGAACGAGCCGAAGCACGATTTCGCTTTGCGAAGGCGGGACAGGGCAGCAGGCACGTCTCACATTTGCACGGAAAAGTTTCTCAGGCGGAGATTGCCCATGAGGTCTCTGCTGGCCTTGGTCGCACGATTACGGATGTCCAACGGGAGGAAGAAGAGGAGTTGCCGAGTCTGCCTGCGCGATCATCAACAGAGAGGCCTGCGGCTAACCGTTCAAGGAATGCTGCTGCCTCTCCACCGTCGAACCCACCCCCGCGCCCAATTTCAACGCCTCCAGGACCTTCGAGACGAACCCAATTGGGTGTGAAGCTCTCGCCGGTTCAGGTCGAGCATGTGCATTTACTAGGGAAATTGCCGAGACCAAAAACAGCGTTGGAATCCACAGAAACGGCCAGGGTCATTCAAGAAGCTGTGGTGCTGCCGTCTATACCCGTGGCTGTCGTGGAGCCGACCGATGTGCCTCCTGGGGAGTTGATGGACACCGAGATGACAACCATCGTTGACGGCGACCCCATACCACCTCACGAGCCGGAACCTGTACCACTGGCCCCCACCGTACCAGAGACTTCCAACAACGTTATTAACTTCATCCCAACAACTGTACCTTTGTTGGGAGGCTTCAAACCGAGATTCACCTTGGATCTCCAAGATACCGCTTTATGCCTCACTGTGAAGGATATCGGGCTAATACTGCGAGAGATTGATGAATTTCGGGCGCATGGCTACTGACTGACTCGTCGGTATTTATTTTCTTTATTGCTTTCTGGGTTTTCGCGAGCCCCGCAATGTTACGAGGGGTTGTATGTATACATGCACTTGTTCTCCTAAATGTGTTGTCCCGCGCCGCTCGTCGGGAAGCGGTGCCGAACCAAGTCAGCATGAGGCATGAAGCACGTTCACCGCTCAGGGAGACGACCGTCATGTACTCCTAGGACGACATCCACCACGCTCTTGTATCCTCTACACACTCTAGGCGGAAAGCATCTCTCTCCTACCTGCTGCACATACTATGGTAGAGATCCTCAGCCCGCAGGATGACGGTCTTCAAGTGGAAACGTCCTTGCTAGCTACCCATGGCCCTGATATTCCTCTGCCAATGTCTTTCCCCGCAATCCTGCGTGACCCGCGCAGTCGATTTGCACACTTACACGGCATTTCCCCTAAGAATGGGGTACGGGATGCCTCACCTTTCGAAGCACGCTCAAGCCCATCCAAGATTGAAGGAAAGCGGAAAGCCCTCAGGAGAGAGAATAGTGCGACTTTACTCATTACCCAGGTGGCATTGTCTGACAATCGGATAGCCCGCTTCTTGAGTAATCCTCATGTTGTCGCTCCTCAGCGATCGGATTATGATGCACCGATCGCGAGCGTCCGATCTACCTTCCCTGTGCCACTGCCGCCGTATCTCCCCCGTACGCAACTTGCACCTTCCCCAGCCCCGCCACAACACGACGAGCAGTCATCCGCCGCCGGCAGGTTCACCATCTCGCTCCGTGGTGTGCGCAAAGACCTGAGAAGGCGGGGACTACACTCGGAGAAGATGGTACGTGTGGTGGAGGGGGAGATCGTACAGTGGTTGCAGGCACCAGGGCAACAGCGTCCCGGGAGACCGTTTGGCATCGAGTTCGAGGCACCGATCGATGAGGGGTACAACGGATGCCTGGGCGGGAGCGTGGTGGAGGTGTTCAGAACGCCGTTGAAGTTGGTTTGGAAAACGGATGATCCTTTGGCGAGATATGTGACCTATTGCACTGCACGATGGCATAATGTTGTCAGCTTTAGTACGTCTTCTTTCACCCCTGTCCGTTGTTGAATGTAACCATTCTGGTAGGCAAAGACCTTCCAAACGGGGAACGTCATACCATCCTCCTGCGACCAAACAGCTTCGGCCCACACATGACCCACCTCGCATCACTAGAAGCAACGACCCATCCCTCACCAGCAATTGAAACCGACACCGATGCCTTATCCGTCGCATATGACAGTGAAGCATGGAGCAACGTAGATCGGCCCATTCGAGGCGCAGCTGCTTCAATCAACGGAGAGTCTGTCAGCGACCTTACAGACGATGGCTTGTCGATCGCTGAGGCCGCTTCTGGTGACGAGTCGTCCGCGTATGAACCGGCCGACGTCGAGATGCAGTCTGAGGACGAGGAATCTCTAGCAGAGCCTGGGGACGATATGTCACTTCCAGACGATGACACTCCTCGGCCTGCAGATCTGGAAAGGACTCTCAACCGGATGAGTTTAGCGGATCGGGAGAGGCCTCACTCAAGACCATCTCCTTCCCCATCACCCGTTCGTCGTCGGCCGAGACCTGAGCGGCCAAGGCGTACCGCAACAGAGTCACCGATGGGACGAGATACGCTGCCAGAGTTAGAGAGGCGTCGACCAGGAAAGCCTCCAGCCCATGCTCAATCGTTCTTCGAACACGTGTTCCGATGATTACTCAGAGTGTTCTAGCCTCAAACCGATGTTGTAACAATATCAATAATGTAGTCCAATCCGTAGAAGTACATTGTACAAGCCAATGTTTGTTTGTATCATCCTGTGAACACCCTCCCAATAAGATATATCATAGATCCCCCGAAGCGAATAATGCTCGTCATGGCAACGAATGCGAGAATGAAGAGCATGTAAGACTTGGTAACTGTATAATTGTTGCTCCCGTCGAAAGTACTGGAGACGTTTCCACTCAGGATGATGACGGCCAAGAACGACTGGACAGGAAACTGGTTTCAGTAAGTGACAGAAGGACGAAGGCACTGGCTTACGTTTGAAAGGGCCCATGTAAGCAGCACGTTGGTCCTAACGTTAGCATAGTAGTCCTTGATAGCTTCCTCATCTTCGTTGAAAGCCTTCGGTTTGGCTCGTGGGATGGGTTCCCTTACCTTGAGCCGGTGAAGCGCTTCCATGTAAACATTGTCTACGTCATCCTTGTCGTATTCGACTTCCACCTCCACGGTATCACCTTTAACAATACCCCGGACGACACCGAGATCAGTATCCACCGTCGTAATAGCTTTCGTCCCCTGCACGAGTTTCAGCATCTGCTGTGCCCCTAAAGCATGTTGCTTACCCATGAAAAGTCGTGCAGATTGCAGAAGGCATAGCTGACCTCGGTCATGAGCAGACGTCGCCGTTAAAAACAAGAACTCACATGTTGAGGACATTGATAAAGGTAGGCGAGAAGAGCATATATTGCCCAAAGCTCGTCATCAAGTGCCACGGATCCAAGAACAGCGCACTCGCGGCGACAAATGAACCATATGTGACCAGGAGGGAGAGGACCATTCGACTGTACATGGGGGTACCGATCTGTTCAAGAGCTTTGACGGCACAGAGCACGGCGCAGACGACCATCCAGACTGTGAGGACAGCGAATATCACGACGGCGATTCGGTATTTCCAACGTGCACTAATAGCAGGTCAGCTGACTCCTCCGTCCCGTACGCACAATCCTACCCTTTCGGACGATTCCCCATGCTGAAGAGGAAACAAGCCACGATCGTTCCCGCATAAGCATACTAGGTATGTGGTGAAAATATGATCACGCTAATGACGCAACACTAACCTGTGTCAAGGTGTTCAAGAAGCCGACCCCTTTCAGGTTGAACGAGGGGTCGTTGACCGAAGACGTGAGGATCACCTATCCTAATCAGCTTTCGGTAGTCTTTCACTATGAAGTACTCACGAAGAATATGAAGAAGTTCCCCACCGCGAACCAAGCGAAGATGACGTTAATCAGGTTATACCCAAACTCAAATAGCAGCATCGCCTTGCGGAATACACTGTGCCCCGACCGGAGAACCTGGCCAACATGGTACAGCGCATAGACTGAGGCGAAAAAGGAACCGTTGAGCCAGCGCCGGCGTTGGCCTATGAACTCAGCAAGCGTTTCGGGTACGTCGGTCTCCCCGACGGCGCTTTTGACATAGCGGAGAACCCATTCAGAATCAGGCTTGGCTACGAGCTCGAAGCATAGGATACGCTTGAAGTGCGTCAGAAGTGTGTCTGCAGGAGGAGGAAAGAGCTCACATCCTCGGCCAAATCTGAAGGGATCGCGGATGTCAGTAAACAGGACTCGCAAATAATCATCGCACATACACATATTCTGTACAAAGATCAACACGGGTCACCGACAATGACCTTAAAGAAACACGTACAGCTGTAAACATATCGGCATTCTGACCCGATAACACTTCTCCCTTAAAATAACTTGCCAACGGTCCCTTGCCATTCCTGTCATTCTGCAGCGCGATATATCTGTATGCGGAGAATGCGCCCGGGAGCACGTCTGCTCGTTGTCAGCTGCGATTAAGGGTAAAAGCAAGTTGGGCGCACTGATGTACCCGAAGGCGGACTCGCAGGGCTTGTCGAGGATGTTGCTCATCTTGTATTCGTAGTGCTGCGATGCTGCCCGAGCCAGTCAGCTGAAGATACCAGGGAGGGAGGATCAAACACTGACCGACGAGCGGGTTCAGCAGCCCCTTCCACCACTTGCCCTTATACACCGCGATCTCCCCACACGCCCCCGCAACGTTCGAGTTGAGGTCGAACGCCTTCCAGAGATGATACAGGCTCTTGGGCCCAGGGCGCGTACCGACATCGATCAGAATACACACGTTGGGCTGGAGAAGCGGAGCGAAGGCGTTGAAGAACCATCGGTGGGAGTTGATCTTCTTGGCATTCTTTTCCTGTGCTGGATGTTAGCTATATGCACATATCCGATCTGAGCCACAGCGCACTTTCAAGCAAAACAAGATCTGGGTGGGGACAATGTCGAACGAGCTCTCGGGATACCTGAATCTCCTATCCGCATCGAGAGCAAAAGTTGTCGTATACTCCCATACGTGGGCTGTTGTGATCTGGCCTAAGACCATGTTCTTCATCGCGTGTGGTTGGATGATGCCTAAGGCGACCAGACAGTCCATGACTCGGGGGTGTATCTGCCTTCGCCCATCAGAGACAATACATACGACCACCTGTGGATGGGTTAGGAGCCGAAGTAACCCGGTGCAGAAGAGATATGGAAAGCCAAGGAAAACGCACCTTTTTCCAACCGTCGGGTCCCCAAGAACTATTCTTCCTCGAACACAAATGGGCAATATTCTTCATCACCCCGTACAACGTACGGCAGAACAGGACGTCATCCTCGTTGTACATGGTGATGACAATGAACATCTCTGTCTGGCGGTTCATCTCCACCTGACGGAGGGTGAACTTATTCTTTCCAAAGTCGTCTGGGTCGCAGGTGACTGCTGTGTACCTAGGACAGAACGGTCAACGACGAGATATCACCACGGAGAGAGAAACGAACCTCGTCTCCGTCATCTCCCTCGTTCCTCTCTTAGGTAAGATAAGCCTCCTCGGTACCGGCAAGTCGCGCACATAATGTCCATGCTTCAACAGTACCCTCTTCTTCTCCCCATGCCTTCTCGCCTGAGGCCTCACAGGCGCAGGGCCAAAATGTCTTGTGTCTGAATGGCTGAACGGCGTATCCGGTATAGAAGCCTTCTCGTTCAATGTCGACCCGTCTACCTCGTCGTCCACCTCGCCATAGACGACATCACGACCCGCAGCGGAGTATCTCGATGAACCCGCGTACCCCTTCTCATCCGCGACGTCCCCCTCGTCCATGGGGGTAGGCGAGCGGCTCCTGGGCGGCTGATACTGAGCCCGTTGATAACGCCCATACGCCTCCACGTCATGATCCGCGCCAAGCTCGATGTGAGGCTCAGTGGACCCCGGTCTATCGTGAGAATGCACAGAAACAGCGGCATTGGCAGCCTGTTGGCGTTGAACGCTGTCCCAGTCTATAGGGCTCGTGGGCGGGATGTAAGGCAGCGCAGAGGCGGAGTAAGCGGGTGAGTAATACTCCACTGCTGTGTGGGCTGATGAAGATCCGGAAGAGCGATGTGATGCTCTACTTGTCTGTGAAGGGCGTAATCGGATCGTCTGGTCTGCTTCTTCCTCTCCCTCGGGAAGAGGATGATCCCTCGCCTCGTAGCCATCTTCGTACCCCGCCAGTTCCTCTACTTCCTCTTCGTCCTCGTCGTCTTGAGAATGAACGCTTGTAGTCCGCAGCCTCTCCTCGAGCCCATTAAAGGTCGTCGTGGGGTAAGCGACGTCCCATTGGGGACCGCCTTGCGTAGGTAGGGCCGTGTGTCCTGCATACCAACTCATCTCTTCGCGTTATGTTGTTGTGTTGTTCTTCTGGATTGTACTGTATTGTATCCGTCTTCCGTTCGCCGACGTTGATATCAGCCGTGAAAGTAAGTATCAAACAAGCGTTGATGCAACGAGGCAATGAAGAAGCTGCGCCGGAAGCGCCAAGGCACACGCCCTCAAAACGCGTCCCTCTCCGCATCACGTGACAAATGTAAATCAATCATTCCTCTGTGGCGGAGTCCATTCCGCAGGGGGAAATTCCGCAGGGTCGGCATATTGAAGAATAACAATCTGTTGGTTTCTGGGCCGGATGATCGCGCTTGATGGTTATAATTGACAGATTGAATGAGGTGCCACCCCGTCCAGTACGCAGAGGCTACCGGCAGAACAAGGGAGACAGGCTGATATCGCACCCCTCTGCGGTATGCACCAGAATCTCACCAGTCTTGCTCCGATCGATCGTTGTGAACCACACACACACAACAAAGGTTTCTCGTTTTCTGATTAGTGGTCTCCATATACATACACGGAAAGTACAACGAGTGTCGGACCGGAAGGAGCGTAGATCCGCTGCTCGGCCAGTCTCTTTTGGCATCCCCTTTCCTCCCTTTCACTATGCCTCGTTGAGCCATTCCAAAAACTGCGGTGTGAAATACGTCAGGATGAGGGTGCACCCTTGGTTTCATTAGTGTCTGCTCCTTTTCAGGAGACAGGGGAAAGGAGCTTACCAGCCCTCAGCATCCCCTCAATACTCTCAAACGCCATCGTCCTCAGGTCGTACACCCCCATTTCGGCACCGGCAACAACCATGGCGAACTCTCCGCTGACCTGATATGCCGCTAATGGATGATCTGGTGCTAGCTCGGCAGCATCCTGGATCACGTCTAGGTAGGGCATCGCCGGTTTGACCATGATCACATCCGCGCCTTCGTTCACGTCACGCACCTATCCAACCGTGAGAAGAGAACAGAAACATGTGGTAGAGAGCTTACAATTGCTCGCCTTGCCAGGCCCTTCCCACCGGGAGGCAACTGATAGCACTTGCGGTTACCAAACGAAGGCGCACTTCCCGCCGCATCCCTTTGCACTTATCAGCACACGCCTCCCACCAGCTGAACCGGGCTCACCTAAATGGTCCATAGAGCGAGCTCGCAAACTTTGCCGAGTAAGCCATGACCATGCACCGATTTGCGAGTCCAGCCTCGATCAAGCCCTGCTTGATCACCCTAATCCGCCCGTCCATCATATCGCTCGGAGCTACGCAGTGTGCACCGGCCTTGGCATAGGCAACTGCGACCTCGGCGATCCGTTCTACCGAAGGAGCCTGGTTGATCGTCCCGTCCTCGTGGAGGATACCGCAATGGCCGTGAGAGGTATACTCACACAGACACACATCGGTAGCGATGTACAGCTCCGGGAAGAGCTGACGGAGCCGGGTGATAGCCTGGATGACAGGACCTTCCGGATCGTCTGCGGGAGTGCCAGTTTCGTCCTTCGTGCAGTTGAACGGGACACCAAAGAGGATTACGCTCTTGAGCCCGTTCTGCACAAGGGGCCCGAGGAACTCTTTCAACCTGTTCACACCCCACCGGCATTGACCGGGTAGAGAAGCGATTTCGACCCGGGCGTCAGCGTCGTCGGTGATGAAGATGGGGTACATGAGCATGGATTTGGTGAGCTGACGCTTGCATTGCCAGGTCCGTGCGAGCGGGTGGTTGTAACCTCCCTGGAGGATAGACCTAGTAAAATAGTAAAATTGCTGTCTCACAGCTATTCACCGGTGAATAAACGTACGAAATCTCCATGCTCATCGTAGACGGTGTCTATAGGGTGCTGGCAGGACGGCGAAGGGGGAAGCGGGATAATGGGAGCGGTTGGAGGGGGGGAGCGGTGGGTCTGGCGACCGTATTAGATGCGAGGCGACCACCCAACGTTCTGCGGTTTGCGATGCCCTTTTTGCCCCGCGGAGGAGCCCGGCCCTGAACCGGAGGCTTTACCAAATACCCGGCTTGTCAACGCACGAATCGATCCGACAGCGAAAGCAATTCTATTGTTCTTCTCACCAGAATAATCTATTGTAACAATTCAGCATGACAATACGACAATAAGGTACAACTTTGGTGGAGTGAAGAATCCTCGGAGGTCTCCCTTTTCAGCGGTTACAGTACGCCTTCTCCAGCTAACGGCCCTCAATGCCCATCAGCCAATCACAGGGCTTAGATTGAACACCGCCTCCATGTCACCCGCAGCCAGCGTAGCAACTCTCGTGGGACTTTTGCATGGTCAAAACACCTTTCACAACAGCATTATCATTCCGTAGTTCATATGAATTACTCTTCTGCATCGCTTCAGCATACGGCCACTGCTTGTCCCTCAGAAGACTCTTGTTGCCTAGCCCGGAATTTGTCGATCTTCTGCGCATGTCTCTTCGAATAGATCTGGCATCAGGACGTCAGTGCATTATCTTCTGACAGCGACGGGCACACCTCTTCAACCATCTGGTTTGGGAACTTCGCTGGATCCCCAGGCGACTGACACGTTGGAAGCACCTGAAAGCCTAATCACCCACACTGTCAACCTTATCTCACGAAGACGTACTTGAACCGGTGCATCAAGATTCGTATTAAAGAAGAAAGGTATCGAGTACCTTTCCTCCCCTCCCAGGTTCCGGACCCGATGTACTGTGCTCTGGAACCGCCCGTTGCTCATCCGCATCAAGAAATCACCGACATTCATGATATATGCGCCTTCCTTAGGCGGTGCGGGCACCCACCTGCCTTTGGGGTTCAGAACTTCCAGACCAGGTGCCGAAGTCTGCAGCAGTGTGAAGCCTACCGCGCCACGATAAGCACTTTCCCGATTCTGAAGCAGGAAGACAGACAGCTGAAATCTGTATGCGCCCCGATACCCGTCTCGCTTCCGTCATCCACCTCCTGCGGCGGATAATGGATAACCTTCATAGCCGTATTCGGCCTGTCCATCTCCCCCCTCTCGTCAAACCACGCCTCTCCCACCCCGAGCGCGAGTGCAAACGCGCGCATGAGCCTGCGGGATAGCCCAAGCAGCTCAGAGTGGTACGCCTTCAGGTCGCGCTGGAACCACGCCAACTCCGGTTCGGGGGGAAAGTTGTTGGTCCATTCTTTGAGTTTCTTTTCTTGCTCTTCGGTGAGCTTAGGGGGAGAAGGGTCGAGCGAAGGCTCGTAGCCCATCAAGAACCCCTCGTTTCTATCTGCTTCTCATCAATCCTTTTCTCAATATGCATAAGCCGCTCACCGCCAAGTTTCTTAGACGGATCCACCCTTGCTCCATGCACAGGCTCGTACCCTCTCAGATGCCCACTCCCATAAATCCAATTCCGCATTTTCCTCTCCAGCGGCAAATCGAAATATTTCCTCGTCGTTTCGAACGTCCTCTCGATCAAGGGAGAGGCAACACCATGCCCAGTAATGTACGAGAATCCCACGTGTTCGCAGGCGTCTGCCAGTTCCCGAGCGATGGCAGCGCGTTCCTCTACGATTGGGGAGAAGAGGAGGCTGATGTCAATCGTGGGTATGGATGTGAATGGTTGGTCCTCCCCAGATGTGAGGGAGATGCTCCGCCTGCCGGTAAAGGCGCCCTCATAGGAGAAGTAGACGAACTGCTCTTGCTCCTTGGGAGGTTTGGTTAACTGAGGGCCGGGCAGACTCACAGGGCCAGTAGCAGGAGTTTTGCTGAGTTCTGTGACGGTAGAAGACATCTTGCGCAGAGCACCGCGACCTGGGCAAAGCCAATAATTATAGTAATTCATCCCATCGTTCAGGATCGCAAGCGAGCAGGCACTCTGAAGTCGTACATGTCAGGTGCCCGTGCAGGAAGATGAGAAGCATTCCTAACATTCCCAAAGCTGGATGACCCTTGCTGCGCTGGCTAGGCGAGATAAGCTCCAAAAAATAGCATCGAGTCACGCCGAGAAAAGGGTCGACGATCATGAGGTAGACAGGACAGCAGAGCATCCACACAGTACTGTAAGAAGGATGAGTCTGTTTTCATTGAGCTTGAGCTAAAGAAGAGCGTGGCATCTCGTCGCATCTCATTCTCGGTTATACATATTCCGCCCCCAACAACTGCATCGTATCATCATCGTCGACAGCATAATCATGCACAGCGTAGGTAGGTGGGTAGGGAAGGTAGTAGTATAGGACGGGGTGCAGCAGCGCGCATGCGATTCTAGTCATTCTGCTCGAAAGCATAGTCGAACAGGTAGTTAGCCGCCACTTCCTCGTTCTTGTCGCACGCAAAATAGGCCTGAATGGCGAGGTCACGCGGGAAGCCGAGTCCGATTAGCTGTTGAGCCAGAAAGCTCATGTAAGCATGTGCTCGGAATGATGAAATAGTAGTAGGATCACGTACACGTTCAATAGCCGCGTTTTCCTCTGGCGTCACCTGGATTGTGGTCACCCCCGGAACACCGCCTTCACCATCACCTTCCCACTCCATGCCCTCGTCACCCTCACCCTCCTCGCCCGCCAACAGCTGCAGTAATAACTGAGGATTCTGATTCATGACCTGGGCGAGCTGGGGGTTGGTGGCAGCGAGTTGCTGGATGAGGGGTTGGACCAGCGCTGGGTTCTGTGCAATCATTTGCCGGATCTGGGTAAACATGGGCGAATTGCGGAAGGCGGTGATCTGCTGAGCCTGCTGTGGGGTGATCCCACCGGCACCACCAGCCGCAGCACCGAGCCCTGGAACTCCAGCGGCAGCGCCGCCTTGCTGGCGCTGCATTTGCTCAGCAGCGGCTTGGAACAGGTTCTGCGGTTGGGCGGGGTTCGCGGGTGCCACAGGGGCAACGGGTGCGGCAGCGGCGGCGGGTGTGGGGGCAGCAGGCGTGGCAGCAGCGGCAGCGGGTGGTGGCACGGCAGACGCGGCATCAGCGGGTGCTTCTTCACGCACCAGGTGATCCGGGATCCCCTATCAATAGGGTTAGACTGTGGTTCCCACGCAGAGAGTGGCATGAACGCACACTCATCAGATACTCGACCGCACGATCAGGGTTGTTGTATGCTGCCTTGAGAGCGCGCATGACCTGTGCACGTTCGAAACCCATCTCCATCATGTTCTCGACCGCACCCTGAAGAGCAGCTCCAGTGAAGAAAGCGGACTGGTCGCCCCATGCGGGCGCAGCTGCAGCCGCGGCGGGCTGCTCGGTAGCGGCCGGTACAGGAGCTGGGGCAGCGACCGGCTCAGCAGGTGCGGGGACAACGGCGGGTTCAGAAGGTACGGCAGAGGAAGAGGTAGACGCGACAGGCTTGGCAGGCTCCGGAGTAGCCGTTTTACTTGTCGTTGCTGCGGGGGCAGCCTTTGGCTGCAGACGCGTGGCGCATACGTAAGCTCCTAATGCGACCTGGAAAGAAGTGAAGTTCACACCTTGCTGACCATAACGACTAGGAAGTCCTTCTCCTTGATTTTACATGCCTCTACTGTCTGGGTATCGCTGAGAATCTTACCTAGGTATGCAGATGAGTCCTGTGGTGCGTAGCGAGTCATAGGGGATGACTGACCGGAGTAGATAATCTTCTGTTGCTCAACAGGGAAGTCCTGGTCCTGGCTGATCCTGTGCTTGAGATCGAGGACAGTGTCTGACGGCTCAGCATCCAGAGTGAACTGCTTTTGCTGCAGCGTCTTGAAAGTTAACTTCATGACTGCAAAGAGATGGTGGTGGAGAAGAGGAAAGAGAAGTAAGGAGTCAGGTTGTTGGGAGTGAGGAAGCGGCGTGGGTGAGCGAAATGGACCCGGGACGGGATCAAAGTGAATAAAGGGAATATTATTACTAACTACAAACCTTGATCTTCTTTTTAAACTCTCTGTTAATGCTATATACCCTCTCATTGCGATGGCAAATACTGAACAAGGCGATGATTATATCCGCAGATTCGCCGCTTTCATTCGATCTCATGAACAAAGCTTAGCAAGCGCCGGCTTTGTTCCTCGCACACGACACCACTCAACCTCACAATCAGAGCCTTACAACCTCCTCTCATGGGTCACGCCCTCTCAACCACAGCGACATACGAGTCCCGTCGTACTTTCTATCGACCCTCACCATCTCTCCTACATTTTAATGCGAATGGAAGCGCTTGGCCTCAACGTAGGTGACATGGACGTCAAGCTCGAAACACCCCTGAAGCAAAACGCGTACATGTCCCTCCTCGCAGCGAAGGATAGGGACGCACAGTCCATATTCTCAATCCGTTCTACCCTCTCCGCCGTCAGCAAGCTCTCCCTCGGTCCTTCATTAGGCTGGCTTATGGGGGGCGCTGTTCAACCGCCCAGCCTCGACACCGAGCTCAAGCACATGTACAGCCTCATGACGCTCCTACCGGCTCTCTCGTTACACGCCTTCAGTGCACGCATGATTACGGAACTTGCGGAAGACCCACCGGTCGACAACGCCCTCCCTCTGGATGTATTCAAGAGCCTGCAGAGCTTGGAGATGACGGACGTAGACCCGCGGGACTACATCGGATGGGATCAACTGAGCATTGGCCTAAGGAGTTTCACGATAAGGAGGAGCAGCGTGGAGGACGTGAGCGACGTGCTAGTAGATGCGGTGGCCAATGATATGGTGAGGAGGAAGGGGGATCTCAAGACGCCTGTGAAGAATCGACCTAGATTGATTCACCACGCATCGTCTATTCGCTCGCAACATCCATCCATTAGCCCCGACGGGCTGCCGCACTCCCCACCTGCCGAAGCGCCTCCTCCCACCCTGCCCGCCTACACTTGGGCATCTCTGCGGCACCTTGCGTTACCGGATAACGCCCTCACCTTCTTCCCTTCGGCGCCAACCCCATACCTCAGCGCGCTGCAATCGCTCGACCTCTCATCAAACCTGCTCGTCTCCCTCCCGCCCTGCCTATCTCAAATCCCCACCCTCACACACCTCTCCGTCGCTCACAACATGCTCGACAGCATCCTAGGGATTGGTGCCCTCCTACCCGAAGTCCGCAGCCTCAACCTCTCTCACAACCGCCTAGACAGTCTGTGCGGGCTCGAGCGTCTCCCTCGCCTGCGCTTCGCCGACTTGCGCTCCAACGCTCTAGAAGATTCGGCCGAAGTGGGCCGGCTGTCCCAGTGTATGGAGATAGAAGACGTATGGATAGAGGACAACATGTTCTGCCGGACCGAGCCAGACTGGCGCGTCCGGGTGTTCGAGCTTTTCAGGCGGGAGGGCAGGGAGGTCAAGCTGGACGGCACAGGCCCAACCTGGACCGAGAACATGTACATATCTTCCCCTTCACCTGCTCACCTGCCCTCTCTTCCCCCTCCGCCAGTCCAGGCAGTACAGGAACCTCCCGCAACGACGATTACTTCCTCCCCGCCCCTCTTCCCGCACCAGACACCCTCTACCGCCCCAGCGCCGAGACCGACCGTAACCGCTACCATTCGCCCCTTCCCTGTTCCGGGCACGGCACCCGCGCCCTCCTCACCCAAGGCACAGTTGCAGCCCAAGCGCACACCGGGCTCTCCCAGCACCCTTGCACCCACGCCTAAGAAACGCCGCCCCCCGGTGAAGAGGGTCGTCGACCTAGACGGAGGGGCCATACCGACCAACGTTAGGCCGACTGCAAACGATGATCAGCAAAGTGTCATGCAGCATTTACGTGTCTCCTTGTCCTCTGTCGACTCGCATCTTGGGCCACATCCACGCTCCGCCTTACTCGCATCTCCCAGTCCGCCGCCGAACCCGGATGCAGAGGCGTTCCGCGCTAGAATCGAGGCGTTGCGGGAGGAGGTGGGAGAGAGTTGGCTTCGGGTCCTCAGCCAGGGGAAAGAATTGGGGAAGAAGGTTACTTCATGATATTCACGCTTTCATCAGGTTCGAGTGTTGATTTTGGTCCTTTGATGTTGGATGGAGGTCGGAGGTTGGAGTTGGTGTGGTTAATGTTTGTATCAGTACGAGTGGCATTCACGTTATCGGGTTCATTTATGCGGATTGCTGATACCTCTTTATTCATGTGTATTATGCTAATGTTGCCAATGCGATGCCCGATATGTTCGGTGTTTACGATCAACGTCTGCATCCCTCCCGCTTTCAGCTGAACTGTCCGGGCCCGGCTGGAATGGGCGCGCCCTGGATATCTCGAGCGGTACTCTTTGCGAACCCGATTCTTCCATTTTGCGAGTAGTCAAAGATGGCATACCCTGAAGAGTCATCAGAAAGAACTCACGTCTGAAGGTCCCATACTCACAAGATTTGAGAAACCCGGCTCCGATCACCGCAAAATTACTTGGTAACTCTTCCGGAAACCCGAAGACGCCACCAACACAGTCTCTGGACCAGGTTCAGCTATTAGATCACGTTGAGAGGCGGTATTTACGTTGAACTTTGTGTCGTCTTTCCCAAGTTGAAGTCCGACAGATCAATGTCAAAGGGTACCGCATCGAAGCTGATCGTGAGGTTCAACCTTGAATTGCATGGAAACGTCCAGAATCCTTTCTCGCGGTCAGTTAGACTCCGCCTTGGACAAATCACCGACCTTCGCCATATTGTGGTGCTGACTTAGAACCGGGTATCTGGCGCCATCAGCCGCTCAGCGAAAGTGTGCAACGGTGATCACATTGTGACGGTGCGCACCTGATTGTAGAATGCTGTCGCAGCTGACATCGGTACATAGATTTGACTCGTTCCTGCCAATTTTTTTCAGAATATTGCTACTGAAACTGTGGCCCTGTCATACCAGAATCTATCGCCTGGCACAACGCATCATATTTAGACCGGACACCTGGTTAGAGGACGACACGAACCGCGACCAGGCCAACCGGAACTACCCCCACTGTATTAACTGCCAGGCCCGTCATACCGAGAGTCCTGGAGAGCTATGTGAACGGGCGAGATCGTTCAAAGATGAAGCGGATTTCTTACCACCACGTCTACGCTTTCGTCAGACAGAGTCAATCAGCAAACCCAATTGCCTACCTTTGATTGAAGTGGAAGCCAAGCGATATCTCCCGTAAACTTGTCTTCGTTAATGCACCCCAAGCAGAGCTGACGATGATGTAGGTCAATAGACATTTCAAGTGGAGAGCTCGTACCTCCGAGTGTCCTCCACTGGTAGAAGGTGCAAGTGCAATGCTGAATAATGGAGAAGGGACTTTCTGCGCGCGAACCAGGTTCTCGAAGAATGTATTGGTCTTTGTCTGGGATATCGCTCCAAACCCGAGGCCTACCAAGAATCCTTCATTAATTGAATGTATCAATCTGTTCCACAGGCTCGCTTCTTACCTAACACGCCACTGCTGGGGTAGCTGGAGAAGGACGAAGCAATCTGGTCCACCGCGCCAAAATACTGGTGCTCGATAGCCAGCGCGGCTACTGATACCGTATCTTGTGCTAAGACGCCGCTAACGTACCCATCCCCCTTTCCAGTACGCGTTAATTTGGATACACCGCATCAACTATCTGACCTCACATAACTGACGTAGAACTCTGACATGGTTTGGCCATATGTGATGCTGGCTGCAGAGAAGAATTGCTTGGAGTGGCATGCCGTGCATCCAGATAGAAACTGCAAGGGATATTCAGATACGTTTTTTCTTCCTATGAGACCACTTACCCATAAGTCCGCAGAACTGGATCACCTCAGTAAGACCGAAATACCTACATATATGCGTCTCAAATGGCTCACCCTGTGTCTGGTATGAGGCTAAGGCTCTGTGGAGGGTTCCCGGCAGCCACAGGACCAGAATACAGGACGTCTCTGCTGTAGTCGGTCAACTCCATGGTCTGATGTTCCACCACACCCGAGCTGGAAGGATATAAAGGTAGCTGCGACTCGATGCCACCCTGGCTGTCATCAACCATGGGTGTCATCACGCCAGTCACGTTGTGTAGAAGTGAAGCAGCTTGGGCGTATTTGATGAGGAGGCCATTGAGCTCGCGCTTGACGAAAGCGGGAATGAACACTGCGTCTTGGTCCCGTCTGTCATGCTGTATGTTGTAGGAAAGGCGAACTCCCTGGCCGGTGTGATCAAGTGAATTCTTGTGGCGGAGAACAGGTAGCGGCCCAGCCGCTTGTGATAGTGACACGAGGAGAGAAGCGCACAGCGCCAATGCAAGCCCAGCAAGCATGTTGGTGGTTGGAATCAGGGTGCCCGGTGCCGCGATCTGTCGATCTGAAAGACGCACTACGCAGGCCTGCAAGGACATGACCGTAAACGAACTTCCTTTACATAGCAGGTCATTTACACATTGTAAGAAAGGAGCTGTTTCTGGGCCTTCCAGGGCAGCAACACTCGAAAGCAGCGAGTTAATTGAAAACTTTACCCCGTTCCCTTCATTGATCCGGCAATCAGTGATCCCTCTCATGGGTATACTGGCACAGGCAGGCTCCCTCGTAAATACTCAAGAGAGGAGGTATACGGTCTATACTTGACGGGCTCCGAGCACAAGAGTAGAGTGCCGCAATTTGAGGCAACCGCAGTCATGTTATGAATGGAGTTGAGGAAAGACTGAGCGAAGAAGGCCAAGAAACAGGTTAAACGGAGGAGACGAGGCTGTAATTACAGAGGCCGAATGTCCGAAACTATACCCAAACAAATTAGCAAATATCTAGGGCTTTCCCAAGTCTTCAACACGCAGAGCATCCTCCGCGTTTTCCGAACCCAATGATCCGCCCTGCTCAGTGGGCGACCGATCCGAACTTCGTGGTGCCTGTGACTTTGACAACGTATTCACGCTCCGCGCTGCGAACGGCACTCGCGCAACTCGAGTCATAGTGGATCTCGGCTTTGTGTCCATTGGAATTTCCACCGCCTTGTACGACGCCAGTTCTTCTTGTAGCTTCCGCCTTGCCTCCTCTGCCCCATCACGTTCCAAGGTAGACACAATCAATTTCTGCAGGAGTCATCAATAGGATGTTCCTACCCAGTCACAACCTTGCTTGCCTGCTTAACATCGGCCATTTCCCTTCGGAGCTTGTCGACATAAAGAATCTTTTGCATGGGATTCTGATGGCCGAGGATCTCCGCATTGAAACGACTCAACCGTTCCGCTTCATCTTCGGCGAGTGCATTTCTGGACAAGATGACTCTAACTTCGGCCAGTAATGCTTGGTATTCGCTCTTGTACCTCTCCACCTGTGCAAGATTCTCTTGGAGACTATAATTCAAGCACATGAGTAGATGCTTGCTAAGTTGCATATTGAATCTCACCTGTCGACGTCGACCGCGAGTGCCGCTTCCCGTGATTTGCCGTGTGCTAGGTCAAGCGCCATCTGGGCGGCGTATGCCTTCTCAGAGTTCATTTGCTTTGTCAACTTGTTCAGTTCTGCCTGGTAACCCGATTGGATCCTGCCACTTTCAGCAGCCGATTGTGTCACACGATCTGTTACTTCGGATAATTGGGCTTTCAGACTCGTAACACACTGCTCAGCAGTGGCCAGTCGTACTTCGGCATCTGCAAGAGCAGATTGGGCATTTGTATGTGCTGTTTCGTGTTCGGCAAGTTTCGCCTTCGTCATTTCGTTCTCCGATTCAGCATTACTGGCTCGATCGAGCACTTGATGGTACCCTTCTTCGACCCATTTCTTGTCAAACTTGAAGAACTCCACGACCTCACGTTGAGTCCGCTCCTGAAGTTGGACCAGCTCCTCACGCCAAGCCGAGTCCGAATCCAACTGCGGATCTTCTTGCAGCGCCTGGGGACGTACGATCGTCTCTCGATCGATGAAGCGAGATTGATGGCGGAGCATAGCACCAATCAGCGAGTCGTAATGGTTCAGTCCATGGAGCATGGTGACAGTCGCGTCTTCTTGCAACTGCAGAGCGACAGCTAGTTGACGAATACGTCGTTCCTTCTCCCTTGCGAGGCCTTCCAGTCGAATGCGAGTTGCTTCTGCTGTTGCACGTTCAAGAGCACCTTGATGCCGGAGCTTGTGCATAGTTGCACTGAGAGCACCATATTTTGTTGCAACTGCTGACATAACTTCACGGACATGTTGAAGCTGTGCCTTTAGATCGTCCCGTTCTTTGAAAGTCTTCATCCTTTCTTCGTCTATAACTTGCTTCGCGTTGGAGCTATGTTCACGAAGGCTGGTGATTTCTTTCTGGAGCGCTTGGACGCGTGCATCGAATAAGCGATCATTGTCTTTCTCTTGCTCTCTGTGTTGATTGTCGATCTTTTGATGCTTGAGTTTTGTCGCTTCGAGCTCCTCACGGACTCGTTTGAGCTCGTCTCGAACTTTTCGCAGCTCGTCATTCGTCTTTCGACTTTCGCCCTGCTTGTCACGTAATTCTTGCTTGGACTTAATGGCGACAGATTCTTGATCATGAAGCTTCAGTTGGAGCTCTGCCAGCTCCTTTGCGTGTCGTGCCTGCATCGCTTGCCGTTCAGCTTGAAATTGTCTCTTCTGATCTTGGGAAGCTTCAGCGCCAGAGGCTGATAATTGGAGGATGTGCAGCTTCGATCGAAGTTCCTGGTTCTCCGTCTCAGCCATGGCGTGGGCCCTTTTCAAGTCTTGTATGCGGCGGCTTTCTGATTCTCGATGACTTGTGACGGAGTCCAGTTCTCTCTGCTTCTCAGCCACAAACGCTCGGGCATGTTCGAGGTCGGATTCTAAGGTTCCCTTGTCTGCTCGAGACTAATAACGCTTAGGTGACACTCATCAGATTCTTAGCGATGCTCACTTTGGATTTGCTCTCCAAGTGCATCTTCTCTAACTCTTCCAGGCGGCGCTGGAGAGCCCCATATTTGCTGGCGCGCTCCGCGAGTTGTTTGACCTCTTTCTCAGCCTTTTCATGCTACGGCATGTCGTGAGCTAATGTTAAAGGGTTATCATTTCGAAACTTACCGCCAGGCGTGCTGTGGTTTCGCGGTCCTGTGCCAAGCCTATGGACAGTTTAGTGCCGTATCACACGGGTACCAATTAATCACATACGCTGCTCCTTGATCGCAATAGCTGCCTCTGTCTGCAACGTGCCCTTTTCTCTCACTAACTCCCGCGTCCTTGCCTCTGCCTGCTCAAGCTTGCTCTCTAATTGGTGTACTTCATGCCGACGCTCCTTCAAGAGACGAGCATTCTCTCCTTGCAATTCTTGTATCTAGCGATATATTAGGAATTGAAAGAGCACCAGGCACCTTGCTCACCTGCTGTCGCAACTGATGGTCCTGGTTCTGTGACGCGGATGGTTTGCGCTGGTGGTGCACATTCCCCTTTACTTCTGCAGTGATCGATTGATAATCGCTTGGACCTAACACGTTCATAAGATGAAACATGGATTTATATGTCAAGTTACCTGGACCGTCAGGAACCTTATCGAACACCTTTCTTTCGGACTTCTCCAGAAACGCGCCTCGCTTGTAAGGTGCGTCATCAATTTCTTTGGGTTGATAATAACCCGGCGGAGGAACGTCAGACGCTAACGGAAAGCTGTCACATTGTTTAATTGCTCTCCATTCGAAATTGTCCTTACGTTTTTCAATGGGAAACCGAGCCGCCTTGCCAAACATGATGTTATCGGACAATCAAACAGCGGAGAACTTGGAAACATCAACGACGCGTCGCGAGATGTTCGCGAAGCACGTGACCTCCGATTTTAACGGGACCAATCTTAAGTGGCCTGCTGAGTAGGTATGGCTAGATTAATGCAGATGACATTCACTAAAATCGTGGTGAGGTCACGGGGTCGTCCTCTCCCTTCTCTATAAATCTGAGAAGTTTTGATGATAAGCTATATCCCCGTTGTTGCATCTCCTCTGCTGCCACTTTCCAACGTGGGTCGAAGGACGTTACACACTTGCGGATGATGGCCTCGTATACCCGAGCTGGAACATCAGGCGACTTCAACTTCATTTCCTCAAGATAATAAAATGCCTCCTCGTAGCTTGTTTGCGTGAGTGCAAGTAAGAGCATTTTCTCATAGGCAGCCTCATCGGGGAGTATTCCTGCTCGTGTCATCTCTTCGTAGAGTTTTTCTCCCAGAGCATGGTGCTGAGCCTTCACACAAGCATCCAGCAGGTAATAGAATGTGTCCCTCGTTGGCTGGACGCCGAGTTTCTCGCACTCCTTGTATGTACCCACAGCACGTTGGAGGTCATCAAGTTCCACGGATGCACGGATGATAACGTTGACGGCGGATATGTCGATCGGTTTGCCATCGTTTTTCAGCTCTTCAAGAATGTAAAATGCGTTGTCAACATCATCGACACTCTGAACGATTCGTCGCAATATCGGCATCGTTGTCGATTCTTCTGGCGATATCGAATGTGACCGCATGAGAGAAAGCACGTGGAGGGCGTCCTTCAAGTTGTTGGCATTCAGGAAGGCCTCAAGAACAGGAGCCAGGTGATGTTCTCGAAATACTGCTCCATTTTTTCGTAGTGCACGAATAACACCCATGGCCAGTTCTGGCCGGCCAGACCGACCCGCAACATGGAGGACATCGAGACAGAGACCTTCGTCGGGGGGTGCAAGACCTTGTTCCACACCTTTTACCCAACATATTTCTACACCCTCGATCTACGGAGATGAGGGATCAGACCCTGCGACAGAAAAAGCAATGTGCTAACGTAGTGTAAGACGGCACAACTTCCCAACATTTTCATCCAGGATGTGGCTGGTATACGACGGGCCGATTTCTCCTCGTAGTTTAGGGCGAAGTCCAGCGCCAATCGCGCATAATTGAGCTGAGCGGCAAGATTGATGAACGCTTCCACAGTCGCTATGGTCGGATGAATTTCTTGTACGCTCATCTCATCAACAATCTGGAGGCACATTTCCAAGTTTCTGTTGTCCGCATGATACTGTATGAGATGCTGGTAGGAGAGCGCATTGCGTTCAATGCCTGCCGAAGTCATTTGGCGCAGGATAAAAGTGCAGTTAAGGTCATTGTATCGTGCAGACTGGAGATAGGTAAGTCAAAGCAAAAGCTGGGTAGTCTGGTGCGGCGCACGTGTAAAAGAAGGTTATACGTCTCAAGATCCGGTTGTACCCCTGCAGCAGCCATATCGGTGAAAATTGCATACATCGTCTCGAACTGGTTCAGATCTTTCAGCATGCGGAGTAATGCATTGTAGGTTTCGGCGGTGGGGCGTATACGCTGTGCACGCATGATTCTGCAGATCCTGAATGATTCCTTGATATCCAAACTTCGCGTAGCCCTTGTCAACTGAGCAGTAAGGTCACCTAGAGGAGTTGCGACATTGGGCCGTTCAACGAGAGATGTCCGTCGATTGTCGTCTCGACGTCGAGGGTCGAACAGAAAGTTCGACCGAGTCTGAGACGGCGGTCGATTCGCCGTAGCAACACGGGCCCATCTTTGTTGGAATCGAAAGCCTTGCACACGTTGAGATCCATTCTGGCCAGAGCACAGCAAATGGCTCACAATTACTGCTTTCTCCTGCGGAAACCAACGTCCTACGTGCCGCTGAAGAGGACGATACTAATCCCGCACGCTGCATACTACTATCAGCGGCGTGGACTCCTCGGTCGCGTCCTGGACAATCTCTGTTGCGGATAACGAGGGCGGAGTCGACAAGTACGGGCGCTCCTGCGAGACTAGAGAAGTCGTCCGACCCTCACGAATAATTTCGGAAGCGTGAACGGAGACGGAAGCAGAGGACCCCGGAAGGACATGAGGTGTTGAAGGGCTCTCGCTGAGGCCAGCTCCCCCTCGACGCGCCTCCTCCCCTCTCGACCAGCACAGTCACCAATCCTTCTCCTTGTTTTCATATCTTGCTTACACTGCGGACAACACCATGTTCTATGCAGAGGCCATCTTGTCGCGGCGTGGGCCACTCGCAAAAGTTTGGCTGGCGGCGCATTGGGAGAGGAAGTTGTCGAAACAACAAACATTGCAGACAGACATTGAGCAATCCGTTGGTGCGTGATATTACCTGACCGTTCAGTATGACGGCCAACACGACCTCTACTCAACGTGTCTTTTTAACACCTATGTTGATACTCGCTGGCAGACGCGATCGTGAACCAGGAAACCGTGCCACTCGCGCTTCGACTCAGTGGTCAACTGCTGCTCGGTGTTGTGCGAATCTACAGCAGAAAGGCAAAATATTTATTGGATGATTGCAATGATGCATTGCTTAAGATAAAGATGGTATGTAAATTGACTCTTGCTTGCGATTATTATGATGTAACGTCATTTCAGGCTTTCCGACCCGGCATTGTGGACATGACGGAAGAGCAGTTGACAGTCCCTAGGAACGCCATCACGCTCAGCAATGAGGGTCTCGATTTTGATTTCATGATGGACGATTGGTACGTTACTTACGTGTCCCTTTGATGAGTTCTCATCTGGTCCGAAGGAATATGAACTTCGTCGCTCCAGCTCCTAGTGGTCGCCATGCTGCCAAGATCGCCGACATCACACTGAATGGAGGTGACAATTTCGCGTTCGATCTGGAGGATCCATACGCAAATCCCTTCGTGTTCGAAGGTGGCATCGACTCTCAAATTGATCTGAATCTGGATGACGCGATGGACATTGATCTCGAGGCGCCTGAGGTTGGGCGCGGTGCAGATCAGGAGAGCGTGGAGGTCGGTCGTGACGCGCCGAACGTATCCAATTCCATAGAGCGCTCTTTTAACAACCATCTACGTCCCAATGCCGCTGATGATGGCTGGGGTGCAGGTGCTGGCGATGAGTTCAATTTCGAGTTCGACGCACCCGACGGCGACTTGTTTGACTTGGACGCTCCTGTCGATCTGCCTGACCTGGTAGGTGGTAAACAATCCAGTCTCGCTCCGGAGCACGAACGCGAGAAGACTCCCCTGTCACCAGCCTGTGAGGTAGTCTGATCGAAAATCGTGACTTTACTGACCCTCGGACCTAGCATCGCGCCTTACCTCCCTGCCTCCGACACCGCCGCCTATGGAGGTCACGATGCCCACTTTGACTCCCCGCACCGCTGCTCGCCTGGACGAGATGGCGGACAAAGTGACTTCGAAGTCTGCGAAGGACAAGAAGAAGGCTCTTCTGAAGCGTCAGGCGATCGATGCCATCACAGAGCTGGATGAAGGCGACGCGTTCGGACAAAGCTTCGGAAACGAGGACAAGGATCTAAGCGGCATATTAGCAGATGTGAGTCTTACCCCATTTGTGTCGGTTTGTTGTTTTAATCATCATGAAGCATCCCTTGTTGCCTGGCTCTCGATCCATGTTGAGGCTGCTGCAAGTCCGCGCCGACCCCTTGGCCCATTTCCTGCCCACGAAGACTTTGAATGCTGACACGTACTTCATTGCCGCACCACCTGGTCTTGCGCCAGAGCTTGCCGAGCTGTTCACTTTCCCTACTAATCGCCGCCGGTATGCAGAAGACGAAGGCGAAGCACCCACTCCCAAACGTCCGAGATTCAGCGAGACTGAAGTTGAAATGGGTCGACGTGAAGAGGGCGACGCGGGCCGAAGCCTGGTCATTGGTGATGATGTTCTCGGCGCCGGTGGTCCCCAGGATGATGGCGGTTTCATGTTTGACGAATCTGGTGACGCACCCATGATGGACATTGAGATGGACCGGGATGGTTGGGGTGTGAGCGGTCGTCAAGGTACCCCGCGCCCTGGGAGTAAAGCTCCTGACGGTCGCGCTGCAAGTGAAGCAGTCTTCAGCCGTCTCTCCACGCCATATCTGGATGATGGAGATGTCGGCGGAATCTCGTACGACAACCTGACCTGTCCAATCGAAATCTTCGACACAAGGCAGAAGGATGACACCCAGCCCACGCAATCCGGCGAGGATAGCGAAGACGTTGATGCTCAGGTAGCAGAAGCGAAGCAGCATGGCTTCAGCAAGAACACCCTGAAGGCTGTTGCAATTCTCAAGAAGGAACTTCACCCTACACCCAGCAAGGCAGATAAGAAGCTCAGCTTCAATCAGGTTTCCCAGAAGGCGTCTCGCAGGGCTGCATCCTCGTTCTTCTTCGAGCTCCTTGTGCTTGGTACTCGCGACTGCGTCAAACTGCAGCAGGCCGATTCGTTCGGCAATATCGAGGTATCGGCCAAGGAGAAGCTCTTTAAGCTCGGCACTTCCGAGGGTGTGCCCGTTGAGCCGGTTGCGTGATATTTCATATATCTACACGAATTCGCCATGAGTTCATTCCAGCTTTTCTTCTTGGATGTACATACTTCCTCATTCCTTCGATACCTTTGGCGTACATTGTGGAGTTTTTATAGTATTTTGTATTTCCGACCTGTGACTTTGTACCTCCATTTTTGTTGGATAGTTAGATACAATAGTAGTAATGAAGTATACGTACTATCATCATTCCCCAACCTGAGTTTGGGAGTGTCGTCCCTGAGATCCTCCTGCACCTCATACAGAAGCCACGTCTGTGGAAGCTCAGCCAGCGCCAACTATCGACACGCCATCCTACAACAGGTGCTGGTCACCGTCAGATCAGCCTTCCCTCATCCCCCTCTTACCAAAGCAATTGTTGCAGTCATGCCACCATCGGATAGTATCAGTATGTCAGCAGGACGTCGAATGCCGACTAGAACGCGCCTGGTCTTTCGACGCATAATGCGCTCCCAAAAGTTCGTCCTCCCCAACAACTACCACCTTCCCATACGATTACGACCAGTACGCTTCTAATTTATGATCTGCATGCATAGCTAACGCGGTACGTAGTGGTTTGTGATATTTACGCTTGTCGATATGATATTCCTTGCCTTCCTGGGGTTCACGAACGTCGTTCACGACGTGCCCGTCAATGACAAGGTGATGCACTTTGTATGCCTGGGCCTCGCCACAGGCCTGGTGTATTTCATATTTGACGTTGAAGAGTACGCTGCTGCATCTATCATTGGATCGTTCTTAATATGCGCGTAGGGATGCAAGACGGATATGGATTTGGCGCAACGCTGGCTTGTTCATCACTGGCTTCCTGTGCTTTGTGCTCGGCGGGATTGTGAGCGAATTTGTGCAGGGATTATTACCAGTAAGCAGTACTGATTTCTCCCTCGTTGCATGTGTGCTAATTGATTGTAGTACAAAACTTTCCAACTTGGAGATATTGCTGTATGCACATTTTCCTCGTACTTGCAGTCCCCAGCTAACGTGGCTGACAGGCAAACCTTCTTGGCTCGTCACTAGGGTTGTATCTATCCTGGAACCTTGAGCGCTACTACCGTCACCGGCGGGAGATTGAACGTCTCTACCAGCCCCTGGACGTCCTCGAAGAGCCCACAGACGACGAAGGCGACGACACGCTTCCCTCGTTCTATACGCGTCAACAACCACGGGCTGTGACTTCGCTTGGCGTGCAGCGGAGTAGACTGGCAGACGTGTGGGATGAGAGGGAGGAGGTATTCCACTTGGTGGATGGTGAGGAAGATGAGGCAGAGCCGCCGAAGGCAGGAACAGCAGGGAAGACTAGATGAGGACCATGGGCCCCAGAGGCGACGGACATCATTAATGTAACCATATCGTAATCATGACTGGGATGGCTGGAAGAGCAACTCGCGAGTGGTAATGAATCCACCATGAATATGGGGAATGAACGACTGCATATCACGCAAACACCTTCCTAACTGCCAGCTCGTCCTCCGGCATCTTCTGCTTCTCCTTTCTGACGCCTTTGTCCATCTGTGCCTCCTTCCTCAGCCTGTACGACTCTCCCTGTTTCCTCCTCACAGCCGCGCGGACCGCTGCTGGTGATACGAACTCCGGGTTGGAGAATACGGTCGCGCCAGCGAATGCGCCCTCGAAGATTCGGATCGGGGTGAGCACGAAACGCGGCCCAATTTCGACAAGCGATGTTTTCGGTGGAGCTGATGGATTCTCCGGGTCCTTCTCGAGGATCTGGAAATTACGAAACCAGATCTTGTCATCGACCAGCGAGAAAGTGAGGATGTGGTCAATGAACGGCTTGGTACGACGTGCACTGGGTGGGACACCAAATATCTGGCAATAGATCAGTATGAGAATAAAAGTTCAAGTTTGCTTGCAACACACTTGCGTGAAAACCTCCTTTATAAGTCTCCAGTTTTCACTGCTATCGAACCCCTCGTCAAAGCACACCAGACCTCTGCTTCCCTTCAAGCAGTTGCCCGTCAACTTGAGCTCGTCCATCGTGTGCACATTTTGCACGTGCATTTTTATACTTGGTCCATTAGGTGTCTTAGAGGCCCAGAGATAGAGGTCTTCGTGTCGTCGAGCTTCGAAGTAAAGAGTGTTGTTACAGTTGTGGAGATCAGCGAGCTCGGGAAGAAGGTGAAGCTGGTGCTTGGAATCGAGCTTAGCATCTAAGCAAGTTGTTAACATCCCCGCAGAATACATGGGACGCTTCTAAGCACCTTTTTTTGCCTGTGGCAACAGCGCCTCCAAATCATTGAGCAAATGCCGCATTCGATGCGTTACTCCTCTCGAGGAGAGGAGCAACACCCGCTGTTTGTTCCTTTTCTTCTTAGGCTCGTTCTCCCCAACTCCATTCCTCTCACCCTCGTTCTCCCCCAGTTCCTCCCGCTTCCTCTTCCCAGCAACAGTTTTGCTAGACTCTTTGAGCAAGCTGGCCATTGGATATAGACGGGCAGTGCCAGGTGAAAAAAAAGTGGAGAAGAACAAGAATTTTGGGATAGACTTGCTTCCGCCCTATAGATGTCCCTTTCTTCATTACGTACCAGCAAGCGCTCATCGTCGCTCTGCATGGTCCGCTTCAAGGTGCGTCGCAGCCCGTTTACGATCATAATTCGGTCATTCATGTGCACCAACTTCATTAGAATCGATGGCTGCTTGTTGAGTTTATCCCATGCGGGCCGTCCCAAACCTCGCAGCGGACGACGACTTCAAAACAGATCTGGTCGGCAGTGCGTGACATAGTTGTGCACAACTTCGGAGAGGTGGGTTGGGGGGCTGTGGGGGCAGGCTTGAATGGTACATCTTACTATATACACGGTCATTGTTTTCATTGACAAGGATGCATGATAGTGAAGTACTATTCGCCGGTCACGAATTTGTGCATCATGCGTGTGGCACGCGACCATTATCGGATGGCTTGGGCTGCGTTGACCCTTCTCACTTCCCTGAATGGAGAACTGTGTATACCGAGGGTGGTACATTGTTCCGGCACTATCAAGCAAGTTCAGATTGCAGCGATCAAGTATGATAGAGAACTGATTGCGAGGATGAAGGAGAAAGGTGTTCCAGGTCTGTCCAGCGTCCATGCCATATAATGTTCAGAGTGCTCAGATCCCACCAGAGTTTTCGGACGAGAAGCTGGACGCACTGTTGGAGACGACTGTGGACGACATAGAAGCTATTCAGGATTGATCTTCGCCTCGTCAGTGTACTGTATTAATAACTTGATTTCATTTCAGTCTGGGCCAGTCGTCGAAGATACCCTCCAGCAAGGCAAGCTCTCCATGTCCAGACGCTTGATCTCATGTATCCATCTCGTGGTAATGCGACTCTGCCTACTTCACCTCCTTTCCACATAGCATCTACCACGGGATCGGCTCGCCATTATACCGTTTGAAAGTGCCCGAGTCCTTCTGCGTCGCGCCCTTGATCGTCTTGAGCATGTTGCCGATCGAGAAATCCGGTTCGAGCATGGCACCCGGTCCACCCATATCAGTCTTAACCCAGCCTACGCTCCTGTCAGCACAGGATCAATCTCCCAGGCATGCGCATAACTCACCGGGGTCAATAACAAACGTGATAAGATCTGGCTTCTCCTTGGCTAGCTTGTAGGTGTACATGTTCAACGCCGTCTTAGCAATACTGTAGCTCGCATTCTTTGGCCCGCAGTCCAATCCAATGCTCGCAAGACCGCTCGTCATGTTCATGATAACCTTCTTGTTGCCTTTCTCGACGAGGGCGACAAGCGCCTGAACGACAAGCGCAGGCCCAAGGACGCAGTTCTTGATCGTGTCCATGAACTGTTGTGAATCCAGGGTGACGGCAGAGTCGTTCCCTCCGTATTGCTGCATGTTGTAAGCGCGTACATCTTTGGTGCAAAGGGGAAACAACGCACGGCAGCAGCGCTGTTCAGCAAGTAATCAAGACCTTTCCCCTCTAACAGTTTCTCGACCTCCTTGGCAGCCTTATCCACGCTTGTTTTGTCCTCCTGGTCCAGTTGGAGAATATGCAGCTTCCCCTTGGGCTTGAGGGCATGCAGTTTTTCTGCCTTTTCCGGTGTGCGACATGTGGCGAAAACGGTATTGGCCGGGTCCTCGACGAGCTGTCGAACAAACTCGTACCCGAGGCCGCGAGAAGTACTAGACACAGACGGTTGACATTAGATGAGGGCGTTTTGGTTTGAGAGGTGCAACTTACCCAGTAATCAACCAGGTGGTGGACATGTTGATGTTGTTTGATGTCGCATGACAGCGAGTCACCTTTATATGTGCACGATAGGAAATGTGATGACTACGCGGAGATACGTACGGTGGAGGTGTGAGCTCATTTCTCCATACAGAACAACGGTGTACGCATCAACGTCGGACCGGGAGGACCGAGCTCATCGATGTTCCCACCGTCCTCGACGTTCGCTGGAATCGGCATCAGGGTCAATGTTGGTAAATGTCGGGGAAACTGTGTACATTGTGTACGTAACTCGAGTAGTCAACATTTGTATGTACATGTTGGTTGCACTATTGGAGTGGGGTACAGACCTATGATCACATGACAAAACAAAGTATAAAAGCATCAAACCAGAACAAGAAAGTAAACGATCGTCCCTCAAACATCAAACCGGAAACCATCATCCAGAGCCGTGAAGTCAGGTGGAGCCATGAAGACTTCCAGCGTGTCGGTTGGTTTAGGAGCTTTCGGTGTCTCTGTAGCGCGCAGTGGTTTGGACGTTGTCAGTCCTTTGACAGCGGCAGGCTTAGCCAGGATAGAAGGTCGCTGCGCAATCCCGGTGCGAGTAGAGGGGTTGAGAGCCAACGACTGGGGGCGAGATGCTGGTTTGACCGGGACAGGGCGAGGTAACGGACGAGACAGGGTGGATGTTGCCTGGGATCGAGGAACGCTCGGACGTGTCGTATTGCGGGACATGTCACGGGTGGCGGGGGACTTGGCGATCCTACTGACTGCAGTATTCCGTGCAAAAACTGCTTTGGGTGCTTGTAATGGTGGACCAAAAAACTCCTCTTCCTCTGCCTAGGAATCAGCGCTCGTCATATATGATATGATAGATGACCTACGTAAGGGACGCAAGGGAATCTGCAGGTCTTCCGGCGGGCACTCCGCAGGAACCCAGGTCTCGAGGAAAGAATCGTCAAAGACATCCTCGTTCGGGTCACCAAACCCAGGCATGCGCGCGATCTCCCATAGTTTTGGGCACAGTGCCTTGTAGTCTGGAAGAGGGAGGGGTGCCTCATATGGCTCGACTGCATACTGTCAACGAATGGTACCAGGAAATGCAATATACACCCACTCCAAGCAGTCGGTGGCATGTATTCAATCTCAGATTCATCATCCTCATTGACGTCTTCCTTGATCTCGACATCCTCCAATGACCCCACACTGATCTCGTCCTCGTTCACATCCCAATGCGGCTTCCTCGTGCTCGGTGCAGGCGTCTCGAAACTTTTACTTGCCGAGCGTATTATCCGGGACGTACGACGGGACGAACTCGGTCTGAGAGCGGACGGCGGGGGCTCGCGCAGTGGCGTAGGAGCGGCTTCTGCTGCAGGTGCCGACTCAATGGAGGTGGAGAGGAGAGGAGCAAGCTTCAGGAGCTTTGATGTGCCCGGCAAGGGGGTCTTGAACCCTAAGGGCTGGCGCCTATTTAGAGCAGGCGTTTTGTTGGTCACATCTGAGAGGCCATTGCCTGCAGGAAGCTTTCCGGGGAAGTCTTTAAACAATCGCTTTGGTTCTGCGTCCAGCTCAGCACGATATTCGCACAGGGTATAAGCAGAGAAGCGAACCAATTGATTCATCCAGCAGATTGATCGTAGCCTTGCTCCTGGCAAGCGTTGTCATCGGCGCCCGCAAGGCATTCTCCTTTCTTATTGCTGACTTTAAACCGCCAATATTCTGAGTCCCCGGCCGGCCGGGTGTTTTGGACGCGAACGCACGTAAGTTGAAGTCCGTACGTTCTTGGAGGACGTTAGGTGGGCGCGCAGACAGCATTACTTACCTTTTTTTTCCTGAACAAAAGGTCGAGGACGAGAGGAAAGAAGGAGGTCTGGAGGAAAGAAGGAGGTCTGGAGGAAACGCAGAGAGTTGAAAGGGCGGCGCGTCGGATGTGCGGGCAGTTGAATCGCGTTCCGACACGTGCACAAAGTCATTTACACAGCCACTCGGAGATGCTCACGGAGTAATAGATCGAGGAAGATCTAATTTCATTTGTCCTTACGAAGCATTCAAAACCACAAGTACATCAGAAGGGTATATAAGTAAAAGGGATTGGGAATCAGAGGCTGTCAAAGGTCCGCCATCTACAACCGTCATCGAATACCTAGTGCGAGGTGGCCGATAAGCAGCATTCCGCGAACCAAACTGAAGCATTCGGCCACAGATGCTTCACGTAATCGATAACGGCACCGGAATCATGTGCGTGCGATCGTGTGAATTGAATCTCCACATTCTGCCATGATCGCGTAGAATGAGGTTCCGATGGATGAGGTATATTCAACAAGTCGACAAAGGAAAGGCTGAGCTCGCAGAGGTATCGACAGGATTGTTGAATGATGAAGAGTGAAAGCAGGCTGAGTGCGGTTGATGACAGTCCATTCTCCAGAGCTGTGCTCGATCGTCCGGGATCGCTTGTCAATATGAAACATCGAAGGTGCGGCCATCCCGGGAACAAGAGTTTCGCATCTGTATCGGAGATCATCTCGGTTGCCGGGAAGCTGGTCTCGATCTGAACATCTCGAAGACACGCCATTTCCTTGAGAGGACGTAATGCTGATTCCATCGACCGATAATTCGGCCTTACCGTTGGTTGTGATGAACCGCAACGAAACTTCTTCAGCTCGCGTGTCGATGGAGCAACCAGATTCGTAAGAGTGGCTAAATCGTCTATCGTGACGCTGCCTTCAATGGATAGATCGATCGACCGAAATCGATGGTTTGTATTGGAGAGAACATCGACCGCTGTCTGTACATCACTTCGTACTACGATCTTGTCGAGCCCTAGGAACTTAGTTCCTAGTGTCCTGATCGCATCGTTCGGGGTATAGCAGGTCGTCACATCGCGCGCTTGTGAGAAGTCGAACAACATTCCCTTCAATCTTGAACTCTGCGCAAGGGCGTCGTACACTGATGTCACAAAAGTGAAATCGCTGGAGTAGAACTCGACCAACTGGGATATAAGCGCAAGAAGCGCATCCACGATCTCCGAAATTCCTTCATAATCTAGACGGCGTCTTTAGCACAGAATGCTAATAGACGAAAATACCACCAACTCCGATATACCGAATCCAACAAGTCCAGGACTCGTAGGTTGGGAAGCCGAAATACATGCTGGAGAACTGTGGTTATACCGGGTGTAACGGTGATCGCCGATGTGTCGCTTGAATCCCAATGATCGATAGTCACCGTGCGTAGACTCGGACTAAAGAATGTTCCAGCGATCTGCAGACTATCGCGATCCGAACCAACGTGGATTGATAGAAGTCTCGGAAACAGCCATACACCTGGTCGGCTGGCCGTAAGTGCCAGACCAATAAATGCATCATTCGAGGCTTGCCAGTACCGGAGATGACGGACAAGATTGGCATAATAGTCAAATCGATGGAATAAGCCATGTTCGATACGCGGAAGTTCGTCCTAAAGGAAGGAACGCGAAAAGTTACATCGGCGTCGGACGCGCGAGTATCATAGCCGGTCATACCTTGCGAGCCAATAGATCTGTGCGAGTCGGCTCTGGGAACAGGTGGACCATGGTAGACAGAGGATCTCCAGAAAAGTCTGGGGTCTCCCAGATCAGCCTCAGAGCGATGTTCGTGTATCGCTTGGCAACACAGGCCATATGAACGAGGTCGCGCGGACTAGCCAGAAATGAGAGAATCAGTTGCACCAGCTCAATGACGTCCATAACAGAGGTTTGCCGGGTTGCCTGAGTACCACCCCCAGCAAGTAGAGCATGGTTGGACATCAGCGATGCGTGCCCCTGAGTGGTCATAGCGAGTCCAGCAGTGTCCCGACCCAGCATCAGGAATTCATGAGCAAGTCGATCAGCGATATATATACATCGCGCTCTTTCCTTCGGAGGCATTATGCAATAAAAATGGTGTGATCCAAACGTAGTCACTTTCCTAGGGAAGACACAGGGCGCCCCCGCATTGATCCTACATAGGAAGACGCGGACCTAGCAGAATTTGGGGGCTGACAGTTCCTAGGGCGTCTATGTGGGACTTCCTGGCACCGCCGCACAGCATACGCGACCGCACCGGAAACCACCACAGCCACGCGGAGCGTGCGGATAAGCCAGAAACCATTCAAAACTTCCAGGAAAACTCGGCCTGTCCACGTCGCAATGTGTCGGTGATTATACAGCTGGCCTGGTCAGCAGTCCTTTTGAGTTGTCAGCCCCCTTCAGCTAACACAAGCGACATGACTAATGGCAATAACTTACGGTCTACGTCATTTGCAGAAATGAAGATCGTAGCCATAGCGAGCGCTTATTTCCTGGCATTGTGGGGTTGCACTGCGACCTCTATATATTAGGAATCTCCACTTGCGCACAGAACCATAGACCATGGATGTACATACAATCATATCAAGCGCCTCACATTCTATTCCACGTGAGAGGCTTCCGATAGACAACACCCAACGAATCGCACCTCGGCGTTTGGCCAAATCTGCTTTATAAACCCTTTCACGGCAGGACTGTCGTGCGCATGGGACCGTGCGATTTGGACACGAATATGCTGGTACGCTCGGAAAAAATGATATTGGGAAAGATCGGGTATGTGCGTCAAATCGATGAACGGGATGCTGAGTTCGGACAAGTATCGGCAGTGGTGGTGGATGGAGAGAATGGCTCGCAGGGTGAGGCCGCGTCGTGTTTGTGGGCCTGCCGGTGGGATCCCATCGCGTCCCGGTTCGCTGTTTAGGAGAAATGACTGAACTAGGGGCCACCCGCGAAACAAGGTCTCGACTTCTATGTCCGAAAGCATCTGCCATTCGGAAAAGCTGACTTCAAGTTGCACGTCGCGCAACGACGACATATTGACGAGAGGCTGCAACGCTGTCACCATCGTCTGCGAATCATGAGATGGGTTTGCTTCTGCCGCACTGCATTTCAACACTTTGAGGCTCGATATCGACGATGTTGTTGATCGTGTGAGGTTCCACAGACCATTGACATCCACGGCGCCTTCCGGGCGGAGGTCGATGTGCACGAACTGTCGATCGCACCGCTCTAAAATAGTCACAGTGGCTCTGGTCTCACCCCGTATCACAACCTTTTCAAGAGAAGCAAACCTGTCTTGCAACATTTGGATCATGTCATCCATCTCATAGTGTCTGTTGCTATTGCGCTCCTGGGTGACGTCGAGGAAGAGCCCCTTGAGTTTGGTGCTGGTGGATAGCACGTCGTACACTGACCTGACGAACGTGAAGTGGCTGGAATAGAATTCCGTCAATTGCGGAATCAAGGGCAGGAGCGCGTCCAGGATGGTTTCCTCTCTTTCGTAGTCTGTATCGGAGAGTTAGAGAAGCCTCGAAATGCCACGAAAATGACGAACTCGCATAGGACGTGTCCAGGAAGTCCAGAATTTCCAGGTTTGGAAGGCTGAAGACCCGGATCAATATCTTGACAATACTTGGTGTGAATGCGATTCCCAGATTGTCTGTTGAATCCCAATGGTTTATGCAGATTCGACGCAACGTTGGGCTAAGGTATGCCTCCACAGTCTGTAGGCTGTCACGATCCGATCCGACATGTAGCGATGTCAGGTGAGGGAATAGCCACTGGCCAGGCCGACTTGCGGTGAGTCGACGGGCAATGAAGCCGTCATTCGAAACCTGCCAATAATTGAGATGCCGGACAAATTTGGCGTAGTAATCGAATCGTTTGAAGGACTCGGGAGTCACGATGAGCGAGTCGTTCTGGTTTGGAGACGCCATGGAAATTAGTCAAACAGGAGCCAGTATTTGTCCCTCTTACCTTGGCTTCCATTAGGCTTGCATGAATGGGTTCCGGGAACAGACGAGTCATGGCTTTCAAGGGATCACCAGCAAAGTCGGGGGCCCTCCAAAGGATTACCAGTGCCATGTCGGTGTACTGTGAAGCTACACAAGCCATGTGGACCAAGTCGCGCCGATTGTCAAGAAGGGACAGAATAATCTGAACGAGCTCCATAATCTCCATGACGGGGTTTTGCACGTGACTAGCCATGCTTGTTGTTTCAGCATGAGAGGGGCCCCACCGAGAAAGTATACGCACGCCCGCCCGAGTACAGCACCGCGTCTTGGGAGAACAGTGTACACCTGCATGATTTCTAATTCACGTCGTAATTTTTATAGAAAAGAGACTGGGTGGTTTTACTGTGAAAAGGTACGCCGCCTGAGCCGGCTTGGATTCGGAGAATGGGAATCCGTCACAGCCCGAGAGCCAGGAGATAATGCCTGGCAGATCATGTGCATGCTTCTAGAGTGATATTTCACTTCTCTGGTCCGTGAGACTCGGCTGGTTGTCCAAGAAGAGATGACCAGCGCCAGATTTGTCCAGGAGGCGGAGCGGGCGAGGTTGATCTCCGCTCCGCATCCTTGGTAGGGATCCCTATCCGGAACGGAAGCGAAGAAGCGCGAGGGCGCGTTTGGGGGCGGCGCGGTGCCTTATGAGCGTCCCTTGTGGTCATCCCTTATTACCATCCCCTGTATGGCACCTTCTAAGCCTCCCGAAGCTGACTCTCTGGTGAAGAGGCTTGCTGGACCATCGACGAACAAAGCAGGTCTAGCGCAGGATCAGAGTGAAATCAATAGGATAATTGCTGAGGCTTCCAAGGTACAAGCGCGGGCGCTTATCCGGACCGCCGGGCGCTGATTGCCCTTTTGTGACAGGGTTCCAAGTTCTACGAGGTCTGCATGAATCCGAGTTGTTGTCCCTGGATGGTCTTGTAAACATGTGTCTGCCAGAATGAGAAGCGGAAGGATGAGGAGCTTACGGCACGCATCAACCGTTTGTTGGAGAAGCGAGACTCCGTAATCAAAGGAGTGGATCTGGCGAGACTGGAGAAGGCAGCGGACCAGATCGTAAGCCCTTTCCTAAGCATCCTATCTGATAGAAGCTGACAACTCATCGCATAGCTGATCGATATGGAAGCGAGGAGGGATCTCACCCAAATCATAGTACACGTGGATGCTGACGCATTCTATGCGAGTGTTGAAGTGATGGACAATCCTGACCTAAAGGGGAAAGGATTTGGTGTCGGAGGTGGCGTTCTTACGACGGCATCTTACGAGGCCCGGAAGTGCGGTGTGAGAAGTGCAATGCCAAGTGAGTTGCTGGAACACCGTTCAATGCATGTTCCTGAGGCTGACGTTCCCGTCAGTGCACATTGCGAAGAAGCTGTACCCAGAGCTTATCATTGTTCCCTGCCGGTTCTCACGCTATTCAGAGGTGTCAAAGTCCCTCATGAGCATATTGAGGCGATATGATCCGACTATGAATCCTGCGGGATTCGATGAGGCGTACCTGAAGTCAGCATGATCTGCCTTAGCAACTGTATGCGTCTACTAACTCCATGTAACAGTATCACACAGTATTGTTCCGAGCATGAACTCGGCGCGGAAGAATGTGTACAAGTCATTCGAGATGAGGTACACAAGGAGACGGGCCTCACGATCAGTGCGGGTATTGCACCGAATAAGGTGTGTATATTGTGTCTGTGTGTTCCTCAGCTGAACTGAGACAGATGTTAGCCAAAATTTGCTCTGATCGCAATAAGCCCAGTGGCCAGTTCATGCTCCCTTTCGATCGCAAAGGCATTGTAGCATTCATGAAGGATCTGAGCGTGCGGAAGGTACCAGGGATTGGACGAGTGAATGAGCGCATTCTAGAGGCGATTGGTGTGAAGGCAAACCATTCCTACTATGTCCATCATTGATGTGTGTTGACATCACATCTTAGACCTGTGGAGACATCTACACCCAGAGGGCTGTCATCACGCTGCTTGACCATGAACTAGGTCTACACGGGCTCCTGCACGCACATCTCGGAATCGGTAGCAATGTTGTTGAGCCTCACATTCGCGAAGAGCGCAAGAGCGTCGGCGTAGAACGGACTTTTCGTGCTGTAGGTGACTCATCGAAGCTGATGGAGATCCTGGAGAACATCGCAGAGAGTTTAGAGGAAGATTGCGAGCAGACGGGATGGGCAGGGAAGACGTTGACGTTGAAATATAAGCTACACACGTATGAAGGTAAGTCTAGGGTTGTTACTGTTGCCCATCATTAACCTGTGTCTATAGTATTCACACGTGCACGGTCCCTGAACCGTTATATACGCAGCAAAGAGGATATATTCTCGGTGTGTTCCGCACTGTACTCCTTTACGTGTTGGCTCATGTAATCCAGATTGGTTCTGAACTTCTCCGAAAGGAGTTGCCTTTGACAGTTCGCCTCCTGGGTCTGCGATTGACACACTTGAAGGACCTTCGTGATAAAGGTGACAGGGGAATCAAGCGGGTTTGCCCTACTCTTTTGCGAATCTCGGATCTACTTTGGGCTCACCCTTCTGGTAGTTTTTTAAGGACATCGGGGATCAGCCACCAAGTAAGCGTAATCGGCTGAACGACGAAGATGCGCCGAGCGGCACGCTAATGGAAGACGATGTCGAAGAAATCCCTATGGACCAGGCGGTTGTATCTGCGAACGGAACACCGAATCCAAGCCCATCTCGAGAGGGCCAACGATTTTCGCCTAATGTAAAGGACCCACCAGAGGGACAACAGCTGGAGGGCCGAGAAAGACTTATTTGCCCCGTATGTTCGACCAGCCTTCTCACGGACAATGATGGTCTCAATGCACATATGGATTACTGCTTGAGCCGCGGTACCATTGCGGAACTTGCGACGTTGGGCTCTCAAGGTGACGGCCCCATTACACCCAACAAAAAAGTGCCGTGCGGACCGGCGAAATCTCGGCCAGCACCAAATCCGTTCTTGCTCAGCAAAAGGAAGTGAAGTCGGATTCGGACGTGTTGCACATCTGTATTTGAATTTGTATCAGATAAAGTACTAGAACACCATTGTATAATGTTGCATTCACAATCATATCCCTCTCCCGTTGCGATCCGTTGTCGAATATCCGGCCTTACCCGACTACCTCATCGCGGCGATTTCCCAAAATTCAGGCGGTCCCTACCGACACGACACAACAGTCCCTCAACCACGGCCGCCGTTCGAGGTAGGTCGCCACTCACTACTCTCAAGCGCTCGTCTTGGACTTGATACCCTGTTGAGGAGTGTACAGAAGTGCTCTTGCAGGGCCACGGCCATGTTTGCTAATCACCTGGCAGCACTCGCAAGGCGCACAACCGCTGTGGCAGGTCCACCTAGACGGTACTTGACCTCCAGCGTGCCTGTTTGCCAATGGTCGACCTACGCACCCATCCCGCGATCTGCTGCTCGATGCCTGGCTAGATCAACACGACGACGACCACTTGTACGAGCGAATTCGACTGCATCTGACAGCTCAGAAGCGCCAAAGCGCCCACTATGGCGCCAACCTCCATTCATCTTCCTCGTCCTCTCCCTGACCGGTGTCACGCTCTACCACACGAACAAGCCTTTCCGCCACACGCTGCTAGCGGTGCAGCGGTGCAGCATCTTTGGGATCGCCGTGGCCGCATCTATAATAGACTACAAGATCACGCTCAACTCTTCCTACTACACCCCTGAGGAGATGTTCGACGCGTACTCGCGCTGTCACAAGCGGAGCGCGCTGCGTGTCCTCCAAGCGCTCAAGACCAACGGTGGCATATACATCAAAATGGGACAACATGTGTCTTCTATTCGACTGCTCCCGACAGAATGGACGAGCACGATGCGTCCTCTGCAAGACCAGTGTCCAAGCACGCCTATGAAGCAGGTACGCGCGCTCTTCCTAGAAGACACGGGAAAGACGCTTGAAGAGCTCTTCTCGAGCTTTGACGAGGAGCCGGTCGGGGTAGCGAGCTTGGCCCAGGTGCATATGGCTGTGGACAGAGAAACGGGAAGGAAGGTTGCGGTTAAGATACAGCATCCGCATCTAGAGGAGTTTGCGCAGGTCGAGTGAGTGTGCTCGGCTCGCCTGCGGGAGCGGTACCTGACTTGGACGTAGCATCAAAACGACCATGTTTGCGATCGAATGGGTCAAGGCCCTCTTCCCTAAGTGCGTGCTTAAGGTTCATGCCGAGCAACACTCACTCTCACCAGCTTCGAGTTTTCCTGGCTTGGCGAAGAGATGCAAGAGAATCTGCCGTTGGAGATGGACTTCTCCCACGAAGCGAGCAACGCTCTCCGTGCCATCCGGGATTTCTCCACAGAAACCAAGACAAGCCTCTACATCCCCGACATGCTCTGGGCCAACCGGCGCTCGATGGTGATGGAGTACATCGAGGGTGCCCGGGTGGACGACCTCGCCTTTCTCGCCAAGCATAGGATAAACAGGAACAGGGTTGCCCAAGAGCTGTCGAGGATCTTTAGCGAGATGGTATACTTGAAAGGGTTCTTTCATGCGGATCCTCATCCAGGGAATCTGTTGATTCGTCCGGCAAGGAAAGGGAGCAAGAGCCCGTACAACTTTGAGATCGTGCTTCTGGATCACGGTGCGTCAGTTGGCCTTCGAGTGCGGAATGGTGCTTACGCTCGCACAGGCCTGTATTTTGACCTTGACGACGAGTTGCGGGTGAATTATGCACGACTGTGGTTGACGCTGATCACGCCGAATTCGAAGGAGACGCGATTAGACCGGAGGAAGTACGCGAAGATAGTGTGCAACGTGGGAGATGACATGGTTTGTGTTTTCCTTCCTAGCTCGAGCAAAGCTAACACATACATCTACAGTATCCGCTATTCGAGAGCATCATCACCGGCCGTGCAGGTCTAGCTGGCTCGTGGGACGAGGAGGAGGATGAGGCGGAGAAGAAGCGCAAGAAAAAGCGGCCGGGGAGCGTGATGGACTTCCTGCCAGCGTCGGAAGAGGAGATGGAGCGCATGCGCCGGGCGATCATCTCTCGAGAGGGGTTGATCGCGGACTTGTTCCGCTTGTTGAGGTACATGCCTAGGTATGTCTCCACTCCCCACCATAATAGTGGGCGGAACTGACGGCAGAGTAGGCGGCTGCTTATGATTCTCAAGCTGAACGACCTCACACGCAATCTCGACCAAGCGCTCTGTACAACACACGGTGACACACGCATCTTCGTCATCGTTGCGCGCTACTGCGGGCTCTCAGTCTGGCAAGCGGATGTCAATGCCTTCCGCCAACGGTGGGCGGAGCAGGGATGCTCCTTCTCCCTCGTCCGTTCACTCGTCAAGAGCTGGGCAAAGTATCACGCAGTCTGGAACGGGCTGTGGCTTGTAGAGGTCGCTATGGACTGCAGGGCTAAGGCAGTGCAGGTGTTTGTATGGGTGACGAACCTAAGTCGTGGGCTGGACAGTGCGTGCCAGGCCGCGGCGGGTGTAATGACATAGAGGGTATACTGGATATGAATTATCTTGCTACTCTGATGGTAATGGGATATGAGGACTGTATGGTATTATAAAGATGAGGGCAGAGGAGGAACTTGTCTGCCTCATCCTGGCTTTCAGGCCCACAAAATCCTATTGATGGTGTACCTCTGCTGAGAGTATCATGGCCTCTTGATGTCATAGCCTGGCAGGGATCCCACTGCTTGCCTGCTGATGCTGCCTTGCAGCTGTGAGGGGTCACCTCTCTGACCAGTGGCAGGAGACTATCCAACAGGGACCACAGGTGAGACACCAGGATCTTGACCCCCAGGCACTGAATAGTTACTTTGCTGTCCAGCATCCTTTGCTTGCCAGGGAAGTCCCTCCACATGTGGTCCAAGGAGAATGATTCATATGGAATGATAATTGATTATGCTTGATTATGATGTGTGGCTATGCAGAAGACCCCAGGCACTAGGGCATTTCATCATGGTCATTGCTGCCAGCATATAGCACTTTTCTTGACCACCAACAGCATGGGCAAGGTAACAAGCAGCACACAGGTATGCTGCTTCCCCTAACAGCACAACAGCCTTACTAATGATATTTACAGTCTCCAAAGAAGCACAAGGCCCCCCATCCCTCACAGTACTATGCAAGACACAAGATGAGCATGACTTCTCTGTGGCTGAAGCATGGCAGGGACATACATCCTTCATACCCTTACAAGTTCTGATAACCAGGGGTGGCCACCACTCTTTCCATCCATCAATTTGCACAATGAGCTGAGAACTAATGAACCACTGGCTAAAAGCTCTATACTGGATGATTTATGTACTGCAAAGAGTTATTGGACAAGGTGACTGAGAAAGTGTAATGGCAGTTGAACCTTAGGGTGTCGGATCTGCTTTGTCAGTAGCCTTTAGAGTGCAAATGAAGTAAAGTAGAGAGTTTAGTCTAGTAGAGTACAATAGAGGAAGAGTACAGAGGATATGTGGAATGCCTGAATCCTCAAGCTTGTCATCTTCCACAAATGGTGATGATGGGCTAGGAAGAAGAGGAGTGAGTATATGCTAGCTAGGATGCATCTGCTCTAAAGACTATGATGTGGAATCTAATAATGCAGAGGCTGATGACCTATCCCTCCCTCCTGATGACCTCATTGTTCCTTGCAATTGTCACAGAAAGATTCAATTATCAGGGCCTATGACTACATCATGTTGGTTATTGATCACCTAGCAGGTCAGTTTAACCAGTTAGTAGGTTTCTCCCCTATTGTTTATGATAGAGTCAATCACCAGACAGTAACTGCTGCCATGTTCTTTCTGGAGAGATGGGGCCAGAGTATATGTTAGGGCAACACAGGCTGACTAAGTCTGCTCACCTAAGAGTGCCAAGAGTCTAAGCAGGCAACAAGGAAGTGGAGTAGACCTGATGACTAAGACCTATCTACAGTATAGGTACCTGTGGATGATCCTAAGAGACCAAGTCTGAAGAGACAGTCCCCAGGCAGAGTAGGCCTTATATTTATACCTCTGTGGTGGAACCTGCTAGAACATCTTGCTTACTCAGCCTAGTCAGGTGATCAGGTCATATGACCAAGGATGAGGTCATATGAGGTCATGCACAGCCATGCACAGCAGGTCACCTGACCATCCAATCCTTCCAGCAGGTTCCAGCACATGCCAAGGTATACCAGCTACTTCCATGTCATAAAGGCTTAGTCATGTCTCTTGACCAAACAATGAGCTGGTGCCCTGACAGTATACCACACTCTGATCTAAGGCCTCTTGTGGGACTTGCAAAAGGTATTGGACTGGTTTGCCACTGCTAGTTCCTTCATGCAAAAGTACACTCACTAGCTAATGACTGCCTCTGGCATGATCTTAGTGAGTGCCTTAATGTGGCTACAAAAGTTTTAGCTGCACACCCTAGCAAATATGACACAATGTCCATAGGGCTGAAAGAGCCATTTGCTTTATTCAAGATTGGTAATCTAATCCTCAGATTAGCCTTTTGCTCACAACATGCCTTTGACCAGCTTCTTCTGTTTGGGTGAGAGGTAATCAGATATTGTGGGAAAGTTATTGTGTAAGTGGATCAGTGCACAGAGGTGTGAGACAAGTAAATGGTGAGCATACAAGAAAGCAGTGACATGTTAATATTTCTCACCCTCCTGCTGGGGAGCTCAAATGAAAGCATCCCATCACAATATCTGCCCTCTCTCTCTTTGATCCTCACATCAACAAGCCAAAGAAGTGTTGCATCACTGTAGGAAGCCAGCAAAGCCATTCCTATTTGCATCTGGGCTCCTGGGCCCATCCCAACAGTGTGGAACAGCATCATTGTTCACAGATCATCCAAGGTGCAAACACATGCAGTGATATTCCCACTCCATGTTGCATCTTCATAAACACTTCCTGGTCCATAAGTGTAAAGAGACTTGATGGCCTATGAGAGATATATGAGGTGCAGGGAGAGGAGAGTGAAAGAAGCTCTGATCTTGGGTTGGTGAACATCTTCGAACCCTATCAGAGAAGTCACCATGTCATCTCTGATAAGCCCAGCATCTTAACATGTGGAAAGATTGATTTGTCCCCATGGCCTGATGCAGATGGGAGCTAGTGAGGGTGGCCATGTGAGGGATACTTTCATTGAGATGATCTGTGGTTAGAGAACATTGGTGTCCATGCAGGAGAGTCCCGTTAAGTACCCGTCAAGTTGTTCTTCGTCACTATGCCGTGTTCGGCGGTTGATCAACTCACCGTCGTCTTATCACCCCTTATGATACTGTTCAATCCCTTATCAGACGTGCACATGGGCATTCAAGGTTCACTGGTCAACAGACGCTGTGCGCGTAACCGCGAGGGTGCCCACTGATGTATATCTCGCATCTTGCCAGCATGGACGATGTACAGCTCTTTCTCCTGTCCCATCACCTCCTAAGACGCCATGGGAGCCTTTCAGTCTACACCTCGTACAGCGCCGGCCTCTACCTTGTCAGAGAAGGCTGTTATTATCCAAGATCGTGCACCAGTGCCCACAGCAGACGAGCTGGCTGAGTCCCTCTCCGTCTCCCTTGACCTCGCCATCCCCTCGGGATCCGTCTCTCTTCCCTCAATCGGAGAATGGCAGTCGTCCCTCGAGGCTGACCATAAGCTCTCCCTGTCCCGTACTATCCTGAGCAAGAGCGACCCGAGCACGACACTCCTGAAGCCTGCGGCTAAGGTCACTGATGCCCACGTGTATAATACACAGCTGGACTTCAAGGCTGGTCCTATTACGAGCCAGAATGCGAGTGGGAGGTGCTGGATGTTTGCTACCAGTACGTCTTCAACAGGACTATCTGTACATGTCGGCTGATTGATTTCAGCGAACGTACTCCGGTATGCGATCATGAAGAAGTTGAACCTGGAGGACTTCCAGCTGTCGCAGAGCTATTTCTTCTTCTACGACAAGCTCGAAAAGTCCAACTACTATCTCGAGAACATGCTCGAGCTAGTCGACGAGCCTCTCGATTCGCGGCTCATCTCTTTCCTTAACACCTCTCCGATCGGCGACGGCGGGCAATGGGATATGGCCGTGAACATCCTGGAGAAGTACGGTGTCGTTCCACAGGCCGTGTTCCCCGAATCGTACTCATCTTCCAACTCGCGGGCGATGGACACCCTCTTGACCACAAAACTGCGCGAGTACGGACTTTCCCTCCGCCGCCAGAGCGCACAGCTCCTTGCTGCCCTCACCTCCCGCGGAGTTCCTTTCGAAGCTGCCAAAGCCGCCACACACCGTGCCCTCGAGAAGACCAAGGGGGAGTACATGAAAGAAGTCTATACCATCCTCAGTGTCACGCTCGGCATCCCCCCGCAGCGGGACGAGTCCTTCAAGTGGGACTACTACGACAAGCCAGGCAATGCCAGGGTATTCACTGGCACGCCAATCCAGTTCTTCAAGACGTTCGCCACGACGCCCTATGATCCCCTGACGGCGTTCTCGATCGTGAACGATCCCAGGAACTCGTATAACGCACTGTACTCCGTCGAGCGGCTGGGGAATGTCTGGGGTGCGAGGCCTGTGCTTTGTACGTTTTTCGTTTTATTATCGTGCTTTAATGCTGAATAAAGCAGACGTGAACACAGAGATCGATAGGCTCAAAGGCGCTATCGTCAGGAGCATCAAGGCCAATCAACCTGTGTTCTTCGGATGTGATGTTAGCAAGTCCTCAGACCGCGATCTAGGAATCATGGATTGCGGAATCCACGACTACGAGGTACGCATATGTCAATGTATGGGGTAGACTCCAATGACCTATCTCATTGCTCGTGCAGAACGCGTTCAACATCACCCTCGGTCTAAAGAAGGCTGAGCGCATGCAGCTTGGGGAGAGCGCGATGACCCATGCCATGGTCATTACCGCTGTGCACCTTGACGAAGCAGGCAAGCCCGTGCGATACAAGGTCGAGAACTCTTGGGGCCCTGCGGTGGGCGACAAGGGTTTCTTCGTCATGACCGACGCATGGTTCGACGAGTATGTGTATCAAGTCGTCGTCCCTAAGGCACTTGCGGATCTGGACCTCGTCAAGATCTTCGAGAAGGGCGAGAAGCACATGTACCCTGCTTGGGACCCAATGGGTGCGCTGGCGTAAATGTCTCGAGGATTGGTTTCCATGTTATGCACGATGTCGAATGAGGTGTAAGCTACGCATTCTGCAGTAACTCTGCCGGTGCCCGCACAATACTATTCCTCCAATTATGATAAAAATACAAAATGCGTTATTAAACCCGAATAAGAAAGAAACTACTGAAAGTAAAATGTCTGAACATCTGACTGTGCAAAAGGGAGACTGCACACAGGGCATTTCCGCTGTCGGCTTTTTAGACGAGCTTCGATGCATGACTTACAGAAAGCTATAACGATGAGTCCCCGCTTCTTGATAATGAATTGAACAACGTACTGTGCATGCACTTGAGCAAGATCTGGCTGCGGAAGTCATTGTGGCAAGTGGAGCACTTGAGGATGTCCTAAGCATAGTTCAGCGACCAAACTCAGCGGAAAGGCCTAAAAGGATTCACCTTGAGCTTCCTGTTCTCGTCCGCCATTGCCTGCACCTCAGGGCCTGCAGCACTTGTCACTACAGGTGTATCTTGCATCTTCATCGCCACCTGCTTGGTTTCCTCCTGTGCGACCTTCAAGTCCTCTCTCGCCTTTCTGAGCTCTTCGTGCTGCTTCAGGAACATAACTCCACCGTCCTTATTCTGATGTTGAAGCTGCGACGGTTTCAGTCTCACGGGCAAATTTTCGTTAGTCATCATACGAACCCTGTTATTAAGCCGCTCCAGCTCCGCATTCATGCCCTTTGACTTGGCAATTTCTGTCTCCCGCGACCTAAACTGGGTTTGCAAGTCGTAGAGCGCAGCCTCCACCTTGGTCGTCGCGAGTTGCTGTTGAGCTAGTTGCTGTTCGAGATTCTTCTCGATTTCCTTGTGGTGGTCAATGGCAAGTTTCTGCTTTGCATTGGTCTTGATTGCTGAGTCATATTGGTTGACGGCCTCCTTGAGGTTCTTCTTCTCAGCAAAATATTTGCTTTGCTCTTGTGCTTTCTGCGACCGGATGTCATTCAACAGCTAAAACGTAGGGCACTGTACATACCTCGTTCGCCAGCTTTCGTATTTTGTCTTCGAAGTCCACCATCTCAAACGTTTTGCTTTTGTTTTGCTTTTCAAGACTATCCCAAGCCGCGGATATACGATCAATCTCAGAATAGAGGGCATCGGTGGTCTGCGGACATGTTTGAGCGAGAACAAGGCGATGACAAACAATCAGCGCACCACTTCGTCATCCCGCATCTTCAGTCTTGCTTTACGCAGCTCTTCCTCGGTGGCGGCAAGCTTACTGGCAACCGTCTTCTGGTCGAGCGAAATACTAGCGTCCGCGCCGAACAACGAATCGAACTTGCGAGCCTTGTCGAGAGTATCCTGGAAACTCTTCTGGTCCATGGAGGCCTGGGTCTCGAGGGTCTCTATCTTCTTCCGTGCCTCGCTATAATCTTATCAGCCTGGGGTGCGTTCTGACCAGGGCGGAAACCAGAACATACAGTAGTTGTTTTGTTGTCTCTTGCTGAGAAAAGGCGTCTGGGCCGGATCCGATGAGGAAGGCAAGGAGATCGGCGTCTCCAACTTGTGCAGCCAATCTCGCACGGAGACGCTTGACCTCGGATTGCAGAATATTGATCCTTTGTTCGCAACTGGTGACCAGTGTTTTGAGCTCGCTAGTGCTCCTCTGCCTTTCCATTTCTCGGTTTTTCAATGACTCCTTTTCGGCGAAAATCTCCTCCCATTTCACCCGCAGGCGAGCATAGTCATGTTGTCGCCTCTCAATAACAAGCTCCAGCTCATCAGTTCTCTTTTTGTACTCCTCCTGTCAGGAATGTTAACGCAAGATAATGGATTCTCCACGCGTGGCATACCTCAGTCTTCGCGTGGAACTCGGTGCGTTCCGACATCAGTTTCTCAAGGCGCTCCAAAAGCGGCTTTGTGAATGATTGTGCCTCCTCTGCCTGTGATCTCCATTCCTTGGCCTCGGCAAGTAAAGCTAGATAAGTGTGGGACGAGGTGATGGCTTCTGGGGATGGGAAGCCAACCTATTGTCACGATAAGGCTGAAGGCCAATGAAACTGAGCGAAGAGGACATACCATGTCACCCAGTCTTCGAATCTCTTCTCGTAATTGCATCTGCTCCTCGCTGACTTTTTGCAACTCCGACTCGCGCTCCTTGGCACGAAGCTCCCAATTTTCTTTGTCTTCCGCAGGAACATGCCCATTAGTCAAAGGTGGGTTGGGTTCTGCGGGTTCCTGAACGAAATATTGTCAGAAGAAAGCTGAAGCAAATCAAAGTTTACAAACCATTGGCACATCTTCCTGTTCCTCTTGAGGTTTCGTCTCATCTGGAGTGGATGCTTTCGGTGTCTCCTCTTCGTGCTTCGCTTCTTTCGATTCCATGGCCTGGACGGTCTTACTCCGTGAACGGTCCACACGCTTTTCAGACTGGGATAACTCCTCTTTATACTTCTCAAGGTCGGTTTCAGCTTGCACCAGTCGATTGCGCAGCAGTTGTAGCTCTGCCCCTGTGACATCCGCCTACGTACTTACAATCAGAGATCATCTAGGCTCGAGATGGGGTCAGTTATACCTGTTCACGAGCGCGACGGGCATCCTGTTGCCAGCTTCGATTCGCATCGGTTTCTAACTTTACTTCGGGGTTCACGAGCTGATCAACTAATGCTATTGTGGAGCTTGATCGATCCGCTAATTGTGTCTTGAACTGATTAGCCACATTCTCCATTGTTGCATATCGATCAAGACGCAATAGAGCTATGAGTAATGAGCATTGTCTGCCGGTCTTCTAGGAAGCGAGGCGATAACTCACTCTCCGGAGTATACTTGTCTTTTCCAGTACCAACACGCTCCTGTATTACATCCAGAAGCTAAGGCGAGATGAGAACCTCTGGTTGAAGAGTGCCGATCAGCGTTACACGTACATGGATCCAAGTTGCCTCCATCGCAGCCATCGCAGCCTCGGTCGATTCCTGTCTGTGCCTAAGTTCTACAACCTTCCGCTCTGCTCGATCTTTATCCCTAGAATACTGCCTCATCTGGCGCCACAATGCTTCCTTTTGAAAGAGCTGCGTCGAAGATAGCGGTCAGAGGGTAGTTGAGAGGGCGCTGACTGATTCCTTACCTCCACGTCCAAGCCATGGTTGTCAACTGCAACAGGGACTGGTGAGCCGTCACCGGCTGATAATACTCTGCGCTTTGGAAAGGGAGACGCTGTCATGGAGTCCTCTTCCAGGGGACGTTTTATCGTCTCCATGACTGGACAAACTTAGGGAGCGCAAAGGAAAGCAAAGGCACAAACCAAAGGCCGACTCGCGACGAAGAGAGCAACTTGAGCCTATGAGGATGCTTCCGTCGGGATCATTCGGAAGCGGAATATTTTGTGAGCGCCCATAATCAAGGAAGAATAATTTGGACCACGGGAGGATAGGCAGCGATATGATTAGCATTACAATGGAATATACATTTATCACCAGCGTACACGATAATTACGAGGGAATAATTCCGATACAGGGGTATCAATGGGTGCTTGCGGTGGTGGGGCCTGTGCCGCGCCATGTCGACGCGGCCTGAAAATGAGAACCAATATAAGTCCAAGAATGATAAGGATGAGTAGAAATATGCAGTATCGCCGACCGGTATTGCGTTGATATCTAACCTTGTTGTGAGAATTATTCTTTGAAAATATCTAGGACGCACTGTGTCGCCACTTTTAGTTCCTTGACCGCTTCCTCCACATGTGTTGCTGTTTGTTCGATATTGTATTCCACACTGTCCAGAATCGTGCCCTGATCGATTACGAGAGTAGACAAGTCCTTGAAGAGTTCGGCGAGAGCGCCAATTGACTTTGCAAGTTCTGTTAATTCTCGATCTCGTTGGGCAATGTCCAGGTCTGGGGCTGCAATTGCCTGCACCTGGGATTCTCCGGACAGTTGCGAACGAGACTAGGCACAGATGAGGCATGGTCTTGGCAAAGAGGTGGAAACGCATACCGCTTGAAGATCATCTTCCACTGCTGTCATGCTTTCGGCTCCCTTTAACGATATTGCGCCCGAAGCGACCAGTAAATCTTGGTTTTTGATTGCATGCCCTTGGAGTTCTGCAAAGTTCCAGGTTAGCGTTTGGACACTCTGTGCCGATATTATGACAACACACTCTGCATGTAGACACGTTGCTTCTTTCGAAAGGTGGCGCTGAGGTCCTGGACTTTTGCGGCCAAACCTCGTTGTACATTGACTGCCATGCGCTGCTCTTGTTGCCTTGCAGCAGTTGGAGGGAATGTGTGAGATGCACCGGCTTGTGATATACGTTGGATAAGACTATGACATCGTCTGAAATCCTGAGATTACAGCCTTCAGTGTGTTGTGCCATACGAGGAGGCCTATATAGAAGACGTACTCGTGTGATATCTGTACTTAACGCTTCAATCTCCCGTTCTTCAGCGCTTCGGTCGACAAACCCTGGAAGAACATGCTTTGCTTGCAATTTGTCCAGCTCGGTTACTGCAGGAAGTCATGATAAGGGTTGTGGTGTTAGTCTGGGGCGACAGATTGGCGTACTCTTTTTGGCGGTGTCTCGAAGGGTGTCCTCGACCTGATCAGAAACATCTACCCTGTGGAACAGTCATCCGTCAGATCCTTTCAAAAATTGTACGTAAACAGCAGCGTACCACTTCGGAGGTAATGTCTCCATGTCGAGTGCTACATGCCGTCGATCACCCAGCCCAATCAGCCCCTCCCTCTCGTCATCCGCCATGTCCTCTCGTGCGCCATAGTGCTCATCCAGCTCCTGAATTCGTCTTCGTGACCGAGATGACCGTGCTACTGAATCCCTATATGAAAAGAAGAGGTTTGTCCTTGACCGTATGACCGGCTCCGCCATTGTGGCGAGCAGAGGAAAGGCTGACGATGAGAAGTGCCGCAGTCAGGGACCACGAACCAAAACCCAAATCCGGAAGCAACCCGAACAACAGCCAAAAACTGGCTCAACAATCAGAATGATCACACGATGCACAGCAAAGGCCCCCCGCTGAAGTGGCACAATCGATCACATTCTACACTTAACATCAACTCCGTCCGTCCCCGGCAGTTACATATCATTTAGTCAGTAGCTAAAAGCGAAGGGACAGCCGCGATCAACGCAACGAGATAGGAAGAACAGCCAGGATTTCAACTTTGGGATTACAGATCAGTCTTCGTCGGTGGTCGATTTCTTAACAGTCTTGGACGGGCGCTCGATCGGTCCGGGTGCGGCCGCCGGCTTGTCGTCTTCAGCGGCCGCGTTCACAGCCTCTTTGGATCGGGACCACCACCTGCCAAACGGGCGCTTGTTCGACGAGTTGCTTGGCGCGTTCCCGTTCTTCACGCTATCCGCCTCCCACGCAGCAGCCACTGCCGCGGCCGTGCTGGCCAGCGACTTGTCCAACGAAATCTGGCTGGCATTGCCAGAAACGGGTCGACTGGGTCTTTCAAACGGTCCAGGTGGGATGTGAGGCAAACCAGGCGCGTAGATCGAGGACGGAGATGGCAAGTCAACAAGGCCGCCAGAGGAACCGAAGCTGTTAACCGTCTCCCGCGAGCGACTAGCAGGATTACCAACGCCCAGCGCACGAAGCTCGTCTGCGGATGGCTGGAAAGCGCGAAGCGAGGAGAAGAAGCTCGGTCCGTCCGTGCTTGACACCGGGAGATCCGCAAACAATGACGCGGGCAAAGTTCCCGACTGGCCAGATCCGCGCCAGGGCATGAAGCGAGAGCTGAAGCTGGCGTTTCCCGAATGCATCTGCGGCAGGCTGGTAGTGGAGGCCATGAACGAAGCAGGTGGTGTGAACACTTTGGCGTCCGGGTTAAGAGCCGGTTTCTTCGAGGACGAAAACCAGCGCCTCTTGCTATCACCTCCAGTAATAGCGCCCAGACTGGCGGCGTCATTGTCCAGAATGATGGGACTATGCGGGGCAGAATCGTGACGAGGAGAAAAAGCGGCCCGCTGGTCATTGTACCGGTCAAATGAGCTTAACCCGGCAACAGCGATGGAAGCAGCTTGTTCCATCATCTGGTCTAGAACCTTCTTGAATTGTTCATCTGGATGTTCCGGATGTGATCCGCGCCTGCTCCCGCTGCCAACGGCGCGCCAGTCTTCGGTGGCAGACCTAGTGAGCTCATTGGGCTGCGAGAGGCGTCTGCCCTCAAAACTGCCTTGACTGCCACTGAATTCACCCTTCTCGAAAGCGGGACTAGAGTACGGACTCTCGTCCGAAAGCAGACGCGGACTGTGTTCTACGAGGAGATTGCTGGGAAGGAAGGAGGCAGCGGCGGGTGAAAGTAAGTTTTCAGCCAATCTGTCACGTGTATGCGGGTTGCTATCCCCGATGGTTGGGTTGAATCCGAATCCGAAGGTTTGCTGGGGGGGTGTAGTAGTCCCTGCCGCGGCGATGTCCTGGTCGAAAATCGAGTATCCCTTTGCCCGCTGTGCAATAGCACTGGCCGTTGCTGAGGGCATTGCGGAACCATTACCAGGCAGTGGGGCACGAGCCCCCTTGAGCGAAAGCGACCGGCTGCGATTTCCGGGCTGTCCTGTGGGAGAGATTGGTCCGTCCGGCGTATGCGGAGCCGGCGGCCCAGAGACATTCCTATTCTGAGCCTGGTGTTGAAGGTGCGGTGGGTGAGGATGTTGCTGGTGAGCCATTTGCCGACGGTCAAACAAGCTCGCCTGGTGGTGCGCATGTGCAGTGTGGGAATGCACAACATGCGGCCTTGTGTGAACATGTGGCGTGCCACCACGGAAAGGCGAATTATAGTGCGCAGCATGATGATGCTTGATGCGCTGGTCCTTCATCTGCTGTTCGAACATAGCGTTGGCAGCGCGCGCGACTTGCTCAGCCTTGACCCTCGCTTGGCGCCTCTGCTCCTCCTCCCGCACGCGCTTCAGACGATCCTCTGCTTGCTTAAACTTCTCCTCTAACCCCTGTGCTCTCGCAGACAGAGTCGCAACCTCCACTTCCTTGCTCTTGATCTCCTCCGACTTCTGCTCCAGCTCTTCCTTCGCCTCTACCTCTTTCCGCTCCCTCTCCCGCTGGAGCATCTTCACCCTCTCTCCATGACTCTCCACCGCTTCTTTCAGCTGCTCGATTTCGCACTCGAGCCTATGCTTCTTCTGTGCTGCGCCATCCCTAGCAGCTTGGATTCCGCGAAGCTTCTTCTCCGCATCCTTCCTTACACTCTCCGCTTGCCGACGACTCTCGTCTAAGGTACGCGTCTTGATCTTCAGCTCCTTCTTCTCCGCCTCATCCTGCCGCTTGCGCTCCCGTTGCTGCTCCACGGAGGCGTTGAGCGCATCATACTGCTCGGTTGACTGCGATCGCAGTTGATCTATCTGCGATTGCACTTCTGATACCGCCGTCTCGGCACGCTTGATCTCCGCAAGCAGAGCTACCACCGCAGGCTCATTCGAGAATAGCTGAGGCAGAGAGGATGTGATTTGCAGGGACGTCGCATGAGGGGAAGACAGATCAAGCGAGGATGGAGACTGCGTGAGAGCTGTACGAGCAGGGCTGAGTATTGAGTCATGTGGCTTGACGATGGGTGTCTCCTGTGCATGAAGGGGAAGCGAGGCAGACTTGGGCAAAGGCGGCGGCGTTGACGGGCGGGAAGGTAGTTTCAGAACAGAAATCGGGGTATCAGCCTCAGGAATCCCTGTGATACAGTATCAGCACACAGGTACCACTATATCAGGGTCTCGTAAAGTTCTGACCTTCAGCAGACTCAACGTTGTTTAGCTTGTGTATGCTGAGGATCTTGGCGCTTGAGGTCTTCCCTTCTTTACATTTTTCCTTACCCCTGCCTTTCCTTTGGGGTACAGGGACGAGCGGACCGCCAATCCACCATGTGCCAAATGTGCCGATGATCCATAGACCCGGAAGTTCCTCCACAGGGGTGGCTGACTCATCCGCCAATGTTGACGCTGTGCCATTGATGGCGGAGGACAAACGCCCGGCCTTGCTGGACGGTGGCTTAGAGATCACTTCCCCGGGAGCGGGAGGATTAACTACGGGCTGGACAATGCCGATGGAAAAGATACCTAGAGAGCGAAGCTTGTGAGGGCCAGTACGGAAGGTGACCGCGGCGCGGTTGGTAAATAGAAGCCCAGTTTGCTGTTTCCCTCCTATTGACGAGAGGGATGACTTGTTCGCGCTACCTTTTTCAGCGCCCACGTCAGATGACTTGGACACTGCACTGCCCGCGCCTGTGCCTTTATACACCGTGACAGATGTGGACTTGGACTTGTCATCCAAGGGAATATGTAGCTGCGTGAGGTGCCTGCGGAAGGTGAGCTCAGTAAGGAACGTGCGGAAGGAGGCTTCGTTCGGGTTCGTGAAGTATGCTAGAGGAAAACCCTGTCAACGACAATGGGATGCTGCACAAGTTGGATGCGTACCGATGACGACGAGCACAACCATAAACATGAATAGCATTCCTGCACTCCTGACTTGCTCCAGGGGCTCGATCAAACCCGCCTCCCCCATGCTCGTGCCCGCTGCGGCACCGAACACGGTCCTCCAGTCCCATCCTAGGCGTGGAGCGTTCATGGAAAGTACGCTAAGACCGCCAAAGAGGAGCCAGCCAATGCCCATCAACAGCCTGAGCCGGGCTGGAGAGGGGAAGAGGACCGACGGGGGGAGGTGGAAGTCCGAGCTGGGAGGTGATGAAGTGCGCTGCTGCTGATTGCTTTGAGAGTGTGAGTAGGGGTTTGGTGATGATGGTGAATGGGAGTGAGATCGGGAGGGGGAGAAGTGGCCCGGAGGCACGAATGAGGACGACACGGTGGAGTTGAACCTCTTGGGAGGAAAGTAAGACGATAATAATGAAAGGGCGAGATGGCCGACACAGGTGTCGGTCAGTACTGATGATAGCGATGGCGGCGGGGGGAGCGTGCGACTGAGAAACTGCAGCAACGCGGACCGATGTTTCAGCGCTTGCGGCTCCTCTGCTGTGTTGACTGAAGATGACTTACGTGCTCATACGCCACCCTCGTCGCTGCTTTTACAGTTTAATCGCCCCGTGATGAAAGTAATTGCTCGTTGTGGTCGTCTAGAAGACAATCACCCAGAGAAATATGAGTAGAAATCGCCACTAGTCAATGGAGGATGGAGGAGGAAAGAGAAGGAGGAGAGAGGCGAGGGCCGAGCAAATTGGGCAACGCCGCCCGGAGGCAAATTCTTATGCTTCTTACGCTCATCACGCACCAAAAAACACGCGCTAAGCACCGGGTCCGCGCATCCCGGGGTCCTCCGCCAAGCGCACCAATCACCGTACGAAGGAAGCGCCCGAGCGTTTGATGGTTTGCCCCGTGCACGCAGTCCTATTCCGACACCTCTATCCAGCTCATTCTATTACGGACGGCAGGAGAGGACAGCTTCATTTCGCATAGGGTCTCACAAGGGTCTTATGAGGGTCTGACTCCCCTAAATACTCAGACCCATTGTATGCAGGGTAATTAAATTTAGGTTCAAGCTCCGCTTTAACACCACACAGTATCTTCTGTGGCCTTGTCCCTTAGCACACATCACTGTCTATAAGTTGCACATTCCTCTGTCTACCACTGTCAACTCCACTCTCTCTTTCTTTCTCCTGTTCCTTGTATTTTCATGGCAAACCAAAGGAAAACCCCACCTTGGCAGTGCACACCTTATTGGCATTGGATCTCTACTCTCCCCAGTAGCAACAGCCCCCCAGCAGAACTCCCTGACCCTGAACCCAGCGTCGCTCACCATCCTTCAACACCCCCACAAGACACATGTCCCTCCTCTCTGACAGAGATTCTCCAATGCCTGGAAACTCCTTCACCTCCTCCAACACACAAGCAATCACATCAAAGTTATTGTAGGGAAGAGCTGGCAATGATCAGAGCAAATTTCCTTCCCCAAGATGCTGCTGAAGGATTACACACCATTCCCAACCTCCCTGTCATCTCCCCTCCTCCCATCACTGTCCTTCAAGACCATCCCTCTCCTGACCCAACACAATTGCAGTCCCTTTCCCATTGAAGTAGTCAGTTTGATCAGCTTCAATCAACCCAAGATGAAACAGACCAGACTATCTTACCTCCCTCCACCCCACATCAAAGCAGACCCCTCCAGCACTCAGAGGAAGGGCTCTCTGATCACACAGTGCTTGCACATAAGCATGCTTCTGTCCTGGCTATCTTGAAGACCCTCCATACTTCCAGCAAAGAAGCTTCTTCTGGCACTCAGAACCAGGTGTCCTATTCATTCAATCCCAAGGTGCTTGAGGCCATCAAAACTCTTGTCAAAGCTGAAGAGGAGCTCACCAACCATATTCAAGAAGTTCTTGATGCTCACAGTCATGAAACACTGGAAGCTTCCCTTCCAACTTTCTTATCCACTCATGTAAGCATTTCCACAACACAGTCCTCATTCCATAGTGCTGAACCTTCATTCACAGGAGTTTTCTGAGCAGTGGTATTCACATACCCTGAAATCTGACCATGGCAGTCTCAACTTCTTCATTCGCTACATTGGCCACATATACACTGAGGCTTTCCCTGATGCATTCCTGACCTCTCCTTCAACTTATCACTGCAACTTCCCTCCTCTGAGCCACATCGAAGAAGATGAATTCACCCACCTAATCTCAATGTCACATGTTTCTTATTATACTTGACTCCAAGGAAGCTCAGGACCTCATCAATGACCTTGAATGCTGTCTTCCCATTCCCATTATCCACCCACTCAACATAGTTGATGCAGTATGTGGTGTAAATGACCAGTGGAAGTGGATGGTATGTCTTCCCAATTCCACCAATTTTTCTTCTCCTCATCTTCATTACAGTCCACCTACTTTCACTTGATTCACCAGGGGAAAATACCCACATGGCTACAAATGTGTGGGCCCCTTGCTCACAATCTTGTCAATATGTGGACCTGGAAGCTTGAATTTTCTTTGCACGTTGACATCAAATACCTCGAGGAAGTCAACAAGTCATTCAGTCCAGACTGGACTCTGACTGAAGTACTGTGCCAATGCAAATCTGGCAGCCTTGGTACCATAGCTGAAAGGTACCAAGACAATGTATACTCCACTAAATATATAGGCATGCTCTGTGAGGTCACACCCTTTTCCCCCAAACCTGACAACCATCCTCATCAGTTTGCTAACTGGATAGCCAAGATTCAGGCCTATTTTGTCAGTCTTCTCATTGCATGTCTTTTCCTAATTTATCTGACCTCTATTCTAGGTCGATCCTCTACTCCATTGCCAGCTTTTCAATTCCCCCTTCACTCCCCTCTTCACCCTGCTTCTGTGTGATGTCCTCAGGCATGCTGCTACAGCCCATCTCCAATATGATCTTGAAGAATGGCCATTCACCTTGGAAGGCCTACCACACCTCATTATTGAATCCATCAAGGATTTCATGACCAACAGTTCTTTTGATGTGTGTCCATTCCTCACAGACAAAATGCTGGCAGATCTTGAATCTGCTGGCCAACCATCCTCCCAGGAAGAAATCTATAAAGGCATTATCTCACTCTCCCAACATGTTGCTAGGCCTGATCCTGAGCAAGAACCTCTTCTTGATCTCTATCCTGAGAGTGCTGTGGTCCTCTCCACTCAACATCAAATTGGCAATATCAATACCAACATTCTCTGCTGCCCACCTCTGAGTGTAGATGTTGACTTTATTCCTGACCTTGAAGTCTGCCAGTCTGCACATGTGGTTAGGGTCAAAGGCCTCTTCCCATTTCCTTTCTGGGTCCATTCTTGACCTTCTTTCCATGATACCTTACTCATGAATTGCAGATCTATTTCAGATGTGATATGTGCTATGAGTGTTGGCACTGATCTATGCCTCATAGAGGGTTAGAACACTGCTGTTACAGATGGGAAGGCACTGCTTGCATAGAATGTCAAAAGAAAGGGTTGTCTCACCCATGCCTCAGACACAAGCATGGTTACAAGAACAGTAAGTATCTATTTCCCCACTCTCACAGTCTCGATAACCTTGTTCTATAGTTTCTTTCTGAGATTGGCAGTGGCCCAGGGAGGACATTCCCAGTCACATTCAGGATCAATGGCTGGACAAGGCTCTGGACATAGCTTGGTATTCCTATCAGTCATCTGACAACAAGGAACCTGAAGAGACATGGCAGGACCTCTTTGACAACTTCTGGCTCAACATGCAAGCACTAGAGAAATCAGATCAAAAGGATGTGATGCACCCTGAGGACAGTCACCATGAAGACAGTCATGAAGAAGAGATATCAACTATCAATGCTGGGATCAGGCAGGAAAAGCCAAAGCCAAAGCCAAAGCCAAAGGAAACCACCAGGGGCAAGGCCAATGTCAAACAAGGGGACAGCAAAAGGCAACAGAAGGAGAAAATTAGTACCCCTTAATACTGTAGAATAATCCACTGCTACAATGATCATGATAGAAATGCACCATGCCTCTCTTCCAACCAGCCTCCTGTTTTCCCCCCTTGTACAGTATCAATGATTAGGTTTGGTCAAGTCCACCTGTAGGAGGTCCTCCAGATCCTGCATGGCTGTATTTCCAGGCTCCTCAATTCCTTGGAGGGCATCATAGTATCCACCTCCCAGAACACATGCACCATCATCCTCATCTGTTTTGTCATCCACTTCATGTGGGCACAAATCCATGTACTTGTTTGACATTTGCAGTTCCTCTTCTGCCCTAGCAGAAAGCAAAGGCAATGAGAGCATTGCACTCTGTACACATCCTTCCAGCAGTTCTCAATATATTGTCCAAAAGTTTCCCATGGTCACTTTGGGTGCACCCAAAGCTGAATCTCTTTTCAGGCACACTTTCCTTCACCAATATATGCTTACTTACCTTGGTACAGTCTGTCCATCTCCAAATGAAAATCCTCTGGCACAAGCTCAAATACCAGATGACTTGCTGGTGCATATTTTGTTCCGGCAATGATAAGTCTTTAGGAGTGACTGCTACCTTATATTCCATCAACATTCATCATTGCTTTTGATCAAGGGACCCACTTTGAAAGAGTCTGCATTGTCATACTGCTCAGGGTGATAGAAGATATGTTGAGGTATCCCCTGTGGTAGCAGTTTTTTTTTGTCCTTGCACAGCTTGCTGGTATTGTGCATTTTGATGTATTTGTCCAGTTTTCTTTGAATCCATGGAATGGCTAGCCAATGGAATACATTGCTTCCCATGGTCAGCTACTGCCCCCAATGCAATTCCCTCTGCTGTACTCACTTTTGAACAAAATCATGATGGTCATACACCTTCACATGGACACCTGCATCAAATAGATTCTTGTACCCTCAAGTGAACTCATGACGGAGCTGGCTCCATTTGATTTCGGGCCTAATGTTGCTGTGGCCATGTTTCCATCTATGCTGAAGTTTCCCTATGAGCATCAGATCAAGTCATTGCCACAGAAATGTATGCCCATTGCAATCCCATTGTTTTCACTGCCTGGGTCACTTTGTGTCAGTAAGGGGATTCCTACCCACATCAGCATGAGTTCCTCAATGTTCCCAAAACAGAAGCACATGATTCACCCCCATGAAAGCGAGCCATCTCCAAGTAATAGCTGAAAATGAGCCTGGGGTTGGAATTTGTCCACCAAACTTTCAACCAAAATATGGAGCCTGAAAAGGGCTCCATTCCAAGGTGCAGATACAACCTGAAACACTGCCATTTATCATGCTGATCAATGGTCACAAGCTCAAATACCCCAGCCATCTTGAATTGTTTCCTGATCCAATGCTTCCCATGCTGGCGGTGAACCTCCTCTGCATGATATTCCCTATTATAACTGTGGACAAGATCCCTGTGACAGCCGGCATCAGCATTCATACTCCATAGGCAGTCAACCATGATGCTTGCCTGGGTGCCAAGATTCCCCACTGCCTGAGCCAGTCACAGGTGCACTTCACACTAGGCTCATTAATTGTGTCCCTCACCTCTTCAATGTGTGGTCCAATTGAGTCCATCATGTGATGCTGCTGCCAAATGCTCATGAGGCCCATTTTCTGCCACTGCCAAAATACTGTCTTAGCCCTATGAGTCCA